GACCAACGCCGGAGCGGTGTACAATCTCACTCCGACAGAGAGCGGTGATACCAGCAATGAAGAAGGAGACCCAGCATAGCTTGCTGAAGCAGAGACTGCAGCACGTACAGATCAAGAGCTTTTTTTGGGTGAAGACGAGGCTCTCACCAACGCAACCGGGTTCGCATCATTGTAAAGGTCAGCGGGTATTCGAATCTCTACCGTTTTTATTGTTCGTTAGTGTTCGTGTCTACCTAAAGCGGTGGCTGCCATATGCAGTTGAAGTTATCGCTCAATGATAATTTTGTTTCTGAAATGGTCTCCGTATTTTATATTCGACTAACAAATGTACGAGCAAGATCATCAATTTTGATCAATGGTAAAGTGTCCGCGACATGGTGTTCGGCCGAAATTCACTGCCACACCATAAGGATATGTTCACTCAATGGGAATGCGTCACCATTCGTGATCATACAAAACTATCTCGATGACGATATTATAATGGTGATCACTCGGCATAACGGTCAAACTTTTCCCACCCATTTAGTGATGTTACATACTAGCCCCAGACTACGTTACACCTTCACCTGACCGCCACTTAACGTGACCACGCGTTTGATGCGGGGTATAAATATAGCAATCTCTCTCTCGCCTGAGTATGTTCCAATTGTCCGCACAAATCCAAGGAGATACCTGGAGGCTAAAGGTGTACTGAGAGAACATCACACACGGTGGACCCATATGCGTAGACTATCTCATACGCGACCAATCATCTGGATTATGCTCCTGGTAATATTTTACAACAAACGTTCTTTGCAGGCGCATTCGAATGTACATCAATCCGCAATCAACTAATTAGTCCCAGATATCATTTGAAGCGCTTCATGTGACCTACCTGTGTTATTGGCCCAATCTCAACGCTTCCGGGAAGCTAGAATCATCCAAAGCTCTGCCGAGCGACCACCTCCGTTTACGATCGTCACTCTCCCTCAGGTCGAACACGACGCGACTCGCTATTATGCTTTGAAATGCGGTTTGTATGCTGTTCACAAACGGACCGGTCAATACGATACCAATGCTCTGAAAGGGCGTGCCAAACGAACTTGTTGAACAGGTCGCTGTAAGCCTGTCAACGCTTTCGTTGAGATGTGGTGGACTGGAGAAAGATTAATTGAAGACTTACAGGGAACACTAAGATCATACCAACGTTCACCACCGACAAAACTGAAGTACCAGGATGTAAGCTGCTCGCCTCCAGATTTGGAGCGCTATAATGCGCTACAACGTACCGATCGAGCCCACCATGTACAAAGACGAATCGCGGTACAGCGTAGCGAGAAACGAGTCTCGTAGCTCGCAGCAGTCTTGATGCTCCCGAAGCTTACGATATTGTGTCATACACAATATCACTTTTAATATAACATCTCGCGTCACCGAAAGGTCATTCTCACATAGCCATACTACAAACGCACCGAGCTCATAGAGCGCATAAGCTGCGAACTGCAGCGCCCCTCCCTGTGTGGCAACTGTCAGATTCAGCGGGTGTCTTCCCTCGCAAAGGGAGTCGGGATTATCTGTGATCGCCCCGCCTGTGCTCTGAGCCTCCAGCGTGCTGACGGCTCCAAGAACCTGGTCCTGTGAGCTGTTCAAGAAAACCGCAAGCAGGTGCAACACGTACGACAGCTACAGACAAGAGGAAGAGCATCGCTAGCTTGCTGCGGTTCCACAAATACCACACACGCAGGATAAAGAGTGCTAAAGAATACCAGTGAGAGATCGCATGGGCCAGCGTAAACGTGATCATACTTTCGGGCATGACCATGCTCGCGAGGTGAAGCACTATAGAGGTAGGCCTTAGAGGTATGAACCCTCACGCTGAAACAGACTCACCATCGGAAACCCGGTTGAATGCTTCACACTATACCACCTCGATGAACACGCAAGCGGCATGAATCAGCAAATGGCTCACCGACGGTATGGATGAGAAGAAATAGACGCCGGTAGATGCTAGAACCATGGGCAGGAATAAGCATATCACACCTCCAGGCGAGCTGAAAGACTGCGATTTACAATAAGCCGTAAAGATCACCGCTGTAAAGACAGTGTATCGCGCGAGCGTGAACAGTACCCGCGTAGCGTCCCACCTGCGCCCCCAGATCCATCGTGCCTAAACTGATTTAAGTAGACTCTCCAAAAGAAGGAAGCCAAAGCAGCGCAGGAAACGCACTTCGAAGTGCAATGTGAGGAGGTAATCGTATACCAGGAGCGCAAGACCAGCTACTGAAGGAAAGATGAGAATAGAACACAGCAGCGTGAGATTTGAGGCTACCATTCGCATGCTACTGAAGGGATCAATTCGTATCAACAGGCCTACAGAGGTATTCACATACCCTGGAAGCTCGCTGACCAGCAGCGAGTGTCTCCCTCAAAATGTAGTCTGATCCAGAGGCGTCAAGCAACATCCAGAGGGGCTGCATGAAAGCGTCCACGTCGTCTTATATGTTTCATCACTGCAGCGCCTTTCTGTTCATCAAGGAAAAGGTAAGCTGATCGTTAGCGTCGTTTAAGGCGTCTGTTCCAGATAGTCCCACGTCGAGGATGATCATCACATTCAACATGAGAAAATGCACTGGTGTGGAGAAATCTTTCCTGGGGACAGCCATAGCGGTTCTGCCGCCTAGAGGAAGTACGATTGTACGAAAACGCCTGGACATATGAATTGAATAATACAGCAGCGGAAGACACAGCGGCAAAGCAAAAATACAAGGCTACAATACCATGTCTACCCAAGAACCATAAATACAGACAACCCTCGATCACAGATGATCATCTTCGGTGCCAACTAGATGTCGTGCATCATACAAGCGGTGCTCTACTGAGCAGCAGCCTCCGGCTCGCGAAGTGCAAACCCTGCCACCCACGTCAGCACTTTCAGTCATGAACCGTACAGAAACCCAAAACTCACCGTTATACGCGGCCTGCATCTCTGCCTGTCTCCCAAACCCATGCCCAGACCTCCCTGACAGAGCCCTCTCTGGCGGCCCGTAGCTCTTCTCATTGCTGATGCCGAAGTCATGCGTCGTCGGAAGCACATTCTTCGTCCTCTCGCGGAAGGAGAAGATCGAGCGCTTGCTTTTGGCGTGTTCGCGGAAGATGAGACCGAGCAAGATATTCAGGCAGCCTACGGAGAAGAGGAAGAAGGCGGCGACAAGCGGGAAGGTGTCGACAAAGTGCGAGAGGACGGAGGCGCCGATCCTGGAGCGGGGGTTCTTAATATTGAAATTGTACGGGATGTGAAGATATACTCACAAGCATTGCATGAAGCCGAGAGCACCAAGGCCGAACTCCGATCCCAAGACCGGAAAGAAGCGATCGAAGAACGAGAGCGGCCATTCTACGATGCAGGCATGAGCGAGAGGTGTGGTGGCGCCCACACTGAAGAGTACATACCGATTTCAGAGAACACCAAAACCACAGTCTGAGCGAGGATAAGGAGTCGGTTCAGAACCGCCCAGAACGGACCACCAGTCTGATCAGGGACGGTGCTGTTGCTGGACGGGGTCCAGGGGCGTTAGCTCAACTGTTCCTCTGCGCATAGACATGGTGTCAACGCACTCGATGTAGTCCTGACTCGTCTGATTCCCCCCTCCGTTCTCGAAGACGTTGACAGCCTTGATATCGTCCACCATGACCACGATGCTGCTCGCAAAGACGAGAAGGAGCGCAACAATGCTCAGTGCGCGAGCGATGTTGAGGCCGATGAAGACGTAGGCACGAGGAGGCAAGAACATGGTGACAGAGATAGATGTATCAAGGAAAGTCGTGGGCTTACGGAAACCAAGAGAAGGAGAAGACTGGCAAGAACTAGAAAGTGAGCCGGCACCAGGTACAGTATAGAGGAGTCGTGTCCAGCACAACGAGTGGAAAGTCGTAAGAGTCAGTGAGAATGAAAGAAAAGAAGAGGCGAGATGATTAAGTCGGCCTCCGGTGCCTCATGGACCTGTTTTATACCAGGACAACGTCGACTTGGCAGAGTCCACGACTGACAGCTTGTGGGCGCATGTATGAACGGAGAAGACACTTGCGCATAGTGACTACCTTGTCATATCGTGCGCTCGTTCATACGAAAGAACAAGGATGGCCGAAAGAGAACAAAGGTTGCATGTTGGCGAAATACAAGACGAAGATGCTACGACGGCGTCAGACCGCGTCTCGCTTACACCGGATTTTGCCGATAATAGGGGCTCCTCTGCGCTTGCACCTCCCGCTCTCCAAGTCAGGTCAGGCAAACAAGTTCATAGAACATGGATAGTAATCGATACTCAGTAATAAACCAAAGAAAAAGATAATAATGTCCCATGATCATATGTACATAAACCACACGGTCATGACGCCAGTCGTAAAGAAATATGAACAACAGGGGTGGGTATGTATCCCAGGGTATATGCACCCATATCGTCCACCACGGCACGCCTACAACTCGGAGGGCAGCGGAGGAACCGGCGGCGGCGCCTGCTGCTGCCTCGTAGTCCGCCTTCGCTCCTTTGCCTGCTGCTTTTCTTGCTCGGCCTGCATAGCCGTCATAAGCTGGAGCTGCTGCGCGATAAAGTCTGACGTGTTTGGTCTGGGTCCGAGTATCGTTAGTACCTGACCTTGACAAACCACGAAACAACAGAATGACATACCTCATCCGCAGAATACGCATGATAGTCTCTCCATTAGAAGACACCTCCTTTTCTTCCTTCTTCTCCTTCTTGCGCTCCTTGATCGTGCCAAGGTTACGCTGGTTGTACACACTCTTGACGCGCTTCTTGACCGGCACGGACTCCCGCAAGCTCTGCTGCATCACACGGACACACTCCTCCATGAGCGCATCACTGCAACACAGGTAAGCTCGCGAACATACTGAACAGACAAAGAACTCACGTATGCCAATCGTAATACAGCCGAATGGACAGCACATCGCGGTACTTTTGGTTCTGCAGCTCTTCAATGTCCACAGGGCCCTCGCCATCTGCATAGAAATAATCCCGCAAGAACTAAATGAAAAACGCATAAGCCAGTATCTCAGCATAACCGCTCAACGACGCACCTTCAGCCACTTAAACACAATATCCACCTCCTTATCCATCAACGGCTTCATCTCGCTCCGCACATCCGACAACGGCGGCACCAACAGCTCCTCAATCACCATCAAAATCTCCTTCCACACCCGCATCAAAATCATGTTCTTCGCATTGCTGCTCAAATACGTGTTCAGCGTCTGCAGGTTCGCGTCGAAATAGTCAAACAGCGGCAGAATCGCCCGCTCGATCTCCACGTCCGTCAGCTCCTCGGGCCGCACACGCGGCTTCTCCGACGACGGCAGCGGGATCTGCACCTCGCTCGCGTTCGACCCCAGCGCCGAGCGGTACAGGCCCGTCACGTTCTCCCACGCCTTTTGGTAGTTCGGGCCGAGCGTGCCAGCTTTGAGGAGCGTGCGCAGGATGGGGCGCGAGAGCGACTGGCGGATGAAGGGCGCCATCTGTCACGGTCGACTAAGCCTCGTTTTCCATCCAACACAAACGCAGGCCACTCACCTTGTCGATGAATATCCGCACCATATCGCCCTCGCTCCGCTTGAGCGAGCGGAACGCACGCCCAAAGTAAAACTGCACGTCGTCCTTCTCGCCCTCCATGCTGATGCGGAGCAACACCCGCCCGTGGTTCTCGAGCTTGAGCCATATATCGTGCGTCAAAAAGTCTCCAAACTTGCGCGGATCGAGGCAGATATACGCGCGCCCGACGATATCGTGCGAGCCAACGAGCGCGCGGTCCCGGATGCACGCCATCAACCAGAGCGGCTCGATAACCGATATATCGAACGTCTCGTCCCCTTGATATCAATTAGTTCAGCCCTGTACGCAAAGGGAACAAAGGAGACCAAAACTCACATCGAGGACTCAACGTCTCATATATCGTCCGCGTCTTCGCAATCCGATTCCCCGCCGGATCACTAAGCGTCACAAACGTATCCAACAGCGCACTCGGACTGCTCTCCAGCGGCACAAGCCCCTCCGCGAGCACAATCTTCACCGCAAACAAAAACCGCATCCGCTCGCCCTTCTCCGGCACCGGCGGCGCCTGCGCGATCACCTCCATCACCTTGTCCACGTTCATCTGGTTGTACATGTTGTCCAGCAGCCGCCGCGCAGCCTCCACGTTGTTCAGCTTCACGCACGACTGCGGCTGGAAATTGAACGGCTCCACTTTCTTCTCGCCCGCAGCGACAGCGAGCTGCTTAGCCTTCTCGAGCCACGCAGACGACTTTTGCGGCTGCAGGTAGTCCGTCGGCCGCGGGAACATCTCCGACATGAACAGCTCCTCGACGTTCCGGCAGTACATCTCGATCGCTTTCGAGATCGTCTGAAAACCGGTCTTCAGTCACTGGAGTTCACGAGGAAATTTTTAAAGACCAACCTTTGACAAGCTCGTGAAGAACCGCGCCTCCTGGTACTCATCCGACCACTCCAAGTCCTGCAAGAACGAAATCGGACTCCGCAACGAGTCGAACAAATCAACAATCGACGAGCTATGCCCTTGCTCCGTATCAGCCTCAAACTTGTCCGCTGCAATAGCCTTGCACCTCCGTCAGACGCAACCAAACCCAAGAAGAAGTAAAAAACCAAAAACGCACAGCCTGCACCCATTGAGCAGTCTTATTATCCGTATCCAACAGCCACTGCCGCACATACGGCTCAAAAAACGCGCCCACATCAAACTCCAGCGGCCCGCTTCTCACCGGCATCAGCTTCATCCATCCTTCCCAACGGAAAACGAACACGAACGTACTTGGGACAAAACGCCGAATGCATCGACAGAATCAGCTTCGTCCGCCGATACAGCGCAAAGATATCCTGTATCGGTATATCCGGCGTCGGCCCGTTCATCGACGACTCAAACAGCCGCTTCGCAGACCCGTGCACCTCCTCGATAAACAGCGGCACCTGCACACCCACAAACAGCGACACAAGATCCACCCTCCTTCGCCCATGCCCACCGTCAGCCCCTTCCATCCTTAACAAAAATACAAAACCCACTCACCCAAGTATAGGCTGCGCAAACCGCTTATCCAGCTGCTTCGCCACCCGCTCAATCTCATCCGTCATAAACAACATCGGCAGCGCCCGATTCACCCCCGGCGCGCCCTGCAGCTCCCCCATCTTCTCCGCGTACCGCTCCCGCGCGAGCTGCCGCACCCGCTCCTCGAGGTCCCCGATCCGCGCCGCAATATCCGCCTCGTACTGCTCCACAAGCCCGCTCTCGCGCACGTGGTCGAGGACGTGCAGGAACGGCTCGACCTCCGCCGTCTTGAGGTTCGGCAGCCCGTCGAGCGCGTGGTACAGCGACGAGAGGTAGATGTTGTACAGGCTGCCGTAGATGCCCTGGAGATACTCCGCCTTGCATGCGAAAGAGCGTCAGCAGTCCCCACACACCTGCGACCAAGCAAAAATGGGGGGCAACTCACATCATGCACCGGCCACCGGTCGATCTCCGTATCATGCAACGCCTTGCTCACCGCCTGCAGCGCCTCCGGTATACACTCCATCGGCACATCGCTCCGCTCATAAAACTGCTTAATCAGATCCATAAAACACGTCACCCGATACGGCTGCCCAATCCTCCACCTCAACGCGCACTCATTGATCAGATCCAGATGCGGACCAGACAGAATCGTCAGCGGCACCTCGTCCGCGTCGTCCACCTCGGGCGAGAACATCAGCTCAAGGTCCGCAACCAGGCAAAACTCCACGAGCCGCTTGTAAAACTTGCGCGGGTTCGGCGGGATATACGTAAACTCCATCCCCGTCGGCACCTCGTCGTCCCCCGTCACGTCGTCCGCGAGCTCGCCCGCGTTCCCGATGCTGCCCACCGCGCCGTACAGCGAGCGGCGGCTCCCGATCGAGCCATGCCGCGTCGCAGCACCGCTGCCAGTCTGGGAGTAGACGGAGCCCGGGCGGCCGGCGGCAGAGACGGACTCGGTGGGCATGGACTTGATGAGGTCGGGGTTGACAGACATCATCGCCTTCATGAGCTGCGAAAGCGTCGACTTTTCCATGGTCTGCCAGTGGTTCCACGCTGCGTCCGACGAAAAGTCTTCTCGCTGACCGGGGAACGGGAGCCCACCATTCAGGTTCTTTGAGCATGTCTATAGAAAAATTAGTTGAGCAACGATACACCACACCAAATCAACGCATGCTCGCCTTCAGATCCATCAGCGCCGCCTAAGATAAAAAATCGTCAGCGACCATCGCACAGTCCAAAAGACGCAGCCAACCCGCACCTTCTCCGTACAAAACTGCCGCATCCGATCCACCTCGCCCTGCATCGCCTCCTCGGGGATCTTGAACAACTTCGCAACAACCATCACAAGCGGCATATCCGCAACCTTGGCGCTAATACTCGGCTGCGCACTGCCCGTCCCACTACTCACCGAGTCCCGATGCACCGCCCCCGCCCCCGCCCCCGCCGTCGTCGACGCCGTCTCATACCCCGAATCGCTCGCCGCCGCCTGCCCCGGGCTCGGCGTCAGCTTCGCCTGATACATGCCTAGCCTTGACTGCAGCTCCGGCGACACGCCATGCGACACATTCCTCAGCGCCTCCCTAATGAGCTTCACGAACTGCGCGATCTGGTTGTTGAGCTCGAGCTTCCAGCGGTCGCCGGCTGCGAGCGTCGGCTCCTTCTTGAGCGCGGACGTCGCCTGCGCGGCGAACATGAGAATGAGCTCCTCGATCGAGCGGTTCTCCTTCATCTGCTTGCGGAACGAGTCGCTCATGAACTGGCCGTAAAAAACGGCCATGACGCGCCGCGTGAGCTGGTCCGAGTACCTATCGCGCGCCCCGTCAACACCAGTGCTCGCACTCGCCACAGCAATACGAATAGCAGGGCGAGGACAGAAACACGCACGCAGCATCCTTCCCCATCGCAATATTCTGCAACTTCTGCTCAAGATGCTTCAACAGCTTCTCCGGGAACTTGACGCTCTTCGACCCCGACCCAATCTCCTTGAACACATCCGCGATGGACACGATGGAGTTCGATATCGCGCCCGACACGATCTTGTGGTAGTGCTCCTTCTCCTTGACCTCGGCGCTGGCGCTGCCTCCATTGTTGCTCGCCGCGCTCGAGGAGGGATCGGAGACCTTGGGCTGGGTGAGGTAGCTTAGGATGCTGCGGGGCGGGGTGTGGGGCGTCGGCGGTGTGAGAGGGCAGAGGGGGAGAGGCGACTTACGCTACTCGGAGGGTGTAGCTGGGGGAGAGGTGAACGTGACATTAGGTAAAGGGAGGGAGGGTGACGCACTCGAAGAGGTCGTCGTCTGTGACTCTGTATTTTGACATGCGTTTGTCATGGGTGCTCGAGATGCTGTTCCTGCTTCTTCGTGATAGGGTAGACATGGGATTCGTGTGCCCTGCTTGTAGGGCTGGTGTGCGACAACTGAGATATTTGGCTGGTTGTGGCTTAGAGTCGTGTAGATATTTGTTGAAAAGCGCGATGAGAGAAAGAGAAAGTTGGGGGGAATGGTCAGGTCGAGGGAGTGGATGACATGCAGCGGTGATCGTCTCCGTACAGCGCAGCACAAGCACAAGGACCCCCTTCCTTATCCGGCCCGTCCTCCTATAGACACTTCAAAATTATAATCTATGCAATGTTAACGTTATTCTACCACAATCTATGTCATCTAAAGCTCATCATGCCCCTTCCGCCTCTCCGTCCCCTCTGGCTCCTCACCCGACTCCTTACTCTTCCCATTCTTCCCCTTCGCCTTCTTCGGTGGCTTCGGCGCCTTGCGCTTCACCAGCCTTTGCAGATGCTGCTCCAGCCTCCCCGCCCGCGCCTTCATCTCCGCCGTCGCAATTGCCGGATTCTCATTCATCCCCGTCCGCTTCTGCTTCTCCACGCCCTCGTTCAGCCACACCTCGTGCTCCTTCAACGCCTCCTCCAGCCCGTCCAGCTCCTCCGCCGTCCATTTGGAGGGGACACCCGCGGCAGCATCGGCTGTCATATTCGCGCGCGCGTCCGTGAGGAACACGCGCGTCGCCCAGTTCCATTTCTGACTGCTGTTCAGCGTCGCCGGGAACTCCTGAATCTCAGTATACCGGTACGTTATCGGTCTCTCGAGCGCCCTAACCAAATCCATCAGCACCATCACCACACCCAACACCCAACACAACAACTCACTCGAGAGCATGGCGCTTCTGCCACAGCTCAGTCGTCTCCGCCGACTCGCCACCATCATTCAGCCACTCCCTCGTCTCCGCCAGCTTCTCCGCGATCGCCTTCCTCTCCACCGCCGTCGAGCACTTCTGGAACGGCGACTGCGCGCCGTCGTCGAGGTTGTCGCGCAGGCGATAGAGGTACGTCTCCAGCGTGTTCAACGCCTCCTCTCTCATCACCTTGGCCGCCTCCTGTGCGTCGATGCTGCGCAGTCTGCACAGCGCGTCAGAGTTATTCCCCCCACCCCAACCAAGTGACTCACCTCTCACGAGAAGCCTTCTTCTCCTCGACCGTGTACGGAGGAAGTGACGAAAAGACAGTCTTGACATTAAGCGCAATCGTGCTCAGCTCCTCGAGATCCTTCGCAGAAACCTTCTTCTCCTTCTTCGGCGGAGTCGTAGCCACAGGCGACGACTCGGCCGCAGTCTCATCCGTCGTCGAGGGCGTCTGCGAATCAACCTCCTCCTCCGTCGAAGACGTACCAACGCCAAACAGACTCTTCAGTTTACCTGCATCCTCATCATCAACAACGCCCCCAGCAAGAAAACCCACAACTCACCAGTCAATGACTCCTCTTTAATCTCCCCATACGCAACCGCCTCCTTCACCGCCACAAACCCGCTCTCCGAAAGCGCAACCGTGACTTTCACAACCGGATCCACCGCGCCCCTTTCCGCCAGCGTCCCGAGCGCCTCCGCCACCCCCTCAACCCGCGCCTCGAACAGCTCGCGCGGGAACCCAGGCGAAATCACCTTCGTATAATCCAGCCAAAGGCTAAAATCCTCCCCGCGGCGGAACGTCAGCGTCTTCTTGCTCCCGAGCTTGCTCCCCGCGGGGAACAGCACCGAGCTGATCGTGCGCGGCGTCGGCGCGGCGTCGGACGGCGGCGAGGAGAAGTACGAGACCTGGATGTCGTGCATGCTGATGTCGGACACGCGGATGTCTTTTGTTTTGAATTGCCGCGAGAGCGAGGCGCCGTACAGCGCCGCGCCGAGGACGGCGGCTTCGTCCGCGTTGACGTTTTGTGCGATGAGGTCCCTATTAGACGTTAGATTATGTGGTTATTTGATGCAGGACGTAGAACTCACTCTCCAACTGCGGCTCTTACTGCAGCCTGAACCATGGGCGTACGGGAGCTGCCCCCAGTCAGAATGACAGATGTAATATTGTCCTATAAAAACACATAAGCACAGTCCAACGCAGCATGTAAACGGACAACTCACAAGCGTCAAATCAGCCTGCGCAAGCGCGTCCCATATCGGCTGCACAAAACCCCCCTTAAGGTCCGCACATGCCTTCTCAAACTGCGCCCGCGTCACCTTCGCCTTAAAGTCCAAATCAAACGCCGCGCTCTCCACCGTCGCCACCGCCTCCGAGTTCGCGCTCAGAATCGTCTTCACGCGCCCCGCCTCCTTCCACAGCTTCGCCATCCCGCGCTTGTCCGTGCGCACATCGCGCTTGTGCTTCGCAATAAACGCATCCACGAGCACCTCGTGCAACCGCCGGTCCAGCTCCGTCCCGCCCGTATTCCGATCATACCCCACCCCCTTCACCTCGATCTGCGTCACGGGCGCCTTACTCTGCGGATCGAGCGTGCTCTCGAGCCGCACAACCGTCGCCCGCGTCGCGCTCGCGCCCGCATCATATATCACATGATACTCAGGCGCCGCGAACGCGCGCGTCATCGCATAGTTCACCGCCACCGCCGTCCCGTCGTTCACGAGCGCCAGCGTGCGCAGCCCCGCGATCGCCAGCGCGTCCGCGACCGCATCGCGCTCGAACTGCGTGTAGAACGGGGGCACAGCGAGCACCGCGTCGTGCACGGGCTCGCCCGCGAGCGCCTCCGCGAGCGCCTTGACGTAGCCGAGCTGCATCGCGATGAGCTCCTCGGCCGCCCACTGCGTGCCGTCGCTCCGCGTGACGCCGATGGTGCCGCGCGCGGTCTCGTGCAGCTCGGCCTGGGAGATGGTCGCGAAGAACGCGGGGGCTTTGGAGTCGTACGGCACGCCCTGGAGGTATTTGAGGGACGAGAAGGAGTCGGTGGGGAAGCGCGCGGCCTGGTACAAATAAATATTCACCGGTCCGGTGAGTTTGGCTCTCGGGTATAGTGGGAGGAACGCACAATGTTAGCGGCGTCGCCGCCAAATAGCCTGTCGTCTTTTTTCCACGCGACCGAGGACTGGATCTTGCGTTTCGAGTCCTTGTTAAGCAGCACGTCGAACGGGACACCGGGCTTCATGAGGGAGGCCTTGATCCAGTCAGAGCCATAGTCGATCGCGAGGACGGAGGCGCACGCGGACTGCCAGAGCGAGCACGAGAGCACCAAAAGTGCTAAAAAAGATGTGAGTGTCCAGCGCATGGTGGGGCGAGGACGTGTTGGTCCACTAGCAAAGCTGCTTAAGGCTTCCAGTGACCGGGGTAACAGTGGACGGACGTGTCAGACAGCGAGCGGACACGTAGAGAAAACGGGGCTCGGCTTCTCCCGGGCACTCAGGGGCTAACAACAAGCACACGCAAGCACCTGCCTAGAACAGCAGCTGGTCCGTGCGCGCACCCACAGCCGTATATAAGGAAGAGGTCGTGCGATATGAATTCCTCATACTTACCTTGATGGCACCGGCTCCTTCACGGACTTGAGTCTGTGGGCTGTGGGGGCCCTCCATAGCACGGCGACCTTGTCCACACAGAGGGTGTCTGCAGTTTGTATGGGCTCCGGCTCATGCACCGTCTCAATATTTTCCTGTCCTGCCACGGCCACTCTGGCTAGGCAGGCCTCTCTTTTTTGCCCTTTTCGCCTCCTAACCCTAACCTTAGATACCACACTATAAGTAATGCTTATATTTTGCTATCTAACCATAAGCAAGGTGAAGGCATTAATGTAAGATGACGGTCCCAGATCTACATCATTGATATTCGGCTTCGCATTAGCATTTATGTGCTGTCTGCTGGTCTCCGTCACTTTCCATCCCCCTCGATGGTTTACCACTCTTTCTATCTGCTTTCCATGGTCCCGTTCCTCCGTCCATTGCCCATATGGTTGCTGAAAAGCTTGAGCTGAGAACAATTCACGCACCACAGAGGTTTTCAGCTGTAAAGTGTAGCATCATCGACCGACGATTCTCCACCTTCTACGATTCGAAAGCACGCGTTTGTCACACTTTTGAACTCTGGTCTCGTTTGAACTTGATTCGAACGAGCGTCACGCGAAAATCCGCTCAACTTCTTATGGTCGTGTAAGCACAAGTTTTTGCCTTCAATATCGTAACATACAAGATTAGAACGGGCACAATACTCCAAACATTGGTTCCAAACGTGTTTTGACATAGGTAGAAGTCCTTCTCACTACCCCGCAACGCCCCTCCTTCCTGCCTCAACGGCCGAAACGTGATGTCCAAATCATGAGGCATTGACAACGAAAACGCAAAGAACGAGTTCTGAATCTCGTCCTCGTGTATCGACCTCGTAGGCAGCGTCCACTCAAATTCTCTCATTCACATCGCCGCGATCGTCCGCATCTCGTACAGCGCAAAGTTCTGCGCGGGGCACTTACGCGGGCCGGTGATGAATGCCATCCATTCCTCCTTCAAACTTACGCTCAGATCCTGGTTGCTGTTGTCGTTCTTCCGTGCCTTGGCGCCGCCACCAGCCCCGCTGCCCTTCGCAAGTGCCTCAACACCCCCATTGCAGCAGCGGTTACTGACGAGCAGCCAATTGGCGTTCCAATGCAAGATCATCAGTCCCTCAAGAAGCTGGACTGGAACCGAGCCAGCTGGCTTCTGTCCTCAGACTCATGGGGCTGAATTCATGTGCCACACCCGCACTTTGGAGTAGGTTGAGATGATGAGACGTTGGTCGGACGTCGACAGGTTTGGCGAGGGTCCAGCATCTATCATTAGCTTCGACTCCGGCGCTACTCACAATCTTGGTCGAAGCAAGTCTCGGGTTCGATACGAGATGTTTCTCGGCTTTGGCAGTCACCCCTGGCTGATCGAAGACCCACGTAGGAAGGCGTTCAACGTTGAGCGGCATTATGGGTCGCAGGATAGCTCGAGCGTCTATCACGTTAGGTACGTTAGATAGCTGCTGAAGCAGCCAAGCGCAGGACACGATCACTTACTAAGATGCACCATCCCGTCATTCCCCTTCAGCTGCCTTTATGCATGCTCTTTGTTTCGTTTAGTCAGCACAACTTGGCAGCAGAAACCTTCATGCGACACAGCTGTTAGCGTATAAGAGCGCGACAGAGCCGCTGTTGAATATTGAAGGACAGACCAAGCTCGGTCTTTGCATCCTCGCAGCAACACCACTGACCGCGCGAGAGCAAATCGTTAGTAAGTCCCTAGTCAATTTCCGAGCTCATTGTGGAGCCTGTTCACGCGTGCACTCGATGTCTCGAGCACCTCGACGCGTCAAGAGTCTTGCTGGAGTCGAGCTGTCTATCTATCACTATAATTCAGCCGCTCCTCCTCCGAATACATCTTCGAATATCAACTCCTGTATTGGACCTGCTATCAGCTATGACGATCAGAGAGGCGGTATTCCTCACTTTCGAAACGAGCGGGATCGATTCCTATATGTTCTTCAGGCTATTGTGCTTGCTGGGCTTACTTCTGGAACTGTTGTTCCAACACCGGCCCTTCAACCAGCGCCGAAGTGATTCTCATACTACACAAACATCAACCCTCTATCCTCGTCCTTGGCGCGGGCGAGCTTGGCCTCTCCATCCTTCGCGGGCTTTCATCCCATCCTTCCAAGCCCAGCGTCACCGTCCTCCTCCGGCCCCTATCCATCCAGACTTCAACACGGAGCTCGAGCAAACCCTCTCGAGCCTCAGCGTTTCCATCACACACGGCGACCTCACCGCACCAACCTCCAGCCTCGCCTCCGGCTTCGTCGGCGGCCCCGGCACCCAACTCAGCCTACGCCGCGCGGCGCTCCAATCGCGCGCGAAGCGGTACATCCCCTGGCAGTTCGGCGTGGCCTACGACGTCCTCGGCCGGGGCAGCCCGCAGCCGCTCTTCGACGAGCAGCTCGACGTGCGCGCCCTTCTCCGCGGCCAGGGGCGGACGCGGTGGACGATCGTCTCCACCGGCATCTTCACGCGTTTCCTCCTCGAGCCGGCTTTTGGCGTTGTCGATCTCGGTCGGCGCACGGTCACGGCGCTGGGGCGGTGGGCGAATGAGGTGACGGCGACGACTGCGGAGGATATTGGGCGGTTGACGGCTCGGATCGCGTTGGATGAGAATGAGCGTGGTGGGACGGGGTGGGACGGGGTGGTGCATGTCGCGGGGGATACTACGACGTTCCAGGGTGTGGCGGATGTGGTGAAGACGCACGGGTGGGATTTGCAGGAGAGGGTGGCCACGGTTGAGGAGCTGGAAGGGAGGCTTGCGGAGGATCTGGAGAATTGTGCGTTGAGGTATCAGTTGGTTTGGGCACGGAATAAGGGGGTGAGTTGGGATGTTGCGAGGACTTGGAATCGTCAGAGGGGGGTAGAGATGGAGGGACTAAAACAGTCTGCTGAAAAGACTTTGCCGAGGCCGTAATGAGTGGCAATGAATCAAAATTGAATACATACTGATAACAAGTTCCACAGCGATTGTAATATTCATGAATTGCAGATGCCCGCTATTGGGCCTGGTATCACATGGGAAGACGAACTCATACGTGCGTCGCGGGCGCCACACCTTGAGAGAAGAGCCCTCCACCGTGAACCAACCGTGTCCTGGCCCGAAGCTAGCTTGCAGATGGGCAGATGATTCTTTGAGAGAAAGCGGTGATTTTGCAAGGAGTGAATCACTTGGCATCCAAATTCGCGGAATGTAGCATCCACTTCTAAACGCAGCTTTCCGAAGTGACACGCTGGAATGACGGTGGAAGAGGTTCCGATCGTGTGGATGTAGAAGTTGGATGAACGCGGCGTGGTTATATGCATGCACGAAGAAGGGAACGGGGACCTGCAGAGCGACTAGATCATGAGTATTGGTCAATCGTCAAGGTTCACCTTCACATGAACATGGAAAGAAGAGATGAAGGACCATTCAGAATGGTCCAAGCGCGACACGTCCTCTACCCATCCCACCTCCCCACATGGATTCATATGCGGCGCACAGGCGATGCGTATGCGATCAGCGCTCGAAGACATCGGACGAGTAGGAGCGATGAGTTTGTCATAGGTCTGCCAGCGGTGTAATCGCCCGAAGAGTCGCCCGAGACTATGACTAACTGTCGTCGTGGTTGAGTGACTCCAACATTGGACAATAACTCCGAGAGGCAAGCTCTGTTCGAGCGCGAGACCAGTGCACACCGCTATGGCGATGTGCTATATGCCCCAAAAGAAAGGAAGTGGTGTTGGGGAACCAGATGAGCCAGGATGAGATAGCGCAAAGCAACCGCGTCGGGTCGAAGGCCCACATCGATATCAGGGGTACCAGTCCTTTCCCCAGGCATTCTGTGCGGACTTTGAGTAGGCTTTAAGCTGCCCGCAACCGCAACCGTGCCTATCGCTGGCGGCCTCATCATGATGTCCTCTGATGCCAGAAGGTTCTGTGACGAAGCCGAGAGCGCGCCGAAGCGATGAGCCCGCTATCGATGAGAAGGGCGATAGTATGCAGCTGTAGCACGTTTGACAACTGCCTCGCGGCGACTGTGCATGAGAACGGCTGGGCAGCGGCCTATGCCTCCGATGTCCTTCTACAAAGCCGAGGCGGAACCTTGGGGTGCTAACTTAGATTCTGATAATAGTCCTCATGTGCCTATCGACCTAGCACTCCAAACGGCCGAGGCGTATGGCCAGGTGCAGCCTCGATGTCGTCTAGATATGATTTAGAGTCTCGGCGGTGTAGACTAAGTAACGTGCTTATGGTCTAGGTGGCAAGGATGGGGCGCGTTCGTCGGCGGCAAGTCGGGCAGCGTGGAATGCGGTCGAAGTTGACGAATATAGTGATCCTCTCTTCATGATCTAAACTCCGATAAGATGCCCCCTTATAAAACACATCAAACTCGCCCGCAATCTCCATCGTCCCCCTTCTACTACTCCAAAAACTTCCTACTCAGCGAAAATGGTGAGTCCCATTCATTCTGTATGGCAGATAGGAGCCCTAATCCACGACGCGTCCCAGGTCAAAGTCGGAATCAACGGGTGAGTGGGGTGTTCGCGTCGTTTGTCTCGTCGGGGGTCCTTACCTTTTTTGCAGTTTCGGTGAGTCTCATGTCCTTCTTCTCATTTGATCCTGTTCCTCATGGACGACAGGTCGTATCGGCCGCATTGTCATGCGCAATGCCATCCAGAACCAGGACATTGAGGTCGTCGCCATCAACGAGTGAGTCAACTTCCTGCCTCCGTCTCGCGCATATACTCATGCGTTTATGTGACTAGCCCCTTCATTGACCTCGAGTACATGGTTCGATTCTGTCTTTGGTCACTGTTTCAATGGAGGCTTACTCTTCCTTCTAGGTCTACATGTTCAAGTACGACTCCGTCCACGGTCGTTTCGACGGCGATGTCCACACCAAGGACGGCAAGCTCTACATCAACAACAAGCCCATCACCGTCTACGCCGAGAGGGACCCTGCCAACATCCCTTGGGGTACTGCCGGTGCTGAGTACATCGTCGAGTCTACTGTAAGTCCTGGCCGTCTCCTTGATCCTTGATCCAGCTTATAATCGGCGCATAGGGTGTCTTCACCACCATCGAGAAGTATGGGTTTCACCCCTGTCTTTGCCGATGACATCATTAACATGGCTTCTACTACAGGGCCTCTGCTCACTTGAAGGGTGGTGCCAAGAAGGTCATCATCTCGGCTCCTTCTGCCGATGCCCCCATGTTCGTCTGCGGTGTCAACCTCGATGCCTACGACTCCAAGTACACCGTCGTACGTACAATTGCGATTACCCACGGGTTCGATCCCATCTTATGGAAACGTCTTTAGATCTCGAACGCCTCGTGCACGACCAACTGCCTTGCTCCTCTCGCCAAGGTCATCCACGACAAGTTTGGTATTGTCGAGGGTCTCATGAGCACCATCCACGCTTCCACCGCCACCCAGAAGACCGTCGACGGTCCCTCCAACAAGGACTGGCGTGGTGGCCGTGCCGTCAACAACAACATCATCCCGTCCTCCACGGGTGCTGCTAAGGCTGTTGGCAAGGTCATCCCCGAGCTCAACGGCAAGCTCACGTAAGTCACAGCATTTGCTACTTGGGGTATAGATGTTTATCGTGAAACGCGCTCTTTTTGGACGTTTCCCTCTACAGTGGTCTCTCCTTCCGTGTTCCCACTCTCGATGTCTCCGTCGTCGACCTCGTTGCCCGCCTCGAGAAGCCAGCGACCTACGACGAGATCAAGGAGGCCATTAAGGAGGCCTCTGAGGGCCCGATGAAGGGCATTCTTGCCTACACTGAGGACCTCGTGGTCTCTACCGACTTCGTCGGCCACCCCGCCTCCTCGATCTTCGATGCCCATGGTGGTATCCAGCTCAACAAGAACTTCGTCAAGCTTATCTCGTGGTACGACAACGAGTGGGGCTACTCGAGGCGTGTCTGCGACCTTCTCGTCTACGCTGCCAAGAAGGACGGTGCTCACTGAATATCTGCGGGCGCTACTGGTGCTAGCAGGCTTTGAGATCGTGTAAGAGGTTTCGTGCGAAGAAGTATTGAAGAATAACTTGTTGTTTGTAATTCGACCACTCCGCCTCTGTTCTTTGATGTTATTTTCTGTAGAGACACTCCTCGTTATGGGAGCTTAGGATAGCAATTGCATTGATGTGCTTTTAGACCAATCAGATGAAGTGCATTTGAGAAGTATGCCGTCGGAGATGTATCGGACTTATCGGAGTGTCGGCGTATGTGCCGGATCTCCGCTTCTTTCGGGTGGCCAGCATCTAGCCCAACTTGAAGGAGCTTGAAGGTCTTCCGCCACCCCATGCTACGGGTGTGGCGCATCGATTCAACTCATCAGCCCGATGGCAGGGGTTGGATGGGTAAGCTTCAATTCAGCTTATTGATCCACTGATGATCGATTGATCTTGCAATGTGGAACGATGTCGTGATTCGCTGCCTGCCAGTCACCGCCGCTGCAGTGGGGGCCGCATAGTGGCGAGCCTATCAAGCCACCACTTGACTTGGCTTTGGTCTATCTATGGGTAAGTAAGTACCACTGATATGTACCAGTTTTTCAAGTCCATTATCACCATTCCATGATCAGCATCAGATCGCGCTGTTCTGGACCTTTTTGCATGTACGTGGTGCTCTCGATCGGATGCCGTTGATGTTGATTCAGGATTGTGACTAGTGACTTGGGGTATAGCGTTAGAGACTGCTGTCTTACAAGCTCCCGCACCGGACCCTCGCCACACTCAATGCTGTGTGTGTTGACGAATGGTGCGACCAACGAGTTAGGGACCTGCGTTAGGCCTGTTGTCTGCCATGTTCCAGCATCCAGCATCAGATGGCTCTATCCCGGGTTCAACGTTGTTATTGTGCTGACCGGTGATCTCGGCCAGTCTCTAGTTAACGTTATGGCCTGCCACCTGGCAGGTTTCACTCGTTCTGTTGTTTTTGTCTTTGGATCGTAACGCCTACTCAAGTGCCCAGTATGTGCATACAATCACTCAAAACGCCGAGGTAAACGAGTTGACACACAAGATGACCTATGATCATGACCAATGTCTAACTAATCCTGGGGCCTGGGCACGAGCTGCTTGGACTCGGACGCCCACGCGAGCACACATACTCTCGCTGGAAATGGACTAGCGAACCGGAGTGGTCAATAAGACCTCGTCGGCGTTAACGGTTGATGCTTGCTACACACCGATTTCGTCCCATGGTTATCTATGGTCATCCACATCTCGTGTCTCGGACGGTTACACTGGGTATAACGATGGGTGCGGTGTCTTACCGTGTGTGTATACATAGTTAGTGTTCTGTCAACGTCGTTCACCGGTATAGATTGCGGAGCGGCGAGCACCGCCAGACGACCTTCTCGATAAAGTCGATAAAGGTTGTTGGGCCCAGTGGTACGGAGCGCAGCGCTAATCGATATCTGTGGACATTTGTGAGTGCAATCCGCTGTATGCACTTGTGTGCATCCTAAGATAGACTCCTGCGACACTGACATGGCCTAGTCTCAGGTGTTCCGCCGCTGTCAGGCGGCTTTGCATAACCCTCCTACTTTCCGATGCTGCATTCCTTCCAGTACGTTACCGCCGCTGAGGCAGCAATTTTACAGCAGCCAATTACCAACTGCGCCATCTCTCTGTCTCCGTTGAACCACCACAGCAGTCCGATCTCATGCCCCCACATATCAATGAATAAATTACTGACGGTCCGCTCCAGCGCACACGTAAGTGATCTCATATCATCGGCCCAGAAAAATCATAAAAAATCACACAGAAAATAAGCATTAGCCGTCCATCGGAGTCACCTAGATCCACAGCGACTAATGAGCGTCTTGCATCCGAGCCAAAAAGCTACCGATTATGTCTTGGTTGCCTTGTACTGTCATCCCCCGTGAGAATGTACACCACCGCCAGGATGTACAACTGTCTTTTGTGGCCGTTTCTCCTGCAAAACTCTCAAACTAAATTCATGATAATTATGATCCTATGCCATTCCATATCATCCTGCGTTGGATTGGCAAGGGCATGTCTAGAAATGAAATAACATGGCTCAAAAGACAGAAAATGGGCTCTTTTGAAAAAAAAATTTGAGCTCGGGTCAGTAACCAGCTGTGAAATAACCTCAGGTTGTGAGCAAAAGAGTAATCATATATTGAGCTAACACCTTCCGCCCCCACTGAAACAAAACTGGGCGCAACCAGAAGGCACAAACTCTCAATATTTTGGACCGATGACAGAGTGTCCTCTCGAGGCTCACTATAATCTTATAGCCGCCGTATCGGCGAATCCGGCTCGGCAATAACACCATGATTTTCCTTTTATGGCTCGGCTACAGCCAATACCCTGCCTAATATGGGCTTATTACCGATATCGGCTCCCACGCAGACTGTACAGTCTGACGGTGGCCGGTCCTTGGTTCTAAAATCCACTGATGTTCGTATAGTAGGGAATCCGTCCACTTTGGCGCTTCGTAGATTTTTTCAGTATTAGTTTGGGTCTTGGGGATGCTTCAAACCTTATTTTACAGGACGGGCCAGCGAGGAAAATATTCCAGGACTTACGGAAATTTGGCTGTCTCTTCTGGCGGGGGATAACAGTAGCCGCTTCGCGGGTGTGCCTCGCCGAGACTTTGCGCCATGTTTCACCGTAATAAATAGGTAATAATCACCAAGGAAGAGCCTCTACCCGAATATTGGCCCCGTGCCGCGCTGTGAAACGTGCGCGGCGGATTATCCCTGCTGCTTCCTTAGGATCGACGCAGCCCATTACGAGAGAACGGGGTGGAGAAGATGTCTGGATGTTATGTTTTTCGGCACATAATGGAGGCGTTCGTGGTGACGTTGGCTTTTCTTTTCTATTTTCCCCTCTTTTTACCGCTGCGCCTACACGCCACCACTCGTTCGAGTTAAGTCTTGCTTGACGGCTGCACGACGTCAAACACAGGAACGCCAGGCGGCGCAGGACCGAACAGAACTTACTTTCAAGAGCTATCCTGGGACGACATCGTCCTCCAAAGAGAACACCGAGAACGTGGGCTTTGGGCTCGGAAAGGCAGACAAGGGCATCGAGCTGCGACAGTTGCATTTTTGAGTATCGCATAAAGAGACGGACGAGAAGGCGGCAAGATGGGCAGCTCGTACTCGACGATGGTCGTCTACGCCCTCGTAGCAACGTTCTTGCCAGTCATTTGGGTGCTTCACCGGATTTTTGCGATCCCTGCGCACCTCCGGCATTTGCCTACCGTTCCGCTGTGGCCCTGGGTCTGGAGCTACCTCACGGCGAAGCCGGACAGCTATCGGTGCCAGCGGTTTTTGTTGCCGATGAGGGACGAGCGCGGGGAGGGGCTGGTGCTCATTTGGGCGGTGGGGCACTGGATGGTGCAGGTACTGGACCCGAAGGTACGTTTTTAAACCAGAGCTCCATAAATATCGAACAGATGTCCTAACTTAAATACATATACAACAGATATTCCATCATATTCTGATGAACCACGGAAAGTTCGTAAAGGACTACCCCGACAACGACACGATGTTCATCCAGCTCATCGGCACACACAGCGTCGGCCTCGCGACGGGCGACGACTGGAAGCGGCAGGCGCCGATCGTGAAGCAAGCATTCTCCCTCCCGGTTCCGATCCCTGCGTTCGTGGCGCTCGTCAGGAGCGCTATCGACGTGGTAAAACACACGACCACGGTCACGCACGATCAGGGTCAAGGTCAGGAGGACGCACCGACACACACGGTGCGGTGGTCGGAGTTGGCGCAGCGCATTGCGCTCGACGGCCTCGGTATTGGGTTAATTGGACACAACTTCGACGCGGTGCGGACGCGCTCGAGCTTCGTGGAGGATTACAACAAGCTGATGCCGGCGCTGGCGAGCCCGCCGTATGTGTTGTTTCCGCGGCTCGAGCGGCTGTTGCCGCGCCCCGAGGTACGAGCACGCATGGATCGGTTCGTGGGGTCTCTGGTGCACCTACTGCACGCGAAGAGGGATAACCCCGGCGACGACATCATGACGTTCCTGCTCAATAACAAAGAGCTGTCGGAGGTCGAGCTGAGGGATAATATGGTGACGTTGTTTATTGCTGGACACGTACGTCGACTGCTGCCTGCCTTCTTGGATTTAATGGAAACTGATGATATCGGCTGCATCCACAGGACACCACAGCAGGCGCCATGGCCTCCTTCATGTACTTCCTCGCAAAGCGACCTGAGATCCAACAAGCATGCCGCAGCGAGGTCCTCCGCGTGCTCGGGCCCACCGCCGACCCGACGCAGGCAATCCTGGGCCCCGACTCGCTCCCGTACCTGCACGCGTGCATCCACGAAACGATGCGCATCAACCCGCCCGCGTCATTCGTCGTCTCGCGCGCAGCGCAGACAGACGTCGTGCTCGACAGATACCTCGTCCCAGCGGGTACACCGCTGGTGCCCAACATCCACGCGATGCACCACAGCGCGCGGGTGTGGGACGAGCCGGAGGTGTTCCACCCTGAGCGGTTCCTCGACGCGAATGGCGGCGCGGCGGACCTCAGGGCCGGGGCCACCAGCAGCAGCAGTGGCGTCGAGGTATCTGGATCTGCGCATGTGGCGGCGGCGACCCTGAGTGGCGCGAAGAAGGAGAAGTTGAAAGGCAGCGGAAGTGGCGGTGGCGGCGCCAAGGTACAAGAGGGCGGCGCCGGCGACTTGAGTTTGGGTCTGAGTTTGAAGGAGGGATGGATGCCGTTCGTCACCGGCCCGCGTAAGTGCCCCGCGCAGAACTTTGCGCTGTACGAGATGCGGACGATCGCGGCGATGTTCCTGCGGGAGTTCGAGTGGACGCTGCCGAAGGGGTCGATACACGAGAATGGGATCCAGAACTCGTTCTTTGCGTTTTCGTTGTCGATGCCTTATGATCTAGACATCACATTTCGGCCGTTGAGGCAGGAGGGCGAGAGTGGTGCGGCGTAGGGAGATTCTTGTTGCTTGACTTTGCCATAATACGCTGGTGTTAGTTAGTATTGTACCTAATGCCCGTTCTAATATTATGTGTTGCACCTTCGAACTCAATTCGAGGCTGTCATCTGGCGGAATGTGACTTATTATAGTGCAACTCACTCACCGCGACGGCCTGCGCTATCTCGTTATCAGCAGTGGCAATATCGACGAAGGATTCAACTACGATGATGCATCTAGGCAGCCCCTCGATCTCCGAGCGGGTCAGCATCGCCTTCCCGCCCGAACCACCATCGGAGGACTCGTCTGTGCTTTGCCTGACGTCGCGCGCATACCAAGACGGCAAGACTGGCGATAGCCAGACGCTCTACCTCGATCTTCGTCTCTCGCTCCCTCTGGTTCAGGATAGCGATCTCAACCTGGGCTTCGCCGGGCTGCGAGAGACGCTCGCGACGGAGCCAAGGGTCCGAGTGAGGTGGAATAGGACAATCGACTCGGGTCGGGATGAGCCCGACGACGGAGCGCCGCCGGATCTGCCTGATGAGGGGGATATGATTACGAGGTGGGATCCTGAGTTGGGAAGGGAGGTCGAGGTGGAGTTGGGCAAGACGTGGAATGCGGATGCGCGGAAGGTGCAGGACTACGAGGAGGTTTGGAGGTGAGCAACTTTCATGTGCATGATACGACTGTTTTGCGTCAAAGGCACGACTCATCATCACATGTGCAGCGAAGGAGATATACCCTCTGGTTCGGAGTACATCTTTGCTGTGCAAGACAGGCTGCCGAAGGACAGTGGAGACCTACATTTCTCGACGACATTTCTGGCCCGCCTCGGTCACCACGCACTTGCGCTCGCGCAGGAGCCCAGAGGTGCCTTTCAAGCTGTCCGTCTCAGCCAAGGAGAGAACGGCCACTGGAGCACGGTATATGATAATACTTCTGGGTCGAATCTTTACAAAGATGTTGTAGCGCTGGTTGCGAGGACGCACGGCGAAAAGAAGAGGGGAGACACTTTGAAGTTGGCGAGTAACACGAAATGGGTGGTATTTGATGTTGGTCGAGCATGATTGGTGGACGTTACATGGTAGTGATTTCGGAGACGAGAGCATACTTTGATGTCAATCTTATCCCTCCCCGAACCCTTGATAACTATCCATCCATCCATCCACCCTAGCACCTAGCCTATCCTTTGCAGAACGAGGTCTTGGTAGTCACGGCTTGCACCTCTTGCTATGGTGGGATTATAATGTTTGATTTGCCTCGGAAAATGGACAGTGAAAGACTTGTAGATGGTAAAGGTGATAAGTTTCGCGGGGCAAAGTCTGGCAAAGTGGTGAGATGTTAATGTCATTGTCGGCTGGACGCGTTGAGTTTACGCGCCAGGGTCGAATATGCTCACGTGAGGCCAATTTTCTATCCCCTGCTCCTTTTCCTGCAGTGAGCGACGACAGACCACTTCCATGTTTCGCAGCTGCCTCCCTCCAGATGTTCTCGAGCTATCTTTCCGTGTAGCTTCTTCATCATCGCAAGCCACCAGATCATGCAGGACCTCCGTATCCCCCGCGTTTGCTCGCGCGTTGCATCAAGTCGCATTGGCTGAACCGAAAGCTGCATATGACCCGACCGACGCACCATCGCGACAGTGCGTGCTATACTTTCTCTTCACTCACAACATTATTCTGACCCAGTGTGCCATGTAGCGGACGTACGCGGAAAAGGCAGCTTACCCCTGCCGTTCGCTCCAGTCAAGCCACAGGTATCGCCAAGCGCAAAGTGCCATCTGGTCCCAATGCTTTGGCGTCGCTCGCGAAGAAGGTACTGGCATTAGAGCGCATCACTCTAGCTGAGGTGTGTCGCCTTTCGTATTAAAACAGCTTCAAAGTCGATAACTTTTCGTGTAGCCAGAGAAAGCGTCAGAACCTTCGCTCACCTACTCCGACACCGAGCTTCTGTCGCTCTACGAAGACCTCCTTGGCATACAAGCCCAGGATTCTCTGCCAGCCGACACTCAGGCTGCCCCCCTCAGCAAACCAGTGTTGTCACAACAAGAACAGGACCACAATGCCGTCTTGGCCGTTCGAGATCGTCTGGCCGCATCCGCACCCACCGTCGATACCTCCCACTCATTATCGACCCGCCTCATGCAGCAACGTGGCACGGAGTGGATGCAAGCTTCGCATGACCAGGAGACATCGGTGCAATCTGGTCAAGGGACCCTCCACCGCGAGGTCATTGGACATATCGGTCGTGCTATAAGTGTCATGGATGCTACGCGTGCTGCTGTTGCTCCGGAAGAAGGACATGAGCGAGTGAGGGTCGTTCTAGTTTCGAAAGATGAGTGGATGTCGCTGCTGAACCACTGTGTGCGTGTTATCCCGTCCTATCTTTTGGTGAGTACTAACGCCTCGAATAGGTACGTAATGGCGACCTATTGGCCGGAGAAGATGTATTGGGTTTGATGAAGGTAATGTATTTTCTCTCATCTCACTGGAAGCCCTAACACCGTGATGTTTAGCGCTCTGGCTTTTACCCTGCGGAAGACTTTCAGAACGTGGTGCTCGACGTATACTCGCGAAATGGAGATGTAGACAACTTTGAGCGTGCATTAGCCACCATATCGGGTACGCTTGCTATTTCGTCTGTCATCTTGGTCTTAGCTCACGACAGCATCATCACCCCAGAGTCCCCCACGGAGACCCAACGCGACCTCCACGTCCGAGCCTACCTCGTTCGCGACACCCTCGCCGAGCAAGCACCCAACGCCCCACAAGCCCCTTCCGAACTAGATCGGTGCAAGCCCGCTCTCGACATTCTCCACAAATACGAAGAATCAGCGAAACCCGCACCCATGCGTTCCTATTCTCGCGTCATCTCCCAACTCGCATTCGGCGCTTCCCCGTTCACACTCACCATCCCCACCCCCGGCGGCAGCAGCGGCGGCTTGCAAAAGAAACGCATCGTCCCCGAGCGCAAGAGCACATCCCTATCACGCGCGCACGCATGGGACCTCTTCGCGCACATGCGCTACGTCGCGCACCCGACGCCGGACGTGTACATGTACGCAGACATGATGCGCTGCGCGCCGTCGCCCGAGATGGCGCTCGACCTGTGGACCGAGCTCGGCGAGCAGCTGCGCAAGCGCGCGAACCGCACGGAGCTCGGTGCGAGCGCGTTCGGCCTCCGGGACGCGGTGGCGAGGGGCAAGGTCACGGAGGCGGCGGCGCGGGAGGCGCACGTCCGTGCGGTAAGGAGGGCGTATAATGCGGTGATATCGACGTGTGCGCGGTCGGGCGAGGTGCAGTACGTGCATGAGGCGTTCCGCCTCCTCCGGGAGATGGTCGGCGGTGTTGCTGGTCAGTCGAGGGACCCTGCGTCGCTGTTCGGGATGGTGGGCGGCACGGAGCGTGGAGGGGGCGTCGCCATGCCGGATATATACACGTTCCGCGCGCTCCTTGAGGCTGCGAGGCGCATGGGCGATCTCGAGAAGGCGCGGTGGATTCTCGCGGAGATCGTGCGCGGGCCGGGTGGCGCGCAGGGGACGGCGATGGGCGACGAGGACGAGATCAGGGTGGACGAGCAGCTGATGGTCAAGGTGTTCCATACGTACGCCGCCTATCGTCCGCCGTTCAAGCGAAACAACACACGGCTCATTGAAGATGACGACGCTTCCTCGATGAAGGCGGAGGGTCCGCAGCCGACAGAGCAAGAGACGACGGAGGCTCAAGTCGATGCAGAAACGACTCCTACCACCGCACTCGAGTCCTTGGACGCCCAGCCAGGAGAAGAAGGACCCCACCCTACCGCTCTAGACATCCCCGAGACCACACCATCCTTCTCGCACCTCCCCCCTCAGACATCCGCAGAAGTCATCTCAGAGGCACGAGCCCTCTTCTCGCGCATCCTCGAGGACACGCCCTTCGCCCCCTCCTCCCAAGGAGAACCCGGCGTCCGCGACCTCGGCGCAGACTACTCCCCCGTCCCGCGCAAGTTCGCCAGTGTGCAGCTGAGCGCGCCGCTCCTGAACGCGTACATGGCCGTGTTCTACCAGCACGCGAACGTGCACGTCGCGCAGGACACGTTCCGCGCGCTGTGGGGCGAGCCCGCGGCGCATGCGTCGTCCCGGCAGGGGCTGAGAGTGTCCCGGGACGCGTACACGTACCTCGACGCGCTCGAGTGGGCGGCGAACATGCGCCGGTCGAAGCGCGAGGAGCGCAGAGCTGCGTGTGCGTTTGCGGAGAAGCTGTGGGAGGGGTGGAGGGAGATGGAGGCTTCGAATGTGGGCGGCGGCGGTGCGGGCGTTGGTAAGGGCAAGTGCTCGGCGCGGGTGGTGGAGAAGGTGTACGCGGCCCTGATTCGCGTTCTCGCTCTGTGCGTTTTCTCTTCATACGCATAATATGTGGCTTTGTGGTCGTGAGTGCTAACACTTCAGGCAACGTATGTAGGAACAACGAACTTGACACCGCCGTATCCATCCTCCGGACCTTCGTCGCAAGATACCCCGCCTCAAACGTCCGCCTGCCCCGCGGCATTCCCATTTCCGCCTCCCCATCATCATCCACCTTCCCCTCTCCCTCCCCCTCCACGCCCACCATCATGGTCAAACCCCCAATGCTCAGCACCCGCACGTCCCTCACCGCCGCGCAGCGCCCACTCGTGCGGATGAGCACGCCGTCGACGATCGGCGACGACACCGTCCCGCCGCTGCTCACGTTCCGCGACCTCGAGCTGCTGCACCACCGCCTCATGGCGGCCGGGCGCCGCGCGGACGTGCGCTACGTGACGGGTGTGACAAAGACGTACGAGGGCGCGCTGAAGAGGCGCAGGGACGCGTGGATGAAGGCGGAGCCGGAGAGGGCTTCCGTGGGTCGTGGTCAAGAAGAGGTGGAGGCGGAGGCAGAGGTGAATGAGAGCGGCGAGAGGGAGGATGTCGAGTTGTGATGCGGGTGGGTGACGGCGAGTTGTGCTGCTTATGTTAGAGATTAATAATAATGTTTATAGAATTGCGCCCATTTGATTCAGCGACACTTTTACGAACGTCAAAAGCGATGATGTTCTTGTCAGAAGGCAAGTCAAGGTGAATTAACCTGCTTGCCAATGGACGATGCGGTACATTGTTTACGAGTATAATGACAAAGCACTGGTACAAGGGTGAACTTTTCATCTTTCAGGGGTCGAATCGACACCAACGTCGTCCTCGACACCGACATTCTCGACATATCTTTCGATGTTCTCATCCGCTGTTCCCTCCCAACTCATAGTCTCCCTCTGCCATGTCTTCCAACTGGGCATCGTACGTTGAAACGCCATCAATGTCTGAACCAGGTCAGGGCCAAGCGGCGCGATGAGAAACTGAGAACCAGAGGGAGGCGCATCCGCGGACGACGACGCTCGCGCGTTCATAGGCTGTACCGACTCCTGAGCGCCACTTAGTGGGCGTACGCTACCCCAGAAAGGATCGGGCCTCGGCGCTGTGCGGTTGAAAGTGAACGGCTCTTCGTCTCCCTTGCTCACCACACATTTGTCGACCATTCACTTTTGCCACTCATATGTTATCTCCACGCCGGGCGTGGGTTGGTAGAAATTCCTTCCGCGGACAGAACATTCGTGGACGAGGAGTAGGAGCGGAAGCGGCGAGCGCTTGTCTTCTGAATCAAGAGCGACGGCCTTGCCATGGAGCTGTTGAAGAGATGAAGATGTGTCGTAGCTGTCGTAGTAGACAAAGATATACTTCTGGACCTGGACATCGTGAGATATGGGTAGCACAACGGCAGAGAGAGACTTACTCTGGGCTCAAAGCGAATGCAAACTGCGCAGAGTCGACGAATGGCTTGTAGTGATTTAAACACAATGTTAAACCATTGCGGGGTTCGTGCGCTGGCGATGCTTTGACGCTCTCTGGAATCCACCCCAAGCGTCTGAGCAACGCCCACTAGAATCAAAGATACAAGATTAGCCTCGTGCGCTAGATATAATGCGTATGGACAAACCGTCATATCGTCCGAACGAGCAACAATGTGACAATGCTTGCAGCGTTACTGTATCCGTTTGCCCACAGATCACACACATTTGGCGCCCCAGGAACTTGTCTCGGTCATCCAGGGCCTCTTAAAACGCTGTCGTGGAAGAGCGCTCCGACCCTGTCTCGACAGAGCGAAAAAGCTCTGCGGGTGGGTTTGGAGAGGTATATGGGAGAGGATACAGGTTCAGTGGGGACATGGACGATCGAGAGCAGGTTGCAATGTCAAATAGGGGCTTCCACTCACTAGGGGCATTAGTCGATGTTTCAATAGAAAACTTGTCAAATCACTTTAAATGTTTTGCTCAACGCTCCAAATGAGGAAGCTGAGCTGCCCAATTAGGAAGGTGTACCAGAGACATTTTGAATGTTTTCTACAAAAACATGGGCGATTGCCCCCAATGACTGCAGAAAGTTGAAACCGCGACTGTGACCTCACCTGGCTCTTACCAAGTTCTAGAACGAACCTTTGACATTTTGACAGTCTTTGACGCCTTGACAGTGATGGCGACCGTTCTGCGGGAGTCAAACTTGAAGATTACGGACGGACATCGCCGTACATTCAGGCCTCGTGATTGGGTGGATGGATGATGGAGACAGCGACGGCATGTGTTCCCATCATCAAGCTTTTCGTCCCGATGGCGCATAGCGCCCTTCAACGCCTCGGCTTCTCTCGCCGAGGGACAAGCTGGCCAGGATCTGTCTTTCCCTGCTATTTCCCGCCAGATCAGGACTGTCCTTGGTCTTTAGGAGGTGGTCATGCTCTATGATGAGCAGAAATAGACGCGGCCCCCTCAGACATGTCCATGCGCCATGGAGTTCATGAGTGCGATATAGTGCGATGGATGGAATGATAGCGAGCCTGGTGTCTCGTGGTCTCCTCGTGGCATTCGCAAGGCCGGGCTAATTGCCCGAGATATTCGCTTCGCTGGCATAATAAAAGCTGGACGTCAAGAATCGATGGAGGCAAAAGAGCCTCATGCGCCCCTCACTTGTCGTCGGAGCCTTCGCGCTGCTGCAAGGCGTCGCTGCTCAGTGGGCGATTTGGGACCTTGTCCGTACTTTCCCCATTTGGTTTTCAGTGACATAAGTTGTTGACTCGCCTTCACAGTGGACCACAACATACGACCAGAGCAGCCTACTCACCTATTCCCAGCCTCCTAATGGGATTCAATTCACTTCACCCGGTGCAACAGGCGACGTCGATATCCAGGTCGATGACTCGTCCGTCTACCAGACCATCTATGGTTTCGGTGCCGCTCTGAGTGAGTGCGACCCATATTCTGTGATCTAGTCGAGTGCTCACTTGACGTCACATCAGCCGACTCATCTGCGCTTGTGCTCAGTGGGCTGAAGAGTACGAGCCCTACCAAATACTGGCAGCTCATGGACTACTTGTTCAACAGTCAGTACTGATCCTACACCTATGATAGCACGCCACTGACGTGGTTGCTTATAGTCACCGACGGAGCCAACTCTGGTGCTTTCTCTTATATCCGTGTCCCTCTCGGGGCATCGGATTTCTCGGCGAAAGGTAAATCAACGATGATGCTTCCGATGCGTGCTGCGCCCGGACTTAAGCTCGGAAGACCGCTGACATGTGCGACATAGCCTATACCTACGATGACACTACCAACAACACCGCCGATCCCAACCTGACTCACTTCAACATTAGCGTGGCTCCGTCGTACTTGTTCTCTACCCTCACCGACATCTTGACGGTCAACCCTCAACTACGAGTCCATGTCGTCCCATGGTCGCCTCCCGCGTGGATGAAGAACGGGACGATGGACGGCGGGTATATCCAACCTCAATATTATAACGCCCGTAAGCGTCAGTTGACTGACGTCTGAAACATCGTTAAAATGCATGGGAATAGTGGCCAACTACTTGTTGAAATCCCTCCAAGGTTTCAAGACAAAGGGTATCCCGATCTTCGCTATCAGCATACAGGTGACGTCATTCCACTCATTCACCTTGCTGCCCTCTACTCACCATCCGCCGGCACTTGCATGTAGAACGAACCTCAGTACACCAATCCTACCATCCCGACTACCAACGTGACTGCTCCAGCCGAGGCGGCCATCGGCAAGCTGCTCCGGCCTTTGATGAACAGCAACGGGTTCGCGGACACAAAGCTTATCGGATACGACCATAACTGGGACAACGCGGCTACCTATCCCGTGCAGCTGGTAAGTTCGCGTCGACGGTGTTTACCAAAGCAGGATCGTCATATCTTTGATTGCGGTACAGATGCAGCAAGCCGGAAGCTCGTTTGACGGTGTTTCGTTCCATTGCTACAAAGGCTGGGTCGAAGAGCAGGCTTATTTCACGGAAAAGTTCCCGGACAAGGTACGTCCCTTGGCTCCCGTTGGCAAGCGAGGTCGATCTCATACGGTACTTATGGCTCGTAGGAGGTGTACTTTACCGAGTGCTCGGGCACGTTCGGCTCGGACTGGTGGAGCGACATCAAGGCAAGTGCAAGAATAGCGTACATGACCGCGGTCGTCCACCGGCGCTCTTACTAACTTGTTGCCCGTCGTCCCCGCAGGACTGGATGGACAACATCATGATCGGCTCAGTTACGTACGGCGCCTCGTCCGGACTCATGTGGAACTTGGCCTTGGACCCCGAAGGCCATCCTAAGCTGCCTGACGCAGCCAGCTGTGGTGGGCCAGGCTGTCGAGGCGTCGTCACGGTCACCAACACCACTTGGTCCGTGAACCAGGAATGTGCGTGAACAAAGTGATTTTTATCCTGCGTCTCGACCTAATCTCTGGTACACATCCGACAGTCTACTCACTGGCGCAAGCAGCAAAGGCCATCATCCCCAGAGATTCCAACGGGCCATGGGGCCAGCGGATCGGGGTCAACGTCACCGGTACCGGGCTCACCGTCGGAGCATACGTAACGGGCCGCGCTTCCTCGAGCGACTGGAACCGGTACTCTCTGGTCGTCCTTAACGAGTTGAGTCGCGTATCCCCGCCCATCACCATGATGCGACGTCGGAGGTTGCGAGCGCTGGGCTGATTTGCATTCGTGATCTGTAGGAACGACGACTCGGATAACGGCGGCTGGAACCCGCAAGCCGTCGATGCGACGATTGAGTTCAGAGGGACGCAGGTGCGTCCTCGGTTTGATCCTCTGATATCTGACGCGGTATGCTCATTAACACCGGAATGAATCCAGGCAACGTACACGTTCCCTGTTGGCGTGACCACATTGTGGTGGTACGCACCTGCACAGTAACGCATGCACAGTACGGACACTCTTTGGACAATTTTAGGTTATGTGACGTGATATATCGGACTCCAAGCTATTGATAATTGTAGAGGACATGTTAGTTTGTATCCTTCATTATTCTCGCCCGGGACTTTCATTTATCTGCTTATCTCGAATACCCATACCGTATACTGACCCGTACGCGCTATAACTACAACTTCAAGGATAGTAGTTCGTATTTTTACACCTGCTCTACTAGTGGACGGACAAGCTAGCACCGTTCTTTAAACACTCGTTCAAAGTACATAGTACCCAACGGACATGACCGTTCTCCCGCCATGGCCGTCGAATTTTAGGCTTCTGCTCAAGAGAGAGAGGTTTCTGTATTGATACCCCGCGTCAAACGCGTGGTCACGTTAAGTAGCGGCCATGTACTAGTGGTGTAAGGTAGTCTAGGTGTGGTGTGTAGGTGCTGCGAGGTAGATGAATGCAGTATAGGCTAGATATCTACGTTGATATGGTGTGCTGTGGTATTGGCGTTCCGGCCGGTCGTCTAGTGCCAGGGCCGTAGTATCGTATTACGGTGCGAAGAGAGGGGGATATGTACTGCGATAATTAGCGAGAGAAAGATAGCGAAAAGTAATTTATATTTAAAAAAAGAGAAATGAAATATGGGATATGCAGGAGCCAGTATACGCTCGCCTGTGTGGTCTACTGTGTAGCTGAGCGGGACTGGTATCGGGCGTCGCAAGGGCAGGATCTCGACTCCGAGTGGACGAAGTCGGAGGCGTAGTACTCCGAGCCGGCGAAACAGTGTCCCGTGCGCGCCTGCATCATCCGTCTGTAGATCTCGCGGTCGGTTTCGATGAAGTGGTGTCGAGGCTTGAGGGTGGGTGGGCTTGTATTCTTTAGAATAGCGCGCTCGAACTAGCACCTGCACGGGTATGCAGAGAGAAGTCGCTCATATAGTTGGGTTTGAGTAATGCGCCGCCCATGACACGCCACTCTAGACGACATGCGGATGATCACTGTCCTCTTATCACAATTTCAATCACAACATCAAGAGGCGATCAATGTCTATTGAAGATGCGGAGATAAATGAACAGATGCGCTATATAATACAGATGGAATACTACAACGGAATCGGCTGGAGGTCGGCGCGTTCACCACCCAACAGATCCCGCAATGACAGATCCTTGGACGCCCCACATGACGCCCAAACCGAACACTATCCAGCCTATAACAACAACGATAATACCAAACCACATCGCCGCCTGGCGGCCCCAATCCGACACCTTTGTCGGCTCAGGGCCCTTGAGGACCCTCGCCTTCTCTGCTCTCGTAAGTTCCGCATCAGCGCCGTGCTCGGAGAGCGCATGCGCGACGCCGCCCCGGGGCGACGCAGCGAGCATCTCCCAGAGCCTGTTGGTCTCATCGCAGTGATTCTTCGGCCGGACCTGCGAGAGCCTCGCAGCGGGCAGATAGCGCATGCCCCAGTCCGTGTAGCAGCTAATCAGAAGGAAGCCTGAGATCGCCACACTGACGCCTCCGTATACGGCCCAGAGCGTAACCGCACCGGCCAGAGACTCGTGATTGGCCGAGTCGTCTTGGATCTTCCCAGCTGCGGTGGTGATGATGACGATCGAACCCTGCACGACGGATTCTGCGGACGGAAGTAACGTTAATCCAGGTTTCGCACGAACATGAAGCGGTACGTACTCTTGACAGCGAAACTGTGACGACCCCACATGCTGGTTAGCGAGTACCGCTGCGGTCGTCGTATAAAGTACTCACGCGGTAGCATACCAAGAAGGATCAGGAATGATATTTCGAACAATCTCCACCTGTGGCGCAGGCGTGACCGTCTGATTTGAACAGATAATTCAGTAACCTCGCATCAGAACAGTCAAATGAAATCAGACGTACTTGAGCCAAAGCGTATAGAATGTAGGCAAAGACTGGTGTTACAGGAACATCAGAGGCGTTGACGTAAGATAGGACCAGATGCACTCACTGAACGGGGGGACTGTGGTCGACAGACGCAGAACCAGCATGGATACGAGGTAGATGACGCCAGACACGAATACTACGTAGATCGGGTTGAGAACGTCAGAAACTCGACGCATTGATGGCTGCAAGACGTACACCAGGTCATTCGTTGACCATATCGATCAATATAGAGTCCAAGTAGAGGCGTCAACCCCACGGGAAGGAGGAGGTACATGCTCGAAACCCATCCACCAATCACCGCGCCCTTCTGCAGGCGTTGCTGGGTAAATTGTCTGCGAATCGGGTGAGAAGGAGCAAATATCAGAGTGGTAAAAAAGTCTTCCTACGTTGAGATCGAGACAAAGGACTGCACGCCCGCGTTCTCGAAGACGGCGAATACGACGACGAGCCAGAACGTCAGCGGCAGGCGGCGCACAACCGATAGCTGGAAAGTCGTGCGTTTGCGCCTTCCCTCTGCCTCCGCTTGGGCCTTTCCGGAGTGATCCAAGACAATATAATGCTTGCGCAAATACTTGTCGATGATCCAGACACCACAAGCACAGATCATCGAGATCAAGCTGACGACAGCACTGATCCAGAGGGGCCAAGCGTAGGAGCCAAGGTTCGTGGCAATGATATTAGCAGTTGCCTGCCCAACGAATTGAGCCAGGTTCGCCATGGCCCTACACTCATGCATTAGACTCAAAGGGTACGTTGGCCCAAGCTTGGCCTAGCTGAATGCTCACCAGATGATACCTATGACAAGGGACAGATCAGCACGTCATGTTGCGCACGTAAAAGCGGGCGACGTACCAATTGAGAACGCATACCCGTGACCGGGAGCGAAGTACGTGGTAAAAATACGGTGCTGTGCGTTGTCGAGGGAGCCGTCGCCAATTGCCGCAATGACTTTTCCCGCGATAAGCATAGCGTAGCTATCCTCGCCGTTGGTCGCGCTTCCGGCCTGGACGAGGGATCCCACCAAATGAAAGCCGGCCAACCATACGGAAAGAACGGGACCGCCGAACCTGTCGATGACGAAACCGATCGCTATACAAAGGATAGTGTTCATCTGCGAATTTTCCCGCGTGATAAGAAGCACGTTTGAGGACTAAAACAAATAGGAACAGCTTACGAGATTCGTCACAGCAACCTGTGGGCGCCAGAGTCGTGAGTAAGGGCGGACAGACCGAGCCAAGGGTACTCACCAAAGTTGCAAACTGCGAGTTGTTGATGTGTACATCCGTCTCAATGGTTGTCTTGAGTGCTCTAGTACCGTTAAGATTAGTGGCGAGGTGGGGTATGGATCCGTTCCGTTCTTACACGATGAGACCCTACGGGAGACGCCATTAGTTAGGAACGATACTGAGCTACTACATGATAACTCACGTTTGACCAGTGGTTTCCAACTGTAGCATGCAACGGTGAGCATTGGACCAGGCGCATTTGATAGTCCCAACTTACATGTACACATGCATGTCAGGAAAACCATAACAACCTGCCATGGTATAGGAAGCTTCTTCTTCTTGGCTTCCTCACAGGGGCACGGAGATTCGGAGAACTCCTTCGGTGAAGGAGGCAAGCTGTCCGATATGCCAGACTTCTCCTGAAGTCGGTCGACGTAGATCTCCTCGATAGCAGCAGCAGAGCGGTCCTGAGGGCAAGGCATAGTATGGAAGGTATGGAGCGACACTTCTCCGCTGGATGAGGCATCACGCAGCGCTCGCCTTTAAGCATTGTGCATGGGCATAAGAATAGAGCAATGAGGGGGCGAGGATTTGCATGAGGGAGCCGACGACACCATGAGAGTGGCACAGAGAATGGGTTCCTGCTCGCTAATAAAAAAAAATGGGGGCGGCCAAAGTCCATGGGGGAAGGAGGGAAACCAAAGTAACGGAACGCTGACGGAAGAGCACAGATGATGCCTTCGCCAAGGTGCGGCCCATGATGCGCGTTACGTTTGGTGCGTGTTCTATGTAGAGTGCCAATACTTTCCTTTCTGGAAGTGCGAAGGAGGAGCGGGACGCGGTATGGCGTATTCATAGTAGAGGGCGTCTCCGAGCTTAAGTTGTGACGTTACGGCAACTACGCCAGGAATTGCAAGAGAACACCAAACGATCGGCATATCGTCCGGTCAAGATGCGCGCGTGAACATGGGGCCGAGAAGGCACAGTCCCTGCGCATGCTTCAATCAGTGCGGCCTCCCCTGATATGGCTATCAGATACCGAGACTATATAATCTGATAAGTTATTCTTAGTAGCCGAATTGATGGACCCTTCCACTACGTAGCTCGCTCACCTCGTTCGGGCTTCCCCGTCCCAGGATGACCAAAGCGCTAGTCGCCACCTAGAGTTTCAGACCAGACAACTGGTAATGGGGCGCGTCGTATGATAAACACAGTTAGATACCAGCTCCAGCGCAACGGTGAGCCAACGATGTCACGTTTAATAACGCGACCTTGTCGGAGGTGTTTCCAGCCGACAGCCGCAGATCTCTGATCAGCAAGCCACGTTCAAGGCCCCTTTCAAGGTGATACAGTGAAGGTCCTAACCGTTGAAAGTTCGTTCACCAGATCAACTCAGTCAATTTTGCGCCTTGAAATGTGTCGTCAGTGAGTAGGCATGCATGACGCAAGCGGCGTGATTCTCCAGGCTCGACAAATGTGAAACCGAACGAAGCAAACAACCTAAGGTTCGATGACTCCACCTTGATCATACGGGCGAGAGCTTCGGGGCTACTGCGCAAAGAAGACGCAAGAGGACATATCCAAATTGGTGCAGCAATGTGGTCTGTGGTTGTTGGTAGTCTCCTGATCAATACTTACTTACTATGACCGATACTAACCTGCAACAAGCGCGAACGACGGATTCAATAGAAAAAGGGTTTGCGGAAATCAAGCCACCAACCCGTTCCAACGGTTCGGCAGCGGGCGCCTCTTTAGAAAAAGCCGTTCCACAACCGAAACATTTGTATGTGCGCCACCAAACAGTGGCACATGAGTCTGGCCCGAGCGCATTTACGCTCGCGTAACAACCGCCGACGGTTGTGCGATGGTGGAAGAAGGCGCGCTCGAGTATACCTCACGATGCCCAGGGATTTGTTGCGAGACATCCTATTTGCCTGGATCACAGTTTACTAGCTGGCCCGGTAAAATCATTGATCATTGACGCTGCTTTTGCTATCATGAAAGAATGAGATTATCGTACCTTCCATCGCACACATCACCGGCAATATCCCCCACATGCACGTCGTTCTATTCAAGAACGTGTGCGTCTGTAGGGGCCTACAACAGGTGGCTCTCGGGCGTCCGATCCCGCATGACCGCTGATATCTAATTAGTGTCAAATAAGGGGCCGAGCAGCTCTTCTTCTCGAGAACGACCTCTCGCGCCCCGATGCCCCACTTACGAAGGGGGTTCATACATATTGATTGGCAAAAAAAGAGAGATTGGGCTTTGTTGAAGGCGGTAATCTTGGGAGAAGGGTGCTGTCTAAAACGCCCGTTATTAAGCTTCTCGACTTCGCTCACTCAAGAAACATCGTACCTCGAAGGGCTTGACTCTCCATTACGCATAATAAGTAACAAGAGCGCATTTCGAGGGCTCCGCAATATGCATATATGCTGGCCGGCTGGCTCTGCATTGCAGTGTCAAACTTACACTCGACCATTGTCGTGCGCTGAGCCATGCGGCTGCGGCAATCACCATGTCTGACAAGAAGTGTATATTTAGGACGCCTGCAACGTTCGTTATTATTGAAGTGATGCTTTCTATCAATAAGTACGGTAAGAACCACGCACCTCATCGCCGCGCCTGCAGAGGAGAAAGATTTCGAATAGCGTACATCGGTAGAGGCTCTGCTCTGGGACAATTCCTCGGCGAGATGACATACCGGCAGCCTTGCTGTGGGTAAGTCGAGAGACTGCAAACGTTGTTATGGCTGAGAAAACTATGGTTTGCGTTTCGAAGTGGAACATACAATATGGTCGTCTAAGGGCAGAAGTGCTCACAGGAACGTTGACATAAACTTCGGGAGACTGTAAACGTTCCGAAATTGCTCCAAGCCGAGAATTAGAGTGTATATAATCTTGAGTGGTTTAGACTATTTTGGAGTCGGAATGCTGTTACTGAATGGTGTGTCGAGAGCGAAAACTTACACTGATAAATGTCATACCATCTCTGATACGCCAACTACTATGAGGATGTTTGACCTTCAAGGGCCCTTCATCGGCAGGCCCTTATTCGCCGCGGCAGAGCGTCATCCAGGGCGTGAACGACGAAGTGCGGCGCCGACGGCGTCTTGAGTCAACGTCGGCCCTCATTTAGCCATCAGAAGGACATCGAGCTTATAATATAGCAGCATCGATGACGAAGAAGGCCTCTGGAAGCCCAGCCGAGTCGAAGCTCTTCGGGACGACGGGGCGCCTGTCCGAGGGTTTGTGAAGGATAAGCTATTCTTCCGCGCCTGGGAGGCCGATGCGCGAGATGCGAGCATAGCTTCAGAGACTTGGTCGGGTGCGACAGCCAACGCGCCTATCTTTATATCAGTGAAAGAGAAGAAAGGATGTCGTGGGGACGCTGACGGAATGCGTGCTTGGTATATGCGCATACATATATATGTCGAGACGCCGTTGCGGAGGGATATGTGTTTTGTCGGATAACATACCGCTAGTGCCGAATGATCGCTGTTTCTAGCCGATTATGACAGAACAACGTTCAAGCCTAAGAGGGGACTAGGAATTGGATTTCCTGGATGAGCAGAGGCAGCTGATAGACGTCTATGCCGTCATCGCCGTTATCACCTGAAGTGAACGTGGGCAGCATCCTCGGAAAACTCCAGCGTGAGAGCAAGAGAGTGAGGGAGCGCATGAGGAAAAGTTATGTTTACCATCAGAAGCCCCCACGAAAATGTAAGCGTGCACTCCTTCAGGCGTACCTGAGTTTGAACACTAGACTGCGGACTAGAGCTTGAAGACAGGCACAGATGAGAGCGCCCACACTTGCCTACACTATCAGCCCCGAGTGTTCTGTTGTTACATGAAACAACCGTTGCCACCGGACCGCTCCTGCCGACAGAGCACGCGCACTGCCTGTCGGGTGCCTAGGACCTACACCATAGTAGAGGGGTGGAAGAAACCCATCGGACGGGTAAGTTCAGACCTACAACAAGCTTGGATAAATGAAGACATACCGATACGCCAACTACGACACCGTCACAATGGGGGCGCCACCAGCGAATTAATCTGTACTAGGAAGGTTGTGTGAAGCAGCTGATCAGTGCCAGCGCTATGTCCTTTGTACATAAGGTGTACATATATTGCCGGAAGGAAGGCTGGGGTAAAGGAGCCGACTGTGTACGCAGTTATTGATATTTTTGTGTTGCGGCTTCCGAGAACTCCAAATTGTGCCCGCGGCATGCTGGTACGAACATAGTAGCGCCTTGACGGCACCTTAGAGGCGCATGGCAAGCTAAGTTGGGCGATCGACTGGTGAACGCGACACTTTGGTCAATCGTAAGGGGTCAAATGGACGTTTTGGCACGCATATATGCAGACACAGCAAAGTTGTGTCAGTGTCTGTTTCGATGAAGCATGGTGTGTGCCGTAGTGAGAGTGAGAAGCAAAGCTGCAACTAAGCAGCTCCCAAAACGACATGTCAGACGGGAACGCCCGACGATCGGAGTTTGGACCCCACTAAATCCTAGAACTTACCGAAACATATGGTATCACATAACTTCCCGCTCATGCACGCGGAGTTCTAACAGGCCGAATCTACCCACTGAGGACTACTCCCATCTGGCAGAGAGAGCATAAATACACCATAATTGACTCTTGTAAGTCCAAACGGCGACATTTCTAGAATACTGTATCCATCGTCCGAGGAGGTAAAGCAAGGTTGAGCAACGGAATGAGCCACAGATACGGGAGCACCCTACTTCAAAGTTCGCGGTACAGACCCCATCCGCAGTATTTGTTTTCCTGAGAGATTCAGGACGAGGAACATTCAGGCGGGGACCTCACCACTTGCCAAGCTGAAACTTGGCAGGCTGGCCCGGTTCTGCTGGATCCTGGACTTCAACCACGCTTCGGCACCGGAATGAAACTGGGTCAATATAATCTCGAGTTAGAGCAGCTGGTACCTTGATGCATCGTGTCTTAGGGTGCCCTGGGTCATTGATCCATTGGCTCGGAAAGTCGGATATAGTACTGTAGAGTTGCTCAAACGTTCTTTCGCACTCCGCGTTGTGGCTAGCAATAGCTTGGGCTTGGAAAGTCTAAGTGGATGAATGCGGTAGAAAAAATAGGCCGTCTTCCAGACTTCTACGGGTCCGCAGGTTTCACGTACGCGCACAGTAGGAATGACAATGCATCATTTACTGAATTGTACAGGTTGAGCACCATTCTGAACCTAGTTCATCCAGGATAATGTATTCATTCAGATCCTCTGCTTCACACTTACCTACTTCTGTCAGATGGCACGATAGGTGTCGAACAATGTTGTGTCAAATTTAAGTGGTGCTTGAGTCGACGCTGTCAACGATGTCGATGAAAGCGGAAGGGAGAGATAGGGGGATTTCCCTAGAGTGGTAAGTTTTCGCACGGGGAGAAGGACGTGCTCACCATCGGGTAGACACCGTTCTGGAGTGTAAGATCGATCCAAGCAAGGTCTTAGCGGACAGCCTCGACGATGAGCGACACTTCCTTGAGCCGACAATCGTCCAACACGGACCTCTCCGCCTCCCTGCCCAGCCCAGCCATTGCAGGCCGGATGGGCACCCCGACGCTGCCAGGCAGTCCTCATCCGAACAATGTCAGCGTCAACAACGCAGGTGCCCAACAAGGGCGTTCCCCTTATCTTCACCCGTCACACCAAGCAACAGCGTCCACGTCTACCTTTGCACAGCCCCAGACAGCTCCTCCTCCCGCTCCCTCTGTGCAAATCCCCCAGATGCCAATGCCTACTGGATCCATGCCTGGCACGCCCCGGTCGGCGGCCAGGAAGCCATCCAGTCTGCGACATGCCTCCGACAGACCCGACAGAACTGAGCGGGAGCGTGAAAGGGGCGAACGGGGCGAGACCGCCTCGGGAAAAGAGAGGGAGAGGGATCGAGAACGGGACCAATCACGCCGCACGCCCTCGGACGCGATCTCGCTCCGGAACCGTGCGTCCTCGCCTAACTCACGCAAGGAGAAGGAAAGAGAGCGGACGAAACGACGGACGAGCGCCTCTCCCCGCCGACGCTTAGAGCCGCGCCTCCCGAACGACTACAAGGCAGTTCCCGTGCCCGCGACGAACATGTACTGGTCCCGCGCGCCCACGCACGGCCTCCTCCCATCACGCCCGACGCGCGCACACACCGCAACGCTCGTGGACAGCACGGTGTGGCTGTTCGGCGGGTGTGATGAGCGTGGGTGCTGCGCAGACGTGTGGACATTCGACACGGATTCGTTCTTGTTTTCCAGACCGGACACACAGGGTGACCCGCCGCCGCCTTGCCGCGCGCACTCGGCGACGCTGGTGGACCGCAAGATTGTTTTCTTCGGAGGTGGGCAGGGACCTGTGTACTACAACGCGACGTGGATTTTGGATACGACGACTCACCGCTGGATCAAGCCGACGTTCATCATCCCGGAGGGAAAGGACCCGGAAGACTACACACCTGCGCCAAGGCGCGCGCATACAGCTGTGCTGTATGACAATAAGATATGGGTGTTTGGAGGGGGAAACGGGCTGCAGGCCCTGGCTGACCTCTGGGCGCTGGACGTCTCTGGTTCTGTCGACAAGCTCAAATGGGAAAAAGTTGAGACGGGAGGCGATGAAAAGCCGAGCCCAAGAGGGTATCACACCGCCAACCTCGTAGGTGACATTATGGTCGTTATCGGCGGGAGTGATGGCAAGGAGTGTTTCTCGGACGTCTGGTGCCTCAATCTCCGTGCGTATACTTGATTTTCTTCCGTTGTAGCCGAAGCTCAACGTCTCTCAGGCACGATGTGGTGGACACGGGTTGATTCCTTGACCAAAGCACCTTCGTATCGCCGGCTCTCGCACACCTCCACACAAGTTGGATCCTACCTCTTCGTCATCGGTGGGCACGACGGTAGCTCGTACAGCTCGGACGTTCTTCTGTATAACCTTGGTGAGTGCCGCCCGTATCTCACTATACTGCGTATCAACGGCAATTCCTTACACCCTTCAGTTTCCCTGCAGTACGAACCCCGCGTCATCCGCGGCAGACCGCCGACAGCTCGGGGCTACCATGTTGCTCTCATCGCAGACAGTCGTCTGTTCACTTTTGGAGGCGTAAGTCCTTGGTCACCCCGCTATTTTCCTGCTGGAATTTATTGACATTGACCTTGCAGTTCAATGGCCATGACGTTTTCGACGACGTGCATATTCTGGAGCTTGCAGGGGCCGCATATCTCCCGCAGGTTATGAGCTTCGCGATTCCAATCTAATTCTAATACCTGGTTTGTTCCAAGGAGCGTTGTCTCCGCTGTCTAAACTGAAATCCTGATGTACTTACACTAAACGCACTGCAAGCAGTCCCCTCGGAATCACCTTACTTTTCTCACATCGCATTCTAATTTCGAAGCTACTTAGACAACTTTCTTCATATTAAGCCCCTGCTACATATACCGTACTTACTTGCTTCGTCTAGGCGACAGGTCGCATCTTTCTCGTCCCTTGGGTTATACAGACTGCTGGGCCACTTTGGTTGTCTAGGCAGCTAGCAGTAGTACGATAATGCCTCCTTCACTTGGAACCAGTATAATTTGTCCTATCATTTGCAAACGCCATAGCGCAGGTTGGACCATGGAGCATCGCAAATGATAGGCGCTTTCACTCCCAGGAGCGCAAGAGAATCATGTACATCAATAGACACTGACAATGCGATCCATGGATTCTATACCGCCTCCGTCAATGATAGCGATTCTGCGTCCCGCTCGCGGAACCGCATCGTAGTCACGTTTGACTGCGCGTCCTCCGTCTGCTCTCCGGACTGTGAGCACACGTATGACACTGCGTGATGCTTCCGGAGGCTGAGCACGAGGTACGGCCCGATCATGCACACGAGGAAGCCCTGCATGAACGCGACGGCGCTTTCGAAGACGGTTGCGGACACCGTTATCTACATCGACAGGAATCGGTAAGTCACCTCCGAATAAATAGGAGGGGATGGAGAAATTCGCGTACCCCTTGCACAGCCGGAGACGGATCGAGTGTGGCTGCCTTAATCCCATCAAATACAAAGATCAGCACAAAGTACAGAATGTTATCCCTGATCACGACCGCCAGCAGATTCTTGAAGAGTGCCGTCCACGAGCTTGATTCGGCGCTCGCGCTCATCTTCAGGTTGCGCCTGTCGTTACGAACGAGCTCTAGATGAAGCCAGATTCGGTGCAGCGCCATGGAGACCATGACGACCTCAAAGACGGCGACGGCAATGCAATTGGTCAGGTTCATCCAGACGAACATCGGCGCCGAGTCGGAGATGTTGCATTCATACACGCCACCGAGGCTGAGATCGATACCTTCCCGCCAAACCAGTCAGCTGTAAGCTGACGCGGCCGCCATCCGCAAGGTTGAGAGGGGTGAGGGAAGGGACGTACTGGAAATATTGTCCTTCATCGCATACAAAACCGAAATGGTGGTCACGATGGTGATTTGTTCGAGGATGAAGAGGCCCAAGAGGATATAGAGCACAGTCTGCGAGCGATTATATAATGCATGGATTCTGATGATTGAAATTGCTGTAGCTCGTTGAGCATCGAAAGTATGTCGGTATTGAACGGGAGCTTACCTTGAAGAGCGGCAATAACAAATAGACCGACAACTTGATAGGCCAGATAAAGCCGGAGACCTAGGACAGACGTTCATTGGATAAGGACGTAGTGGGCTATGGCAACGATGGTTGGCTTACACCTTGAGACGTTGCCCACACCAGGGATCAGCAAAAGGCACTTTCCATTGGTCAATCCTACCTCTGCACAGAGTCAACCAATTAACCAGTGCAGTCAAGGAAAAACGCACTTCACCGGTCATCTCCATGGAAAAACTGAGCACTAAGATCTTTTGTGAGCATCGATGAATCACTCTGGATAGTGTACTACCCAATCAAGTGGCTTACACATTGATGCCCTGCCTCACCACTGATCAGCAAACTAGCACGGATCTTGATAGGAGAATAAAAGTACACACACGACTGCGAACATCCCAAAATAACAGACCTATCAGCGGGGGCGAGCGTGAGCGAGCAATAGCGGTGCAAGCAGGAAAGCACTCACTATGATGTACAACGCGGTCGTCAACGACCACTTCCGTTTCTACTTGGGACGCTGAAGTGTGAGCACCGGCAGCTAGGGGTACAAGCGCGAACTTGCCCATATACATTCGACCTAAAACAAATATGAGGAATATAGCTCCACAAGGCAGAAATTACCATTGGTTAACTCACTTCCTGATCCAATCTGAGGACTATATATAGGAGTGCAGATGGTGAGCACAAGCTGGCCCCGCCAAGGTGAACGAGAATCCCATGTTGGACTTACAGTAATCATACACGACCAGCGTGAGGAGCGCAACTGTAACAGAGACAGTGAGGGACATGTCTACCTGCACGAAAGGGAGTCCATACCGTGACTATAGCTTTCGATGTTCTCCGACCAGATGGCTTGCCATGCCTCGGGCCACTGGCCCGGCATCGTGAAGACGAGGAGACGGGAGGAAAATCGAGCTTACATATATATGAGTCCTGAGGGTAACTCAAGCGCCAGTTTGCCTCCTGCTTTGGACTCCGCGCATGAATCGCCGAGGAGGACCGATGCACACAGCCGTGAACGAGATTTTCTCATGAAGAGCGGTGTAGGTACAGATGCCCGAGTGCGCGCCCGACAACGATCAGTTCCGAGCCTTGGTGGTAGCCTCTAGAGTCCTTCCAAGTACAGACTACCCAAAGAACCAAATTACTGAGATTTGGGCGTCGGCGAGCCAGAAGGACACCGGGAAGAGCAGTTGACTGGAGTATATGCGCGATAGGTCAGTCCTGTATTCGGGGTAACCTTTAACAGATAAAAAGCAGCTGCATCTGATCGCTGAAGCATTGATTTTTGCTATAAAGCACCCACATTTTCTTCATTCTCGCTTTATACGACCCCAGCAAAGGCCATGGAACATTTGTCTGGGCGTCTGGACCACGGAAGGGGGGGAAGAAGCCACCGGAAGAGGCCGAGGAGGATGTTGAAGTTATGAACTGTATCGTGTTGGAGAACATGATATGATACCGCCCTAGCTCAGACTATCCTTGCAACGTAAGACTTCACTTCAGTGCCGGCAAGAGTAAATCAATTAGCGGTGGACGCCGCGGGCAGCGTGTGCTCTCATTCGCGGCGGGTCAACCCGACACCAGCGCTCGACGAGTGCAGCCAACTAAAGCGTCGGAGCCAGTCGCGTCCTGCATCATAGAATAGAATAAACGCCGTAGGGTGACTAGATCATAAAGTGATGTGTTTCTTACATGATGAAGCCTTGCTTCAATGCTTGCAGGTCGCATAGCATGTCTAGCGGCACCAGATCTCCAAGTGGCCACTAGCACGTGTTGAATCGTGGCTGAAAGTCTTTATGGGCGCTTGAACGTTTGAACAACCGAACCACACACTAGCGATAACATTTGTCCGCATCCGCATCTTGACCTCCGCGTTCATCCCCACCCTCCCTCTCGACTTTCGCCATGGTAAACTGTACGCACCCGTCCACCGAACGACGCATGCTCACGGATAGATGACACCCACCCAGTCGCAGAGCTCAAAGCCAAAGCCGAGAAGGCCAAAGACACCACCGTCACCAAAGCGAGCAACACGCGCGACCGCTACACGAGCACGTCGTCCAAGAGCATGACCTGGGACCCCAACTGGAAAGCCGGACAACGCCCGCCGCAGTCGCCTCCGCGCAACGCAGGCTCTGGATCGTCGGGGAAGGCGCCACCCCCACCGCCGATACGCTCAAGGCCGCCCCCAGAGGGGCCTGCTCCTAGCCCGGGCCCACGTCCAGGCTTTCAAGGGGGCGCAGGAGGTGGTGGTCCCCCGCCGATCAATCGCTCTTCAAGACCGGACTCGGCACCGCTCCCGCCCCCGCCATCGCGTACGGGGGCGTTCGTGCGGTCGCCCCAGTCCAGCATGTCTCCACCCCCTGTCCACGCACCGCCGCCGATCGTCCGTGTTTCACACTCCCCGGAACCGACGGGGGATAGGATAGACTGGGTAAACCTCTCGCATGAGGACAAGGATGCGTTCTTCGACTGGCTCGACGAGTTCTTTTCGAGGTACCTTGGTGTCACGCTCGAGCCGAGGAAGTCAAAGTCGGAAATGGGATTAGGAGGCGGCAACGTGAATGCGATGGCGTCGAGACTTGGAGCAATGGCATTCGAGAGTGGACCACCGGCGTATTCGACGAGACCACCGGTATGTTCGCTTCAACACTTGTTCATTCCGTGCTTGCAAGATCTGACTGGTCGCGCTTCGACTTCAACCAGCCGAGATTTAACGCAGGCTCAAGGCCAACATGAGTTAATGAAGAAATGCAGTTTGTCGCTACATAGTGAGCTACACAGTGTGAAAATCTCGAATAGCCAGTGTAAGGAACTAAAGTGTATAAGCTAGGTAAGGCAGAGATCAGAACAAATATACGAGAGTGTAGTCTATGATACGATGGATGGTGTCGGCAGGCCTATTGATTAGTGGTGGGGTTCAGTATGGATGCCTGCCTCGCTTGCGGGTCGCAATCAGGATCGTGCTCCGGCTTCTACACGGTCTTGAATGTGCTTGCCTCGCGATGTCACCGCGTCGTCCTCTGGCAGTCCGGGTACGGGGTCTGATAGAGGTTCTGCACGCGGCGGTCCTCGGACATGACCTGCACATGTACGTCACGCCGTCAGCACTTCCGCGGTCCTCAAAACAACACGTCTCCACCCCGGAACCAGGCCAGGTGGGAAAGGGCAGTCGCCCACACAGAAAGCAAGACGGGCCAATGGAGGGAGAGACCGAAACGAACGAGGGACTCACGGTGGGGCAGCCACAGTTGGGTGCAGTCTTGTGCATGTGGGACTTGCTCGTCTTGCACTTGGCCTGGCCGCAATCAGTAATCTCGCCCGTCTCGTAGCGGCCGTGGAAGTGCTGTTTGATCGCGAGCGGCGGAGAAGCAAGGAGGTTAGTGGCATGAACGAGTGGTTAGGAAAGTAGTGAGTGGCACGAACACCGCAGCCCCTGTAGTAGTCGCCGATGCTGCGTGACGAGGACGAGATTAGCACACGGGAGAAAAGGGTTAAAGATGTGGGGCACGCGTACATCTCGTGCTTGCACATGGCTGTATTGGTCGGCTAGGTGATTGGTGGAGCGCGGACGCGTTTGGAGAGACGAGGAAGGTGTATGTACTGCGGCAAGGTTGGTGCGCCCTCTGGTGCACGTATAAAGTACAGATTAGAGGAGAGAAGCGAGGAGGGGCAAGAAAAAAGGAGGAAACGACGAGGGGGGGCAGCTGAATTGATTGAGCTATCCGGCCGTCCGCCTCGACGCTTTTTGTACCGCACCGCGGTGTGTCCAGGACTCCAGGAGATATATTGTGCCAGATCGTGCCTGCATAATCATCGGAGTGGGCAAATTTGATTCATCATTGTGCTTTTCTCAAGCGCTCTCACTAGCTTTGCGATGGATCTCGGGTCTCACTTGGGCTGCCTGAAGGTACCGACTGGACGTCCTTCGCATCCCTGTGCGGGACGGACGGGCCAGATTGTAATATAGATGGCACGGCCCGCACTTGGTACATGCACACCCTTTGATACCCGTACGGCAGTGGGCTACTGCGTTAGCGTAGCCGTAATGCAGGTCGCCGTCACCATGCACCAGGGTGACCACATTGCACATTGGAGACCGATGGAGACCTGTTCGCATACTGTACTACCCGCGCACTGGCACATCCGTACGCGAACTTGTCCCGGACCAGTGACACTTGGTCCAATCGGCCGTCGAGTAGCGTCGAGTCCGTCATCGGATCAGTGGCCACATGGCTACGCAATTCGCATATAGCTAGGGTTGGCATATACCATATTGCAACCTTGGGTAGACCTTTAGCAGGGTCGTTCCCCACCTCAAAGGGAGGACAGCCTGCGCACATTGTCTTCATATCGCGTAGCAGAAACACAAGAGCGCTATACGTAACCCTGAAGAGCGATGCAACGCGTTCTATCTAGGGTCCCTGGAAATAGAGATTACACCAAAGAGGGCAGATCGGTGTGAAAACATACCTCAGGGAAGATTTTAAGCTTGAATGCGCACGGTTGTGTCGGGACGGTGCCAGTGAGAGGCTTGAGCGGCGTTTACCTTTCGTTCGGATGTCGACGTCATCTGAGAACTTTTGAAAGCACCCAGTGAAAAAAGTTGGAGATCGTTGCCATTTGCCGAGGCGTTTATCGCGTAGTGATGCCAGCAGGACGAGGCGTGTCATGGTCTGCCATACGCTGCCAATGCATAGCGTGTCCGACGATCCCAGGATCGGCCTCCCTAGGGCTCCCTTCAGCCTGAAAACTTGCTCCTGTTCAATTGACATGGTCAACGGCACGACCGTTCCCTCCAGGCTTCGACCATCTGCATCAACCAGTGCAGCTCCGCGGCCTTTGTTGCATAGGTAGGCACCGACGTTCTTCCGATAGGGCCACTGGAGGCTATAGCTAAAGAGGCGGAGAACTCGGACAGCAGCGCGCCGCTGCAGGGTGTAACTTGTATGCAGACGGCAAGCCAACTTTTCGCCGACTTACGTCACGACGTCACGAAACACAACTTCTCGAGACCGGGTTCGACGATAGGGGGTCGATAACATGTAGCATCGTATGGAGGTGGATTTCATTCTCCCAGGATATAGAGTGTGCTGACTGATTATTATTGTTACATGGCACTTACACATGGTGCTCCCTCGATCTCGTCGATTTAATCGTACAATGTTCTGTTCTAAATATTGAGATCGAGCCTGTAGGGTGGCTTCATTATTTAAGCTTAAGCACCGTGCACAAAGCCCTCATCAATCTCAAAACCCACGTTAGGAGACAACTCCGTGTTTCCCAGCACCCGGACCGTCTCGACCTCGGTACGCTCTGCGCCCCGCGGCTGCCGCTCCTCGACATCGATGGCGTCGTTGAGTGCCGCCTGGGTAAGCACATCCGAGTCATAGCGCCGGCCGGCGAGCGAAGGATGCTTCGCGGCGTGCCGCTGGGCTTCGGCGGCCAGGGAGCCCCGAGGAGGGTTGTACCCAAGCGCGCGGTGTTCTACTGAGACAAGCTTGCGGGCGTCGCCTATGTGGATGCGATCCTGTGGTCAGGGGCTGACACTGACATGAAGGGACGCCACGTTTGCTAACCTTCCGCTAGATCGGTGATGTCAACGCCTTGAATACCGGAGGCGCCCTCTGTGCGGGCCCTGCGGCGATGTTCGGTTAGGTCAGGTCAAGGCTCACACTTGGCTATGCGAGTAACAACGCAAAGTACAAGACGTACCTGACTAGTTCTGCGTCCTCTCTAGCGACCGTATTCAGGAGCTCCGAGTCCAAGCGCCCAAGACCCGGGCGACCAGATTGCTTCGCTGCCGCCGCTTGGGCCTGCGCAGCGAGCGAGCCGGGAGGTGGCCTGTAGCCGAGCTCCTTATGCTCCTTGGACATCAGCCTTCTGGCGTCGTCTGCATCACTGTCCGTAAGCACTGAAGAGTATAGGAGGCAGATGGGCTCAGCTCTCACCCTCACTCATGTTGTTGAAGTCGATTGCATCCACAGCGGAAGCTGATGGTAAGACGTGTGGCATGAACACCTCGGCCTGCATGGGTCTTGCGCAGTGGACCTACCAGGAGCGGTTTCGACCGTGACTGTGGTAGTCTCCTGCCTCACCGTCGCACGGACGGGCTCGTCGATGTCGCCATGATTCAAGCTGCTGATGGGGAGGGACATGTTCAGCGTTGTTTGGTGATGGTACGGGTGTACAAAATGCAAGGGCAATGTCGGAAAATCCTAAGAAACGCAGCGAAACTAAATATCGCGCGCATTGATCGGTTGTGGAGAGCATTGGGTAAGGCTGACGCAGGTGCGCTCAGTGTTGCACCGCAGGATGATGTCGATGTGGAATATGGAGAACGTCATAGCTAACTGGAGGCGCTTCTCTTCCCCACGTTTTCTCGGATAATTCGGGCCGTCTCATATTGGAAAGTATTTGTGGATTGTGCAAGGATTGTAATTTGCATAGAACCACTATATACGTCAGAATCACTACGGAATGCGGATATTAGAAGCGCTACAACAGCTCTTTCAACGTCCTCAACTTGCATGATAAGAAAGTGGAGAAAACGGCGTAGTTGTTCGTGATAAATCCTTTGTGATTCCAGCGCCCAAAGAACAAGTCTACTACAGGCCTACATTACAGAAAATGCCCCGTGGTATATCTAGAATACAGCTAATAATGAAAACGTCTCATCGTACAAACTGTACTATCTCGTCGCATTAAATATCGTGCGTACATCGAGCGCGTAAGTTATCACCGGAACTTCACAACACAGACTGCAATGATGACCACCACGAGGATGGCAACCTCCACGGCGAAGGCGTAGAGACACCGCCGAGCCCACTTGGACTCCTCGGCGCGCATCTGCTTCATGATCTGGTCTTTTTCTTCTTGCGTCTTGCCAGACTCCCAATCTGGACTCGCCCTCAGGGGCGAGTAGAGGAATACGATTCCTATTATCCAGAAGAGCGGGAAGACTAGAAGTAAGGAACAGCCGTCAGTAGATGTAGAGGGAGGGAGGGATGGGGTAGACGTACAGAAACCATAGTAAAACAGATAGCGCGCGACCGTGGCTGGCTCCTGTGACCAGCACTCGGTGTAGCTCGGGAGCTTCTCCGATTCTTCGTCGGAGAGCCGAGGCTCGTATGGTGGTGGCGCGGCCGAGCGGGGCGGCGTCCGGAACCGTCTCCCGCCGAAAAAGTCCGTCAGCTCGTCTTCGCGAGCCTGCATCGGAGAGTAGTGGGCTGGTGGCGGTGGCGAGATGGGTGACGATGCAATGGGGGGTGCGGCGGGGTTGAACGGGGGAGGTGTGCCAGACGGTGGCTGATTGTGGGTGCCACTGGTGGACGGCTGGGATGCCGCAGACTGGCCGGGAGTGGAGAGAGAGGGGTTGCGCATGGGTACGAGGTCTGCGCAGGATGCTTGGCTGCTTGAGTCGTCGCTGCGTCTCGGACGGCCGGTGAAGGTAGAGAGCAGAGCGTGCATTCGAGGAAACGGACGAAGGATGGTCTGCTAAGCAGGGGTTGACTAGCTCGAAGGTATCGCTGGGGCTAGATAGCTAGCTGGGGTGACCTCCGACAAAGGGAGAAGTTTTGAGAGCTGCAGAGAGACGACGAAGCGTGCAGATGATGCGTAGACATGTTCATTTTTCGCAAGGCGTTATATAGAGATGAGGACTAAAGCGAACGAGTTCACAGTGGACCGGGTCGATGAGTAGCAGGACCACAATTGTCTTGACAAAAGAACGGATTAGGAAACAGCGCGAACGTCGAGACAATAGAGGACCGACACTATTCCCTTATTCGGAAACAGCGGCATCAGCCGAGTCCGGATCGGGCATCCGGGTTAGGCACCGAGCACCCTGCAAGACAATAAGCGTGTCTCACTCCCTTACTGCATCAGGACACCAGACAAAAGAGAGGGAACGCCAGTGACGCTTGGTACCGCGAAACGTGTTGCAGGTGTGATTGCGACCACAATAGCTACGCGACATATGACCACGCTTGACCCGCGTTCTAGCTCGAATTTAAAGTGATGTGTCGGGAACTCTATCAGACTCTATCGCAAGGCTCGGTATGTCTCCCGCAGGATGAACACCATCTCATGACGCGACTCCACCAGCGGGAGGATTATGCAGAATGTTCCGCTACAGAGTGCCCAAATTCTGGATGCGAATGCTAGGTGAGCTACTCGTCGACAATGTAGAAAATATTTCGGCACTTACATCGTGCAGGCTATCCAGAAGGTAAAGAACCTCTCGCTAAAGACGTATTGAGAGAAGAACATCGGGATAGGTACTGAGCAACGGTTAAAGTCAGTGCTCGCGTGTCGATCGTATAGACGCCGAAACTGACCGAGGATCACGACGATGAACGTGAGTATGGACGAATAGATAAGCGCCTTTTTGAAAACTCTTTCCAGAGTCGCCATCTCCGCGTTGTCCAAGTTTTCCGGATGTGCCTCGCTAGCATGCACTTCGACATTCTTCTCGATATCCTTGAGATGCGAACTTTGTTTTCCATCTAATCGATCCGAAGCACCATCTTTGACGTTGACAGCCCCGTCTGAGCACTCGACGTCGTGGTCAGAGCTTGTGTCAGGCAATGCATCGAGCGTCTTGATCGCCCGTGTCGCCGCAAAGTCAAAATTTGCCGGCTCTGGACATAACACCGCACGCAATAAAAATATGTCAATATGTCAGTGGCGCAGCGCTAGAACCCTTGCCAAGAGGATGTATGCACAACTGACTCAGAAGAGATACAACCACCGTCAGAAGGCCCGAAAACAGGAGTCCGGTGAGTCCGCTGCATACCGCGGAGTAGGGTTCGGCGAGGTTGGGGATAGTAATGGCGCCTAGACTCAGCGCGTGAGCTAAAGGAAACAATGTAAGTGTACATTCTTACCGTATATTTTCCAGCAGCCGATCATCCATGCGATCATGCCTAGCACGGCGCCGCCAACCGCACCGCAGAAGACGCCGGCTTCGGTGAGCTTGGACCAGGATATGGTGAGGGCAATTGGGATGACCGCAGGGCTCAGTATTACGCCTCTAAATTCGCGTTAGATGCGCAAACGGTAGGCGGTGTGTTTATTTACTGCACGTAAAACAGCTTCGACGGGACAGCAGGTCAGCATGTTGAGGCAGACAATACTTCAACCTCGCCACTTACCCATCCGAGGTCAATGTTTCCTGCGTTCAGCTAGCAAACACGGGTCAACTCGATATTTGCAAAGCCCAGGGCTAGGATAAGACACCCACGATAGTGGCCCAACAGCCCATCCATACTGCCCAGAAGCAGATGAAGTAATGGGAGGCTCGGACAATCTCCTCACCAGTTGCACGAGGCCGGAAGTAAGTTCGATATATGCTGCTCAATGTAAGTGTGTTTTATCAGACTGGTGGATCGCTCACTCATAAGAGCTACGAAAACACAAAATCAGCCATCCGCGCAGCTTGAAGAAACGCAGTCGCGTACAATAAACTCGAGACCCCGATCAACTCTGCGCTAGCGGCGGAAGTCACAGCCATGCTGTTGACATGCCGTCGTCAGTAAGTGCCGTACACGCTAAATGCACACGAATACCCACAAAACAACTAACAACACGGCGACAGCACCCCCCTTCCCCATGAGCACAGATGCTGCAGCAGGTGCAGCTAAACCTGCACTCGATTGATCGGGCGAGAGTGGCGAAGGGTACGTGGGGAATTTTGGCTGGAATACCGTCATATTACACATAGCGGGCAAGAAGACAAAAGAAACAGCGGACATTGTTGACGAGCGCACGAGCGCTCAGACCCATGCACGATGCAAATGCCCACGGGACAGCAAACCATGATAAGCCACCAAGCATCTAGTTCGGTCAATACCCATATGCCGGAGAGCTTGGAGCAATTCTCGGATACTCACGTATGCCTTTGTTGTTGATTGCGGATGACTTGCTATCGCCTGCTCGTATTTTATATCAGCTTATGAAGGAGCGCACGCCTATAGCAAGATGTCATCACCCGCTGCCAATATCCTGACATGTATTGTTTTCGTCAGATGTCGTTTCCAGTGCAAGAAAGGGGAGGCGGCCGCCTACCTTGATCACAAAATACCCCAGCAAACCCCGACACGATAGTCGCCGCTCCGAAAACGAGTCCCTGGTTCGACTTCATCGTCATGTAACTACCATCATGGTTGCCAACCACGGGCGTCTCGGCCGACGCCTGCTGCAGCAGCTCATAGAGGCGAGAAACGCTCCCAAGCTCGGGCGACGTCCCACTTCCCGCGCAGCACACACCCGTATCAGCTCAGATGCCGACACAAACAAGGAGAAGGAGGCGAGACAAGACGCACTAAGCGCGAAAGATAAACGTGTAGATGATGACGAAGAGGATAATCGTGTGGCTCCAGTCGCAGATGAACGTCGCGCGGAGGCCGCCGAAGATGACGTACACCGCGATGCCGATGGGGAGGAGAAAACACGCTGCGATGATGTTCATCCCCGTGAGCGCATTTACGGTCGCCGCGCCGCCGACTGCATTTTGAACACAGATCAGCGGCAATGGGCGGATCGCACTAGGAGAAAGAGACGCACGGAGGAGCGAGCCGCAGACTATGAGGACGCAGAGGAAGCCGTAGAAAGTGAAAAGGAGGTGTACGCCTGTGCCGAAGCGCGCTTTGGCGATCTAGCGCGTGTCCGGATGTTGAGGAAAGTATGTTTGTGGAATGAATGGGATGTTACCTCGAGGAAGGTATGTGCTCCGTTGGCGTTCATCTTGACCTTTGAGGCGACCATGCCAAACATCGCGACCTGGATCGTTCCGCCCACTCCATACCACCTAGATCAAACATTTGAGTCGACGCTTTGACGGTGTTATCCGTGCTAACGTCTGCTCACCATGGACCGCTAACACCTTTACGCAGCGTATAAACCGAGTCACGGGAAGGGAATGATAGCTATACTGGCTTACCGAATGTGTAGGCTGCTGTGGAGGACTGAAGAAGGGTAGCACTCCATGTCCAGGCACTGACGCTGTATAAAGGTCGGATCAGGTTCCAACGTTACTCGTTACCTCCAGATTGTTGTTCCCTCACATCCCACAGCACACAAGGCCTGGCTACACGGACGGGGACAATACAATGTCAGCGGAAAAGAGCTGAAAGATGATTACAGAGGACTTGCTTTAACACTTCGCGAAGCGCTCTTTATGAAGGGGCCCAAACTCGATGAGTCGGGGGCAAAGGCACATGATTGGGATACTTACTGTAAACTCTTCCGAGGAAGAAGGCGAGAAGCGGAAGAATTTGCGTTGCAGCGTGGTCAAGACTAGCATGACGAAGGCGAAGAAGAAGCCAACTCCTACGAGGATGTATTCATATCGGGTTCACTTCGAAATGATTATCTAGCGCGTACCAACGACTACGCCGTACCCTACACTCTGGTCTATGCCAAGTTAAGCTCAGGAACAGCTTCAAACGCTAGCCACAGACGCACCGAGAAGAGGCTTGAACTCTGAGTAGGTCTGGTCAGACATGACAAAATAGCTGTGAGGAACCGCGCGCAAGAGCAGAGATGAAGAGATATGCGCCCTATGTATACTTTTCACATTGACACTACCTGGAGCACCGATCTAAGTATAACCAGGCATCAGTCACAAGACGAAGATAAGGCTCGCAGTGGCAATAGCGGAGTTGCTGCTTGCTTGGGATTCGTCTGATAAGTCCGGAGTTGCGTACGTGCGCATTCCCATGGGCCTGCGTCTCAAAGAGCTTAAGGTTACCATGCAAGTTGCCGGGGTGGCGACGATATCCTTGGAAATGAACGAAAGCTGGACTTGGGTACAGGACATATTGCATGCTAGCCATATGTCAGGCATTTGTGACGCGTCTGTAGTCAGCGCTAAGCCTGTATCCGGCGCTATGTCCAGTGCTTGGTATAATGTTTCACGGGAAGGTGGTTATCGTACTGTACGTTTCATGCACGCGAGAGGCATGAACACATGCGCCGCGGGTAACGTGTTCGCAGTCGTGCCAACCCTGTGATAGCTTCAGCGTGCGCTCCTGATCCATCTTTGTCGTGGTATTCTGTGGTTTAGACGTTGCGTAGAGAGTGATTCAATGCAATGTGGTCCCGACAGTGGCGGGAACGACATGAGCGTATAGAAGGAAGAAGCGCGTGTGGCTGTGCAGATGTGGGGGTTTGATTGCCAAATTGGCAATTCGCGCTCTCGCATTGACTTTCGTCAACAAAATCCGCAGCGTGCACGATGAGGCAGCAGCATCTCCACGTCGAAGGGGCTAATGACGCTCCGGGTAAGGTGGTGCGCTCTGGCGGGTAGGTCAATGAATGGAGAGTCCATTGAGGCTTGGCCTGGAGGGGAGGAAACCTATGGCATGATGGCGTCATAGAGCGCGCCTCAATGCAGAATGATGTCACCTAACGTCCTCCTATATAGTCCTCGACATTCCCTTTGATCCTCTCTCACTTTTCCCCAACTTCAGCCCACGAAAAATCATGCGTGTATCTCTGCTCTACGCTACCTGCCTCCTCGCCGTCTCCGTCCAGGCCTCCTGGTTCGGCTCCGACCCCGAGTACTCCAAGTGGTCCCAACCGCAGCTCAAGGCGTGGCTTGACCTCCATGGTATCCAGACGCCCAAATCCTACTCCCAGAAAGAGCTCCACGACCTCGTAGCATCCAACTGGGCGCACTACTCCGACCAGGGAAAGCAGTACGCAGACGCGAGTCGCGACTGGACGTACGACCAGTACACCAAGGCGCAGCACTCGTTCAACGACCTCCGCGACTCATCGTTCGACACCTGGGACGAGTCCACCCTGCGTCAGTGGCTCCTTGAGCACGGCGTCGTTGCACCCTCCGGCCCGCGCGAAGAGCTCGTTCTCTTAGCGAAGCAGCGGTACCGGTCATACACCGACGCGGCGTCGTATTACTCTTCTCTCGCCGGTGCGAGCGCAGGGAGTGCCTATTCGGAGGCGACGGGCGCAGTTTATGGCGCGAGTAAGAGCGCAAGCAGCTTTGCGGCGCAAGCGACCAACGACGCCGCGCAGGCGCTGGATGATACCAAGGACTATGTATATTCGACGTGGGACGATAACAAGCTACGCGACTACCTCGAGAAGAAGGGTGTCGTCGAGGCCAAAGATACCTCGACGCACTCTGACCTTCTCCGACTCATGCGCGACCAGTACAACAAGGCGTCTGATCCCGTTTGGGAGAGTTGGAGCGATTCGTACATGGTGGGTGTTTCTGTCCTGTACCTTTAGCAGACAGGAAAGTTCACAACTCCTATTCTTGTTTTAGCGCGAATGGTTGATTGCCCACAACCTCCTTGAGCCTTCGGATACGAGCTCTCGCTCGACCCTCGTCGGAGAGATGAAGAAGTACTACTACGGCGCACCCGACTATGTCTGGACCTCCTGGGATGACTCGAAGCTCAAGGCGTGGCTCGTTGATCACGGCATCATCAAGAGCAATGCGCAAAAGAAGCGTGACGAATTGCTTAAGCTTCTCGAGTAGGTTTATTCAGCTTTCGTGTATGTCACTTCTCAACCTCACCGGTAGCGAGCACAGGGAGAACTACACGAGCTCACCGGAGACAATCTGGTCCGCGTGGAGCGACTCGGACATTCGCAAATGGCTCGTACAGAACAATATTGTTGATGAGAAGACCGCAGCTGGAAAGAAGCGCGACCAGCTTATCAAGTTGATCCAGCCCAAGTATGCTTCGTCGATCATATCTATAAGCTCACACAACCTAAACGAAATGTTAGGTATCACGGCGTTGCCGCTTCGACTACACAATATCTCGCCTGGCCCGACGCCCGCTTGCGTGCATACCTCCGCGAGCGCGGTATCTCCGAAGATGCTTTGCCCACATCTCGCCCTGGCCTCTTGCAGGAGACGCGCATCCGGTGGGTACAGACTCAGTCGCGCGCGGAGACGATGTACGAGAAGATCGCGGAGCTCGTGAACAGCGGTGTGGAGGCGACCGAAGAGAAGATCGCACGGATCTATGAGCTGTTGACAGGCACTGCGACCGAGGGTGCTGAGTACGCGGAGAAGAAGAGGGATGATGCGTACGGATGGGGTTCGGAGAAGAAAGGTCAGGCGGAAGGTTATGCGAAGGAGAAGAAGGGTCAGGCGGAGGGGTATACGAAGGAGAAGAAAGGTAAGGTAGAGGGATACGGGAAGTCGAAGAAAGGTGAGGCCGAGGGATATGCAAAGTCGGTCAAGGGCGAGGCGAAGGAAACTGGGAAGAAGGCCGGGGAAAAGATCAAGCAGACCGCCGATGAGCTTTGAGCGTATCTTTGGGCGCTTTTCTATTTCCTTTTTCTTGTTTTGTTGCAGCCCTTGGACGTTTGGGCGGATCGGACGTGGAGACAAGTGATAGACGGTATGAAACTGCGAATTGCACAATCAAACGGAGGATCTTATGATCTTTGTTGACGAAAACATTAGCGTACACTTCTAATTACTGTATATTAGCTATTGACATGAACATGTTATGTATTGTACTTGATGATTTGCATGTAAATCTGATTTTATTATCACGCTGCTCTCTTGCTTACCGGTCCGTTTGGGGCCCGAGCTGCATTTACTTCCGTCTGACATCCACCAAGTTGATCGGCCGCCGACGCAATCATCCTCTGGTAATCTTTGCTGCTGATTTCTGCTTAATGCCGATCAACAAGCATACGATGCTGGCTATTATCACCCACAATCGCCACAATCAACATGGATGGATCGTCTGACGTGCGCGGATTGCGCGTGGAGTCGTCGGAAGGCCGACGCCTACAGTCGGAGGTGAAGTGAGCATGGGGCAAGTGAGGGTGTCCGAGGGCAGCTATCACGTGCGAGATTATGCATCTAATCTTGGGGTATATCGCGACGTTCGGGGCGGAAAACTCCAACCGACTTGCCCAACTGCACCTCTTCCCCTCATCCCCATCCCACCACCTGCACCACTCTCGCAAAAATGAAGGCTGTTGTTCTCGGCGCTGCAGGTATGCATCTCTTGATAATGAACGCCGACGGCGACGACGAGGAAGCTGACGCGCTGCAGGCGGTATCGGCCAGCCCTTGTCCCTCCTACTCAAGTCCAACCCGCTCATCACCGAGGTGTGCATTCTCCGTCTCATCGTGCCGATATCTCGCAGGCCCCTAACATACTATATGCGTGCGGCGATGTTTGTAGCTGAGCCTGTACGATATCGTCAACGCGCCCGGTGTCGCCGTCGACCTCTCGCACATCGCGACCCCCGCCAAGGTCGAGGGATACCTGCCCGCCGACGATGGCCTCAAGAAGACGCTCACGGGCGCCAACATCGTTGTCATTCCCGCTGGTATCCCGCGCAAGCCTGGTGTGAGTAGTCCGCTGCTTGTTATCTGCGATACAGCGAAGCATGTAGCTGATGAGAATGGTGTGGTGGCGAACAGATGACTCGGTGAGCAAGATAGATAGCGTAAACGCTCTGGTTTCGCGGTGTGCTGACTCTTGGGGATGGTCTGCAGTGATGATCTCTTCAAGGTACGCACAAGCTCCTTCTGGCGTAGCCTCAAACATAGTTGGCTGATAGCCTGTTGTTTTAGATCAACGCTGGCATCGTTCGCGATCTCGCCACCGGCATCGCCGAGCACGCCCCCAAGGCATTCGTCCTTGTCATTTCGAACCCCGTTAATTCGACCGTCCCCATCGTGGCCGAGGTCTTCAAGAACAAGGGTGTCTTCGACCCCAAGAGGTGCATTACACCCCTTCCGATCTTTTCGGTTTTCTACGTGTATGAGGATTCTTATCCGCATATATGCGTGCAGGCTCTTCGGTGTGACGACCCTCGACGTCGTCCGTGCATCGACGTTCGTTTCTGAGATCATCGGCGACCGCGGTCTCGCCACCTCAGTTACCGTCCCCGTCGTCGGTGGCCACAGCGGTATCACCGTATGTCCCATTCTATCTCACATTCCCTTCTCCCCTGCCTCTACTCCACCCAGTCTCACAACCATGACATGACCTTGGCATCGTAGATCGTCCCCATCCTCTCGCAATCCTCGCACCCGCTCCCCGCCTCCCTTACTGGCGATGCGCGCGCCGCTCTGATCAACCGCATCCAGTTCGGCGGCGACGAGGTCGTCAAGGCCAAAGACGGCGCGGGCAGCGCGACGCTCTCCATGGCGTTTGCGGGCGCCGAGTTCGCAGGCAAGGTTCTCCGCGCGGCCAAGGGCGAGACAGGCATCGTCGCGCCCACGTACGTCAACCTCGCCGCCGACTCCACGGGTGCGAAGGCACTCAGCGGTATCATTGGCGACCTCGAGTACTTCTCGGCGCCCGTTGAGCTTGGCGTGAGTTTCTTTCCTGGGGTTGAACCCATACCTTGTCCATGTCCTCGGAGAGACTCTGGTGATCTGATGTTGGTTGTGCGTTGGTTTAGCCCGAGGGTGTCAAGAAGATCAACGGCCTCGGTTCGCTTGATGACTCCGAGAAGAAGCTCGTCGAGGCTGCTCTCGGTGACCTCAAGACCAACATTGAGAAGGTACGTCTTGTCCTACTTCTCGATTTCACTGCGTGCTGTCGGACGGCCCGTGCTCACGACTCTCCTTCTATCTTCCAGGGTGTCTCCTTCGTTGGCTCGTCCAAGCTCTAAACATCGTCAAATGACCTACTATCACTAGACGTAGAGTGTGGAGTGAGAGCTTTGACTTCTGTGTGCCTGGGCATAAGTTATTCCTGTTATGCGGGGGTGCGTGTACAAGAGAAGATCGGAAGAGATAAATACAGAAGAAATTGTTGTACTTACTATACAAAGGCTAGATTTGTATGGATCTGTTTTCTGCAAAGTTCTCGGAGGTGCTGAGAGGCTGATCAACGGATTGTCGAGTGCACCGGTGAAGCCCGCACTGTTCATCAGCGGCCTGAGCGCCTCGCCGACAGCGGCCTCGGTGGCGACAGGCATGCTTGTGCTCGGGTACGTGGTGTCCGAGTTCTCTGGTTCGTTCTGGATGCCGACAGCAAATACAGTGATGTTCTTGCCCTGGAATCCAGTCAGAGCATCAACGTGCATCAACAATGAACTGTGCGTCTTACCAGCAAAGCGGACAATCAGCGACTTCGCTAAAGCTATCAGGAATTCAGGGAGGACCCACAATCGTTGACATCCGCATCAACGAGCCCCCATCGGCGTTTGCTGGAGTCTTCATCCAAGCCAGCTATACACTGCAGTAATTCTTAGTATTATAATGCAACAAGTAAATTGTTGACTTACTAGAGACCACGGCACTAAATGGAACCTCACCGCGCTGTTTACCGACATGATATCGGTGAGCGTCGAGAAGAGGTAAGCTGGTGCGGCGTCGATGGTGAAGTTAATCCGACAAGCCTGTGTCGCCGGCTGTATCGTCGAAACTGTAGACTATGAAGGCGCAATCAAAGAGTGCCATGCTGCTGAATTACTCCAGAGAGCCTACCTGAGGCGGAGAAGTCCGAAGCACCGAGGGGAACTCGGACGTAAGACAGTGCAGCATTCGGAATTGGCACCATCGGCGGTGACTGTCGTGAGTGAGAAATGGACGATTGCTTGAGCAGCAAGCAAGCTGATCTCACTACTGAACATGTAGTCCATGAGCTTCCAATACTCATCGGAGTTGTCCGTCTACAAATGTCGTCAGGACTTTGCCTGATAATCTGGATAAATACTCCATACCTTCAGGCCGTCCAGCAATTTAGCTGAAGAGTCCGCTAGAAGGCCGTGTCAGCCAGGACGTTACATGTAAACCGAGCAGTGACATACTCAGTGTCGCGCCAAAGCCCTGGATCGTCTGGTAAACTTGGGTGTCATCGACTTGGATGTCTGCAGCCGCGGCCGCTCCAGGAGTCCCGAATGCAATAGCACTGGCAGGGGGCATGGACGCGATCAAGGAGGACCTGTCCCAGGTAGTTTGCCACTAAGATGTGTAGACGTACCTGTCAGGGGCAATGAAGTCCGGAGAAGCAAGATACACATACGACGTCCTGAATCTGCTGGGCAGCGGCACCGTGCACGAGAGCAAACGCAACAACAACGAAAGAGTGGCGCATGGCGTAAAGTGTCGGTGGTCGGTTGTTTTTGCGATGCTACCACAGGCTGCTCTTCCTCAGCTTTTATAACGCAGAAGCCTACCCGCTAAACTCGCCAGCCGTAGTTCTTTGAAGGACACTCACCAGCATCACCTTGCCTCCCCCCTGCGCACAACATGGATGAGAATCTGCAAGCAAGACTCACAAAGCAGCTGGCGCCATCAATTGAGGTACACGGGACAGTATCCTGGGGAACAAAATGGCCATGCACATTGCATGGGTGGTAACAGAAAATACGCACGCACCTCTGTGCTGTAGCAAGATCCCCTACTAACACACGTCGTCCAGCGATGCCGTCTTACCAAAACGACAATCCGAGGTCATAAAACTAGTCCTGGTCTTTCCAAACTGCATATCGAAACACATGCGCGCGCACGGGCAAACACCTCGGGGTTGCGGCACCGGGTTATGCTTCCGGTGCGGCCATGCATATCCCTTCGCTACATGTCAGAGGTGCAGGGTGGTATCATGCCAGAAGCCACGCTGAGTGTGCGATGGCAGTACCTGGCCAGCGCGCGGGCAAGCCTGCTGTGTGCGCCGGTGGGCAAGCCAGTGGCATGTCCCAATAGGAGGCGTGCACGGGCTGATGTACTCAAAGTTCGGCGTCAGAAAAGCTGGAGGATTGATTGAGATTTGTGCTAATTTTGAGCGGCACTATGCTATAGGTAGTGATGGCTCGAGGCGAACAAGAGTGTTGTCGAGAGATAGCCGCCTTATTTGTTTGCAATAGTTGCCCGAGGCAACCTTGTGCACAAACGGAATCAGTTGATTGTGGACGATGACCGGCGGCGAGCCATCGTTTTCGCATCAACGGAGCGAGTCGAACTGCCAACGGGCCGCCCTTACAGAACCCAATTCTAATGGATATGAAATGATGCGGTGAACAATTAGTAGCCGTTGCTAATGTAGAGTCCCACAACCAACGCACCTCGATTTGAGAGATGGAGGATCGTGATTAACTGTACACGCGTTGCGGCTTGGCTTGTGCAGCACTTTGAGCGTCGGGAATGGGACCAGGCAGTGCGTGTCAAAGGTGACGTGGCGAGAACTTGGGCTGGAGAAAGCGAGAAAACCAAAGCTGGCATGTTTTTTCTGGATGTACATACACCAATGAACATGACTGTTCTGCGTACAGCGACATTCCGCGCCTGGCCCACACCATGATCTGGATTAGGCCCCGAGAGACATTATTAGCCGTTAGCGATGGCTTGACCCTGTTGGAACTTGTAAGCCGGTAAAGAAGCATTCCGCCCGTTTCTGACGGATCAGTACACAGCGCTTACCGGCTCTCAGTCATTATGTAGTACTTGGATGGCATTGTAGTACCTCAAAGCGCTGTCAGCGAACAGGAGTACCTAAACCTCCGCATTACCACTCAAAAGACCTATCCGCTGCGTCAAGCACTCAAGACTACTCAAGAGAGATCGAGCAACTTACGAAACCCCTCAATGCCGCCGGCATCATGATAGTCAGCACGGAGAAACCCGACCTTTTGATCGTTTCACAGTTACTAAGTTGCTGCACAGTCCCCGTATGACCGATTGAAGGGAGTAAACCTACTGCACGCTGGAGGGATTGTGAGCAGTGGTGATGGAAAAGCCAGCGAAGATTCATATTTAGCGTTCTACGAAGCTGATTCGAATGAAGCTGTAAGTGACCTCACATGTCAATACGTATCGGCTAGACATACCTTGGTCCTAGTGTATTGCCCTTTCAACGGGGGAACGCAACAGTCTCTATCTTGTGAACATAGATAGCATTGAAACAAAAGCTGTAACTAAAACAGGGTTGACGCGAGATATTAGGGGACTAGTCGAGGGTATCTTACAGGATATCAAATCATACAAGGAGTTTGAGCCGTCTACAAGGAAACCGATGGTATCAATCCCCGGGCCGTGCACAGGGCAAAAGGACACGAAATTCGAGTGCAGCCCAGTCGTTGCTAGAGAAGTATGTGCTGTCCTTCAGATGGTTCCCTTTAGAATCGCGCTGCCATGACGGACGCCAGCTGTGCCACATATCTGTGGGACTCGATTTGAAGACAAGCTCCGGCTCAGACCTGTAGTCGGCGACCTGGGTATCGTTGAACACGTTTAATTCCCACCCGTCGACATCAGCCTCCAATGTAGCCCCGACCTGCCATCGCGCGATGCCCTTGATCCACTCGATGCGGTCGAACGGTTCTGTTTCCTTTGACTCGGAGACGGTGCTTTCGGTCCCCCACTCAGAAGCCATTCTGTACACTGGCATAAGTCGTCTAGACGCACGAACGTGGCGCCTGAAGGTAGGAGCGACTTCACGTCTTGCCCACTTATTTGAGACCTGCGAAAGGTTAAAAAATAAGGTGACTGCCTCGTAACCATGCCCCGGGTAGTGCATATCGAGAACAGCCTGGAAAGCCTCCGTCACTTCGTGAGATTCGTAGCCCTTCACCGCTGAGTACTTTGCATACGTGTTTTCTACGACGAAATGGGGCCGTACGTGAGTGACGATTGGACCAAGAGTTGCGAACGGATATGTGTGAACAGTATGGGCACCGCCACGATATGGCTTCTCGACGATGACCTCGTCTCGAAGCGAGGGCTGGGGAACAGGGTAGTATTTGAAAGTCGCTTGCTGTTGAAAGTACTTTGTGAAAGAGTGAGCCCAAGGCGCCAATAAGGTGCCTTAGTGCTTGCGCACCTTGTTAAGCTTCACCGGGTTCTGCTCTTTAGCTAACTTCAGCAATGACAGAATGACATGTGGTTCAGGGAACAAAAGCCATCGATTGTCGACAAATTGCTGACGCCATTCCTTTGTGACTAGTTCAGTATGATCAGGATGGAACGTCCATGCGACCAAAGGAGGGTCACGAACCGAACAAGGCGTTGAAAGGACTACTAACGTCCAGCCTTCGCCATCCCATCCCCCACGCATATTCGAGCTGAGTGAGCTGATGGCGAGTTCAGTTGAAAGAGTAAAGCAGGGATGAGGTAATGCATGACGCACAGTTTTGTCATCCGAAGTCAAGGGGAGCAGGGGGCAGGTCACTATGTCGTTTCGCGTGTTTGTAACTGCACAACGAGCCCCATTCGGGTCAATCTCTTGAGCCCGTTTCAATGCAAGAGAAGGGAAGGTGGGTGTGTTGTTTGCTAGGTGGGCAAACGCGCTTTCAGAGCCATTTGAAGTTCGGCGACGGGCATCGTAGATATCATCCCCTGATGTAACAGATCCGGAATCTAGCGTGCAGAGCATTCAATATCAAACCCAAGGGGAGCCTGTTAACGTTGGAAGTAGAAACAAACGTCGAGCGTCATATCCAAGGAATGTCAGTTGACCGCAGCAGGTTGTGTACTGGCACGTGATATCAAGCGGCGACAAACAGCTGCAAATATGACTAGATCAATAAAGCCCGACCAACCAACTTGCAATTAAAATTTCAAAAGCTCAATAAGTTCCTCTAGATCTAGCCATTTCTCTGTTTGTCTGAGGAATATCGCTACCTCAACATACGGCAGAATGGACAGTTTTGGGTCATCCAACCTTGAGCTTGCTTTATGTTCGAAATAATTGGTAAGCGCCAAATGCTGTCACGTTAAGGTTCTGTACTGTGTCATTAATGTGGTTTCAAGTTATTAGTGGTCTGCTCCTAACCAGAAGGTTGCTGAGCTGCGAAACCTTATCAACACCATCTGGTCGGCTACATCATGGCCGTGCGACATCACTATTTTGTGTTCGTGTTTCCAAACTTGACAGTTTGATTAGGTCCAATGTGCGAAGATCGCGAAGCAAGCAAAGCGATTAGTGCTAAGGCAGGCTAGGGCGCCCTATCAACGGTCTTATATCAATCTACGGCCTCCACATACGGCTGTTTACCACGATAAGCTGATTATGGTCATCTTCTTGGAGCGATCTCTACGTTCTCTTCAGGTGACGGTGTGATATGTAACTCCGACTACCTCGTTGCGGGACTTCGTAGGTCCGTTATGGCTCAGACGCTCGCTCCCCTCTTCTTATTAGACGTATGCCAACCCTTTACTGGAAACACATCTCAGCTGACTCGGTCCTCGCAGGCGGCCTCTTGATAATCTTGACGCCGTGCGTCTAGGAGACAACCCGATGCGGAACATGCCACAGCTTTTGAAGAGGGCGTCATCACATTACGCTACGATTGATGGCTCTGGTGTCATGCAATGTACGTATTAACGGAAAGAGGACCGACGAGGACAGTGAAAATATATAGAGCCACCTCACCGGGTCAGACTGAACGGAGCAATCAGTGAAGATCCTGTCCCAGAGTCCTACATGTCCACAGACCCAAGCTTCCGGCACCAGGCGCATAAAAGCCCATCGTCCTCCCTCCCGATAACTCTGACCTTAACACCTTTCTCGCTTCCCTATGGCCGGCTCCCAAACCTCAAAGGGCTCCTCCAGTCGGTCTAGGAAACGTCGTATTCATGAACGGTCCTCTAGCCCTACGGAAATCAGAGCGGGATCCGCTTCACGAACTCCATCAGATAGAATAGTATCTTACGATGCTAGGCAAGGTGATGCTCGCCGTGGCGTAAGTCTCGATTGCTGTTTATGCATTCATTGATGTTTATCCGGGCGTGCAGATTCAATCAACAGGGCGGCCAACATACAGCAGTAGTAGAGCGACGCTCCCTTCGTTGGCTTCTGCTTTCGCTTTGGATCGTAACGACTATCGTGACAGCGACGCACCTGCCTCAGAAGCAGGGGCATTAAATAGCTCAACCAGCGCTCAAGATGCAAGTCCCTCAATTCCCTATGATGCCTGCTAGTATTCTCACTAATATTACCCATAGATCAATAGTGATGTGCAAAGTATCAACGAACCCAGGACCCCCACCATGAAACCACAATCTGGCACTGCCGCCAGTTTACAGGCGGATAATACGGACGAGTGGTTAAAAAATCTCCCGATGGATATCCCGAACTTGTATATAACACCAGAAAAACAGTCAGACTCAAGATCTGTGCAGCAAAGACGATTAGCGATCGAACTTGCACCTGCTGGCGACCGCTGCCTACTTACCAATGTCAGTGGGAAATGCATCCATGGCTGTCACCTAGTTGCAAACTCCCATTATAAGATAGAAAAAAAAGTGAGTCGCGATTACGCCGTATGCTCAACATCAACGCTTATATGCGTCGTTTCAACCTGTTTTCAGCAGAACTATCCGTTATCTAAGGCCTGGGGAGATGATTTCGATATCAATAGCCGGTGGAACATGTTTTTTTGTATGTTCACTAATCTCATTCCCGTTCCAAGCAAAGGGTTCACGGTTACGACAGTACGGGCCGACATCCATATTCTTTATGACGGTTTTGAATGGATGCTGATACCAAAGCCTGACACACTGAAGCGCATTGTCGAAGTGTCGGGACAGCGGGGAAAGCCCGGAGCAATAAGCATAACCGAAGTAGACTATTCTTAATAACCTCTGTTGACATTCTAATACCGATATGATTCCTAGGAGTTCGCGCCTCGCAAACAACGTCGCACATATGAGTACTACTTCCTACCGCATCCAAAAATGAGGGCGCCAATCGATCGTTACCACGTCACGACAGAGACTGTTCCGTCAACTTCAGAAGGTGGCCAGGAAACCCGAGATTGTTATGAGCACAGACAGTGCTTCACGTTCCCATACTCTGACATTCCACCCATCGAGAGCCATGTCCCCCCTCACCTAGTGATATTTGACGCTATGCGCAAGTTCATCCATATAGATAACTTGAAGGAACAGGCCGCCCTGTACGAATTACTTCAAAGTATCCTTGATTCTTATCATGGTCATGAGGATGGGATACCCGATGCAGCTAAATACCTTGACACGATGCGAAGGTTGTTCCTCCACGATTGGAAGCTTCAAGTGTTCCTCAAGAAGAAGAAGGGGGAGGGGAAGGCATGAGGTTGCGAGTTGCCTGGTCACTTTGTTGTATGGCATCGGGTGTCGATGAACATTTGTAAAGAAAATGTCACCATGTACTGGGATCACAAGTCAGAATGAACGGTCAAATTTCTCAAAGCCCTGGAATGTTTTCTTGTCACTGTCTCGCCTTTAATTTCGGTTTGTATACTCGCGGGTACATAAACTCCTTCGAAAAAAAATCCACGAAGCAAATACGCGTCAAGACGCGTCAATTATCGGGTAGCGCGGGCGTACAGTTCTATCGCCTGAATTCAACGGGAGCAAAGGGCAGGTCACCACGTCCTTTCGCGTGTTCGTGACTGCGCAGCGAGCCTTGTTCGGATCCAATTCTCGTGCTCGCTTCAATGCCAGAGGTGGAAACGTAGTAGAGGTGCTTTGCCCGGCTGGGCTCGGACGGTCAATGTCATAGATGTCATCCCCCGAGGTGATTGATTCTGAACTTAGCAAAGCATGCATCGAATTGGAAGCTCAAGGAAGGAAGTGAAGCAGTTTAAAGAGAAGGCATGAGAGAGGCGAGAGACCAATATTTCAATGTTGGACTCGTCGACGCGCGTTGGCAAGACGCGTCAATTATCGCGTAAGCGCGTATGCTTAGGGCCGGCTCCCGCTTGCCGAGAGTAACCCCTATATCAAGCCCCATATGACAGCGCTCTGGATTGTCATGTCGCAGCTGTCGCTATATCCCCTCCCACTTGGTCCAAATCGCTAGCAAAACAAGCTGGTATGAGAGGTTAACCACATACCCAGTCTTGCATTTCGGCTGATACATCACATAAAATATAGCTTTCGCTCGTCGCCATGTCTCACCTTACCTCCTATCCTCTTCCCTATACCGCATCATCGCCGCCCGCAGAACTTGCTCGTCCCGTTGAGACAGAGTCGGGACGCTCTGACACTACAGCATTCAATACAGGCCTAGATGAGCGCGATCAGTTCCTTGGGGAAAAGTTATGTATAGTCTGCGGGCACGGCTCATCGCTGCAACATTGCTATATTGTTCCTCGCTCGAATCTCAGAGAGGTCCGTCCTATGTGCAGCTGAATTGATGCGCGGAACCACTAATGTTCTTTCTAGTGGGCTCATCTCCAACCGGTAGGATGGATTCCAGCGGGTGCCAAAGCGTCGCCTGAACATGAACCCCGTAACGGGTTGACAATGTGTCCGAATCATCACATAGCATTCGATGCGTTGATATTCTTCATTCGCTATGAGCCTAAGGTGAGTCCCACTCCCTCTGTCTTTGTTCTATCCATTGACAGTGAATTAGCTTGGGAAGTATATCTTCGTTCACTTCGATAGCTACGGTGCTTTCTCCGATGAGCAGTTCCACGGCAAAGCCGTCGCACTCGACCCAAAAGACAAGCGCTCACCGCTCCCTCTTCTGCTGCTCGTCCACGAATACATGGTCCGCGGGAAGAACTTTCTGCAACCATCGCCCGCTGTCCCGATATCCGGACATTGGCAGGAGTGGATGCTCACTTCCGGTGTGGTGAACGAGGCGGAAGACGGAGGAGAATCGTTCACGTTCAAGCGAGAGGCCCCGCCGCAGCCTTCCGGACCTCACCAGGGGCTTCACGCACTGTCTGCAAATAGATATTCACCGTCACCCGATACTGCTCCTGAGTCTGGTCCTCAACTCTTCCTTTCTGCGCCTTCGCCTGAGCTGATCGGCCAATTGATGTCGACCCAGCGGACGATGCCCAGTTGGAAGGCATGGCAGACGGAGACCATGAGATGGGAGGGCACAGCGGAAGAGAACACTCAGAAATATGTTGAGAATGTCGGTGTCGAGGACGACGGCGGTGGCGAGTCAGATCCCAAAGGATGAGACATTCGACAATAATTCTCTTATAACTCTTTCGTACCTTTTGAACATCCTATTTAGCGTCTGGTATGCTATACAGCGACAAGCCAAGGCAGGATGGCTCGCCTTAATCCCTCATGGACGAGAAGTATCATGACCATTAAAATTATTCGAAAGAAAATCGTGTAAAGCGTACAGCAAACAACATGAAATCCACATCCCCTCCTATCCCATGTGCATCCCCATCTAAGTACACCCGCCCCACCCACCGCCAGCCCCAACGCTCAAAACAGACCCAACAAATCGTCCTGCGGCTTCTGCGCCCCCGGCCCCGCCCCCGTTCCCGTCGGTGACATCGTCCCTGCCGACGGACTCGTCACGCCCGTATGCGTAGGCGACAGCACCCCAGGCGACCCCAACCCGCCCATAATCCCATCCGCACTCGCGCTCCCCCTCCCTGCCCCTCCTCCCCCAGAACCAGAACCAGATCCAAACCCAGCTCCGGCATTCATCCCGCCAAATATCGACACCAGATCGTCGAGCGGGTTCGCCGATGTCCCCGCGAGGAGGTTCGCAGCCGCTGGCGTGTGCGGGAGAATCTGCGTCGCCGCGAGCCCTGATGATGACGATGACGATAACAATGAGGAATCGCCGTTGGCGGCTTGCGCTGGCTCGTCGTCGAAGTCGAGCAGGTTCTCGGCTTGCTGGCCGGCCGCGACGGTCTGCAGCGCGCGCTGCGCGGCGGCGCGGTCGTCCACTCTGTGTTGCCGGTGGGGGGTCTCGTGAGCGTCGCATTTATAAGAGGGAGAGACGTAACGGCAAAAACGCGCTCAAAACAAAGAAAGCACAAGGAGAAGAACGGGGAAAGCGAAGAAACCAAGAAAGAGATGAGAGAGAGGGGATACGCACTCGGTAGCCTTCCGCTGCAGCGAATCCGCGCCGACCCGCCCGTGCCCGATAAACGTCTCCGCGGGTTTGTGGTACACGCTCGCGAGGCTCGACAGGTCGCCGAGCAGCTCCTCGAGCAGCGCGGGCGACACCGTCGTCTGCGGGACCGATATTGGCGGGCGGTGCGCGAGCACTACCGCCTGTGCATGTGAACATGCGTCAGTCGCCCGTGAATTGCCGAGTGAACGGGAGGGGAGCGAAGGGGGCGGAGTAGGGAGGGAGGGAAACGCACCTTGGCAGCGCCAGGGTCAGTGGAAAGCAGCCGCCAGTAGATGTACGCGCGGTCTCTCACGTCCGGCGAGTCGCAGTCCTTGGTCGCGGTCGTGAGCACACGCTGGACAATGCCCTGCGACGAGTCCGGCTTCTTGAGGAAGAGCTTGACGACCGCCGTGAGGGTCTGCAGCTGCACCTGTTCGCGCGGTTCATTAGTCTGCCTTCCTCATGGAAGGAAAGGACGAAGCACACCTGATACGACTCCTCCGTGAACGTATCGACAAACACACCGAGCAGCTCGTCCGCATTCTCGATCTTCTCCGCGTACTCGCCGATGATCCAGATGAGCGACGCCTTCGCCTCGGGCTCGTCGAGTTCGTCGAGGTTCGCGCACAGCGTCGGGATCACGCCCTCGTACGTCGACGGGTACTTGCGGAATATGTCCTGTGCGCCGCGTCAGCTATCAACTCCAAGTTTAAAATGGGAGCGCGGACCGACCTTCATGACGACGACGGCCTCCTGGACGACGTAGCTGACGCGCGTGTCGATGAGCTCGAGGAGGACGTTGACGCAGCGCTCGGCGGCTGACTCGATCTGGATAGCGGTCTGCCCGATCGCCTTGATGCTCTTGCGCACAAAGTCGACGTCGACCTCGGACGCGTACCTATGCTCCCTATCGTCAGTCCCATCCCGCGAACGGCATAAAAGGGCAAACGCACTCCTTCAGCTCGCTCAACAGCGCATCGACGTTGTTGTCGTTCGCGAGGCGCACCATGATGTCCAGCTTCTCGACCTTGACGTACAGCGGATCGTTGTACTTGCAGAAAAACACGCGCATCTCGCTCGTGAGCAGATCCGCGCGCTTCTGCAGCAGCAAGTTGATGTTCTTGAGCGCGACCCACTGCACCTCGGGCGGGGAGCTGAGCAGCGTCACGAGCGGCGGCGCCATCTTGCGCACGAGCTGCTTGACGAGGTCCTCGCGGTGCACGGCGCGCATGTGGATCATGACGACCTTCATCGCGGCGAGGACGACGGCGCCGTTGACGTGCTGGAACTGCGGGACGACGCGCTCGCAGATGTGCTCTGACTCCTTGTCATCCTGGGCGGTGTAGCGTGCGAGGGCGTTGAGGATGGCGACGCGGCCCCACTCGGAGCACTCGTTGAGGGCGATGAGGAGCTTGGTGAGGACGGCGGAGGTGATGTCGAAGTGGGCGGGGTCGTCGGGCGGGATCTGGTGGGCGGTCGCAGCGGCGTTGATATCGGTGAGGGCGGCGACGGTGTTGGCGACGACCTGCAACGCATCACGGGGGTGAGTTTAGCGCGGGTGGGGGGCGGGGGTAGGCTAGCGGGAGGGGGTGCGCACCATGGGGTTGCTGTCGCCGATCATCTCGTGCAGCTGCTCGAGGAAGCCGTTCTCGATCGCGAGCTCGGGCTTGAGATCGTAGAGCTTGGCGACGCAGAGGGCAGCGGTCTTGCGGACGTAGGGGTTGTCGTCGGACAGGGCGCGCCTGAGGGGATCGCAGAGGTAGTCGATGATCTTTTCTGCCCTGAGGCAGCCCATGGTGCGGATGGCGAGTGCGCGGACGAGGGGGTTGGGGTCCTCTGAGTCCTTGACGAAGGTGTTGACTGCGAGGATGACGAGCTCGGGCTGTGTCTTTGCGTAGTTCATGAGATAGAGGTAGACGAGCTTTTTCTGCTCGAGGTCGTCTGTCTGCATGTTCTTGAGGACGTCGGGGAAGAGACCGCTGACATCTGGGACTGTGAGCCAAGGACAACGAAGACTAGGAGAGACATACCTTTTCCTACAGTCATGGATGCTATGACGCGTTTAATGGCATCTTTTCTCTTTTCTCTGTACTCTGAGTTGAGGTCGACGCTGAGCTCGTAGTTCTCGCCCTTTCTTGGTGCGCGTATGCTCATCTCAGGAGGCTGGTGAGGATCCGGATGCCGACGCGGGCGGATGTCCCCTGAGCGGAGAGTGCCGACGCCAATTTTCTTTTTCTTTTTATTACTCGTTGCAGCTCGCGTCTGCCCCCATTTTGTTCTCGCGTTTTCTGTGTTTTCTGTCAAAATGCTGCCCCGGACTGCACGCAAGCTGGAGACGACTTTGGTGTCGTGCTCACGTCAGCGTCTCCCCAGACCAGCGCGGCTCTACAGCTCCCCGTCGAAGCCCTCGTCTGCCCAAGCGTCTGTCCAGCTGCCCCACGCCGACTACCCCAGCTACATCCCCCACCAGACAGAAATGCAGGGCTTCCTCAAGCGCAGACACACCTACACCATTCTCCCCTCCCCAATCCCCACAGACTCGGCCACTGGCGCAGCCTCCAACCTCAACTCCTTCCTCTTCATGGACTCCCCCACCCAGGACCAGCTCTCCGTCATGGACGCCTGTCTCCACAACCTCTACGACGTCCCCCGCGCAAAGCAGGTCTTCGAGGACCTCCGCCAGTCAAAGGGCGGAGAGCCCCTCCTCGAGCCCCGCATATACAACTCTTTTCTCGAGGCCTATCTCGAGCTGGCAGGCAGGGACCCGGACGAGAGGCACCAGTGGCTCGAGGAGGCATGGTCTCTCTTCGGTGTCATGCAGAGCAGGGAGGAGAGCGTGCAGCCGACCGCATCGACATATGCGACCATGCTCTTGGCCTGGGTCCGGTATGCCTTTTCACTCGCTTTTATGTACAAGTGCTCACACGACTGCAGGTATAGCAGCGATCCGGAAACGGCACCCAAGAACGCAGTGAACCCAAGCCAGCTTCTCTCCCATATCGTGGACGAAGAGATACCCATCACGTCTGTCGTCGCTGACAGAGCCATCACCTCGTCGGACGAGGCAGCAAGCATCATCACCCTGCTCTCCAAAGCTGCCGTCGAGCTCTCTCTCCCGCGCATCGTGGGCGAGCTTGGCCAAGCCCACAGCGCGGGCATGCACGAGATCGAGGAAGACGCCGTCCCCCAAGCCACGCCCGTCAGAAAGCGAAAGGTGCCGTCCTCTTTTCATGCACCATCATTTGCCATTTGGCTAACACGACATTACGCAGGCAACAACGGTAGACGGCCAGACGTTCGACGAGGAAGTCCCCTTCAACCTCGACAATCTCCGCAAGCACCTCACCCAGGTCGCCCTCGCCCGTCGCGTGCTCCCCGAGGACGTCGCCTCGCGCCAGAAGCTGCTCGAGGACAGCGCGATCGACGTCGCCATTGCGCGTCTACAGCACGAGGCGAAGCTGCTCGACGACCTCGAAATCGGCAATCCGCGCCTCAACAAGCCCAAGCTCCGTCAGTGGATGTGGGAGTGGCACACGCGCCTTACCGCGCGCCTCACCGCGGAGGTGCGCGAGGTCGTGGACGCCGAGCGGCAAGCTGGTGCCAGTGCGTGCTTACCCCGCTTTGTTTTCTCGCGTAGTAGTAAATCTGACAATTTGGCATAAGCACCAGCACCCTCGAACCGCAAACCCGCGACGCAGATCGGCCCGTTCCTTTCCCTCATCAAGCCCGAAAAGCTCTCGCTGCTCGTCATCCTCGAAGTCATGCGCCTCTCAGGGTCAGGCGGCGTCCTCGACGGGATGAAGACCGCGCGCGCGCTGCTCACCGTCGGCCGTGCGGTCGAGAACGAGTACAAGGCGGAGATGTGCAAGAAGAACAACATCGCGGTGCCGCAGCACACGCGCTTCTCGGGCGATGTCAATTTCTTCTCGGGCAACGGATATAAAGCGCTGCAGGCAGGGCGGCTTGCGGCGGCCAAGTACCTCGAGGAGAACGAGGAGTGGACGTCGGACTGGACGCAGCAGCTGCGGGTCAGGATCGGCGGCATTTTGGTGGACTGTTTGATGGATGTGGCGACGATCGAGCGGCAGGCGGTGGATAAGCGGACGGGGGAGAAGATGTGCGTTTTCTCTACACGTCCGAGAATCATTTTGCTGATGCGGTTGGATACGATGTAGTTCGGAGCAGCAACCGGCGTTCTACCATGCGTACGAGTACGTGCGGGGTCAAAAGTTGGGTGTTATACGGATCAACCCTTTTGTCGCGGAGCACCTCGCCAAGGACGGGATGCAGGGCACGCTGCACCCGCGCCATCTGCCCATGCTCGTCCAGCCGAAGCCGTGGGTCAACGCCGAGCAGGGCGGGTACATCTACAGCAAATGTGAGCCCTCTCCCTTCCCTTTCCTCCAGAACGCCATAGCTAATCCTTTCCGTCGTCAGCCTCAGCGATGCGGTACAAAGACTCGATCGAGCAGCAAAAGTACCTGCAGCACGCCTCCGCGCTGGGCAACTGCGAGCTCGTGTACGCAGGGCTGGATGTGCTGGGGAGCACACCGTGGAAGGTGAACGAGAAGGTGTTCGATATCGTGCTGCAGGTGTGGAACTCGGGCGAGCGCCTCGGCAAGATGCCGCCGGCGGTGTTCGATGTGCCCGAGCCGGAGCGGCCCGCGAATGTGGAGACGGACGTGAAGGCGAAGACGGTGTATGGGCAGCGGATGCGCGCGTGGACGAACGATAAGGCGAATGCGCACTCGGATCGGTGTAGTGTGAATTATAAGATCGAGGTCGCGAGGGCTGTGCGTGATCTGCCTTTTTTTCGCGAAGGGGTCATTGCTGACGGTGTATTTTGGGGGCGTGTAGTTCCTGGGCGACACGATGTATCTCCCACACAACCTCGACTTCCGTGGGCGCGCGTACCCGATTCCGCCGCATCTGAACCACCTCGGGGACGACCTGAGTCGCGGCCTGCTGAGGTTCGCCAAGGGCAAGCCCTTGGGAGTGCGGGGTCTGCGGTGGCTCAAGATCCACATCGCGAACTTGTACGGGTTCGACAAGGCGAACTTTGACGAGCGCGAGGAGTTCGCGATGAAGTATCTCGAGGAGATTTACGATTCGGCTGAGAACCCGCTTACGGTGCGTTGCTCTCTTTCGCCCCACGCGTTGCAAACCATATATACTGACGCGTTGCTGTCATCCAGGGCAAACGATGGTGGATGAAAGCCGACGACCCGTGGCAATGCCTCGGCGCGTGCATCGAGCTCAAGGCCGCGCTCGACGCGCCGGAGCCGACCGCGTACGTCTCGCATCTGCCCGTGCACCAGGACGGGACGTGCAACGGGCTGCAGCACTACGCCGCGCTCGGCGGAGATCAGCAGGGCGCCGCGCAGGTGAACCTCGCGGTGACTGACCGCCCCTCGGACGTGTACACGCACGTTGCGAAGATGGTGGAGCGGCGGCTGGCGGAGGACTGCGTCAAGGGCGAGAAGCATGCGGAGTTGCTGTTGGGCAAGATCACGCGGAAGGTGGTGAAGCAGACGGTGATGACGACGGTGTATGGGGTGACGTTTGTGGGTGCGCGAGATCAGATTGAGCGGCAGTTGAGTGATCGGAAGGATATTCCGGAGGAGGCGTGTTGGGCTGCTGCTGCGTACTTGGCGCATATTGTATGTTCTTTTTTTCTGTCTCGGGTCGTTCTTGGTGTTGACCGATGTTTTTTTTGCCAGACGCTGAACTGCATTGGCGACCTGTTCAGCGGCGCCAAGGCAATCCAGAACTGGCTCAACCTCTGCGCGCGGCTCATCTCTAAATCCATACCCGCCGAACGCGTCGCATCGGCGCTCGAGGCGCCCAAAGCGCGCAAGGGCAAGGGCGCGAAGGCCCTGGCCGAGGGTGGCAACGGCGGCGCGAACAACCGGATCAAGAACGAGCAGATGACGTCGGTGGTGTGGACGACGCCGCTGGGCCTGCCGATTGTGCAGCCGTACCGCAAGGACAAGAAGAAGCAGATTATTACCAGTTTGCAGACGGTGTTTATCTCGGACCCGAATACGCCGGCGGAGGTGAACACGATGAAGCAGGCGTCGGCGTTTCCGCCGAATTTTATACATAGTTTGGATGCGACGCATATGATGTTGACGGCGTTGGAGTGTCGGGTGGGTGTTCCTTCGCGATATTTTTTTGGTTAGAAGGTGCTGGGGCTGATGACGTTTTTGTTTATTTAGAAACAAGATATTACGTTTGCGTCGGTGCACGACTCGTACTGGACGCACGCGGCGAGCATCGACGATATGTCGGCCATCATCCGGAGCACGTTTGTCGATCTGCATTCGTCTGATATTCTCGGTCGGCTGCGCAGCGAGGTACGTTGCCCATGAAACCATCATCATTTCGGTTTTTTTTTCTGACTGTTGTTGTCATTTATCAGTTCGAAGAGCGCTACGCGACGCACAAGATCCCCGTCGCGTCCCTTTCGAGCAAGTCGCTCATCAAGTCGCTCCAGCAGTCCGGCGTCACGATCGACCCCGCCTCGGAGATGGCGCGGGCGGTCGAGAACACCGGGCTGGCGTCGCTCTTCGCCTCCGAGGGCGACAACACGGTGGAGACCGTGAGCGAGGATGGCACTGCGATCAAGACCACGCGCCGCCGGCGCAAGCCCAGGGCCGCCAAGGCCGATGCTGACAGTGCCGAGGCCGAGGCCGGGGCTGAAGGCGACGCGGTTGCGGTGAGCCCCGAGATGTCGACGAAGTTCGTGGACATGACGGCGATGCTGCCGCCGTTGCCGAAGAAGGGCGACTTTGACGTCGAGACGATCAAGGGCTCGCTGTACTTCTTCTCGTAAATCCCCTCCTCCGCCTCTTTCTCTTCCTTTTTTTTCAATGCTTTTTGCATTGCTCGGTTTTCATCGTTCATCGTTCATCGTACATTATTCACTTTTTATCTCTGCTTGTGATCGCATCATTCCCCCCGTTTTTTTCTTTCTACATACAGCTTTGGTTTAGTTCTCCCTTGCTCTCGCACCCCCATTCACCATTCACCATTAACATGCACATATACACACTCCGTACAGCTCACTGGCCCCTATAAGCTCATCCATTTCCATTTCCACCCTTACATATCCATGGCTCATATCCACCCATACATTACATTACGACCTCCGCATGCATCGATATCACGCACCGCGATGATCGACTAAAGACGCATTTTCCGTAATTCGCTGTATAATCTGACAGAATCTCCCGTTTATAGAGTAGACGCGCTGGCTTACTATTAGGCGCATGCATTTCTGACGAAGGGTTTGAAAATAGAGGAGTTTTGTTATTTTACGGCACTCTGGTTCAACTGTTTGGTTTTTGCTGCGGTGAGTGAGGGTATCGGTATGACAAGGATGGAGGTGAGGCATGGTGAAAACCGTGACTTCGAAGGAGCCCGCGGCTGCATGATTGGGAATCTTCAGGTTCTCAGCTTGCTTTCCGCCTCTCCGCTCACATGCACCTCCTCCTAGTCCGCTCGTTCTTCGTTCGCGCCGATTCATCTGATGACTCCTTCCTTGCTTTATCATCTCATATTATTTCGCGGACGCTTCTCGATCGGTCTGCAACGACTTAGAACGTCACCATGATAAACAACTTTCGCTCTGAGGTCGAGACGACAAATCACGGGCGAAAAGGCAAGGTGAGAACAGTGAACAGGTTACTCGAGTCGGGAAGCGGAGGCCGGCCCTAAGCATACGCGCCTACCCGGTAATTGACGCGTCTTGACGCGCGTCGACGCGTCCAACACAAGTCCAACGTATTGATCCCTCGCCTCTCTCATGCCTTCTCTTTGAACTACTCCGCTTCCTCCCTTGAACTTGAAATCCGATGCATGCTTTGCTAAATGCAGACTCGATCACCTCGGGGGATGACATCTATGACATTGACCGTCCGAGCTGAACCCAGCAAAGCACCTCTACTACGTTTCCACCGCGGGCGTACTTAGATGTGGATGCGCATGGGATGGGATGGGATGGGATGGGGATTTCATGTTGTTTGCTGTACGCTTTACACGAATTTCTTTCGAATAAATTTAATGGTCATGATACTTTTCGTTACAGTGAGGGGTTAAGCTTTTAAGGCGAGCCATCCTGCCTTGGCTTGTCGCTGTATATCATACCAGACACTAAATAGGATGTTTCAAAAGGTACAAAGGTACAGTTATAAGAGAATTATTGTCGAATGTCTCATCCTTTATGATCTGACTCGCCACCACCGTCGTCCTCGACACCGACATTCTCGACGTATCTTTGCGTGTTCTCTTCCGTAGTGCCCTCCCAGCTCATAGTCTCCGTCTGCCATGCCTTCCAGCTGGGCATCGTCCGCTGAGTCGACATCAATTGGCCGATCAGCTCAGGCTGAGGTGCAGAAAGGAAGAGTTGAGGACCAGACTCAGGAGCAATATCGGGTGACGGTGAGTATCTATTTGCAGACAGTGCGTGAAGCCCCTGGTGAGGTCCGGAAGGCTGCGGCGGGGCCTCTCGCTTGAACGTGAACGATTCTCCACCTTCTCCCTCGTTTACCACACCGGAAGTGAGCATCCACTCCTGCCAATGTCCGGATATTGGGACAGCGGGCGATGGTTGCAGAAAGTTCTTCCCGCAGACCATGTATTCGTGGACGAGCAGCGGCTTTGCCGTGGAACTGCCTTTCGCTGGGGCCCGGGGAAGCTCTGGCGTAGCTATCAAAGTAAACGAAGATATACTTCCCAAGCTAATTCACTGTCAATAGATAAAACAAGAACAGATCTTTAGAGGGAGTGGGACTCACCTTAGGCTCATAGCGAATGAAGAACATCAACGCATCGAATGCTACGTGATGAGTTGGACACATCATCAACCCGTTACGGGGTTCATGCTCAGGCGACGCTTTGGCACCCGCTGGAATCCATCCTACCTGTTGGAGATGAGCCCACTAGAAAGAACATTAGTGGTTCCGCGCATCAATTCAGCTGCACATAGGACGAACCTCTCTGAGATTCGAGCGAGGACGATATAGCAATGTTGCAGCGATGAGCCGTGCCCGCAGACTATACATAACTTTCTCCCAAGGAACTGATCGCGCTCATCTAGGCCCGTATTGAATGCTGTGGTGTCAGAGTGTCCCGACTCTGTCTCAACGGGGCGAGCAAGTTCTGTGGGTGGGGATAATGCGGTATTGGGAAGAGGATAGGGGGTAAGGTGAGACATGGCGACGAGCGAAAGCGATAATTTATGTGATGTATCAGCCGAAATGCAATACTGGGTATGTGGTTAACCTCTCATACCAGCTTGTTTTGCTAGCGATTTAGACGAAGTGGGTGGGGATATAGCGACAGCTGCGACATGACAATCCAGAGCGCTGTCATATAGGGCTTGATATAGGGGTTACTCTCGGCAAGCGGGAGCCGGCCCTAAGCATACGCGCCTACCTGATAATTGACGCGTCTTGACGCGCGTCGACGAGTCCAACATTGAAATATTGGTCTCTCGCCTCTCTCATGCCTTCTCTTTGAACTGCTCTGCTTCCTTCTTTGAGCTTGAGACTCAATGCTTGCTTTGCTAAATTCAGACTCGATCACCTCGGGGGATGACATCTATGACATTGATCGTCCGAGTCGAGCCCAGCAAAGCATCCCTACTACGTTTCCACCTCTGGCGTTAAAACGGGCACGAAAATTGGATCCGAACAAGGCTTGTTGCGCAGTCACGAACACGCGAAAGGACGTGGTGACCTTCCCCTTGCTCCCGTTGGATTCAGGCGATAGAACTGTACTCGCTCGTCACCTTGTCCTTCGTTTACTCATCTCACTGAATTTATCACTAGCTCACCCAGCTTGAATATGCGTGGGGAATGGGATGGCGAAGGCTGGACGTTAGTAGTCCTTTCAATGCAATGTTCGGTTCGTGGCCCTCCTTTGGTCGCATGGACATTCCATCCTGATCATACTGAACTAGTCACAAAGGAATGGCGCCAGCAATTTATTGACAATCGTTGGCTTTTGTTTCCTGAACCACATATCATTCTGTCATTGTTGAAATTAGCTCAAGAGCAGAATCCGGTGAAGCTTAAAAAGGTGCGCAAGCACTAAGACACCTTGTTTACGCCTCAAGCTCACTCTTTCACAAAGTACTTCCAACAGCAGACGACGTTTAAATACTACCCTGTTCCTCAGCCCTCGCTTCGAGACGAGGTCATTGTCGTGAAGCCGTACCGTGGTGGTGCCCATACTGTTCACACATATCCGTTCGCAACTCTTGGTCCAATCGTCACTCACGTGCGGCCACATTTCGTCGTAGAAAACACGTATGCAAAGTACTCAGCGGTGAAGGGTTACGAATCTCGTGACGTGACGCGTGCCTTCCAAGCCGCTCTCGACATGCACTACCCGGGGCATGATTATACGGCGGTCAACTTGTTTTTCAAACTCTCGCAGGCTTCAAAGAAGTGGGCGAGGCGTGAAGTCGCTCCTACCTTCAGGCGTCACGTTCGCACGTCCAGACGGCTTCTACCAGTGTACAGAGTGGTCTCTGAGTGGGGGACCGAAAGTACCGTCTCCGTGCCAAAGGAAACAGAACCATTTGACCGCATCGAGTGGATCAAAGGCATCGCGCGATGGCAGGTCGGGGCTACATTGGAGGCTGATGTCGACGGGTGGGAATTAAACGTGTACAATGATGCCCAGGTCGTCGACTACAGGTCTGAGCCGGAGCCTGTCTTCATACCGATTCCCGTGGATACGTGGCACAGCTGGTGTCCGTCATGGCAGCGTGATCCTAAAGGGAACCATTTGAAGGACAGTACATACTTCTCTAGCAACGACTGGGCTGCACTCGAGTTTCGTGTCCTTTTGCCCTGTGCACGGCCCGGGGATTGATACCATCGGTTTCCTTGTAGACGGCTCAAACTCCTTGTATGATTTGATATCCTGTAAGATACTCTCGACTAGTCCCCCAATATCCCGCGTCAACCCTGTTTTCGTTACAGCTTTTGTTTCAGTGTTTTCTATGTTCACAAGACAGAAACTCTGTTTCGTCCACCCGTTGAAAGGACAATACGCTAGGACCAAGGTATGTCTAGCCGATACGTATGATGTGTGAGGTCACTCAAAGATTCATTCGAATCAGCCTCGTAGAGCGCTGAATATGAATCTTCGCTGGCTTTTCCATCACCACTGCTCACAATCCCTCCAGCGTGCAGTAGGCCTACTTCATTCCATTGATCACATGCCAGGAACTTAGCAGCAGTACTTTACATACACGGATGGTACTGTCCAGGCCCTTACTTTACTAGCTTCTCGTAGCCCGACCATTAGTGGCTCTCACTCGACGTAGTTACGTTTATCTTCTTGTTCTTACGTACTTTTCCCTGCAATGGCAGCGATGAATTACAAAAAAAAAAAAAAAAAAAGAAGAAAAAAGGATGGTACTGTCATGGTAGTGGTTATTTATCAACAAGACACCGCGCTATGTATCTATATCATGCGCCGCTGGATCCGACACCTTAGTTTCTATCGAAGTTAACATTAATGTTATGTCGCAAAGTTGAGTTAGCGGTCGCAATCGGTCGCAATGGATACTGGCGATTCCGTTCAATTGTAATCAGTTGCAATCACCTTGGAACGTAACTAACACTCACAATTTTGATCGAAATAAACTTTGCGACATAATGGGTTCTCATATACATACTGTACGGCATATCAGAATTTGCTTGAGGGTTAAACGTTAACGTTAATTAGCTGAGTGCAAAAACGCACGATAGATAATTCCGTGTATATAACAAACAAAGTATCACGTCCGGGATGAGCACCGCAGGCCACGATCAAAAGGACCCATGCATCATATCAAAATGTCAAAGCAAATGTCAACAAAAGCCTACCATAAATTTGAATAATATCGAGTTATTTTTACGACGCGAAGCGAGGGCCGGCGGCTGCAGTTCAACTTCTCTCCGCCTCTCTCCGTTCTTGACCGACTCATCGACATCCGGAGACTTCGTTGCTTTATCGAGGGTTTATATCATTTCGTAGACGCTTCTCGATCTCGACCGGGTGCAACAATTGCCATGATGAACAAGCACTCTGAGAGCGAGACGACACGGGCGAAAAGGCAAAGCAACTTCGTAAATTCTTTTGGCGACGTCAATCCTGCAGCTAGACGCGCCGAACAACACTCGCTGGACCGCCCATCTTAGAAGGTCTCACAGCAACGGCGGAGTTGTGTTTGTGTCTGCCCAGTCTCTTTTGTATACCCTTTAGAGGAGGACAGACTTTAAAAAACCGACTCGCAGGTTGGATGGTATCAAACACCAGTTCCATAGTCAAGATTCGGCACTTTGCCTTAGCTTGCCTATGCGAACTGGCGTGCATTCATCGGGACATGAGCTATTGCAGTAGAATGGCTAATAAGCCTTCATACATGCGGTTTAACCTTGACACTGGGCTGGGAGATCTTGGACGTTGGGTGAGTTTTTGATGCATAAAGAGCACTTACTACGCCATGCTAACCAAATCAGACACTCGTTCGTCGACGGGCCACGTGAAGTGTAACAATCTGGAGTTTAGTCCATGAGGCAACTTCACTCCTACGCGAAGCAGCAGCGATATCGTGCATACGCCGCTTGTCATGCGTATGCAGTTGCCACAGATCGTGAGCCATGCCTCGTAGAGAGGGAAAGCCTAATTTTGATAGGCAATTACTACACCTGTGTGTACGGGAAGTAGGGGCGCCATCAAGGTCAAAGACTTGATTTGAAAATATCAATGGGCTTGCCCAATCAGTCTAACGTTATTTTACACGACTTCTATCGCACTCGCAAAATGCTTGACTTGGATGCTTTGCAACGATCGTGAACTTCAAGTGCAACCTCAAAGAGTGCAGCGACACGTGTCAAACGGATGCACATAGGAGAGTAAGCTTCAAGGGAGTTTTGCGTGCCTCGTGTTGGCGGCGAACTCGTCGATACGGCTTCTCGTGTCGCTCACATCTAGCTGCGGATTCTATCGAGCGCTCGGACTTGAACGGATGCCCCTCGTCCTCTTGCCTCTCCCACGGCCTTTTTGACCTCGACACCATCATGGACGACCAGGACGCCCACCTTGCGGACCTTCGCTACATCATTAACCATGTTTTCATGCCTTTGAAACTCCCGCGGCAGTCAGATCACGACGTGTTAAAAGAAGGAGCTTTGGCACATTTGACATCCAGAGTCGCAAGATCTTTCCGCTCTTATGTTCCCCCACAATATTTGCTGACATGGGATGCTGTAACCATCATGCTCTCTCACCTACATAAGTCTGCCAGTAAATCCTATTTGTCCGCCGATACAATCCGTTATCAGCTTCAGTCCATGGAAGCCGGAGGTGCGTATTGGCTTTAGCGGGTCAGACGGGACCTAATTGTCCTATAGACTTGCGCGTTTTCTACAGCCGACGTCAAAATGCCGGGCTCATCGTCCGGAAAGCATGGGACTGTATCATTTTCGAATCGTTTGAAGCTTCCCCTTCTCCAGATGCCGTCATGCAGGTCACGGGAAAACTTCTTTGTTCTTTTCCAGGGCCAGCGGTGAGCATCTCAAATACTGTAGGCCAAGAACCGGAATTCCTCGATCAACTGTCGAAGTTTCTGGAGGGATTAGACGAGGAAGAATTTCTAGACGCAATTCCTCACACGAGCAAAGCCGGAGTTCTTGTTCCAGAAACCCGAGACTCGATCAACCCCCGATATGTTACCGAGTTGTTGACGGGCATTCTCCTTGGATTCGGCACCCCCGCCGACGTTCCTCGAGTGTCCAAGCGCATTGGGGACGATGTCCAATGGTTAAACGCGGAGCTGCCGTGGAGGCGGTCTCCCCTCTGGCTCGTCATCAGGGTCTCCTTGCAAACCACGCTTTCCAGGATCACTGGCGGTCTGCTCGTATATAAATCATTCATCCTGTTCCTGATCACCGACATCGTCCAGCGTGTCATCAACGACTACCTTCCGCGTTTCTCCGATGAAGTACTCTTCCAGATGTCGGCAAAGATGGGTCGTAGGCTTCATAAGCTTGGGTCGTCTGCTCTTCCAGGGCTCGCGAAGATTACGTGCAAGGTTGCCAAAGCAGCCCGAAACGCGTTGGAAGAACGCAGCCAAGCCCTGACTCCATCCCCTCTTCCCGTGCTTCAGCTCACCACATCTGATTTCGAACGAGACGTGAATTTATCGTTGAAAAATAGTCGATCGTATATTCAACGGGCGTTATCATTCAAAGCGCCTCCAAACCCTCCTTCATTCTTCACTCGAAAACGTGCTCCCCGTGAGCACGATCTGGCAGAGTTCCTCAAGACACTCGGTCGCCGGCTTTCAGAAAATCGAGACGATGAGAGGTATCTTACGCTTATAGACTTCGAAACAGCGGTTCAGAACTCGCTCCACGACGCCAAAGCCTGGTGTGAGACTATAGCGGATGTTGATACAACCTGCATCAACCTTAAGGAGATCATGGATGTGTACCATGACAAGGCTCTGGCACTATACTGTGATAATCCCGAGAACATCTCAGTTATGTATCTGACGCTCCTACTCCTGTGGGTCGCGTTAGACCATCTCGTTCTGGCGAAGATCCCTCTGCTTTGGGATTACTGCCCGGAGTTTAGCCGTACCGTATTCGAGCCTCTCCTTCTCCGAACGCGGCGATCTCGCACGCTGCTTCAAGGTGCTCTAGCCCATCTATCCTCGCGCCACGCCCGCGCGACAAACAGGCCTGTTCTTGAAGGACATATGGATAGCTACTCCTTCCCAGTCCAATATTTTCGCAGCTCCTTCACGCTGCAGGCGCTCAAGAAACAGATCGAAGATGATGCTGAAGTGAAAAAAGAGGAGAAATTGGATGAGCTAGACTGGAAAACACAAGAATACGAACAAATAATGCAGCGGGCTCACAGCCTCACTCACGAGCATGATCAGGATGCATCCGATTCGGATGAAGACGACACATGGGAGGAGTATGAACTTGAAGACCAGCCGTGCTTGAGGTGCGAACTGGAGGACCAGGCCACAGCGATGAAGATTGGCGTCTATGAATGGCCGCTGCCTTCCGACGATCTGCAAGCGATGTGTGCAGTTTTCGAGCTTGACTGCCCCGTACCTTTTGCTGCATGGCGGGATGCTACCTATCACTTTGTCGCCGAAGTCCTTGACCCGAACACGTCAGATGCAGACGGAGAGCAAGACTGGTATGGCGTCCTCGACCCTGACAGTTCGTCCAGGTATTTTCCTTTGATGATATACGCACGTAGTCCTGGGTTCTGCAGACGCATCGCTATGGGGTCGTTGACGAAACCCTTCCGACAGTCTCATTATCGAGTACTCTCTCTGGATGGGAACCCTACTAGCGAATCTGTTGCTGTAGAAAACGCCCTCGAATTCTGGCTTTTTGACACTACTCTCAACCAGCATTCCGCTTGCTGCATTGGTGTTAAAGACGTTGCCGAGTCTTGCACCTTCGATATCCCTGAAGGAACATACTCAAATCTCCAATTCGCCCTGCAGACCACAACTCATACCACGAACGAAGTATTGGCACAGCAATCTGATTGTCACCCTCAGCTATCTCTCCGTGAATATTGGGCCTACGCAAGCCTCCGTAGTGGTGCTCGGCTGCAATGGATGAACATCCTCCGGGTGCTTAGGGACCGGTCGCTGAACTTTCGTGAGGTAGAGGTTTACCTTCTATGCGTCCAAGCGTCTCTCCAGGTCGGACCTCTCGATGTCGATTCTTTTGCATCCTGGCACTCTCTTCTACACGAGAGGGAGTTTTGCTCGTCGTTGATTCAGGAGCTGAGTAAGCTCCTTGCTGACATACGGCAGAACTGGCTCGAGCTTTTCTCCATGCTCCTAGTCATTGATATTCTGCTGAGAGTTATATCTTCATCTACAAACAAAGATGTTACTCGAGCAGCATACCTAACGCTTCGGGAATGCCGTTCAGTGAGCATTGCTTGGCTTGACGAGCTTTGCAAGCACCCAGATCGCTCCCGGCATGAACAAATACAGCAACGCATCCACGATGTCGCAGCCGCATGCGTTGTCACCTTTGATACAGAAGCCCTTCACATCAATTCGCTACTCTCCCGAAACGATTCCAATGATGTCGCCCAGCTGGTTAAGGCGTCGATCATTCTTGACGAGTATGCCCCTGCATCGGATGATGGTTTACCGACTAGCTCCGTATTGCTTTCGGAACGAGCGAGGCGCTTGGCTGTAGTCTTGGAACCGTATCTGTACGACCGCATAACACTGGATCGGACAGGACTGGACCAAGCCGTTCGATTTGTCTGGGGTGGGTATCGCCCAGATTACAAGAAACCATGGACCCGTATGAAAGCCGTCGCCAACGCTCGATGGATTACATGCAGGACACTTCAGACTACCGAGCAATGTTCTCAGACAGTACAGTATGACCTCTTGAGTGGCGCCCTGCTCATAGACGGCAAGACTTTCGCAAGGCTACCCTCATCCATCACTCATCATCCGACATATACTCAGCTATTCTCCGAGGTGAGCTGAGTTGTTCTATGCTATGTTTATGATGATCTGATGCTAAATAATGCTGCTAAGCAAATCCTAGAAGTCGTCCCCAGCGATCTGCCTGGCATGCAATACACAACTAGGGGCCATATTGAGAATCACCAGGTAGCTTTTTCAATCACGTCGGGTTACCAATGAGTGCTTATCTATTTGAGCTTAGGTGTTCTTTGGGCTAGTTGATGACATGCCAGTAATCAGAGCGAAGCGGGTCGCGGGTGGACCTCTCTTAGAACTCATCCCATCCGAACGATTGCGAGGCGATATCCCTCTTCCTTACGTGGATGGACATACCCATTGGCTCAATTTGGCCTCACGTGTCATCGAAGTTCGGCCTACACATCGCAGATGGGAGTCGTCGGGCAAATCGGATTGGCGCATCCATTTCTCGTCTCACCGCTCTCGCATGGTTCGAAAGTTGCAATCGGGAGCGGTTTCCCAAATAATTGACCTCTCCAGTTCTACGCGCAGCATGCTATCCCGGTACTTGGATCCCATCGAATTGTCGGCATATCAGGTTGTGATATGGACGCCAGGCGCTCCTTTGGAGAAGTTGCTTGTTGAACTACCGCGCTCGGGATTCTCATTCTTCCTCAACCCTGAGGGCAAGCTACAGTCGCGTGAGCTTACTAACTTCGTCGTCGACACAAACCAGTCAACGGGGACAATGATTGGGCTGCAAAGCCAACTTGTTCTGGCGCCAAACCCATTAGACGACTGTAGTGGTGAAGAGATGCGTCGTGTGATTATTCCACGAGGATCCATCTCATATACAACTTCATCGCGACACCCTCGCATTTCCATCCAAAACCCCGAATCCCTGACCAGAGTCTCCTACGATATCTACAAGGTAGACACGCTTCTCGGCCGACTGGAGCTCGATGGCCTCTCAAGCATAACCTCCCGTCTTTATAAGGTCTACCTTCATGCCATCAGTACTCAGTGCCTACCAGATTCCTTGACTCAGCGCACAGGAACTGAAGAAGCTCTGCGTGAACTTCGCTCGGCAGCGTGCTTGTCCTTCAGCTTGCTTCATGACGAGGATATTGTCCTGCTTAGGTGCATATCAGGACTTACGCCCCGTCGCCGCTATTATCCGCCTGCGCGCGAACGAATGCAAAGCGTGCTCTGGGGGAAGCTCAGTTCTATAGCTCAGCATGAAGGTTTTCGTGAAGCGGTGGCTAGCATTTTGACGCACGCCAAACGCATGAACACCATCGATTCCACGTTATGTCATGCAATATCAGGTCTCGAAAGGTCAGAAGAGGGAAGTACCGACTCCCCAAAGTTAATTTGTCGAGCAAAACTTCGCAGACAATTCGTTCAGCGGGACGGGTTTGCTAGCCTCGAATGCGATGCTCAGGACTCAGATACTGTCCACAACTCTCAATGGGATGTCTCACGCGAAGTTTTGGTCCAGCAAGTTTCGGCCACGTCTGCTATGGTATTCCGTTGGTCGAGAAGGTTATCGGTGCCCCCACCTCCAGATTTGTTCGACGTGATGAAGTCGATTTCTTCCGGGTCCACCTTGGAAAGGCACCACTGTTCGTCTTTGCAATATAGCCGTATCTGGCTCTCAGAGCCAAAGATCATCTGGCTCACTGCCCTGGAGTTATGCCGAAAGGCGCCAAACAAGTTCCAACTTCTTTTTACCCTGCCATCGATGTCATATAGTAATCACTATCACGAGAAACAGGAACTGATAGCAGCCTTGTTCGGCATCGCTTACGGGGCTTCCACTGGCCCGGCACCCTCAAACATTCTGCATTCGTCCTACACTCTCGATGATGGAACAAAGTTGGATGCCGATGCCCTAAGCAGGGTCATATCGGCACACTGTCGCTCTCTTCGTAACTGTCCAGAAGGGACCTGGACTCGAAGCAAAGGCGAAAGCCACGGCACGTTTCAAATTCGACAAACTAAATCTCACTCGTTTAAGATGTCGAAGCTCAAGCCTAGATTGCTGGATTCCTTTCTTTCACAATTGAAGATGGGAGACATGCCTCAGCAGCCGCCTGGAGAATTCGTACTCTACTTCGACTTTGACAAATTGTTGTCGGAAGTTCGCCGCTTATTTATCAGCTGGTGGCGGAACAAGGAACTACAAGTCTATGCTGCAAGACTTCAAAGGCAGCTCTCTCAGACTGCTTGGTCCACTATGCGTACTCAAAGGTATGATTCGGCTTGCATTCGCTCGGACCTGTTGAATGACAGTCACCCCCCAAGTTACTCCTTCCTGCCTGCAAGTAGAGGGCCGGAAACTCATCCCACTGGGCTATCCTCTCTCGATCTCCTGTGTCGCACGGTTTGTGGAGGACTTTCATTTCCGGTGTCGCTTCTGGCACAACACTTCGGAGCCAACAGCCACAGTAAATCAGCAACGCAAGATAACCGCCTGCACTCACTAATAACCCGAATTCAGGGCCTTTCGCAAGGTCCTCCCTACAATATCTATAGTGAAAGTCTGGAACAGAGCAGGAAGGCTCTTGCTCAAAATTACCTCTCTGATCCAGAGTGGGAAGACAGCTCAATTATCAGACCTTTGGCTGAAGAGGATCTTCGGCTGTGCAAAGACCGCATGATTCTGTCATGCGACACGATCATACGAGCTCTGGCGCCGCAGACCGATCACGACATGGCTTTAGCCCACACCGGGTTGTGGCCGAGTCTCTCGACTTTATGTCTTTTGCGCTACCTGGACTTGAACCATTTCCCGTCGCTTATGCTACATTGGAAGAGCACGCTTCTGGATTTTGCGCGCATTGTTATCGCTCTGCAAACAAGTCGGCGGCGAGTCGTCATGGCTAAGAGGGGCGACGACCAGGATCTAATACGGGATCTTGAACACACTAAGCAGCAGTGCTACGTGACGACTGCTTGTCCCGACTGGCTTCTTCTGCAGGTGATCTTCTTTTACATGCTTTCGAGGCTCAAAGAGCTGACAATGGTCTAGATTGATGGTGACTTCACGCTACGCGACGTTCAGCACCAGATCGCAGACAAGATGATATCCCAAGGCTCTCATCAAAGCATTACCCTTCAGCTCAACATGGGTGAAGGAAAGTCATCTGTAATTGTGCCCTTAGCTGCGTCAGTCATAGCAGACAAGTCCAAGCTTGTTCGCTTGATTGTCCTCAAGTCGCTGGCTGCTCAGATGGCCCACACCATGGAAAATCGTCTCACCGGTCTTGCGAACCGTCGAGTCTATTACCTACCTTTTACACGTTCCACTCAGCTTGATTCGGAGACGCTCAAAGCAGTAAGATCGGTTTTGGAAGAGTGCAAGGAGAGCGGAGGGATCCTCATTGTGCAACCAGAACATATCTTGTCAATGAAGCTTCGCGCGGTGGAGTGTCAGCTTCCGGGAAAGTCTTCTTCTGCCGCCGCCGCACTCGGTCATCTCCAACGCTGGATATCCAATTATTCTCGGGATATCTTGGACGAAAGCGACGAAATTCTGCATGTCCGCTACCAGCTGGTGTACACCTGCGGCGCACATCAACGGTTACAAGGGCATCCGAATCGATGGACTACCACCCAGGAGATACTGCGACTAGCTCGTGGGCATCTGCACAAACTCTTCTTGAAGGACCCATCCATGTTTTCAACTCAAGGAACGAGTCGGTTTGAGGATGCTCATCCGTCGGCATTTCCACCAGTCCGACTGGTTCAGTCGTCGCCTGCGGCTAGTGAACTACTACAACTTCTCGTGTCCGACGTCTTGGAGGGTCGACTGTCCAACTGCAATCTTCATCACTTTGACGAGTCAGAGAGAGACGCGTTCGAGATGTTCATCTCGGAGCCATCCGTGACCATCGAGGCACAAGGACTCTTGTCTGATCTTCGCGCACGAGACACATTGGACGAGAACGTTTGGAGCTTGGCTTTACTACTTCGTGGGCTCATAGCTCATGAAATCCTAATATTCTGTCTCCGGGATAAGCGGTACCGTGTCGATTATGGCCTTGACCTGCGCCGTTCAATGTTGGCCGTCCCTTATCGTGCCAAGGACGTCCCTTCCACTACCGCGGAGTTTGGACACCCCGACGTTATCGTTCTCCTTACTTGTCTTAGCTATTATCTCTCGGGTCTTTCAGAGACACAGCTCGAATTGTGTATTCGATTTCTTCTCATCAGCGACAATCCAGCATCTGTATACGAAGATTGGATCTCAGTTGTAGCGGCTTCCGACCTTCCCGAATCGTTAAAGTCCTTCAAAGGCCTCAATGCTGACTCAGTGGATCAACGACGCTTCCTCTCTGGAGTTTTCGGACATAATCAAGCAACCATCGACTTCTACTTGCGCACCGTTGTCTTCCCTCAGCAGGCAAAGGAATTCGAGAGCAAGCTGGTGACCTCAGGGTGGGATATCGTAGAGCCAAAGAGTCACATCACCACCGGTTTCAGCGGTACGAACGACTTCCAGCACCTTTTACCGACACACATTCTCCAAAGAGACCCCGAGCATCAGCTCTCCACAAACGCCCGTGTTCTCGACTACATGTTGCGGGATGAGAATGATCACTACGAGACGTTCGCCTTTCCCGACGGGTTGCGCTTCGTGGAGAAGCTGGCGCAGACGCAGCCGAAAGTTCGCATGTTGCTCGATGTCGGCGCGCAGATGCTGGACGTCAAAAACAAGGAGCTGGTTGACCGTTGGCTGGGGTGCGAATCCCCAGAAGAAACAATTGCTGCAGTTTACGTCAATGATCAAGATGAGTTGACCGTTTTACACCGGAACGGGCACGAAGAGCCATTGTCGAACTCGCATGTCAATCAACATCTTGGACAATGCGTAGTCTACCTTGATGATGCGCACACTCGGGGCATGGACGTCAGATTGCCCTCCGGATTTCGGGCTGCTGTAACTCTCGGGCCAAAAGTCACGAAAGATCGGCTAGCTCAAGGTAGGCCCCAATCATAATTTTGCTCGCCTCATCACTGATTTTTATTCCTTGTGAAGGGTGTATGCGTATGCGTCGTCTGGGCTCAGGCCACTCAATTGCTTTCTTCGCCCCCCCAGAGGTAGAAACGAAAATCCGCCAGGTTGCCACGAGGAAGATAGTAAGCAAGTTTACTGTTGAAGATGTGTTGCTTTGGGTCATCTCGGAGACATGTGCGGAACTCAAATCGCGAGCGCCCCAGTGGGCGTACCAGGGCATTGATCATGATAATCGCTACAAGGCTTGGACAGAGTTCGTCAAAGCGGAGTCCTCCGATGGAACAGAGCTTCAAAACCTCCGACAAGTGTGGATTCAGAAGGAGATGCGTACGCTTGAACAACTCTACGGCATTCGCTCAGCCTGCATTGTGCACCCGCTCAAAGATATAACGAGATTTCCTGGTATCCACCAGCGTTGTGTCAAACTTGGTCTTGCCCCCAGTTCTGTGGAGCAGGAAGTTGCACTAGACGAGGAGCAAGAGAGGGAGGTATTACACGAGATTGAGCGAGAAGAACAAGTGCACTGTCAGCGTCCGCTTTCTAGATCTCCTCGGCAGCATCACCTTTCAGCAGACATGAAGAATTTCGTCCAGACAGGTTCTTTCGGGTTCTCGCAGCGCTCTGCCTCCTTCATTCCAGCCTTCTCACTCAACCTAACAGGCACCCCAGCTAAGTTTCTGAAAAATATGAAAGGGGAGCTGTGGACGACTAGAGATTTCGCCGAAACCGTTGGGCCATTCCAGTCTCTCGAAATGGACTTCCTCCGCCCCGTTCAGTGGGTTCTTTCGACCGTGCGCCATGATCCTAATGCCAGCAAGGATGCGATATTCGTTCTTATTAGTCCATACGAAGCAAACGAGTTACTTCCTGATATCAGGCGGTGTATGAAAGTCCAATTGCACATTTTCACCCCGCGACTCACGTTGGAGATGGCATCTTGCGACGACCTCCAATTCTTCACGATCCCCCCCGTCGAGTACCCTACCCTCGTACTAACTCGCATCCGCATGGAGCTAATATTGTTTTCTGGCCAACTCTACCTCTCGAGCTACGACGATTACATTGAATTCTGCAAATTCTTGGGTGTATTCGCAAATGACTTGAAAGGCTTACCCGAGCTCCACGTCTCTCATGATGGCTTCATCAACTCTTGGGATCGCCCATCAGGCATTCGAGCGGAGTCTGCGTTTTCGATTAATCCTATACGTCCACTCACCGCTCTAATGGGCGCCCGCCTGAATGGAATGAGCTTTAGCCATACACACATTGGGAAAATACTGAGTGGTAGACTCCTTTTCCCCGAAGACTTTGGTTCAAGTGGTGAGTTGAATTCCTAGTGCCTCAAATCATCTTCTTACCCAACAACAGGCGAGGTTTCAGCTTCTTAATTTACTCGATTGCAGCTGATACGCGAGTAACATATACACTTATAACAACATACTCCGTTACGAGCAATTTTGCCAGTGCTGTTGTCTTTTCTCGTTAACGCTTCTCAAACTGTCCCGAAAAGTCCTTTCGTGGAGAGCATACATAATCTCTTGACCTTCGGGGTGGGACCACGAAGCAGCCCATCTAGAGCTATCGTTCCAGTAGTGTAATACTCGCCATGATACAATAGAGAACGTCAAAATCAGAGTCAGCGAAAAGAGAATAGCGTGCGATTTTCAACATTCGAGCAATACAAGAGATACGCTGTCGAATGTAGCCTCTATCATGTCCTCCATAGCATCACAACCTGAGTTCGCGAGCCCAGTGAAACGGGCTTGCCTGAACCGCCTCGAGATTCGCGAGAGTCCGTCAAGCAAGGCCGATTTCCAAGATGAATCCCGTCTTCCTTGCGAATGGTCTCTGGGAGATGAAGAAGCAACGACGGCATGAAGGACATGACACAGACAGATGACCGAGTCTTTTGTGGATGCGATTGCGAGCTGAGGAGAAAAATCGTCGGCATGGGATTCTGGAGAACTCGAGGGCGAGGAAGAAGAAAGCGAGAAGAAGTCAGACACGGTCTTGTCCAGAGCCTGAAGCGCTTCGGTAGCTAGAGTTTGTTTGATGTTCTGTACGGCGGCTGCGAGACGTTCACCCCCAGCTCCGGAAGGAGTCGGAATTTCTGGTTTGATGCAGAGTTCATCCAATGTGCGGAGGGAGGCATTGAGCAAGACCAGAAACTGCAGTCGAAATTCGGTAAATGGTGAGGAAGTAGTAGGAGAGTTGCTCTGGCAAAATCGTGTTAGTTTCTCGTTGAAACCTAAAAAATTTGAGACGAAGAAATAGTTACGAGTGCTTTTACTAGCGGGACGAACACGGTCGAAACTAGGGTACGCAGGGGATCGTTTGCTTCGACCTGATTATTGTCGTCAAGATTTCCCGATGGACCAATTTTCTCAGCGACAATGCCGGCAGCACACAAGACATGCATCAGTAGCACCGAGACTACTTGAAGCGTCTCAGCGTCCGCGAACAAGGGACTTCCGGGGGAGACTAGATCTTGCACAAAGGGAGAGAGCTCCGCGACGACCTGTAGGGTAATCCTGTTGAAGAGTGCGGCGTCGGGAGCGTCATTAGCAAGAGCTTGCCGGAGAAGATCAAAAGACGAGAGCAGTTGTGAGGGAGACGTCGAGGTGGTGTCTTCTGCGTAGCCTGTGCACGAGAGGAAATTGTGAGGTGTTTTCAATATTCAAGAAGTCAATAGGTTCGATGAAGTTGAGTTTGTAGAGTAAATGAATAGCTAGAGGTTCGTGCGGCGACATACGCTCTTTAAGTTTTTCAAGTAAATTCTTGACGATATCTTCCGGGCTTGGTGCATGCTGGGTAACCCAACGCGTATCTTCTTTTTGGGATGACGATGACAGCTTCGGAGACCAAGATCGTAGTGCAGGAGGTGCTAAAACATCGACGTCTTTGGTTAGATAAACTATGAGTGCACCACATTCACCATCCTGACTTGAGGTGAAGTGAACGCACCAGAGATGGTACCTTCGTGCCCTCGCCGCTTGAGCTGCGATATCTCCCTCTCCAATGCTAACGCCCGCGACTTCCAGTCATCCGAGGTGCTAGAGGATGCCTCTTGCTGAGAACAATTGTCGAGAGGAAACTTGTCCCGTAAAGCGAGTATATGCGCTATCCGCGAAGTTCAATCACAGTAAGAGGGAGCCGGAAGAGCATTGGTGTGCATACAAGCGACCGAAAGTTCGGGAGGCTTTGAAGCCAATGCTGCAACAGCCTGGGACGATCAATGTCAGGCGATGTAATGTGAATAAAGAAAATCCGATTTACAATGGATATTCGCAAGGACTGGCCTGCATGAGCCTGTGGTGGCATGGAGGAAAGCATATTGCACGCGCTAAGGCGCTTGCGGAGTTTCGGAACGGGCTCATCGACATACATTGCGTTCCCGAAATAATACTTCAAACACCTTCATGCAACTCCAAACTGATACTTCGCAATGGCGGGCTCAAAGGTTGATGCAACAGAAGGTATAGAATGAACACTATTAATTAATGCCAGAGCACACTCAAGCGCAGATGAATGTCAATCTATAGATTTTGTGCTCAAAACAAGAGGGGGGAATCTAGTGGTGCGCCTCCGCCTTGGGCTCGTCCTTCTCCAAGAAAGCCAGGAACGTCTCCGCGCCCTCGCCAGCGGTCTCCGTCGTCGTCGTGGCAGCGGCCTTGGGCGCTGCGTCCTTCGAGGGCTCCGACGCGTCGTACGCGTTCAGTTCGGCCGCGACGTCCGAGGGTAGAGAGGGCGCTTTGGGCGCTGGCGGGATGGTGTATTGCTTCACGGCGCCGACGTGGGCATCCTTGGCCTAGTGAACCAAAGCAAACGATAGGCGCGGATTTAGCAGAAGTTTCCGGAACTATGGTGGGGGTCGAGTGGGAATGGTGAAAGAAAGAGACGCACAGGAGGGGGTGCCTTGTACGACTTCAACTCCTTGACATAGAGATCCTGGATGAAGTCTGTGCAAAGCACGAAGGCGTGTTCAGTTTATATTGTCCATCGAGACTGTGCCCACCCAGGCAGGTCGGCGAAAAGCGGAAGCAGGCTTGAACAGACCTTTGCGCGAGACCGCCGACGAGGAGAAGGAGCGGGCACTGCGGACCTAAATGTCCAATGTATGGTTAGCCCAGTCAATGGAGCATGCAGACATAGTGAACGCACCCCGTTGATTGCCTGCCTGAGGAACTTCATGGACGTTATTTGGTGAGGACGAAAAGGTGTAGGTGACAGCGCGTGTGACTCCAGTCAATCACCAAGTCACGACAGCGCGTCACACGCATAACGCCTATCCGTGCCGAACGACGCACGAAAGCCATTTGTTCATCTTCACCCAAGTCTTCATCACATACACCCAGTGAGTGAAGTCCAACCCTCTTGAACTTTGACAAGTTATCTAGCCCTAACGTTCTCAAACTCAATGTAGATAACGCACAATGCTTGCTCGTATTTCACTCTCCACCGCTCGCCGCCTCCCGGCTTCTACTGTTGTTCTGGGCAGCAGGTTCATGTCCAACGTCCGCAGCGACGGCAGTGTCGCATCCTCCAAGGAGTTCGGGTGCGTACATATTCATCTCCCTCGGCTCTTCTCAAACTTACGTTCTTTCGCCTCGTTACAGCAAGCGCGAGGCCGCCCAAGAAAGTATGCATACTCGTCCTTCGAGCTCCACTCTGTAAACCCACTCCAACTCTCTTACAGCCGAGTACGTCCGCAAGCACGAAGCCGAGCTCCTACGCAAGCTCAAGTCCGAGGTTAGCTATCTCTGCTCATGATCTTGCACCCCTTATACGCGTGTGCTAATCTTGCGTTGAAGATCGAGGCCAAGAAGGCCGAGCTCGTATGTTCTAGGCACATTCGTGCCTGAGTATATGCTTACCCACTTTACCCAGGCCGCTCTCGAGCTGCAACACGCCGAGACTGAGAAGAAGAAGGAGCAGTAGATTCTGCACCGACTGCGTCCCCACGCCCCGCTCAAGGAATTCCAAACTCTTTTGAACGATGAGCCACGGAACTATAAATTGTTGATTTTGCATTGTGTTCGCCCTCAAGTAATGCTCCTTGCCAGTCAGCACCCTCTTATAATCATATTTTTGCATCATCATGACTATGATCTGGCGAAACCACAACATTGTGAAAAAGTAATATGACGTCATCACCATTTCAAAGGGTAAACAAAATAAGACAGCATCAAGAGAAAGAAAAGTCTATGCACACGTTCGCAACGTAAACAATCCATAAATTGAGAGCAGAGGTATATGGAAAAAAAATACGTTGGCCGGCCGACATCGTCCAGCCAACAGCAAAATATCCACAAGCAGGCACTTTTCTCAATTCATCCTCCTACCGACCACTGACGCACAGGCATGCCGAGCACTCAGTTGCGCCTGAAGCGCGAGAAGAACCCAGTCTTGGGACCAGACATTTCATACGAGGTTGCGCCCGACATCCTATCGCGGCGGCGACCGAAGCAGACCGTGCACCCAGCGAGGAAGAGAAGAATCATGGCCACGAACGTGAGCCAAAAGCCAGGGCCGGTGATGGTACTCTCGGGAACGCCAAGGTTGCCCATCTCGTGCTTGACCCAGGCGTACAGCGCGATGTCAATGATGAACGCAAGAAGGGCCAAGAGAGCGGCAAGGAAGGAGAGCACGGAGGCGACGAGCGTAACGGTGACATGGGTGGAGAAGGAGAACAGGAGTGCGATGAAGGACACAACGGCGGCTGTAAGAGACATGTGTCTCAGATCTGTAGGAAGCGTGAAGGTATAGGGAGAAGACGCACCGACTGGGTGAACGGCAAGCCCACGAGTCCACGAAGGGTTAATGGTAGCGCTGTTGTGAGTCGTAGACAGGACCTCAACGCCATAACCATGGCCTAGGAATAACGAACGGTGAGCTCCTCGTGACGCAAACAATAGGGGCTACAACACATACCAACGTGCGGGCAGACGCGAGCACCGTTGGAAGTGTAAGCGCAATAGCCCCAGATACCGAACTGTGAGCCGAAGTATTAGTTTCTCGCTTCATCCAACCTGTAGCGTTTGACTTGCCCTAAGCTGTGTGAGTGACCCCTGGCCGCCGGAAACCCCAAGGGAGTTGCCAGTATAGTGAACGCGTGCAAAGTCCAGCGCGGTCAGATAGGGCAAGTTGATGGAGGTAATGATGAGCAGGACGGTAGCCGCTAAGAGGAAGAATATTCCTGGGATGCAGAACGAGCGAGGCATGGCGAAGTTCGAATCAGACTTTCGTACTCTAGGGGAAGCGTGTAACGTTCGTTATCTATGAAAGACAGTCAATATCATTCGAAGGAACTCCGAAAGCTTTGAGCAAATAACGCACGTCAGAGCAAGACTCGTAACCGTCGTGCAATGCGGTGGTGACGGCAAATGGACCGGAAGCAGGAAGCGAGGAGCGCACGCCCCCCTCACGCGTTCGATCACCCCATATTTATACGGCACTTTTGACTTTCTCGGAAGCGGTCAAAAATCATATCATTTGTCAAATAGACCAAAATAGAAACGGCACAAGTCCCTTCGCAAATTTGCGGCTTTTTCTGATCACCGCGGTGGCAAAGGTCGAGTCAAGGCGCACAAACAACAAATGATCTCCCACAAGCATCGCCTTACAACATATGGCGCTTCGAGATAGGCGCTGGTCTGCATGGAGACTGCGCGCAAGGAACTAACACGCCAGCTTCTGTCCGTGGGGTCTTTTCTGCTTCCACCGAGCGTCCCCGCTTCGTGGGGCTCGCCCAATTCAGCCGCGGTTGAAGCGTTGGCGTCTAGAGGGGTGTCGCGGGAGTCGCTCCACCTCTCCATGCATGGCTGTGTTTCGAGGCTCTCGCCCTCCGGCCGGAGCCCTCCAACGCAAACGGTGTCCTATTACAACAGCCCCTTGATTGAGGAATGTACAACCTTGATCACTGCTGAGGTCATCTTACAGGAACGCGGAAGTTAACTTCATCCAGCGCTCGCTTCAAGCTTCAGCCGCCGTTCAACGTTCATGTTCAGACTTTCAACGAACCTTACGAACTCGTCATGCGGCAACATTGTGCTATTGGAGTCCACCGAAAGGGGTTAAGTCGTCGATCGAGGACGGTAACGTCACTTCCGCGTGCAGGTCATACAGGGTCATACAGGGTCAGACAGGGTCATACAGCATTCGGTGCCTGAGGTGAGGTAGGCACCTGGAGAACTGGTGATGTGTCCCACAAAGGCCGCCGAGCCATGACTATAGCGGCCATTTTTCCTCTTCAGAGCTCTATAACACAGCATATTGCAGTGTATGTGTACACCCCTTGCCTTGCACTCCGGTTTTTTATCAAGTGTGCATGTGCTTGATTTATACTATTGCATACTTTCAGGCATCGCACGCATTCTGCTTCCCTTAATCTATAGCCGTACATTGCACGACGTGTTCCGCGCTCGGATGGGCACGCATACATGCGACATGGTTCTGGAATAGCCTTTATTGTAAAAACGACTATCTTCTAAAAACTATCAAGTTCTGCCTACGGGAGATTAGGTAGCCAGCCTCGGCAAACCTCTTTTGCCCCAAGTCACTTCAGGTCCTTCGCATGGAGAAGAGATTGGTGTGAGATGACTGGGATCAGTATCGGATGCAAATGAGACACCTATCGCTGACGGGCGCTCATGTTGCACAATCAGGCACAGGGCTGGCTAAAACGATGGATTTGACTTGGCTTTCTCAGCGCACCAGCAAAGTCGAACGCAGTCATAGCCAGCTGTGAGGGTGTTGCTGAGTCCGAAAGTTCACGCGCACGTTTGAGCCCCGGGTCTACATACAGGAGCTCATACAGGAATCCGGCCCCAGGAATTCTAGTCTCCCCTAATACTCCTATGTTAGGGATCGGCTACGTATACAAGCAGGACGGGGCTGTCTCGGGTGTCGCATTTCCCTCCACCCATCGTATTGTGTCGCCACGTTCATGTCATCATTGAACTTGTATCCCCTTCCTTATACCGCGTCAAACCCACCCGCAGAGCTTTTTCGTGACATCGAGACAGCATCAGGACGATCTGACACGACAGCATTCGAGACGGATCTAGATGAACGTGACATGTTCTTAGGACGCCGCAGATGTGTGGTATGCGGTGACGGCGATAGAACATTGCAGCATTGTCATATTATTGGTGGCAAAGATAAACCAGCGGTTTGTTTTCAAGTGAAACTTAGGCTGCGTGCGGGACCGCTTACTATCTTTTTTCTAGTGGAACTTACTTAAAACGTTGGGATGGGTACCAACAGGTGTCAAAGCGGAACCTCAGCACGAATCCCGCAATGGACTGACAATGTGCCCAAATCATCATCAGCAATTTGATGATTGGCGGTTTTTCATTCGCTTTGAGCCCAACGTGAGTCCGAGTCTGTTTGCCTTTGCGCTATATGCTAATGGCAGCTAGATTAAGAAGTATATCTTCGTGCTATGTGATAGCTACGAAGAATCCCAGGCAGGAAAACGCTTGCATGGCAAGGCTATTGCGCTTGACTTCAAAGACAAGCGTTCACCGCTTCCCCTCCTATTTCTTGTTCACGAGTACATGGTCCGCGGGAGGAACTTCTTCCAGCGAACGTCCGACGTAGAGATAACTTGCGAGTGGCAGGATTGGATAACTACAGAAGATGTGGTGGACGACGGGAACGACGGATCATTTGCTTTCAAACGCTCGGCCGCACCATCTAGTTTTTCCACAGGCAGGCCCATGCCTTGGCAACTACCATCCACCGACGCTCCTCCCACTGGAACTCAGCCTCTCCTCACGCCGCCCAATGGTGATCTGGTTGCGCAGTTGATGGCAGTCCAACGTACGATGCCCAGTTGGAAGGAGTGGCAGAAGGAGACTATGGGCTGGGAGGGAACAGCAGAAGAGAACATTAAAAGGTATGTCGAGAATGTTGGCGTCGAGAATGCTGGCGTCGAGAACTCTGGCATCGATAATTAATTCAGGGTCGGATCCCCTTGAAATAACAGTTTACATAGTTTTTATAAAAATAATTATATCGTCAATTCCAAAGTCCGCTTGTCCCCAGCTGTGCTTTGCCGACGCGCCGCCGCTCCACTTGCTATGCTGCAAGGTTATTGGTGCATGGTCGATGATCAAACGCATACCTTATCCACATCTCTATCGCCGCCTTCGTTGGCCTTTCCTGAGGCCTGAGGCCTGACCAGGATCTGTAGGCCTCCAGTTGTTTCTCTCGCACTTCTTCAGAACTGTGACCAGCATTAGTGTTCCTTCTTATCATCGTGAGGAACACCACGCAGAGACACAGGGCCATGTCGGTCCTCGCCGAGCTGACGCCCGACCACACCCCTGGTGCTCGAGTATGTCCACACGTCAAGCCCACCTCCATCTCCGCCAGCAAGCATCCTACAGCCAGTCCTCATCTCCAGCTTCCTGGCACCACGACCGGCCCCAGCCTACATCCGCTCAACCTGAATGTCATCACCAACGCTTGCGTCCTTCTCGAGCAGCTGCAGACCCTCGAGCACGGATGTGCCGCCGCACGTGCGCGCATTTGTACCAAGTACGACCTCGTGGGCGAGCTTGAGAAGCGTCTACGCACGCTCAAACTCAGTCGGCCGAGAGACGACGATCTGGATTCGTGCACCTCTGACCTCTCGCTCGAGACGGCCGAGACGAGCGCTCGGCATACTTTGGTCTCGGCTCTAGCTCTGGTTCAGACGCAAAATCAAGCTCAGGACACTGATAACGCATCTCCACAGCCTACGAACCCGGCTGCATCACAGTCTTCGCCGGTATCCCATAGGACACCGCTGATATCACCGCGGCTACGTGGTATGTTCGATCTTTACGGACCGGGGGGAGATATTACCCGCGATAGCTTCCCTGGGCCTGGCATGGACTTCAAGTCGCCGAGTGTGTACAGCGAGCGCTCGTCGATGAATCGCGCTGCTACTGGACCGGCGGGCGAAGGAGAGGAAGACTGCTATGGTATTTGGGAAGCAGCTACGTGTAGCCTCTTTGAGTCATCTCCTTGCCAAAAAGGTAGCGGCAACTGTCCCTCTCAGGCATGCATCTCTCAGGCCTCCCTAAACCCGAATAAGGCCACCCAGGACCTGCCTACCAAGGACAACTCCCCGATCCACTGCACGCGCGAATCAAGTACAGAAAAACAGGCGGAGAAGGGAACGATTGCGGCAAGCCGCTCAGAATCAAGGAGCCCACCAATCCTTGACATTCCCCTACTTGAGCCTCCGAGGAGCGATGGCAAAACTACTAGCTTGAAAAAGCAGAAGTACAAGGGAAAACAAGAGGGAACCGACTCCGTCCCAATCTCTAGCTCGAGACGCTTTGGGATCACGCACGCCGTCTCTCTCCTTCACTTCTCCGTCTCCGAACGATCTCAACGGCCCTCCTATCCGCCTGAGTCGGACGCAGCCACCGCGCCGTCTGTTCTCATAAGGCGGGCATCAAACAAGATGCATCCTCAAGCTTCGACTCCAAGGACGTTCAGCCCCTCCGTCACTTCGTCGTCGATAAAGCCAAAGAAGAAGGTGAAAGACGCAGCAAGCGTTAAGCGCCGCGCATCGCAGAAGCAAAAGAAGCAGAAGCGGGCCTTTGGTATCGAGCGTAGCGCAGGAAAGCCCAGCGCTCTGGGTAGGCTGCTGTTGAAGAGACGGAAGAGCGGCAAGAAAGCTGCCACGCCAGGCTGAGGTGTATTTGCTGGGCGGTTGAAGATTGTTACGCTGCGCCATAATTACTCGGCCACCTCATGTTGTACTGGTCGTTCTGTCAACTTCAACTTTTTGGGTCTGTATGGCCTTCGCGCTAAAAGCGTACTAAAGATTGAATACTGATAGGATGACTGAGCCCATCTCCCAAATGTCTCAATTCTCCGCTCCATTCCACAATGCAGCGCGACGTCTTCGTATTCCTGCGTTCCGACAGGGGAGGCTAAGAATGGATGCGATGCACGCGAGCGCCCGAGCACGCGTCAAGGAGACGTCACGAGCCGACCCTAAAGCGAACGCGTCTTGACTGTTTACTGCCATCATCTCCGCCACAACCGCGTCTTGCAATTGCCACGCTTCGGCCGAGTCCCCTTTCGCGTCCACCGGCTCCTGAACATCCGCGCGACTACTTTGCGAAGCTCTGTATACCCTACGACTGGTCCGTGCGCTCCGTCTCTCCTTTCAAAACGTGCAGATATTCACGCGCTGCTCGATTGGCCCCTATAGCACATACCTAGCTTCCTCTACTTCAAGCGTTAAGAAATGCCTCCCAAGCCCAAGTCCACCGGCGGAAAGTCCAAGGCTGGCGCACCTGCGGCCGCGCAAGCTGCCGCAAATGCTAGTGCGAACGCGCCGTCGAACAAGGCGATTCACACCCGTAGTCAAAGGGCCGGTCTCCAAGTAAGCGAGCGAGCCCCCTCTTGCAGTGACCACTGCCCCCTTCACTTCGCACATCTGTGGTCATGCGACTTGTGCTGATTGACATGCATAGTTCCCCGTCGGTCGTATCCATCGGTACCTGAAGCAGCGGACGCAGCACAACATGCGCATTGGCGCCAAGGCCGCCGTGTACACAAGCGCCATCCTCGAGTATCTCGTCGCCGAGGTGCTCGAGCTCGCTGGTGCGTTCTCACCCCTCACCGTCTCTATACGTTTCATCCTATCTGACGCGTCATTTTGTGTGCGGTCCAGGCAACGCCTCAAAAGATCTCCGCGTGAAGCGCATAACGCCACGGCATCTCCAGCTTGCCATTCGCGGCGACGAGGAGCTCGACATTCTAGTGCGCGCTACGATCGCCGGCGGTGGTGTCCTTCCCTTCATCCACAAGAGCCTCACGGGCGGCAACAAGAAACAGAAGCCCGAGGGCCAGTAACTCTCTGCGCCTACAGCTGCATCCATGTCGACTCGAATCCACATGTTTTAGCGCAGGACTGTTGTCAGGTGGAGCTCTTGGGGGACAGGGCGAGTCGATGCTGATCATGTCTTGATAACTGATATAATGTGTGTTGGGCGATGGATGTGGGCCCTATGACTACGTATGTTAGTAATGATCGTGAATTTTGGTTTCTTTCTCTGTCGTGTACATACTTACATATGATGTTGACGATACTCTACTGTGTATTCATGATTTTCGAACCCTGCTCAATCTCAGAAGTGTCGAATGCAGACTCGCAGTTGATGTTCTAAGAACTCATGTCGCGGGTGGAGGCTACAGCGTTCGCTAACTCCGTGTTACAGCAATCCGAATATCATTAGAGATAATACACATTAAGCATAGGAGATGATACAATATGCTTTGTCCATGCTAATCCTAGTCGTCGTCATCTACTCGTGAGGGACCCGTGCCTCTCCCTGGACAGCAGCCTTGCCGCCAACCTCGCGGAGCTCTCCTTTCTCCTGGAGCTCGGGCTTTTTCGTGACCTTGCCCATAACCTGCAAATGACAGTAAGCAACTTGAATAACTATGTCACGGAAGAGTGTTAGGCACCTTCTGGGTCTTGCCGATCATCTTATCAGCCATGCCTGCCTTACCTTCAGGGAGGTCATCGTCGCCGCCGACAGCGACACCGCCTGTGTAAGGGAATAATAATCAATTGCATGATACATTGTCAAGTGTCAGAGAATGCTTACTCTCGTTGCTGGGCTTGGAGTCCATCGACCTCTCCGAGCTGAATGCGTCGACGCCGTCCTTTGATGGAGGCTCGGGCGCGCCATCGTCACGGAACTCCGAGTTGGAGCTCACGGGGCCCTCGCGGGACATGGTCGATGACGTGCCGTCGAAGGACTCGTTCAGGCGCGATTGCTCGCGCTCGCGCGACTGCTGGTTGACGTGCACCTCGGTGGGCGCAGTCGTGTCGTGCAGCGCCGAGCTGGGCGTGCGGTCGATGGTCGCGGGCGAGTAGTCGGAGGCCTGGGCGGCGGAGCGGGCGCCTGAGCCTGGGAGGGGCTCAGAGTCGCAGTGGATGGTATGTGATGGGCGGGTGGCGTTGAGGCCGGCGTTGTTGGTGTTGTCGAAGGACATTGTGGTGTGAGATGAGTGTTGAGTGATTGGTAGTTACTTGGGTTGTGCTTGATTTGAAGGTTGAATGGGATGATGTTTTCGAGGGGGGGCTTGAGGTAGCATATATACGTTGCACAAGGCCTACTGACGTCACTTTACCCGGACCTCAGAAATGGAGAGGAACGGGCGGGTGGACCTGAGAGGAGTTCTGATGTCATGCGTGGCTGGAGTGGACCATGTGCACTGTGCAAATCTGTTTGCGACTGAACAGCCAAGATAAGTTGATAAACGCGTCACCGGGAGGACATGGACTCCAGAGTACTCCAGAGTAACCACGACGAGGAGTGCGTACCTGTGCACATATACGTTATACGTCATCGAAATGACTCCGGGGCGCCAACTGCACCAAACCGAACTGCTAATCTTTTAGCGATGGCCCTGACAGATTCCTTTTGCTGAAGCTAATCATTACTAGCTAACAAAAACCCTTCCATACTTTGGTCGGCTCATAGGCACCTGTAGGGATACGTTACCCTTGAGAGACGCATGATTCTAGACATCCATTCGTGTGAGGAGATCTTAGGAGCCCGTGATAAGTCAATAGAGAGTTGTGTCGAAACTCGGATCCAAGGTTGATTGTCACGATGAAGTACGAAAGTCGATCAGGAGTGAAACATAGCAAGCCAAAGAGTTTTGTGAGTAATGGCGGGTCGATGATTTGCGTCTCCCGTCCATGTTTGAATGTTTCGCCATCGGCCCGGAGTGCACGTGATCTCGATATGGCGGAATCACGTCGTTTGTTGCTAAGTCCATCTTGTCTGTCTGTAAACAGGGAGGTCCTACTCGTCCTCGACAAACTACCCGAGGCCCCATTCTCCGATACGCCACCAGATCCCACCTCTCTCCGAAGAACAATGGCCGCGAAGAAGGAAAAGCCGATTCACTCGCTCATAGCTGGGACGACTGCCGGGGCTATTGAAGCGTGAGTCACTCGTTATCACTGTTTGTGAACATCCATCCTTCTATCCTTCCTGTGTACGCATGCGTAAACCATTCATGCATGCCTTATAGTTGCCATTCGAATTCTCTTCTTGATTTATCTATTCCGTATAACTTCGTGACTCAAATGATCTAGACTGGCAGATTCGTAACCTACCCTACCGAGTTCGTGAAGACTCGCTCACAATTCGGAGGCCAGGCAAGTTTACTCTCCCCTTTCCTATGGTCTCCCCAAAACCCTCTGTCTAATATGTGGAACAGAGAGAAGCACCCCTAACAATTATCCGCTCAACTCTTCGGGAGAAAGGATTTGCTGGCCTGTACTCTGGATGTTCTGCGCTCGTCGTCGGAAACTCGGTCAAGGCTGGCGTACGATTCGTCGCGTATGATCATTTCAAAGGGCTGCTTGCTGACGAAGGGGTTCGTATCCAAGTTCTGAATTTATGCTACCTCCACGAATTAAGCCAACGTTATAGGGCAAAGTGTCCGCACCACGGAGTCTTGTAGCAGGATTAGGAGCTGGAATGGTGGAAGCTATCCTCGCTGTGACGCCTTCGGAGACTATCAAGTGAGTCTTTCGCGCTCGATTCGTCTGCGTAGAGTTTGTTCCCCGAATTCATTCTACTTGTCTCCATTACCCGCCTTTGCACCTACATCTTGCCTACGGTGTTCGAGTTAGCTCAATCATTAGACTTCTGAAATCTTGCTTCCAATCCTGCTCCTCGCTAGCATTTATGTGAACCTATGAACGGAATCCGCTGACATTACTACCAGGACCAAACTCATTGACGATGCGAAGCGTCCTAATCCACAATATCGAGGATTAGTACACGGAACAGCCTCGATCATTCGTCAAGAAGGTATCTTCGGAATCTATCGAGGCCTCTTCCCTGTCGTACGTCTAGAATCGCCGGTATCGTGTATTCGAAGGATGCTGATGTATGCGTCTCACAGATGATGCGGCAGGGTGCAAACTCGGCTGTCCGGTTCACCACCTATTCCACCCTCAAGCAACTCGTAATGGGAAGCGCACGCCCTGGTCAACAACTTCCTAGCGGTATTACATTTGGGATTGGTGCGGTCGCTGGACTGGTTACTGTCTATACGACGCAACCTTTGGAGTACGTAATTGCTTCATTTTTGGCCAACATCTCGTCTTCATAATAAAACTTCGGAATAGCGTCATCAAAACTCGGATGCAGTCGCTTTCAGCTCGGCAGCAATACCGCAATTCGTTCCACTGTGCATATCGGATTCTTACGGAGGAGGGAATATTGCGGTTCTGGACGGGGACGACCCCAAGGTTGGCGAGATTAATCGTGAGTATTGATGCGAGTGTACCCTGCGTTATGTTCATGCCTTGCTTCCTAGATGAGCGGAGGGATAGTTTTCACTGTATACGAGAACATAATAGCGGTTATCGGGGACCGTGGCTCGTAGTGATCTGGATCGTCTGTCCAGCGCTTGATCCACAGGCTAGCTATCGTAATCGCTACCCTCGCACATTGGCAATGGGAAGATTTCTCTAGTCTTCTCCGAAGATACATGGAAATGGACTTTGTCTGAGATAGTGGTGACTCATCGCGGATCGAGCTGAGTATACCTTGTTCTTCCGTCGCGAGGGTCGTTCAAAAATTGCTTTGTGAACCTTCGCGGTTATTGTTCTTCCTTTTCATGCCTACAGCATCCTTTCAAACTAACGATGGCTTCGATCTACGTCCAATCACCCTTCACCTCATGGTGCAAAACTCATAGCCTTGATCCTTGCTTCCGAAACGGGGGAAAACGTGTTCACCACCCTTCGGGTATCACTACAGCAATTCCATCCTTGGATACATTCTTTGAGAGCTATCTGTCAAACCTCATCCATTGTTGGCTCTTCGTGGGCGCCACCAGCGCTCCGTCAGTCTAGCCCACAACCCATATCAAAGTAACGGCCGTCTACACAGGATCTTCCTCCGTCGTATAACTTCTCTGTGTTCACCCCCTTTTCGACCCTCTCACGTCTCTCCGTGCAACCACCATGGCCAGCCATGGGGACGTCGGCCTTGAAGGCCTCCAGTACATTATCAATCACGTATTCATGCCCTTACAGCTCCCCCAGCAGAGCGATCACAGCGTGCTCAATGATTCTGCTTTGGTTTCTCAAACGTACAAAACTGCAAACTCCTTCACGCCATATATTACGCACGACACGCATCGCCATGCTTGGGATCGTGTGGTGGAAATGTTGAAACACTTGGAGACATCCTGTTCAACTGAGTTTCTGTCTCGAGAAATCATCCTAGAGCAGCTCCGCAGCATGTCCCCTGGAGGTCGGTTGACTTTAATGCTATTTGATAAATTCTAATCACTTTTTAGATATCCGTGTTTTTCTCATTCGCCGCCAGAATGCCGCAGTCCTTATTCGTAATGAACATAACGACATGATCGTTGAGTCATGGGAGGCGTCTCCCATATCCGAAGCAGTCATCGCTGCTGCGGGAAAACTCTTATGGTCCTTTCCAGGTCCAGCTATATCCATTCCTCGGTCAGTCGCTGATGACGATGCGTTCCTTGTCGAACTCGCGAATTTCTTGCATAAAATGGACGTAGAAGAATTTGCCGACGCAATACCTCACACTGAAAAAGCCGGATCCTCAGTTCGAGAGACTAGGGAGACCACAGATCCGCGCTACATTACGGAGCTTTTGACGAGCATTCTGCACGGTGCAGGCGAGCGAGCGGAGGTCCCCCAAATCAGCAAACGCATCGGCGATGATGTGCTCTGGCAGGATGCTGAGCTTCCCTGGCGACGGACGCCGCTTTGGCTGGTCATTCGTGTTTCCTTGCAGACTACCCTTGTCCGGATTACGGATGGCCATATCACCTATAAATCTTTCATCTTGTTCTTGCTGGCCTCTACCCTCGATCAAGTCCGCCAGAAACACTTCTCTAGTTTCTCGGATGATATCATCTTTTGTATGTCGGCGAAGATGAGCCGTCGACTTTTGAAGCTTGGTTCAGCAGCATCCCCAGCCGTTACAGAGTTGACGGTCAGCGTTGCTAAGGATATTCGAACTGCATTGGAGGAACGCCACGCTAGTCTTCGACCAAAACCGCTCCCGCCAATTGATCTGACCGAGGACGATTTTGAACGCGATACCAATTTGACCCTCCCAAACAGTCGTGCATATATTGAACAGGCCCTATCACCTTCCCAGCAAGCTGATTTGCCCACTCCATTCACTCCTAGTCATCGTTCTCGCAAGTGTCGCTTTCCGGAATTCGTCGGCTCATTGTCCACCACTCTCTCCAACGTAGATGACGACGAAAAACTCGTCGTTCTCACTGACTTTGAAGCGGCTGTTCACGACTTCGCTGCAGTTGAGGGTTGGCGAGTGAACACACGGGACGCAGACGCTTCGGTTCAGCTCAAGGATTGCATGTCTGAGTATTTCAGTGTTGCCAAGTCCCGCTACGCGGGCGACCCGGAATGCATGTCAACTATGTATCTGACACTCCTCCTCCTCTGGGTCACTCTTGACTGCCTTGTTGTCGACGAACTTCCCCTCCTTAGCGATTTTCGTCCCGAAATCGAAACAAAGCTGTTCGAGCCCCTGGTCCTTCGGACTGAATGCATGCGCAAGTTGCTCACCATTGCATTGTCTCATATAACGGAACGTCACGCAAGAGCGATAAGCAGACCGGTACTTGAAGGAAGCTTGGATCATGCCTCATTCCCAATTCGATACTTCAACACGTCCTCCACGTTACAAGCCCTCAAACATCGTATCGAGAATGATGCTGAAGCTGCAGAGCGAGAGAAGCGTGACGAACTGCGGGAAAAGGTACAAAAATACCGGGACCTCACGAATTCAGCTCATCGGGAAACCCACGCTGAACAACACTGGCGCTACTACTGCCGCAGATGCAACCTGGAGAAGGAGGCCGAAAATATATCTATTAGTATCTATGAACGGCCATTACCGTCCAATGAAACTCAAGCAAAGAGTGCTGTCTTCGAAATCGCTTGTCCTACCTCCTTTTCTGCGTGGCGGGATGCTACATATCACCTTTTATCCGACGTTTTCAACCCTTCAGCTTCGTCAGAAAACTCTGGCCGTTGGTACGGTTTCCTTGACCCGTTCCATTCCTCTCGGTATCAACCCCTTTGTCACTATGCCAAGGCTCCTTTGAACAGCTGTAGACGTGTCACGATGGGTTCGACGACGAAGTCCTTTCTTCAGACCCACTACAAAAATGGCTATCTTGCCTTGCATGGTTTTCCGGGTACTAGCGATGTCATTGTGAATAATGGGCTGCGGTTTGAGCTTCTCGACACATCCATGGACGTGCCAACTGCAAGTCGGATCGTCTCCCTCGCTCTGACCAACAGCTGCACATATCCGCTCCCTCAAGGCCTATACTCTAATCTAGCTTACTCCCTCCGTGGCACCACCCACTCATCCAATGAAGTCGTCGCAAAGCAATCCGAGTGTCATAAAGAACTGTCCATCCATGAATACTGCGAATATGGAAGCATACGGAGCGGGGAGCGTCTTCAATGGATGAATATCCTTCGGGTTCTTCGAAGCCGTGCGCTTAACTTTCGTCAGGAAGAAGTTTACACTCTGGGAGTACAGGCAGCGCTGCAAGTTGGGCCTTATGTCGAGGCTCAGATGCCATATCCTTGGCATATCATTTTGCAGAACAATACGTTTTGCCATGCACTCATCAAAGAGCTGGACCAGCTTCTCAAGAGCATAGAAGACAACTGGCTTGAGCTCTTCACGGCGCGCTTTATCATAGACATCCTCCTTAGAATCATATCCTCTTATGCAGGCCAAAACATCTTTCGGGAGGCTATCGCAACTCTGCGGTACGCGCGAGTCGTAGTCTTCAAATGGCTCGACGAAGAGCTTTCACAAGCTCCGGACCGCTCAACGAGTTTAGAATCGCAATCGCGCATACGAGACGCTGCTGCTGTCTGTCTGACTACGTTCGACACAGAAGCACAGCATATAGCATCTCTTCTATCCTGCTCCGAAGACCTCAAGATTTACGTTCAGTCCTCTATCATCCTTCATGACTATACTCCTGGCAGTTTGAAAGGCATTCCAGGCCACTCCAAACGGCTGCTGACTCGGGTTAGGCGTTTCACTGTCTTTTTAGAACCGTATATATATGAGCAGACCAAGGCCGACCGGACCGGACTGGACGACGCCATTTATGCCATCTGGGAAAACTATCGCGCAGATAAACATCTTCATTGGGCTCGCCTAGATGCCCCGAACTCGCGTTGGATGACGTGTGCAACGGCGCAGACAAAGGACCAGGCATCCCAGGCCATTCACTACAACCTGTTAGACGGATCTCTTCTGGTTGACGGCCAATCATTGGGGAGGTTACCCACGACAATCACTCGTCACCCTGTGTATTGTCAATTGTTCGCTGAGGTCGGGAATTCTCTCATAGTGGCGTTTCCTATACAATACTGACTGAGTTCGTAGCAAATTTTAGAAGTTGTCCCCAGTGACCTTCGAGGCATGAAGTACGCCACCCGGGATACCATGGAGAAGCACCAGGTGGGTTTATTTTAGGGCGATAACAATTCCTTTGATTTATTCGCGCTAAACGTTCCTGTCAGATTTTTTTCGCTCTAATTGACAATGAACCAGTAATCAAGATCAAGCGTATCGAAGACAATGCGATATTTCAACTCATCCCATCGCCGAAGCTCCGCAATGATCTACCTCTACCATTTGTGAACGACCACATACACTGGCTGAACATCTCCTCCTGCATCCTCGAAATACGGCCGAGTCATCGCAAATGGAGTGCCGTATACGACCGTGATTGGCGGATCCATATAAGCACCTTAGGCCCAACGACGATGACCCGGCGAACTGCTTCAAATAACACGACATCTCTAGTCGATTTGTTCAGCCCTACCTGCCGCGCCCTATCTGAATACCTGAACGCCATCGAATTACCAGCGTATCAGATCGTGTCGTATACTGCGAAATTCAAACCAGCTCTGCAAGCTGAGCTCGCCCGGTCGGGTTTTGTATTTTTCATCGATGCAGAGAACAAGCTCGAGTCCCGCGAACTGAGCGGCTTCGTCATCGACAATGACCAGTTCTCTGGAACGATGTTAGGTCTTCAAAACCAGCTTGTTCTTCGGCCAATGGACTCCGGAGCTTCGGGAGAAATGCGGCGTGTTATAATTCCTCGAGGCACCGTATCCTATTCATCCTCTACTCGTACTCGCATATCCATTGAGAACCCGCAACGGATCACAAGATTATCCTATGACATATACAAAGTTGATACGGACCTTGGCCGTCTCAAGCTCAATGGGTTTGCGAACACTACATCATACTTTTTCAAGGCATATCTTCACGCACTCAGTTCTCTCTGTCTCCCCGATTCGTTGACCCAGCGTACAGGAACCGAAGAGGCTCTTCGTGAGCTTCGCTCGGCTTCTTGCCTCTCTTTCAGTGCTCTGAAGGACGAAGATGTTACATTACTCTGCCAAATTTCTGAGCTCACACCTCGCCGGCAATACTACCCCCAACATCTCCGGCGAATGCAGTCCGTTTCCTGGAGCACTCTTTCTCCACTCGCGCAACATGAGGAGTTTTTCCATGCCGTTGGCTCGATTTTAGCGCACGCCATGCGTGTCCATTCTCTGAATAACACTCAGGTACCGCCTCAGGCGGGCAAGATTGAGAGTTTTGACGACCATCTGTATCGGCGAGCTTGCCTCCGAAGGTTGCCTTTACAGGGGGATGGCTACGCAAAAGTGCACTGTGATACGCGCGACGCGGATATTCCTTACAGCTCCAGAGCTTGCGTAATTCGTCGAGACCTTGGTCAAAGGCTTTCCTCGATTTCCGCTGCAGTGCTTCGCTGGTCATACGATGTCTTAACGCTTCCTACAAGAGACTTGTTCTACACCTTGCAGTCGATCTCTTCAGACACTTCTTTGGCGGGTAAAGACTCGAACGTGACGTCTCTCAGTTATGATGCCCTGTGGTTGGTGCCCCCTCACCAGATTTGGACTACAGCCTTCGAGCTATGTCGTAAACCCCTCAACAAATATCAGCTTGTCTTCACCCTGACGTCAATGGCATACTGTGATCAGTACAAAAACAGACAAGAGCTCTTGATGACCCTGCTCTGTCTCGCCAGGCTGTCTGAAACGTGCTTGCTCCCTATCATACCTTCTCACCCATCCTTTGTTCTCGATGATGGCGTCAACCTAGACCAAGGACGCATGGAGAGGATAATATCGAGGCACTGCAGACCCTTCAGCGAGACACCGGAGGCATCATGGTCGCGGAGTCGAAACGAAACCGACGCAGCTTGCGACCGCCGGAAACACGAGGCTTACTCCAACACCACATCACAACTCAAGTCATCATTACTAGACGTGTTTGTCATGCATTGGAAAAGAGGCGAATCACCCCTCCACCCCGCAGGAAGCTTCTCAATCTACTTTTACATGGAAAATCTTCTGAGGGACGTTCGGGACTTGTTCTGCAGCTGGCGTCGAAATCAGGAGCTTCAGGCTCACTCCAACGACGTCCAAGCAAAGTTAGATCAAATCTCTTGGAATACATACCTAAAGAGCGCGTGAGTGTCATTATGATTTAACTCTTTTAGCTCATAAGCTTACTCAGTCAAACACCGCGTTATAGGTTTTCTGTCTTCCCTCCAGTCAAGCGAAGAGACGATGGCCTAGCAACGGGAATATCCTATGATGATTTGTATTCCAGAAAACCTCGCAAGCTCTGGCTTCCAAATCTGCTTCTTCCTCAACACTTTTCTCATGATTCTATAAACACCAATTCATTTACAGATGTTTGTCTGGGGTCACTTTTGGCTCGGATTCGGCAGCAAAGACGTGGTCCTCCTTTTGACGCGTACACTGATGGTCTAGAAAGCAGTCGGCTCGCCCTTGAAAGCCACTCAACACGTCAATGGGACGTGGATGAACCGGACCTCTACGATATGGCTCAAGAGGATCTTCATCAATGCCAGCAGCGCTTTGCCGCATCCTGCCACGCCCTCGTGCAAAGTCTGAGGCCCGTCACACCACATGAACAGGCGCTGTCATATTCAGGACTGTGGCCAAACGTTTCCGTGATTCCTCTGTTACAAAACCTAGCATTGCCTGGACACCGTTCGCTGCCAGCCGAGTGGTCAGCATCGCTACAAGATTTTGCTCGTATTATCATTGCATTGCAAACCAGTCGACGTCGAGCTCTGATGACTAAACATGGTCAATACAACGACTTGCTTCGCGACTTGGAACACACCAAGGATGGGAGATGTATGACTGTTTGCCCAGACTGGCTGCTTATCCAAGTAAGTCTGACGCTTGTTACTTCGGATCGATGACTGATGCTTCCTTAGATCGATGCAGATTTCACGCTTAGGGACGTACAGTATCAGGTGGCCCATCAGATGTTGTCAGAGGGTTCCAACCAAAGCATCACTTTGCAGCTCAATATGGGCGAAGGAAAGTCGTCGGTTATCGCCCCTTTAGTCGCGTCTTCTGTGGCTGACGGAGTCAAGCTTGCCCGGATGATTGTTCTTAAAACTCTAGCTCCTCAGATGGCTCAGACCATGCACGATCGACTCACGGGACTTACAAACCGGCGACTCTACTTCCTGCCATTCTCTCGTTCCACAGACCTTGATATGACGACACTCAGGTACATCGAGGAGATTGTGAAAGAATGTTCGATGAAGGGCGGGATTCTGATCATTCAGCCGGAACAGATTTTATCTCTTAAACTTCGATCTGTCGAATGCCAACTTTCAGCGGATGATACATTGTCCAGATCCTTGACTCGCACCCAAAAGTTTCTCTTTCAAAACGCCAGGGATATCCTTGACGAAAGCGACGAAATCTTGCACGTGAGGTATCAACTTGTGTACACCGCTGGGGACCATCAACGGTTGCAAGGTCATCCTCATCGCTGGACAACCACCCAAGAACTTCTTCGTCTGGTTCGCAACCACCTTCGTCGGTTATTCACACAATTCCCATCCGCCTTCTCCGTTCAAGGTCTGACTGCCGATAACGAGCATGAGGCGTCCGCTTTTCCGAGCCTACGACTGCTCGATTCTCCTTCCGACGCTGCTCGAGAGTTCCAACGCCTCATTGTTAGCGATATTATGCGAAACCGACTGCCAGCTTGCAATTTCGTGCACTTCGACGAAGAGGACAAAAACGTTCTACAGCGTTTCATCTCGTCGCGTCAAATCTCCGAGAACGATGAACGCCTTTTGCTGGACATGCGGACCCGAGGAGTGGTGGACGATTTATTCTGGAATTCGATGTTGCTACTGAGGGGACTTATAGGGTTCGGAGTCCTCACATTCGCGTTGAGCGACAAACGATACCGGGTTGATTATGGCCTCGATCCACAGAGGTCCATGTTGGCGGTGCCCTATAGAGCTAAAGACGTTCCATCAACGAACGCAGAGTTCGGGCATCCCGACGTAGTTGTGCTTCTGACCTGCCTCAGCTACTACTTTGCAGGGCTTTCGGACCCTCAGCTCGATACCTGTGTTAGATTCCTTGGCAGCCTTGACAACCCAGAATCAGCGTACGAGAAGTGGACGTCCCTCGTGGACGGCTCGGTCCTCCCTCAATCTCTGTGGTCTTTTAAAGGGCTGAATTTCGAATCGGCGGAACAACGAAGAGTTATTTGCAGTATCTTCCGTTACAATCAGGCTACCATTGATTTCTACCTTCGGGCTGTGGTCTTTCCTCAAGAGGCGAAAGAGTTTGAGAGTAGGCTTGCCTGTTCTGCATGGGATATAGTTGAGCCCAAGGTTAACATCACTACCGGGTTTAGTGGGACCAATGACTTCCGCCATTTGTTACCGACGTATACCATTCAACAAGACCCTGACCACCAGCTCTCCACCAACGCTCGTGTGCTCAGTTACCTGCTGCGTGGTGAAAACAACTACTACGAGACTTTCCCTTTCCCAAACGGTTTGCGATTTGTGGAGATGCTAGCTGGCCAAAATCCCAAAGTCCGCATGTTGCTTGACGTTGGCGCACAGATGTTGGACGTCAAAAACAGGGATTTGGCCCAACACTGGCTTCGATGTGAATCAGAGCAGACCACTATGGCAGCTATCTATGTCGACGACAAGGATGAGCTCACTGTATTACATCGAGATGGACACGACGAACCACTTTCAGCCTCTCATGTCAACCAGCATCTCGGACAGTGCATTGTTTACCTCGATGATGCGCATACGCGTGGTGTCGACATCAAGTTACCAGAAGGTTTTAGAGCTGCTGTCACCCTGGGACCAAGGGTCACTAAGGATCGGCTTGCCCAAGGTATGTCGAGCCCGAAGATACTTGCATGACATCTTTTTTAACACTTTGGGTACGTAGGCTGTATGCGCATGCGTCGTCTTGGCGCCGGGCACACCATTTGTTTCTTCGCCCCTCCAGACATCGACAGGAATATTCGGCGCGTTGCTGAGAAGGCAGAGGGCACTCAAATCACAGTCGAAGACGTGCTCCTCTGGGCCATCACAGAGACATGCCACGAGCTCAAGACAAGGGCACTTCAATGGGCTCATCAGGGCATTGATCACCATGCCCGCTACGACACTTGGTCTCATTTTCTTGACGCGGAAACCCCGGGGCAGCCGGTTATCGACCATCTTCGGACAACGTGGCTTCAGCAAGAGGCACGTACGCTCGAAGAGATGTATGGAATACACGCGAACACGCCTACAAATACCCTGCAAACCATTGCGAGCTCGCCCGTCATCTACGATCGCTGCCTCCAGCTGGGGCTGACTCCCTCTACTCCCGAACATGCAGCTAGACTCGACGAAGAGCAAGAGAGAGAGGTTGCACATGAGATCGAACGTGAAGAACAGGTCGAACGGCCACCTCCCAAATCGCCTGCTAAGCATCAATTGCACCAGGACGTGATAGCTTTCGTCACGACAGGCCATCTTCGGCCAGGATCATCTGCTTTTGTCAAGGCCTTCTCGCTGTTTTCTAGCACTCAGGCTGAGCTTCCTGATGCATGGTCCGGGGATCTTTGGGCGACAAGAGACTTTGCAACCACCGTTGTCTCAAACATCAGAGAGAAAGAATTCTTCCGTCCCGTCCACTGGGTTCTCTCTAACGTCGGTTTCATGACCGAGACAAACGTAGCTTTCATCATCCTTAGCCCATATGAAGTAAACGCGCTCCTTCCAAGCATCACCCAGTCAACGAAGGTCCACCTACACGTCTTTACGCCGCGACTCACCCAAGAAATACAACCCTGCGATGATTTTAGCCTGTTTAATATCCCGTCCCTGCAGCCGTTGAATTATGTGCTGCCTGAAATCCGCATGCAGCTCGCGCTTTTCTCTGGTCAGCTCTACCTAGAAAACTCTGACGCCTATCTTCAACTGTGCAAGTTCCTTGGTGTGGTTGCGGAAGATATCGCGGACCAACACATCAAGGCTCTTCCAGATGGTTTCGTGCAACCCTCCCAACGTCCTCCTGGAATTCGGAGCGAAACACCATTCACCCGCACTCCTATTCTAGCTCTCGCCGAGTTGATGAACATCCGACGGAAAGGAATGAGCTTTGACGAGACTCATATCGGAAAGATAATCAACGCTAGGCCAGTCTCTCAGCAGGATTTCCGTGAAAATGGTGAGTCAAATTTTATTTTTCCTACTGTGCGCGTCCCCTTAGTCTCCCTCAGGCTCAACTTGAAGGCGGGATCGTCTACCGACTCGTTGGGGTTTCTCTTATCAATCGTTTCTGGAGCACTTTTTTGTAGCCTCGTTATTTACGATAGCCAGCATATCTAGGGCCTGTGTATGTACATGTAGTTCATAAAACGAATGTGACTTGAAATTGGTAACGAATTCAGAACAACAACTGCGGCTCGGAATTCGGGACCGCGACGTGAACAGCGATTATTGGCGCCCTGCACCTCCTTGTACCCTACTCCGTAACTTTGCAAGTGCCAATCAGCTTTCCAGCGCGCTGCCCTGTCGAACCCTGTCGCTCTTAACAACTAATCATCGCTGCGTCAAGATTGGATCTCTCTTCACCTGTCTTCAACATCGTTTCATTGAGCAAAAGACTAGGACCACCGAAATGGCAAGGTGAGGCCGCCCATTCCCTACCCCTGAACGCTGAAGTCTGACGTACTGACCAGAATTTCGGAGAAAGTCAAACAAACAAACGATGAAATGGGATCTTCTAGTCTCTTCTCGAAGCAGTAGCTGGTGAAGTTTGGTTTTCATCACTGTCAGCAACTCCTCAAGTACCTCAGGCCGACGACTCTGCCCGCCGCCGGAGGTCCATCGAGGCCCAAAGACGTCAAGTACCGTTGTGTAGCGAACGCCGATTCAGCGGAGAACCCCTTCCATCTTTGAACGTTGGCATAGAACCTGAGGGTCGATGGAACTCAATTTCCTCGAGGGCCTTGTCCCAATCGCACGACTTAACTCGCATATGCTCAACACTGAAGCCACGAGAATACTCCTGAACGTCATACTGTTACCTTCGAGCGCATCATCTAGTTCAATATCGGACCCTGCCTCACCCTGCCTCACCGGTAAAGACTACATTTTATCCCCACATCGTCTCCGGTAAACACGCGCCATACCCTGCAGCCATGCCTTACTACACGACCACCGGCACCTCCTCCGCATTAGCAAACGATAGGTCAGGGTATCAAAACCCTCATCGACTTCCCCATAGACGGACCTACGAAAGTATACGATTCCGCTGCCTAGAGATCGTGACGACGCTTATTCACGGCTTGACATGCGTTGTCTGCGGCATCGGCAAGAGCTGATGGGGTGCTACAATCGTCATGCGATGAAAACTAGTGGGCTGCCATGACATATACTCGGCGGTCGGGCCGTGTTGGGCGTGGCGAAGTCATCTCACATTCATAGCGGCGTCGTAGGCGGAGATAACCTCGAGGCTGATGTCTACTTCCTCAAGTACGTTGAGATCGAAGGAAGGGACGATTCTTGTATAGAGGTGTGCTGTGTCTCCTCTACTCTAACTTTTGATGGCTAACGTTTTCTTCAGGGCCTCAGCATAGCACTACAATTATTTTTATGATATGACCAATGATGTCAAGAAACCGAATGCGCTCGTGGGCGTACAACTGCCTTGATTGTCAATGGGGCAAATTGATTTCTTGTGGTATATGTGCTACGCTACAGCTGGGCGATTTAGTTGGCCCATGTAGATGAAGCCTTTCGCGAACTGTTTCCGATTTTATAACTTCGTCATCAAAGTCCTACAGCGAATCTCAGCGACGGGATGCACGGTTTCGCGCGATTGCTGGTTGTTTGTCAATTCGTTCGGACTTCACCTGGCGTCGTCTGGGTTCTGAGCTTGAAGGTATGTAGTAATGATTATTAGATCTTGTATCCTTCCGCCTAATTCGTTGTTATTCTTCAGACCTACATACAGCCGCTTTTAGGGTACCAAGTGCTACTTTGTTTTCATGACGGTTCTCGACGGTTATAGGGTATAACTTTGGGCTTGGCTTGCCATCCGCACTATGAATGAGTGCACGAACAATGGACTACCACATCTGATACTCATCGAGCCGCGGCAACTTGCAAAGAACCTCGACCGAGGGCGTCGTTGCGTATCATCTCACCGCCAATGGAGACGGTGTTCCTCCACTTTGTCCCACCAATCCTATCGTGATATGTTTTGTGCCTGCGTGTCTCGTTGGCCGATTCACTTTTCATAAGACGCTCGTTCTACCTTCCGATCTCGTTGTTCTTCTCTTTCAACCCCTTCACGTTGGTGGATTTATCGCTGGCTCAAATTGCCGTCCAATTTGTCTTTCGTTGGGAAGCGGTTCGCGATTAGTTCGCCAAGCACGGCGCTACCAATAGCTCGGGTCCTACTCCTTCCGAAAACAGCAAGGACGCGTTCGCCTTTGCAGCAATCGCGCGTTCAATTATGGTAACTAAGCCCGAATTTTTTCAAGCGCGCGTCCTTTGTGTACGCGTTGTTATCTGGCTCTTTCCGTCGACCCTGCCAAAGTTGAAAGAAACAACATAAGATGCTCAGCCACGTAAATTAGGTCGTTGCTGTCCTCTCCCATCCCAGCCTTTTACTCCCAGCCACTATGGCCGATCGTGCCAGTGAGGACGAAGGCCTAGAAAACCTACGTTACATCATCAATCACCTGTTCCTCCCTCTCAAGCTTCCCCAGTGTAATGACCAAAGCGCGTCTAAGGTCACTGCTTTAGCATCTCAAGCCTACCAATGCGCCAGATCTTTTAGCTCGGTTGTCAAGCAAGAACACCAGCAAGCCTGGAAGGGTATCACTAGCATGTTACATGACCTGCACCAGTCGTGCTCCATGGACCATCTCTCTGCAAAAAGTGTCCTTCAACAACTACAAAGCATGCGCGTAGGAGGTTAGTTCAATTGTGGCATACTGTCGAGCGTGATTAACAGGAATCCTCGCCCAGATTCGCGCATGTATCTCATTCGCCGCCAGAACGCAGCAGTGCTTATCCGGCGCGAACAGAGCGAGGTCGTCGTTGAATCGTATGAAACATCTCCATCCACCGAGCCGGTCTTAGACGCCGTAGGCAAACTAATCTGTTCTTTTCCGGGGCCCGCGGTAACTGTACCTCACCCTGTTTGTGACGATGGCAAGTTTCTGGCAGAGCTGGCCAACTTCTTGCAGGCAATGGACATGGACGAGTTCTTGGATGCGATTCCACAAATCACAAAGGCCGGATCTCTCGTCCCTGAGCGGAGGGATACTACAAACCCTCGCTATATCACCGAACTCTTGACAGGTATCTTACTTGGTGTGGGCAAGCCTGCCAACGTTCCCCGTATCAGCAAACGCATTGGAGACGACGTGTTGTGGCTACATGCGGATCTCCCCTGGAGGCGAGCGCCCCTTTGGCTCGCTATTCGGGTGGCCATCCAATCCACTTTTGCTAGACTCCCAGACGGACAAGCCACATACAAATCGTTCGTTTTATTCTTGCTAGCATCGACCCTTGAGGGTGCTCTTCGCGACCACAAATCTAGCTTCTCGGATGACAATTTGTTCTGCATGTCTGCGAAGATAAGTCGCCGACTCTGGAAGCTCGGCGCGCAAGCTCCTCCGGCCCTCGCAGAGCTAACGTGCAAAGTCGCCAAGGCTACCAGAGGCGTTCTAGAAGCCCGTCATAGCAAACTTGTCCCGGTCCCCCTCCCCGCACTCAAGGTGACTGATGAAGACCTCACCCGCGACAGCCATCTGTCCCTTCCAAATAGTCGGGCTTATATCGATCTTGCTCTGTCGCAATCTGAAGAAGTAAACGCACCCGCTCCATTCAGTCCTGACCACTGCACACGAAGGCGCCGCTTCGCAAGTTTCGTTGCTTGGTTGCCTTCACAGCTCTACACGTTGAACGACGAGGACAAACCCATTGTCCTAGTTGATTTCGAGCAGTCTGTCCATCACTTCGCCGACGTTGAGGCATGGCGGGCTGGCATAGAGAACGCAGATACTGCAGCTAACCAGCTGACGAGCTGCATGAAATCATACTTCAACACTGCTAATGTTCGCTACAAGGGCGATCCGGAGGCCATGTCAGTTATGTATCTTACGCTACTTCTCCTCTGGGTTGCCCTGGACCGTATCGTTCTGAAGCAGATTCCACTCTTGGGCGACTTTCGCCCAGAACTAGAGACTAAGACATTTGAGCCCCTTCTCCTACGCACTGAGCGCGCGCGCAACTTACTCAAGGTTGCTCTAGCTCACATTACCAATCGCCATTCCGAAGCAACTAGCGACTCCGTGCTCCAAGGAGATTTGGGCGCGGAATCGTTCCCAGTTCGCTACTTTGACAACTCGACGGCATTGCAAGATCTCAAACAGCGGATTCGGAACGACGCCAAGGCTGAGAAGCAGAAGACACTGATAGAACTGCAGCAGAAGACAGAGGAGTATCGCAATCTTCAGCGTCGAGCTCTCCGGTCGAGTCATGACGATCACGAGTACTTTCGAAACCGTCGCCTGCCCTGCTCGAAGTGCAACTTAGAGGAGCAGATGCAGCGCATGTCCATCAGCATATATGAGTGGCCACTGCCATCGGACGACGATCAGGCCAAGAGTGCCGTTTTCGAGATCGCTTGTCCTCTTCCCTTCGCTGCATGGCGCGACGCGACTTATTTCCTGATGTCCGACGTGCTCTCGCCTTCAGGGGTATCTATTAAGGGTGGAAGGTGGCACGGGGTTCTTGATCCAGCCCACGATTCTTCTTATGAACCGCTCTGCAAGTATGCAACCAACCCCTTGTCTGTTAGGCGCGTCACCATGGGCTCGACAATCAAGTCCTTTCTGCAGACCCACTACCAACACGGATCTCTCCTGCTCAGTACCTCTCCTACGGCCGACAACGTCATTGTGAATAATGGCCTACGGTTCCATCTCTTTGAGACCCATGGAGGTGAACAGACGTCGCATTGTTTCGATCACCCCGACATCACCAACAGCTGCACCTATACTGTTCCCCAAGGCTTCTATTCAAATCTGGCGTATTCTCTCAAGGGCACTACCCATTCTCCCAACGCTGTGATTGCACGACAATCCGAGTGTGACAAGGGACTGTCCATTCACGAGTATTGGGCATACGGGAGTCTTCGGAGTGGGGCGCAGACTCAGTGGATGAACATCCTCCGGGCCCTCCGAGGACGGTCGCTCAACTTCCGCCAGGAAGAAGTATATCTTTTAGGTGTGCAAGCTGCACTTCAAGTCGGACCCCATCTCCGGGACGATGATCAGACGTCTTACCCTTGGCATATCATTTTGCAAGACGAGACGTTCTGTTTATCGCTGATTGGAGAGGCCAACTCCCTACTCGAGGAGATACAGGATAACTGGCTCGAGGTGTTCACCACAGGCCTTCTCGTGGATGTACTCCTGAGAATGATTTCCTCGTCGAAGACCCAGTCCGTTTTACACGCGGCCTACGCAACTCTTCGGTGTGCTCGAGGCATTGTATTCACATGGCTTGAGGAGCTTTGCCAGGCCCCAGATCGCTTAGACAGCTTGGAGACGCAGTCACGCATTCGCGATATCGCCGCCGTCTGTCTGACAACCTTTGACGCGGAGACTCGTCACATTGCGTCTCTCCTATCTCCATCCCACCCCGAGGACTTGAAAATCTACGTTCAGTCTTTTATTGTCCTCCATGACTACACGCCCGGGAAACTGGCCAACCTTCCAGGACATTCTAAGCGACTGCTCGCCCGCGTCAGGCGCTCTGCGATACTCTTGGAATCCTACATCTTCGAAAGAGTTAATGCCAATCGAGCAGGTTTAGACCAGGCTATCCGGGCCGTTTGGAGAGGTTACCGTGCCAATGTCGAGCAGCCGTGGGCGCGTTTACCCACCGCGAACTCACGTTGGATTACGTGTACGACAGCACCCACAGCACAACAAGCGTCTCAGACCATCCATTATAACCTTCTGAGCGGATCATTGCTTGTTGATGGCCAGTCTCTTGGAAGGCTGCCTGCATCCATCACCGGGCATGATATGTATTCACAGCTGTTTGCTGAGGTACGCTGCTCGCCATTACCATTCTAATATCCCAAAACTAAATAAACCAACAGCAAATTTTGGAGGTTGTCCCCAGCGACCTTCCCGGCATGAAGTATGCGACTCGGGAGATCGTGGAGGGTTATCAGGTTCGCGTTAAACGTCACTATATAACAATCTAACATAGTACTGATATGTGGCATCTGTATTGTCAGGTCTTCTTTGGTCTTCTTGGTGGCGAAGCTAGTAGCGAACCCTTGATCAAGGCCAAGCATGTTGACAATGATGCCATACTTCAACTCATTCCGTCTCCAAAGTTTCAAGGAGATCTTCCATTGCCCCTCGTCCAGAACCATGTTCATTGGCTAAATCTCACCACACGCACGATAGAATTACGGCCCAGCTCTCGCAAGTGGGCTGGTCTTTATGCCTCGGACTGGCGCATAGATTACGGCCCACATTCAGCCCCCATGATGCGGCAAGCTGCGTCCGGCTCCCATTTTTATCTTGTTGATCCGCTCAGCCCTACGTGCCGTGCGTTATCCACGTACCTCCGCCCCATCGAATTACCGTCATATCAGATCGTGTCGTGTACAATGGGCTCATCACCAACGTTGGATGCCGAGTTAGCTAGGTCTGGCTTCCTGTTCTCACTCAACGCGCAGCAAGAGCTCCAATCTCGAGAGTTGAGCGACTTCGTCATTGATACCAACCAATCTACCGGGACAATGATCGGCCTTCAGAACCAGCTGGTCCTCGCGCCAAGAGGCAAGGCCCGCTCTGGAGGAGAAATGCGTCGTGTTATCATTCCGAGGGGTACCATATCCTACGAAATGTCATCAGGCCATACCGAAGTCACCATCGGAAATCCAGAAGACGTTGAGAGAGTCTCTTACGATATTTACAAAGTTGAAACGGACCTTGGTCGCCTCAAGTTCTCTGGTTCCGCAAGCCTGACATCGTGCCTCTCCAAGGTGTACCTTCACGCATTAACCGCCCTCTCCCTACCTGATCAGCTGACTCAGCGCACGGGGACCGAGGAAGCATTGCGAGAACTACGTTCCGCATCATGCCTCTCTTTCAGTGCTCTGGGTGCAGAGGATGACAAGTTACTCCAGCAGATTGCTGAGCTCACACCACGTCGGTGCTATTACCCGACAAACATGAAGCGAATGCAATCTGTTTATTGGCGTCATCTGTCCCCACTTTCCCAACATGAAGGCTTCTTACAGGCAGTCAGCGCCATCCGAGCGCATGCAAGCCGTATGGAATCTCTCAGTGACTCCCCGCGTCCTCGCGACGCCAAAGATACAGGGAGTGGTGATGGACATCTGCTTCGGCGAGCTAGCTTCCGCAGAATGGCTTTCCAGCGGGACGGATTTGCGAGCATAAACCTTGATAAGGGCAGTGCAGACGTTCTGTATCTTTCTATTGACCGCGTTCTCCGCGATGAGACAATCCAAAAGATCTCCTCGACTTCTACCATGGTGTCTGGCTGGTCCTTCAACGTGTCAGCACCACTACCAACAGATTTACTTGAGTCGCTCAAACGCATATCGTCCGGAACGTCACTAGCGCCTCAGAATCCGAGCCTCAAATGCTTGAGCTATAGTCGTACTTGGCTCGCTCCCCCGCACGAGACCTGGATCACAGCCTTCGAGCTCTGCCGCAAAGGGCCCAACAAATTCCAACTTTTGTTCACCTTGCCATCGATGGCATACTGCCACCATTACGAAAATCGTCAAGAACTCTTATCGGCACTGTATTGCACGGCCATGCTTGCTAGAAATTTCCCAGTATCTTCTATCCCCACGCAATCGTCACACACTCTCGATGACGGAACTCAACTAGACCGGAATCGCTTACAGATGTTGATCTCTCGTCACTATCGCCCGATTTTCAGTACCCCAGAGGCATCTTGGGTACGGGACGGTACCGAGACCTACAAAGCTCTCAAACGCCGGAAGGAACGATCCTACGCAGACAAAACGTCAAGGTTGAACACTGCTTTGCTCAATGCGTTTGCCTCTCAGTGGAATAGGAGTGAATCACCGGGTCAGCCCGAGGGGAGCTTTTCTACCTATATTCTGATGGACTCCCTGTTACCAGAGGTCCGAAAATTGTTCAACAGCTGGCAGCGCAACCGCAGGCTCCGCGAGCACGCCAATAACGTTCAAAACAAATTGAGCCAAATTCAGTGGGACGTACTCATGAACGAACCGTAAGTATCGATGGAACTACGGTATACCAAAACTTATCACCGCGCCGTTTTTAGGTGCTCCTTCACGACAGCGCCCAGAGTGAGAAACCCTGACGCGGCGAATGGCATATCTTACGACGCTCTATTTTCACGACGGGCTTGCCAACTCTCATTACCGGCCGTTGCTCTTCCCCTTCGTTTCTCCGACGAACACCAGGTCACTAAGGCAGCAAGAGATTCTAGTTTGAGGTTGCTTCTGACCAGGCTCCGACGTCTCTATCGGGGTGCACCTTATGAAACGTACGTCGAAGGCCTCGAAACTAGCAGAGTCGCTCTTGAGAAGCACGTCACGAGTCACTGGGACCCGGATGAAGTAGAACTCAAACTCCTGGCTCAAGAGGACCTACAGCTATGCCAGAAACATTTCACTTCTTCATATCGCGCGCTCATTCGGGCTTCATCGCCAGCTACATCATCCGAGAAGGCGCTTTTCTACTCAGGCTTATGGCCCAGCCTATCTGTCACTTCGCTTCTTGGAAATCTAGCCATGGAGAAGTTTTCTTTACTTGGTGATGAATGGGCCGCATCGCTGGAAAACTTTGCCAGGATAACTATAGCATTCCAAACAAGTCGGCGTCGAGCTTTCATGATCGAGCACTGTCAGTACCAGGATCTGATTCGCGACTTGGACCATACGAAACAAGGGAGTTACTTGAAGACATGCCCTGATTGGCTTCTCGTTCAGGTAAAGCTTTATTGAATTTGAGCTAAACTCAGACTAAAGCAGATTTAGATTGACGCAGATTTCACGCTCAGGGATGTTCAATACCAGGTTGCGGACCAAATGATATCGGAAGGTTCCGACCAGAGCATCGCCCTCCAGCTCAACATGGGCGAAGGGAAGTCGTCCGTCATTGCCCCCCTCGTGGCTGCTTGGGTCGCGAACGGCAGCAAGCTGGCGCGGATGATTGTTCTCAAGCCTTTGGCTCCCCAAATGGCTCAGACCATGCATGATCGCCTCACGGGGCTCGCCAATCGGCGACTTTATCATCTGCCCTTTTCTCGCGCTACCAAACTTGACACAGCTATCTTGAAGGACATCGAAGATATCTTACATGAGTGCATGGCAAAGGGTGGCGTTCTCATCATCCAACCCGAGCAGATCCTATCACTCAAGCTCCGCACTATCGAGTGCCAGATGTCTACAGATTTGTCCTTATGCGAATCAATGACTCGGATCCAAACCTTCCTCTTCCAACATGCCAGGGACATGCTCGATGAGAGCGACGAAATTCTCCACGTGAGATATCAGCTCGTCTATACAGCCGGAGACCATCAACGGCTGCAAGGTCACCCGCATCGATGGACAACTACTCAAGAAGTTCTTCGGCTCACTCGCGATCACCTGCGGCAGCTATCGACCGAGCTCCCATCCGCATTCTCTGCTCAAGGCCTTGCCGGAGCCAATGAACATGAACAGGCTGCATTCCCTCGACTACGATTGCTCGATAGCCCGCCGGAGGCTGCTGAAGAGCTACTGAGACGCATTCTCGACGATATCATGTGCGGTCGGTTGTCGACTTGTAACATGGTCCACTTCCATGAGACGGAAAGAAGCGTCTTGTTACGCTTCATCTCCAAACCAAAGGTTTCCGAAAGGGATGAGGAGTTTTTGCAAGATATGAGAGAGCGAGGAGCAGCCGACGACATCTTCTGGAACTCGATCCTGCTTCTCAGAGGACTCATAGGTTTCGGGATTCTTACATTTGCACTGAAAGACAAGCGGTACCGAGTAGACTACGGCCTTGACTTACGGAGGTCTATGCTGGCCGTTCCGTATCGAGCGAAGGATTCTCCTTCTCCCAATGCCGAATTTGGCCACCCCGACGTCGCCGTTCTTCTGACGTGCCTCAGTTACTACTTCACGGGCCTCTCAGAAACGCAACTTGAGGCCTGCGTACGTTTCCTTGGCAGCCTCGACAACCCCCAGTCCGTGTATCAAGATTGGACCTCCCTCATTGAGCTTTCTGAACTTCCCCAATCTCTTCGTTCATTCAAGGGGCTAAATTTCGAATCCGCGGAGCAGCGAAAAGTTATTTGCCGTGTCTTCGGTCACAACCAGGCCACTATCGACTTCTATCTGCGCACAGTCGTCTTCCCCCAGGAAGCAAAGGAGTTTGAGAGCCGACTGGCCTGCTCAGCCTGGGACATAGTAGAGCGCAAAGTTAACATTACCACCGGCTTCAGTGGGACCAATGACTTCCGGCACCTCCTACCAACGTATATTGCACAAGAGGACCCTGACCACCAGCTCTCGACCAACGCTCGTGTCCTCAGCAATATGCTGCGCGAAGAAAATGACCACTATGAGACATTCCCTTTCCCCAACGGTCTTCAGTTTGTAGAGAAGCTATCCAAACAGACGCCTAGGATTCGCATGCTGCTTGACGTTGGCGCGCAGATGCTGGACGTTCAAAATCGGGACTTAGTTGAGCATTGGCTTCGACAGGAGCGGGAGGAAGATACCATTGCAGCCGTCTATGTCAATGACAAGGATGAACTCACTGTGTTATATCGAGACGGGCATGTTGAGCCGCTTTCGAGGTCTCACGTCAACCAGCATCTTGGGAAATGTATCATCTACCTTGATGACGCGCATACGCGAGGAATTGATGTCAAGCTGCCGGCCGGTTTCAGAGCTGCCGTCACCCTAGGCCCACGGGTTACTAAGGATCGACTGGCCCAAGGTAGGTCAAACTCGCAACTGCATGCATCACAATGACTCTGACGTATCTCATCTTCAGGTTGCATGCGCATGCGTCGTTTGGGTGCTGGGCATACCATCTGCTTTTTCGCCCCTCCAGAAATTGAAAGAGGAATCCGACGCGTAATGAAGCGGGGATCTAATCAAATCTCAGCTAAGGACGTGTTACTCTGGGCCATCGCGGAAACGTGCCAAGAGCTCAAGACAAGGGCGCTTCAATGGGCTCATCAGGGTGTTGATCACCATACCCGCTATGATGCGTGGGCTCGCTTCCTTGACACGGAGGATCTCGATCCGCCATCGCTTGATCATCTTCGAGCGGCGTGGCTTCAGCGAGAGGCACGTACACTGGAGGAGATGTATGGGATTCACGCAAATGCGCCGACAGATCCCCTCAATGAAGCCGCAAACATACCCGAGATATACCATCGTTGCCTACAGCTAGGGTTGACGCCCTCTGCGGAACACGAAGTTAGACTGGACGAAGAACAAGAGAGAGAAGTCGCACATGAGATTGAGCGCGAAGAACAGGTCGAGCGCCCTCCTCCCAAGTCAGCCGCAGAACATCGACTGCACTCTGATGTAGTGTCTTTTATTAAGACGGGTCGTCTGCGGTCGGGATCATCCGCGTTCGTCAAGGCTTTCTCATTATTCTCCGGCACTCCCGCTGAGTTTCCTGATGGATGGACGGGGAAGCTTTGGGCTACAAGAGACTTTGGGATCACTGTCGTCTCAGATGTTGCAGAGAAAGATTTCTTCCGTCCCATTCACTGGGTCCTCTCCAATCTCAGCTCAGCAGCCAGTGAGGGAGGTACGATTTTTGTCATCCCTAGCTCTTTTGAAGTGAACGCGCTCCTGCCACGCATCATGAAGTCAAACAAGGTCCACCTACACGTCTTCACACCGCGACTTACGCAAGAGATACAGCCCTGTGACGACCTCAGCCTTTTCAGCATCCCGCACCTCCCACCATCTATCATCGTTCCTCTCGCCCTCCGTCTTCAGCTCATACTTATTTCTGGTCAACTTTACCTCAAAAGCCACGAAGAATATATAGATCTATGCAGGTTCCTTGGCGTGGTTGCAGAAGATATCGCGGATCAACAAATCAGAGCCTCCCCAGATGGTTTCGTCCAACCTTCCCAACGTCCTGAAGGGGTTCGTGATGAAACTCCATTCGCCCACACACCAATTGCAGCTCTCGCTGAGCTGATGAACATTCGCCGGAAAGGGATGACTTTCGATCAAACTCATATTGGAAAGATTGTCAATGCTAGACCGCTTTCTCGACAAGATTTCCGTTAGGATGGTGAGCCATTATTTCATATCCATGCCCTAAAGGTCTGACTCAAGACATCGCAAACTTGTGACCAACTATGCTTCATTCCGTTTCTCAAGTAATATCGTAAGACAGAGTGATAGAACTACGACTCATGGACTATGCGTAATGTATGATACTATTGCTACGACTTAAGCGGTTCGTATTATTAATTTCATCGATATTTGCATGGATGACGCTCGGGTTTGCTTGGATTACTCTAGTTGGACTGCCGAGGACTCAGGATATCTAGTCAGAGCTAGTCAGAGTTTGAGAACGTTTGAGGCTGTGACGCATGTAGCGTATATTGCTTTCGTCGCAAACACCAAGTCTTCTTAACACGCTGTCACGTCAAACCATTTACATGTTCGAGACAGCTCACCCACTGACTTTCTATCGGTTGTCATGCTTGCGGACGTCTGAACCCTCATTGACCTGACTCTACCACTGTCCTCACGTCAAGGGAGCATTTCAATGACATCGAAGTCATTCAAGTTGGAATAATATAAGGCAGGTTGTTTCGTACTCTTGAAAGATGAAGTCTGACGCGCTGAACAATTACACAAAGAATGCTACCTAATAGTCCCAAAGGGCTGGGAAAGTCGCGCGCAAACATACCAAATCAGGACCTTGTTTCCATCCGTTCCCTCACGCACCCACAAGACACCTACTCCGAACGGTCTGCGACGATCGCTACCTTGCCGCATACGCCCTGAACCTATACCTTACAAGGGACACTTGCCTTGCCTCGTGTTGGCGGCGAACTCATCCTATACAGCATTTGTCCTTGTTCACATGTAACTGCGCCACCTATCGAGCGCCCGTCCTAAGATGGACGTTCCTCGTCCTTCCTGCCATCTCTCACGGCCTTTTCGACCTCGACCTCAACATGGATAGCCAGGGCGAGAGCCTTGCGGACCTTCACTACATCATCAACCATGTCTGCATGCCTCTCAAACTTCCACAATCTTCGGATGATAATGCGTCGAAGGATGCGGCCTTGGCGTCACTAACGTACAGATACGCGAAGTCTTTCCGTTCCTATGTTCTGCCGGAGCATCTGCAGGCCTGGGATGCTGTAACTGTTATGCTCTGGCACCTGCATGATTCTGCTAGCAAAACCTACTTGTCCGCAAAATCGATACATTCTCAGCTTCAATCCATGCAAGACGGAGGTATGTGTTGTTTTTGATGAATGGATTAGAGCTGACTTTTGTTCAGAGTTCCGCGTGCTCTTCATTAGACGTCAAAATGCAGGGCTCATTGTTCGCAAGGAACGTGATTGCACTATCTTTGAATCGTTCGAAGCATCTCCTTCTCCCGACGCTGTCATGCAAGCCACGGGGAAACTTCAATGCTCTTATCCAGGGCCAGCAGTGAGCGTCCCGCACCCCGTAGGCTCAGGTCCGGAATTCTTGGGACAATTATCGAGATTTCTGGAGGGGTTAGATGAAGAAGAGTTTCTGGATGCCATCCCTCACACAAAGAAAGCCGGTACTCTCGTCCCGGAAACCCGTGACACCATCAATCCTCGATACATCACCGAGCTACTGACGGGCATTCTCCTCGGAGTTGGCACCCCTGCTGAAATCCCTCGAGTCTCCAAGCGCATTGGGGACGATGTCCTATGGCTTGACGCTGAGCTGCCTTGGAGGAGATCTCCGCTCTGGCTCGTCATCAGGGTCTCAATACAAACTACGTTATCTAGAATGCCGGGCGGTCGTCTCGTCTACAAATCGTTCATTTTGTTCCTCATCTGTCACATAAGTCAACATGTCCTTAACAACCATCTCGCGCATTTCCCCGATGACATCCTCTTCCAGATGTCGGCAAAGATGAGTCGTCGGCTCTATAAGCTTGGATCGTCTGCGCCTCCGAGGCTTGCGAAGCTTATGTGCGAGGTTGCTGAAGCAATGCGAAGCGCTCTGGAAAAACGCAGCAAAACTCTTATTCCTTCCCCTCTTCCCATACTTCAGCTCGATGTCTCCAATTTCGAACGAGACGTGAACCTATCACTGAAGAATAGTCGGTTGTATATTGAGCGAGCGTTATCATTCCGGGCGTCTTCAAATTCTTCTTCCCTCTTTACTCGAAATGAGGTTCTTCGTCAACGCAATCTAACGGTATTTCTCAAAATCCTCGAAGCGCAGCTTTCAGGCCTTCGGGACGATGAGAAGTATCTTACCCTCATCGACTTCGAAGCGGCTGTTCATGACTCACTTCATAATACCAAATTCTGGTGCTCGACCATAGCAGATATCGCCACCACTTCTATCAGCATCATGAAGGCTATGTCTACCTATTACGACAGCGCGGTAATACTCTACACGCATAACCCTGAGAACTTGTCAATCATGTATTTGACGCTCCTGCTCCTCTGGGTGGCATTGGATCATCTCACATTAACGAAGATCCCTTTACTTTGGAATTATCATCCCGAATTTGATCACACGGTGTTTCAACCACTCCTTCTCAGAACGCAACGATTTCGCACTTTGCTTCAAGGAGCTCTGGCTCATTTGTCCTCCCGCCATGCTAAGGCGGTGCACAAACCTATCCTTGAGGGAGATATGGATGGCCAGTCCTTTCCTGTCAAATATTTTCGCAGATCTTCCCAGTTGCAGTCGCTCAAAGAACGCATTGAAGATGATGCTGAGGCCGGGAAATCAAAGAAACTGGAGGAGTTGCGTCAGAAAACTCGGGATTATGAGGATAAACTCCAACAGACTCACGACCTCCCGCACGAACAGTGCAGACGGGGACAAGTGAAAAAAGGAAAGAAGGGAAAGGGAAAGAAGGGAAAGGGAAAGAAGGGACACGTACAGCCATGTTTGAGGTGCAGGTTAGAAAACGAGGCCAAGACAATGAAGATCGACATTCATGAATGGCCCTTGCCTTCCGACCATCTGCAGGCAATGTGTGCGATCTTTGAACTCGAATGTCCCGTTCCATTTGCCGCATGGCGGGATGCTACCTATCACTTTGTTGCCAACGTTCTGAGCCCAACCTCGTCGGCCTCTGCCGGTGAAAAGCAAGAGTGGTATGGTGTCCTGAATCCCGATGCTAGTGGCTCGTCCATTTACATGCCGTTGGTCAAATATGCGCGTGGTTCCGGATTCCGCAGGCGCATCACGATGGGATCATCGACAAAGTCTTTCCTGCAGTCGCACTATCGGAGCATTTTGCTCAGCACACGCCCTGGTGACGGTTCTGTGGCCGTGAACAATGCCCTCCGTTTCTCGCTATTCGATACTGCTCGGGACCAGCGTTCAGGCAAGGGTCTTACCCCCCAGGATATTGTCAAATCTTGCACCTTCCCTATTCCCCAAGGGCTGTACTCAAATCTCGCATACACCCTGCAAACTACAACTCACAGCACGAATGAGGTACTGGCCCGGCAATCCGAATGTCATCCACAGCTATCACTCCGTGAATACTGGGCGTATGGAAGTCTCCGCAGCGGTGCTCGGCTGCAATGGATGAACATACTTCGGGTGCTTAGAGATCGCTCCCTGAACTTTCGGGAGGTGGAGGTTTACCTTCTTTGCGTACAGGCGTCGCTCCAGGTCGGGCCTTTCAATGTCGACTCCTTTGAATCCTGGCATTCTCTGTTACATGACAGGGAATTCTGCTTGTCTTTGATTCAAGAGTTGAAAAAACTGCTTGCCGCCATACAGCAAAACTGGCTTGAGTTCTTTGCCATGCTTTTCATCATTGATGTCCTGCTCAGAGTATTATCCTCGTCTACTAACGACACCGTTCTTAAAGAGGCGTACCGAACGCTTCGGGAATGCCGTTCGGTGAGCACCGCGTGGCTTGAGGAGCTTTGCAAACACCCAGATCGCTCTCGAGATGACCAAATACAACTGCGCATTCATAATATTGCAACCACATGCCTCGCCACTTTTGATACGGAAGCCCCTCACATCGACTTCTTACTCTCGCGAAATGACTCCAACGATGTAACCCAGCTCGTCAAGGCATCGATCATTCTTGATGAGTATACTCCCGCACTGGCTGAAGCTCTGTCGGATAGCTCTAGACGGCTTTCGGAACGCGCCAGACGCTCGGCCGTACTACTAGAGCCACACGTATTCGATCGAATAGTGCTAGATCGCACAGGGCTCGACCGAGCGATCCACTTCGTCTGGGCCGGATATCGTCCAGATGTCAACAAGCAATGGACCCGCGTGAAAGCCCCAAATTCCTGCTGGATCAGTTGCAGGACACTTCAAACTACCTATCAGTCTTCTCAGACGGTCCACTATGACCTCCTGAGAGGGGCCCTGCTTGTGGACGGCAAACCCCTCGCAAGATTGCCCTCGTCGGTTACTCGCCACCATACATATGCGCAACTATTTGCTGAGGTGAGATTACCGTGCCTTAGGTTATACCGGTGATGCTGAATGCATCGTCGTGTAGCAAATACTAGAAATCGTCCCTAGCGACCTCCCTGGAATGCAATATGCGACCAGGGATCTCATCGAGAATCATCAGGTGAGGTTTTTCGATAACGGCCAGAACGATGGTCGTAGTTGTTAACTTCATTGGCTTTAGGTGTTCTTCGGGCTGGTTGGCGACATACCAGTAATTAGGGCGAAACAAAATGAAAGCGACGTACTCTTGGAACTCATCCCATCTGAACGATTGCGGGGTGACATTCCTCTTCCATTCGTGAACGGACACACTCATTGGCTCAATTTATCCTCGCGTGTCATCGAAGTTCGGCCTGCGCATAGAAGATGGGAGCCCTTGCACGAATCAGATTGGCGCATACATTATTCAACCCACCGCTCACGCATGATTTGCCGATCGGGACAGGGCGCGGTCTCTCACATTGTCGATCCCTCAAGTTCTACGTGCAGCATGCTATCTAGATACTTGACTCCCATCGAGTTGCCGATATTTCAAGTCGTGACGTGGACGCCAGGTACAGTCTCAGGAAAATTACTGATTGAGCTACCGCGTTTGGGCTTGTCTTTTCTTCTCAACTCACGGGGAAGGCTACAGTCCCGTGAGCTCACCAAATTTGTTGTCGACAAAAACCAATCAACAGGGACAATGGTTGGTCTGCAGAATCAACTTGTTCTTGCGCCAAACCCCTCAGACGACTGCAGTGGCGAAGAGATGCGTCGTGTCATCATTCCGCGAGGGTCCATTTCATACACAACTTTGTCACGACACCCTCAGATTTCAATACACAACCCCGACTCCCTCGGGAGGGTATCATACGACGTCTATAAAGTGGACACCATCCTTGGCCGACTGGAGCTCGATGGCCTTGCAAGCATAACTTCCCGCCTCTATAAGGCGTACCTTCACGCCATCAGTACTCAGTGTCTACCAGATCCCCTAACCCAACGCACAGGAACTGAAGAAGCTTTGCGTGAGCTTCGCTCGGCGGCGTGTTTGTCCTTTAGCTCGTTGCAAGACGAAGATGTCATACTGCTCCAATGTATATCGAAGCTGACACCTCGCCGTCATTACTATCCACCGCATAAGCGCGAGCGAATGCAGAGCGTCTTCTGGGGCAGTCTCAGCTCCGTAGCTCAGCATGAAGCATTTTTTGAGGCTGTGACTGACATTGTGGCACACGCAAAGCGCATGAACATCATCGACTTTACTCTATGTCAAGCAATATCAGACTTTACAGAACCAACCGAAGGGAGCGGCGGCGACTACTCAAAGCTCCTTCGTCGAGCAAAACTCCGCAGACGGGTCATCCAACGCGATGGTTTTGCTAGTTTCGTCTGCGATGGCCAGGACCTAGACGTTGTTTATCACTCCCAGCGAGATGCCTCTCGCGAAGCATTGGTCCAACAAATTTCGAGCACGTCTGCTATGGTATTTCGTTGGTCGAGAGGCCTTTCGGCGCTTCCACCTTCGGATTTATTTGGCGCTATGAAATCCATTTCTTCCGGGTCTACTTTGGAGGGCCCAAAGCACCGCCATTCGTCTTTGCAATACAACCGTGTCTGGCTTTCAGAGCCAAGGACTATTTGGCTCACTGCCCTGGAGTTATGCCGAAAGGTGCCAAACAAATTCCAGCTTCTTTTCACCCTACCTTCAATGTCGTATTGCACTCACTATCGCGAGAGTCAGGAGCTGATAGTGGCCCTGTTTTGTATTGCTTATGAGGCTTCCGCCGGCCCGGCACCTTCAGCTTTCCTGCACTCGTCTTACACCTTGAATGACGGTATAGACTTGAATGCAAGCGTCCTGAACAGGGTTATATCCACCCGCTGTCGCCCTCTTCGTGACTGTCCAGAAGGGTCCTGGACTCGGGCCAGTGCAGAAAGCCATGCTGCATTTCAAAGTCGCCAAATCAAGGCACACTCGTCTGCGCTGTCAAAACTCAAATCCACGTTGCTTGACGTACTTTTGTCGCAATGGAAGATGGGAGAGATGCCCCTCCAGCCACCTGGAGAATTCGTACTCTACTTCGACTTGGATAGACTGTTATCGGAAGTCTCTGATTTATTCAGCAGCCGGCGGAACAACAAGGAGCTGCAAGTATATACCATAAGACTTCTCAGGCAGCTGTCTCAATCTACTTGGACAACGATCCGTACTCAAAGGTATGTTTCGGCTTGCGCTCTCTCGGACCTGTTGAACAATAGTCCCCTCCCAAGATACTCCTTCTCACCTGCGAGTAAAAGAACGAAACCATTTCCCTCCGGTTTATCCTCTCTCGATCTCCTGTCTCGCGCAGCTTGTAGAGGATTTTCCTTTCCAACGTCACTTTTAGCACAATACTTCAGAGTCAACACATACAGTAATCCAGCAAGGCTAGATGATCGCCTGCGCTCGCTCATAACGCGGATTCGGGGCCTTTCGCAAGAACCTCCCTATGACATTTATAGTAAAAACCTCGACCGGAGCAGGAGTGCTCTTGCTAGTGGTCGCCTCTCTGATCCGGGGCGGGTAGATAGAGCGACTATCAGATCTTTGGCTGAAGAGGATCTTCGGCGGTGCAGAGACCGCATGATTCTGTCGTGCGACGTGATCATACGAGCTCTGGCGCCGCAGGCTGATCACGAAATGGCCTTAGTGCACACCGGACTGTGGCCGAGTCTCTCAACTTTATGTCTTTTGCGCCACCTGGACTTGCACCATTTCTCATCGCTTATTCCAGTCTGGAAAAACACGTTTACAGAATTTGCGCGCATCATTATCGCACTGCAAACGAGTCAGCGGCGAGCCGTCATGGCTAAGAGGGGCGATTACCAGGACTTAATACACGACCTCGAACAGACTAAGGACCAGTGCTACACGACGACTGCTTGTCCCGATTGGCTTCTTCTGCAGGTAACCTCCTTTTGCATGCGTCTGCCGAGGCTCAGAGAGAGTTGACAATGGCCTAGATTGATGGCGACTTCACTCTACGCGACGTTCAGCACCAGATCGCGGGCGAGATGATATCCCAAGGCTCTCATCAAAGCATCACACTTCAGCTCAACATGGGTGAAGGAAAGTCTTCTGTAATTGCGCCCTTGGCTGCGTCAGTCATAGCAGACAAGTCCAAGCTTGTCCGCTTGATTGTCCTCAAGTCGTTGGCTGCTCAGATGGCCCACACCATGGAAAATCGTCTCACCGGTCTTGCGAACCGTCGAGTCTATTACCTACCTTTTACACGTTCCACTCAGCTTGATTCGGAGACGCTCAAAGCAGTAAGATCGGTTTTGGAAGAGTGCAGGGAAAGCGGAGGGATCCTCATTGTTCAACCAGAGCACATTTTGTCAATGAAACTTCGCGCAGTGGAGTGTCAACTTTCAAAAGATCTTAACTCTGCCGCCGCACTTGCTCATCTCCAACGTTTCATTTTCAATTATGGCCGGGATATTCTGGACGAAAGCGACGAGATTCTGCATGTCCGCTACCAGCTAGTGTACACCTGCGGCACACACCAACATGTACAAGGGCATCCGAATCGATGGACTACCACCCAGGAGATATTGCGACTAGCTCGTGGGCATCTGCATCAGCTCTTCCTGAAGGACCCATCCATGTTTTCAACTCAAGGAACGAGTCGGTTTGAGGATGCACATCCATCGGCATTTCCACCAGTCCGATTGGTTCAGTCGTCACCTGCGGCCAATCAACTACTACGACTTCTCGTGTCCGACATCTTAGAGGGCCGACTATCCAACTGCAATCTTCATCACTTTGACGAGTCGGAGAGAAATGCGTTCGAGATGTTCATCTCGGTTCCTTCCCTAACTATCCAGGCACAAGACTGCTTATCCAATCTACGAGTACGAGGCGCGTTGGACGAGAACGTCTGGAGCTTGGCTCTGCTACTTCGTGGGCTCATAGCTCATGAAGTCCTCCTTTTCTGTCTCCGAGATAAGCGATATCGCGTTGATTATGGGCTTGACTTGCGACGGTCAATGCTAGCAGTCCCTTATCGCGCCAAGGATGTTCCTTCCACCACGGCTGAGTTTGGGCACCCCGATGTCGTGATTCTTCTCACATGCCTCAGCTACTATCTCTCGGGCCTTTCGGAGACACAACTCGAAACGTGCATTCGGTTCCTTCTCATCAGCGACAATCCGACGTCCGTGTATGAAGATTGGCTAGCCCTGATAGCAAACTCCGACCTTCCTGAGTCTCTCAAGTCTTTTAACGGCCTCAACTATGACTCTGTGGAGCAACGCCGTTTACTCTCCGAACTGTTCGGCAATAACCAAGCGACCATTGACTTCTACTTGCGCACTGTCGTTTTCCCTCAGCAGGCAAAGGAGTTCGAAAGCAAGTTGGTAACCTCAGGTTGGGATATCGCAGAACCAAAGAGTCACATTACCACCGGATTCAGCGGTACGAACGACTTCCAACATCTTCTACCGACGTATATTCTCCAGAGAGACCCCCAGCATCAACTCTCCACCAACGCTCGTGTTCTCAACTACATGTTGCGGGATGAGAACGATCACTACGAGACGTTCAATTTCCCCGACGGCCTGCATTTCGTGGAGGTGCTGTCGCGCAAGCAGCCAAAAATTCGCATGCTACTCGATGTCGGCGCGCAGATGCTGGACGTTCAAAACAAGGAGCTGGTCGACCATTGGCTGCGACACGAGTCCCCAGAAGAGTCAATTGCGGCAATCTACGTCAATGATCACGATGAGTTGACCGTGTTACACCGGAACGGATATGAAGAGCCGTTGTCGACTTCGCATGTCAACCAGCATCTTGGCCAATGCATCGTCTACCTTGATGATGCGCACACTCGTGGCATGGACGTCAAACTGCCCTCTGGATTTCGGGCTGCTGTTACTTTGGGGCCAAGAGTGACGAAGGACAGATTAGCTCAAGGTGAGCCCGAATAGAACTCATATTTTCCTCATTCCTTATATTAAGCGTTCGTTTACGAAGGCTGTATGCGTATGCGTCGTCTGGGCTCAGGTCACACCATCGCTTTCTTCGCCCCTCCAGAGGTAGATACAAGGATTCGCCGGGTGGCCTCAAAAAAATCGTTAAATCGAATCTCGGTGGAGGATGTGCTGCTTTGGACCATCTCGGAGACGTGCACAGAGCTCAAGGCCCGAGCACTACAGTGGGCGTACCAGGGTACCGATCACAGTATCCGTTACAATGCTTGGTCAGACTTCATCAATGCAGAATCCTCTGACGGATCAGAGCTCAAGGACCTTCGACGAGCGTGGATGCAGCAGGAGGCACACACGCTCGAGGAGCTCTACGGGATTCACTCTAGAGGCCTCATGGACCCTCTTAGGGATATAATGAAATTTCCGCGTATCCTCCAGGGCTGCCTCAAGTTTGGCCTCTCCCCAACCTCCGCAGAGCAAGAAGTCACGCTAGATGAGGAACAAGAGAGGGAGGTATCACATGAGATCGAGCGAGAAGAAGAAGTGCAGCGTTTATCGTCTAAATCGCCCTGGCAGCATTACCTTTCGGCAGATCTGAAGAATTTCGTACAGACAGGCTTCTTCCCAGAACGCTCCCTTGACTTCACTCAAGCCATCTCGCTCCTAGCAGACACCCCAGCTGAGCTTCCGAGTGGGTGGAAAAAACAGCTGTGGGCGACGCGTGATTTCGCCAAAACCATTTTTTCCCGGTCTCCCGAACTGGACTTCTTCCGCCCCGTTCAGTGGGTTCTCTCGACGGCAGCCTTTGGTCCTACCGGCAAGGGTGCTGTATTCGTTTTGATCAGCTCATACGAAGCAAACGAATTACTTCCCGATATAAGGCGGTACATGAAAGTTCAGTTGCACGTTTTCACCCCCCGACTTACATGGGAGATGTCACCTTGCGACGACCTCCAGTTCTTCACGATTCGTCCCCTTGAACACCCTACCCTCGTTCCAGCTCGTATTCGCACAGAGTTGATCCTGTTTTCCGGCCAGCTCTACCTGTCAAGCAACGACGACTACGTTGAGCTATGCAAGTTTTTGGGCGTGTTCGGAAACGACTTGAAAGGCCTACCCAAGCCCCGTGTCTCTCATGATGGTTTCATCCAGCCCTGGGATCGTCAGTTAGGCATTCGAGCGGAGTCCCCCTTCTTAACCAGCCCCATACCTGCACTCGCTGCGCTGACAAAGACTCGACTGAAAGGAATGAGCTTCAGCCATACACACATTGGGAAGATACTGAACGGAAGATCTCTCCTCCCCAAAGACTTTGGTTTGGATGGTAAGCAGATTTCGAAGTGCCTCAGGCCATCTTCTCTCCAGCCCGCAGACGAAGTTTCGAGCTCTTGGTTCACTCGAGCCATCTCAGCTGCAACACGGTTTATATTCGCATCTACATCAAAATAATATGTTAACGACTTAGTTTTCCATTGCAATAATAATCTTCGCAAGAGTTGTCATCTCTTCCCATTGGCGCTTCTCCAGCGCTGCAAGCTGTTCCGAGGACTTCTTCTGTCGAGAGGTACTGAACCTCTCTACTTCGTTGACAAAATCTCGTGCAGCTGTCCGCCCATCCTTCTCGGTTGCCGATGCATCACCCGGTACGTATATCTGTGCTAGGTGAGGGTGAGACAGGCGATCAGCCCACCACCTGAACGTTTCGTTCGTAAGATGATTCAAATTACTGGACAGCTAGATTGTCCTACCTGGAGTTCCAGTAGTCTGGTTCTCGCCGATGAACGATGTGATGAAGATTGTTAGAGTACGGGTTGGACTCGGACATTTGTGCTAACTCATGACAACCATTGAAGTCGTCGTTCAAAAGGTGTAGGACTGACTGTCGTTCACATCAGGCCCCAAAGTACATAGTACCGTTCTACTTGCCTGCTCGAACATTTCGTCCTGCATCTAAAGCGTCAATTTGGGACGATAATTCTGGTTTCCATGCCTTTTTGATTGCGAGGGGAGGCAAAGGCTGCCTTCCGAACAGCTCGACGACGACAGGCGATGATAGGATGGCTTCGCCTGGCATAGTGGGATATTTCTCAAGTACACATGGAAAACCTGGCCTATATATACTGGGACGTTACTGTGGATCTGGTCGGGAGCCCGCTTTCCGACTGAGTCATGGTCATGAGCTTGGGGATGGATGAAGACAGGGGACCAAAGCAGCGACAATTGCCTCCGCTCTCGTGTGCGTCATGGCCGTCGGCCGCGTCAGGAAGGTTGAACCAGTGTCAACAACGTCGACTGACAATGACATCCAACGTCCTTCTTCTTCGAAATCCACCTGATGGCGTTGACAAGTACCACTCCGTCTTTCGTGACCTCGGGTATAACCCCCATTCTCTAACCGTCCTTGAAACCATCTTCGTTCATTCAGGCGAGCTCCGGCAGCAGCTTATAGACGGCCCCCAGCAAACTGGTCTATCTGGCGTCATAGTAACCAGTAGTCGGGCTTGCGAAGCGTACAGGGAGGTCATCCAGCAAATCTATGAGAGTAGTTTGGGGTCACAACGCGTGGCAGGTCGGTGAGCACCGTCACGTATTGTTCAAGGAGTTCAAGCTTACAGCCTCCTCCAGCCGACTGGAGTAGTATCCCCTTCTATGTCGTTGGCGAGACTACTGCGGCATCTCTTGCGAAGATCAAGTCCGACTATGACACCCCACTTGCTCCTGTCGACATACGGGGTGCGGCCGAATCTGGGACCGGTGAACGACTTGCACATTTCATCCTAAACGACCTATATTCAGCACTTCCTCCCGACAAAAGCCCTCGGTCTCCGCCCAAGCTACTGTACCTGACTGGTGACAAGAACCGAGACACTCTTCCCACTGTCCTTGAGGGTGGCGGCGTCAGCCTCCAGCACCTCCAAGTTTACGCTACTCGGGGCGCGCAAACATTTAGTGAGGACCTTGACGAACTCCTACGTGGCCATCCATATGGTGCGTCCACCGCCTATATGCGCACGTATGTTACTGACTTCATGTCAGAGACCTCAAAATTGTGGGGATGGGTCGTTTATTTCGCACCATCGTCCGCCGAATTCACTACTACTTTTTTGCAAAGACGGTTTCAATTGCCCTCTTCCGCTTATCTTTCTACTGGCGACCTCTCATTACCTCCGGTGCGGTTAGCAGCCATTGGCCCATCGACTGCTAATGCTGTCCGAGATAAGCTTGGACTTACACTCGCCGTCCTCCCCGAGAAGCCTTCACCCGAAAGCCTAGCGTCCGCGATTAAGGCATTCGATAGCAAGAACCCCTGAGGTTATAAAATTGTCTTCGCCCGGATCTGACTATGTATTTTGCACCTGTATTCATAGTTTAATGAATTCCAATCTCTGGCCATCGGATGGAAGTGACATTATTCGTTGGCATTGGATTGCTATGGCGCCTTCAGAGGAATTCTACTTCTCTCCCTTATACCACCTGTCCTTTCGCTCCCCTCGTTCTGGCAACTGTCTCCCGGCCACTGGTTGGTCGTTCTCTGGGATACGCTCCATCCTCTGCGATACCTTTCCGCCCTTTCTATAATCCCGAGAAGTTGTTTTCCAGCTCATTGTCTATTCTTTCATTATCAACCACCGCTCCTTCCGAGACCCATCATGAACTCTCCAGATCCACTATTATGGGGCGAGCCCGCCGGGTCGTCAGCAGGGTTCTTTACGAGTTCGCCCCGCAGCCGACCACCCACAAACAAACATGGTTATTCTCCTGTTCGAACGCATGAGAAGCAGAAACCCAACTCTTCATCCCTCGATGTGTGTCTCACATAAATTTTCTCGACTACATCCAGTACTGACCTTTTCGATGCTTCTTCCAGGGGTCTCTATCTGCGAAGGTACGCATGTGCACATATAAACGGTCTTTACTTTATCTTGATTACCTCCTTAGTATGCGCTGCCGCCCAACCCAGCAGACTGGGGCGCACTCTCCCTCTATCTCACTGACCCGGAGTCGGATGACTATCTGCACAACCCTGATCCTGTTCGGGACTACAAAAACGACTACGGGGCGCGTATATGCACCCGCCGCGGCTTGGCCAACCTGGGATGCATGATGATCGTGCTCTTGGGATGCTTGCTCCTCTTGTACGCATTTTTGTCTGGACATGTCCCTTGCTCGCTTACATACTTCCATGCAGCGCTGGTAAGTCAGCATTCTTCTAAAGATTAATATGAATCATACGCGTTACCCTCGCATCATCCTCCCCTCTCCAGTCTACCCTGTTGTCCTCCACTTCACCAAGAAACCTCTCAGCAACTACAACGCGTTCAACGTCGGCGGCTTGAACGCGTCGGGCCAGATCCCAAGCATGCTCGGTAGCTTCGGCCTCATCGACGTCGACACCCCCAAGAGCGTGTACACGAAACCATCGTACACAAACCCGAATGAGGAGATGGACCTTGTGTTTTCTGATGAGTTCAATGTCGGGGGGCGCACTTTCTGGCCTGGAGACGACCCGTACTGGGAAGCGCCGAGTTTACACTATTGGGCAACAGTGAGTTTATTCATAAGCGAAGAAAGGTTGGTTACTGATGGTCTTTCTAGAACGACTTGGAATGGTACGACCCGGCGGCGGTCACGACCCAAGGAGGTGCCTTGAGAATCACGCTCTCGGAGGTTGATCCTGCAAGCAACCATAACCTGAAGTACCGCTCCGGGATGGTAAAATTTGTTTTCTATTGCACGAAGCGCTCCATGTGCTGACGGATGATAGATTCAGTCATGGTTGGACCATGCATTCAATGACATTGGGATGAATCTAACATATTCCTAGGAATAAGTTCTGTTTCACCGGTGGCATTATCGAGGGTTGGTTATTTTCCCCTTGGACCAAATATATAGCTGAGTTATCTTTCAGCTGCGGTGGTTCTCCCTGGATCAAGCAACGTCCAGTGCGTGAAATTTCTCTGTTGGAGAAGCTCTCGCTAACTTCGTCAGTGGTTTATGGCCAGCCATGTGAGCATTGAAGCTATATCCATCTTGGCTCCTTAATGTCGTACTTTGATAGCTGGACGATGGGAAATCTAGGTTGGGCTCCATCCACTCAAGTTTATTAACGATAAATAATATAATTTTACCTCATAGGTCGAGCTGGATACGGGGCAACTCTCGATGGCCTGGTAATAATCACTTCCGCTTTTGCGAAAGGGATAATGGCTAATTGTATTGAAGTGGCCTTACTCTTACGACAGCTGTGACGTCGGTACCTTGCCCAACCAGACATTTCCCGGAACCGCAAAGCCGGAAGCTGCGACGAAGAACGGCGATCCCGCTCACGGCGGCGTACTGGTAAATTGACATACGTCACCCCCACGCAGATTAGCTGACTTTGCTTTTCAGTCTTACCTTCCTGGGCAACGTCTTTCTGCGTGCACTTGTTCAGGCGAGTCACACCCCGGTCCAGTTCACCAGAACGGACAATCTGTTGGCCGTTCGGCGCCGGAGATCGATATCTTCGAGGCTACAGTCGATTTTGGTGTGGGCAAGGTAAGAAGGCTCAAATTTTACTTGAGACACGTTTCTCACTCTCGCTCGAAGGTCTCGCAATCAGCTCAAATCGCACCCTTCAACGTATGTGAACTGCTTGAAGTGTAGATGTGTTTCATTATTTGTTTCAGGAGGGATATCGATTGGCAAACACGTCCGCGAACCTCAAAATCTACGATCCTGAGGCCACTCTTCTCAATCCCTACATTGGCGGTACTTTATTTTCTTATGCTCTTATTCAGGTTTGAAGTTCATCGCACGTTTTAGGTGCTTACCAACAAACGCTCAGCGGTCTATCGGTGACGAACCCAGAGTGCTATGAGTTGAACAAGGGATGCTACAGCGTCTATGCTTTTGAGTATAAGCCTGGGTACATCCAATCTTAAGTTTTCCTTTCAGTCATCCTCTCATCCCCTCGTCGCGTTATAGATTTGATGACGCCTATATTACCTGGGTAAACGGGGGCAAACCAGCCTGGACTCTAATGGCCTCAGCCATCGGCTCAGAGAAGCAAACCGAGATTGGAGCTCGAGCAATTTCACAAGAACCGATGGTATGCCACTTCGGATCGCGCTGGCTATGGCTTTGTGATGCTGATCAAGGCGAACAGTACATCATCGCGAATCTCGGATTTTCGACCAACTTCGGAGGTATCGACTTCGGCCATATTCAGCTCCCTGCAACGATGCTTATCGATTACATCCGGGTGTATCAGCCTAAGAACGGACGTAACATCGGCTGCGACCCACCAGGGTTCCCCACGGCTACGTATATCAAAACGTGAGTTTAGGCGTAACGTCGACTAGGGTTTTTGACTCGTACTAAATGTATTACAGGTACGCAGAGGCGTACAACAATCCTAACATTACTGAATGGGGTCACCCGATCTTCAACCAGAGCATGCCGAAAAATAGACTCAACGGTGGCTGCTGAGAGACCTGGGGTGCAGCTCGCGATGAAACCTTGCATTGTTTCTGACGAGCTCTTGTACTGAAATTTGTAACCTTCAATTTAGAATTCATCATCGTTTTGTGACGAGTCCTCCATACATGACACAATATCTAAGGAACGAGAAACCACGCTTGGAAATTTAATGTTTGTTGATAATCAAGATGAACAACCACCGGCTCAGAGGGCGAACGCGCTGTGTGCCTGTTCATTTCGAGACTACTCGCCAGTGGTCCTTCTGTCACTATGCCGTCGCTCGTCAACAAACCATCCTTGACTCGTCTCATCTATGGTAGCTTTCATGCTCCTCAGCTAAAAAGCTCCATTCTCCAGGCTCGTCTTTTCGTGGAACAAGGCCTCCACTAGTGACCAAAGTGAAACGTCCGCAGCAGTCTGTGAGGCTTCGAACGAGGCTTCGAACGAGGCCACCGTTTGGTGTGCTCAACTGATCCGTCTGTGTTCGCATTCGCCTCTGCCAAACGTTGTTTGACTGCCCGACCGAACCAAGTAGCCCCCGAAACTCATACTGCGCTCCAGTCTAGAATGTGATTCGCCTTGGCCAAGACATCATTTACCGTACGACTAACAGATAAGTTGCCACGAAGATTGAGTCGTCCCAAGCGCATGGCAAATGCCTGTCCCGAAGCCAATATGTAAACGAGGGTGGTCTACGGAAAGTTCACCGCGTTCGTATACGACGGCGGTTTCAGACTCGGGAGGCCACTGGCCGGCTGTAAACATCTGCAGACGGCCAGAGACTGCCTTGGGAAAAGTCGGATGCCTGCTTGAGGTTTGAAGACAGAGATCTGGAGTTTGAGAGCGATGCATTACCAAGCCCTCAAGAAGTTGGATGAGATGAAGCAACATCTCCTCATCCTTTGTCTCGACCCTTCGCGTACCCAGCAAGAGGGCTTAGCACCTTTCTAGAATAACGAAAGTACGAATCATCGGCCAGACCAAAACAAAACCTTGTGGAGATTGAGGTATAGGCATTGCTTCTGGAGGTACAACTTTTACAGTTACTAATATTACAGGGTCCTTCCATTGATTTAAGTAGGCTACCTACGCGGAGCCCTTGTACTGGGCGGGCGTCTCTGCAAACTCAACCTCACCATAGACTTCCTTGAGCTTCTCGTGTGAGTGAATCTTCTCGAAGTAGGCGATCGTCTTAGGGTACTTGGCTCTCTCGGACGCACCGAGAGTGACTTTGAAGGCCCTCTTCAAACTCGCTGCGAGTGTGAGATCGGCGATGGTCAGTCTGCCACCTACGAGGTACTCGCGGGTACCAAGGGTGCTTTCGAGATGCTCAAATGACTTGTACTGGCGTTCCAAGAGGAACTGATGAAGCTAGATAATTGGGAGAAATTAGTAGACCGACGAGAGAGCTGATGAGCGCTGAGCATTGTTTACCTCCTTGGGATATCCGGGAAGGAAGCCCATGGTGAGGACGTGGCTAAAGTCCGTAGACACCTGTACCTCAGACTCAGTGAAGTGGGTCCACTGCTCGATCTCGGCAGCCTCTTCGGTGTTCTTGCCACGAAGCCCACTCTCAGGGGCCAGAGACGCGACTGCAAAACGACAAGCATAACGATTAATTCAAGGACTGCATGATAGAGTGACCAACCGTAGTTCGCAATGGCGAGACCCTCGGTCACCTTGAAGCCGTTGGCGCTTTCAAAGCCCGGGACCTTCCCTTGGGGGAACTTCTCGAGGTACTCAGGGGACTTGTTCGTCTCGCCCATCTTTACTTCGACATAGTTGAGCTCAAGCCCACCAATCGCGGCAGCCGCCTTGATCTATGAGCGTACCGGTAAGATTAGAATGTCATCGGGAGACTGCTGGTGTAAAGACGTACAATGGTGGTCTGGCGTTGGTAGCCGACGCCATATAGAGTTCCGATGGGGGCCATTGAAGGGGAAATTTATCTAGATGCGTGGAGAGACTGCTGATGAGGGCGCTGTTGATTTACTGAACCTTGCACTCGCATCACGCTATTTATACTGTATACCCACTTCCATTTCCAGATCATCTTGCATTGAACTCGAGGATGGTTCCTCACTAAGTAGCATTGGCACGCGCTCACCCTCAAGCTGCTTCATTCCGACCACCTCGGAGCAAATCAGCTTTGTCATCATGAGCGCTTGGTAAATCCCAATATTTGGAAGTTGGTGAGGTCACAAGCAAGGGCAGTGGAAGAGTAGTGGAAGCACCTGACAATTCTTGCTCAGTTCCGAGCAACATCAACAACGAGAGGACGCGCAAGCCAGCGGCAGGAGTCAAGCTCCATTAGTAAGCGAGTGGAGACAGTCGGGCAAAAGAACATCTCACCATCCCGTCTTGAGCTGAAGGTCGCGAGGAGCACCACCGAGCTGGTTTGCCAATGAAAAATAGTGGAACCAATGACTTGACAAAGACGAAGGTTTGTACCTGGCGTTGAGAAGCGTTGAGAGCTTCTGCACGCAGGGAAAGATTGATGACAACAGCCTCATTCCGAGGGGCATGCCAATAAGACCCTTATACAGCTAGTCAATTCGTTTGCTATGTCTGGTACGTACTGGAAAACACAAACTGCCACAAGCTCTCCACGTGCAGTGGGCAGCTACCAAAACACCAAGACAGCCGACGACGCTTCCACGTCAATCTTCCCTCCAGAAAGAGTCTCATCAACATACTGACCCTCACCGTACCCAGACGCAAAGTTCTGCCCAGCCCACGTTGTGACATTGGCAGCTTTGACATCCGCACCAGGTGCAGTCAGCCTCTTTGCTGTGATCACCTGGTTCGCGTCGGGAAGATACGCTAAAATATCGAAGGTCACATTCGGACGCGCGCCAGTGTCAGTTTGGTTGTAAATTTGCATATTGAGCAGTGCCAGCTTCGAAGGGTAGTTGAGGCCATATGAGGAGGTCTCGTCCCAGAATCCGTACACGACGACTTGGCCTGCCGATGGATCGCCGTCTGCGGTCGTGATGGAGGACCCATTGGCTTGTCGGCCGGGGAAGATGTTAGCAATTTGAAGGGATGTGGAGTGGCCAATGGCTTCAGCCACGAAGAGATATGCAGAATACGCGGGGAAGACTTGAATTGGCCCGTTCTGGTTCTCGATGGGATACCTAGAAGGGATAGTTGGAGGGAAACGCGAGGGAGCATAAAGCGAGACGGCGGCGCACCAAAGATTGTATAAGGACAAGCCGCCATGGTTCAACTGTGTTGAGCTCTGTAGGGCAAGTGGTCCTCCTTGGTGAACGTAGACGCTGCGGCAGTATCGGTATTTGAACCGTAGTCAAAGTGAGAAACGTACCGGGACACGTTGATCGACGCGGCATACAACGTAGTGTCGAGCTGCACACCATCATCAGTGATGCACTGGCGAGGATAGTCATAAGCTGTAGCTCACCAGCCACATGGCTTGTCCGAACGTGTTGCTGACGTTGTCACGGCCAGAGCAGGACACAGAGTTGAACTCGCCTCATAGAGATTGAGTCAACCGGCAGGCAATAACGCCAGTCGATAGTAAAGGTATCATACCAATGACAAACGAGTCGGGACCCAGTTGCTCACGAACGGAGTGAATACGGGGTTGCCAAAGATCTAGATACCTGCACAGATTAGATCAAACCAGGATACTGACACAAGATCCCTCACATGGCCAGCCGTGTGTGATTCACCTAGGAAGGACCACAGCATAAGATAAATTGGTATTGTCTAACGAGAAGACGCTCTCACCAAGTTAGGTAGCGTAGCGATGGCAGCCCTCGTAGGATCGCATACCTGTACATACGGCGCTCAGTCCAACCTCACTGATGAACGAGCCGATACGAAGACTCACACTGTACTGGTAAGTATGCTCGCTGCAGGTCTTTGCAGTGTGCCCGTCGTCTGCACCCGCAGCAAGCGCGCTGACACAGTCAAACTGAGCATCGGCAGCCGACGTATTGTACGGCCAGAGAGGGTCTATAGCGGTTGCACCTATTTGGAACTCCGGATAGTTGACGCCAAGGTCTTTGGAGATGTTCCCGCTCCAGGGCTACGCGGGGTTTGTAAGCGGCCCGGGTCATCTTGGCAGAAATAAGCCTGAAGGCGAACGTACCTCCCAGTACTCGGTGTAGTTTTGTGCGTTCAAGTGGATGGAATACTGATCAGGTTCATTGCCGACTGGGTCAACAGTGAGTGCTGGTTTGTGAGAGTGTCTACCCAAGGAACGTACTCTCAAACCTAGATATGTTGACTGAGCTATCACGCAGACCAGCCCACATTGCCTCGGCCATGTACAGAGCACCCGTGTAGTTGAGACTCTCCAAGCCCTGTGCATACTGGTCAGTGGGCAGGCACTGACATAAGTCGTTTGGTTCACTTACAAGAGTGAAAACAATATTCGTCTCATTAGGTAGCAGCTCGACAACCTCCCAGAACGCCGGACCCAGAGTAGTATTGATCAATGCTCCTGAGCTGTCGATGAAGTTGTACAGTGCCTGATTTAGATTGCCGTCCCAGAAAGCCGAGTCCGCTGTGATGCCACCGATGCGCACTTCCGCAGGCACGCCCGTCCTGTTGCTCAAGTTCTCAAACAGAGCCTGGGACAACGTGTTCGGAGAAGAGCTGTTACCCATGTACTCTTCGAAAAATGCGGTTTCGATGCTGAAGCTGGCCAGCGCTGGATTGAGAGGGGATGTCGCCCACATAGGGAGAGATGGAGGTCCCTGAAGCGTGAGATTGGATAGACCAGAGGTTGCTCCTGTAGCTACATACTCGGAGCCTTGAGTCGACATTGCATAGCTCAAGAGAGGAGGGATGGCAATCAGGATGGCTGAGACTTTGAGGGTGGTCATTGGAGAGCCGAATTGAATCAAACTTCAGCCTAAGTTCCTGAAGTTATACGCGAGCTGAGAATTGAGGACTAAGTTAGTATTGACATTGAAAGGGCGGGCCGGTGACGTCGACCGTGAGTCCTCACATGCCAGGTGACGTAGGGCGCGTGGGTCACCTGTGAATGAAGTTAGAACGCCACGGTCATGTGAGAAGGGATGCCGGTGTTTGGTGTTACTTGGCAGCAGCTTTAGATCCTAATTTGCGCAAACAACCTGAGCCATCGACTCGGCTCCTTGCCGCCGAAGGCATCCGCGACAAGATCCGCGAACCAGTACAAGACACTACACCAGCAGAACCGTCAACTTTGCGATCTGCGGATCCGCCTTAATTTTATCAGCATCGCGAAAGTATCACAATTGCGATCTCACGAGATAGCGGCAAGGTTCACCATTATGTGAATTATCATTGAGACAACGATCTCGGGTTGGCGCATACTATGTGGTAGGGCGTATGCATATGTACTCTTTAAAATATGCGTAATTTTTTTCCATATACAACACGTTGTTATATTGCAATATGAGACATTATACTACGAGCTTGCTCCCCGGTCATGAGTGATATAGGCTCGCATCATCGAACGTTACCTCGGCGAGCAGCACAGAACGTGCAAAAACTATCCCGCTTTCCCTAATATTGGTTTCCTGTGCCATACGCGTGTCGAACTTTCGAATACTGACAACTAATCTTGTACCGATGGTTATTTGAGTCATGGTCACAAGGTGGAGAATGATGGCATTGGTAGAGCCCTGGAACAGGCTTTTAGCTGGACGCAAGGGATGGGGAGTTTAAGGGCCTGTTCGGTTGCACGATGTGGAGATAAATATCGCGATATTTACGAGCTCACCTTCCTGTAATGGCAGTCGTGATCTGGGCACCTCAAATATGACGCTTTGGAGCATATCCCGCGTTCGGATGCGCAATATGGAGCAGAATATGACGTTGGCCAAACCCGTGTGAAAAGTACTGTGCTGAGGGAGGCCAGTCCTCCTTCGTCGACTCGTGGTCAGCACACTTTCTATACTTGCAACACCAAGCACCATGGCAAAGACACCAGCGAAGCCACCGCCCAGTGATACACCGACTCCCTGTCAAGCTTGAGGTATGGTAGGGTTCAGGATGGATACGACGCCATGCAGTGTCGATAGCTAGCACAACAGATGTAGTTGTGAGTGAGAGTGCTGTTGTGATAACGGCAGCTCGTCGTTGATGCAGACGACTTTTCCGTGGGGATCTCACAGGAGCATTGGAGAGGGTGGATGTACGTGTGCGAACCATGATGATTGAGCAAGGGGCTGCCAGCCGCAATCTGGTGTTATATCGACGCGCGCCGTCCGCGTCATATTTTGGGCTAGCCAAATAATATCACGTGACTTTTTACGCAGCACGCGAATATCTCAATATCTTATTGCGCAACCGAACAGGCCCTTATAAACCCCTCGCAGCTTTTTCCGACATTACTCGACGACCGCGTCATCTGTTCTTTTGCCAACATTTCCACCATGCACAGTTGATATTGGCGTTCACTTCGTTTTGCCACATCACTGCTCAAACTGTACTCTTAAGAGAAGGATGTGTGTTTCTATCATAGCATTGGACTCAAAGACCACCATGACGACCAGGCAGTGATCAAGAGTTTGTTCTCACCAGTAAGCAAACGTCTATCTTTGGAGAAACATCATAGCTTGAGAAGGTCCTCGGACGAGTGATACCGCTGGATACTTGTGACTGTCGCTATGCTATTGAGCTTATCGGTGGTCAGCATCTTTCGCGACATAGTGTTCGTCTAACTTGTCTCTAGCACTCATGGCCAAGCCGGATCTCGAACCTGGCAGGTTGTCATCTACGACCAATGAGAAGCTTGAGGAGTCACAGCTCAGACGAATTTCAGGCCACAGTGACGGTATCACAGACCTCGCCTACTCGCCTGACGGCAGGTTCCTCGCCAGCGGCTCGAAAGATCAAAGTGTCCGTATCTGGGACGCCGCCTCAGGCCAACAGCTGGGCGAGACTATGAAAGGCCACACCAGGGAGGTCACCTCTATCTGTTACTCGTCTGATGGTCGGTTCCTCGTATCTGACGCTGGCGACGGCTTTATACGTAACTGGGACATGCAGAATAGGAACAGGCTTGTGGGGCAGCCTGTTGAGGCGCACGTTGGCTACGTGGAGTCGGTCGCGTACTCGCCCAATGGAGCACTCATCGCGAGCGGAGGTGCAGACCGCAAGCTTAGGTTATGGGACGCGCATACATTCAAGCTTCTTGCCCAAAGCGAAGCTTACACTACGAGGATCTTCTCAGTCTCGTGGGCCCCTAATGGCAAGCGAATCTCAGCTGGCTTGATTGACTCAAAGATATGCACCTTCAACGCCGAAAGTCTCGCGCCGGCAATGAAGCCTTTCGAAGGACACAAGGGCTGGGTCAAGACTGTCGCGTACTCACCAGACGGCGCCTTCCTTGCTAGCGGAGGTGACGACTGCACCGTACGCATCTGGGATGCAGAAACAGCAGCATCCGCAAAGAGCCCCTTTAGAGGGCGCAAAGAAGGAGTCGATTGTGTTGCATGGTCTCCAGATGGCACACGGCTAGTCAGTGGCTCGCGCGACGGAATCGTGCGCGTCTGCGATGTTTACACAGGTCAAAGTCTTTTCGGGGGCCCGTTCAGTGCACATCGAGGACCTGTCTTAGCTGTTGCCTTTTCGCCTGATGGCAAGCACTTTGCATCCGCAGATTCAGATTCTAGGCCGCGCATTCAGATATGGGATGCACAGACAGGAAACACAATGATGCCTGTGGTAAGTGCCAGTCCGGGATGAGTTCACTTCATTAGTGACCGGTAACCGCTGATGATGTTGCGATAGCTCTCAGGAGGGGGCGATTCTGCACTTCGTCAACAGATAAAAAGCGCGAGTCCCATTGCCAGCACATCGGCGCCAGGACGTATGTGCGCTGAAGCTTCCGTCATGGCTGTTCAATGGTTTCCGGATGGACGACGATTTGCAAGCGCCGGTCTAGAACCCGCCGTGCGGCTCTGGGATGCGGTAACAGGGCTTCAGGTTGGCGAACTTGTAGGCAACCAGAGCTCCATCAATGCCGTATCTATTTCTGCAGACGGTACAAAGCTTGCATGCGCATCCGATGACAATCTTCTCCGCGTCTTCAACACTGAATCCAAAGAGCTACTATTGAAGCCCCTTGCTGGTCACGTCGGAGCCGTCCTAGATGTGAAGTTCTCCCCCGATGGCTCGTGTCTCGTTAGTGGTGGCGCGGACGGAACGGTTCGTCTCTGGGACACGGTTACCGGCGAGATGCAGCATGTCACCACAGCCCATACGACACCGGTACGCTCACTCTGCCTAACAAGCGATGGGAAGAAGCTTGCAAGTGGCGGAGACGACCATGCAGTTCGCATTTGGGATATGCAGACGCATATGCAGCTCGCGGGTGACCTTCATCACGGAGCCTGCGTTCGCGCCTTATGCTTCTCGCCAGATGGTTCTCGGCTTCTATCCGGTCTGGAAAACTGCACCGCAATTATATGGGACATCGACACCGGTCAAATCGCGTTCAGCGAACTCAGGGCGCACACAGACTGCGTGGTAGCAGTAGATTGGTCGAGCGATGGCTCGAAGGTGCTCACCGCCTCCGACGACTGGACGATATGGGTTTGGGATGCTACTTCGGGACGGCGTATCCTTGGTCCGCTAGAGGGAGTTCATGAGGCTGGCATCCGAGCTGCTTTGTTCTCACCTGATAGCAAACTTTTTCTCAGCGGCTCATTGGATCACACACTTTTTATGAGGGACGCTAACACAGGTACTGTCCTTCTCCGGCCAGAAACCCCACGGGACCTGCTTATGCGACGGAGAGGCCCAAACACTCAGGTACGGCGTCTTCGTATTCGATACATTGTTACTCAATTTGTGGGGTGTGATTTAGGTTGCACCTCCAAACATTGGCGATAATACGCTCGATTCCAAAGTAATAGGGATCTTTGACGATCGTGACCCTTCACGGCGGAAGCAAGAGGTAACTTTCCAAGTCCTACCTCAGAAACGTACTTAGCAGTTTCGAGCAGCCACAAGCTCAAGTCGAACATCCCACAGGTGTGAGTGATCTTGCTTTTGACAATGCCGTTCAGCTTTTACAAGCGACCAGACTTCTACAAACCCCCGACCTCCAGATCCGAAGGACTTTTGGGACGGCTTGCATGATGTAAGTCTCTTTCACCAGGGTGGTATCACTGTGTCTGCTGCCGCTGAACTTCCCTTACCTGCCAGGATACTGTTGTCCCCATGAAGCCGCGGCGTCAGGTCACTGCCAACAAAAGTAGTGATATCAAACATCGCGATGAGACCAGGCGCCCACCTAGACGCAGCAGCCTCAGGCTGCTCTGGCCGCAGGAGAACGCCAGACCTAAACCGAAGCAAAAGGGCAAGAATAAGCAGCCAGACGCTGCCAACGACAATGTCGGAACACATGCGATGCGTCGCATACGTCGACCATTTGCGACTGTGGTGTCTTCTGCGAAAGACAAGAAGGTATATTCTCAACCTCATCGTATGTACGTACCTCGCTCAATCTTGTGTAGCGTGTGCTCGCAGGAGCGGACCCGTCCGCTGCTGCTGCCGCCGTTGCCAACACCCGCACGACGACAGAGGAAGACTCGGATAGCGAACCAGAGCATGCAGAGGTGCCAGTGGATGATCTTCCTGAGGGAAGGGTCTCTGGTGCGATGGCTGATGACGACGAAGAGAGCGACAACGGACTGCTGGACACAATACGTTACTGTCTATGTTTCCCGCGTTGTTAAGTCAGTGGCACTAGTCGGCTGCTCGTGCATAATGAATATACTAAATATTATCTTGACACCTTACCAAGAAGATTAATGACCCCACGTCGCAACCCTAGCAAACAAGAGTCGCGAAAGCACAATGATAGAACATGAGATCAAGCCCTGTGACCATCATTGTGGGTCCATTGTCCCAGAGGTGCAACCTCGTGGCCAACTCCATACCATACCTGACCTGAGCACTGTTCTGCTCTTCCTGTTCAACCATTCTTTCCACTACAGTATCTGCCATGTTCCTGGACTGGTAGCTCGATTCCACCGACACAACCATCCACCGATAGCAATGGCGCCGATGTGACTGCTGGCCTTGTTACTGACACGGGTGGTCCAGACAATGAGCCAGACGAGGCGCCGTGCCAACCCTCGACCGTCGACTGAGTAGCTAAAGGCACTGGTGGGGGGAAGAAGCAGACAAGGAAAATCAACGCTGCCGCAGTATTACACCCATGTCGAGCCCATCGGTCCTCTAAAAATTCCTCGGAAACCCGTTACAGGCCCTCGCAGACTGATTTTCCACCGGCCCTCAATTCTACGCGCCGAACTCGGTAGTGGGGCTGGCTAGTGCGGGTGATGGTTCGCGGGAGAGCGGTGCGACAGCTCCGACATACAGTACAAGTACTAACGTTGGCGATACGGATCTCCCAATCTTCGCGTCGGACCATGACTTTCGATCCACTCGGCTCGACGTCTACAAAACCCTTTCAGCCTTGCACGATAAATCGAATGCTTTCATTATTGGAGATCAAGAAGACCTTGAGCTTGCATACGAGGACCTTTTCTATGACCCGGAGGCCTAGGCTTTCAGTATCTGTACTCGACCGTATGGAAAACGCTTGCTTGTCTTCGATAGGATTCGTCTTGTGCACTATACCAACGACAATTGGAGGCAGCCTACATGGAGCACCCAAGGGCGCAGCTAGAGAGTTTCTCACCTAGGGCATATGACTCGGCAACGGCGTCGGGCAGAGACCTATACATTTTCATCTGACCGATATAGCCTCCTCGGTGGCAACAGCTCACTTTCGTAGAATCTCTGGGGATTTCACCAACGTCCAATGTTTAAAGGCAGGCTAAACCAGCCCTCGAGCGTGCCCAAGGGTAGGCGACCTAATACGGAGATTGCCACCTGGCAGGCGTGCAGAAGGGTGCTCAGAACAAGTTTCGTTGGGCGAAATAAACTCGTTCAAGCTCAATGTGGAGCAGAAGTGGAAATGGTGGAGGAGCGAGTTGGCAGTGAGTGCGGATGAACCGATGCATGACTCGGAGATGAGATGAGAGCCATGGTGCATACCCGAGCCAAGGCTTGCTTCTACGCGCTTGTCACAATCCTTCGTTTCCTTCGGCATAAGCTTTGAGGTTAGGACAATGTCGATTGACTCTTCGCTAACGGTACCAGTCGCTAACTAGAAGCAAGGGAGGTCATCGTAAAGGGGAAGGAGCGGAGAAGGGCGCGTGGTCAAGCATAGCTCTGCACCGAGCGGATACCCGTTGACCCGGTTTGCCATAGATCCGGGGCGCCTGTGCTGGTGGCTTTATCAGATTGGTTTTCTGCACCTTATCGCCCAGGGGGCAGGGTCAGGGACGCATGAGGCAAGCAGCGCTTGGCTCCGTCGTCACGAACTCCCTTGCCCATCCACCCTGTGTCATGAACACGGCATGCGATGCGGTAGAATCCATGGGGGCTTAGACCGAGGTGGGATCATGGATGTGAAACAAGATGAGTGAAGTTTTCAAAGCGGTTCGTATTCGGGTGGAGGGCAGGCAATACATGCTTGTTTCGGTGAGGCAGTACATTCATGAACTCACGAGTCACGACAAAATCTCACAGACCACCCAGACCCTTTCAGACCCATTCGTCCAGCCAGCCCCTACTTCTCATTTCGATGACTCATGCGAGACAGGCGCAGTCCGAGTAGCTGTTAGCTGAGGGAGCGAGGGGGTTAGAGATGCAGACGGGTTCGAGGCCTGAGAAGGGCGCCGTCCGGAAAGAGGGTGCTGCTCCACTGGGACCGAGAATAAAAAGTTCACGGCGCATATGGACGATAACGATATCAGTTCCCTTTCGTGGGCGACACCTCCTCCTATAAGTGGACACATCACAACCACCCCATCCTGGTCACACTCGTCGATGGCCGCGCATTCGTTCGGCCGAAAGAGAGAGGCAAAGGGAAGATAGGGGAATGGAGAGAGGAGAGACGGACTGGAGAGACGGAATGATGAGCACGCGCTCGCCCGACGGGAAAGAAAGAGCAGGGCGCGCGGGGTGGCTGAGGGCGCGGGAGTTTGTTGACTGGTGTTTGTTTTGGGCGGCTGAGCTGAGTTGGAGGGAGGAAACCGAAGCCAGCAACTGCCAATTCCCTCTTCTCCCCCAATCCCCCGTCTCTCCCCGTCTCCCTCCTCCCTTTCTCTTTCTCCATCCTAACTTATACGTCGAACGGAGCACGCACCGCGACGCTGCATCAACCACGTTTACACACCAGTGCAGGAACAGAGGCAGGAGAGAGGAAAGCAAAGAAAGAGAACAGACGCATTGGCGAACACGAGAGACGAGAGCCCGTCGAGCACAGAACGGGGCGGCCGATGAACGATGATGCCGCCGACGCAGTGCTAGGTCTCCTTGGCCTTGCAGCGGACGGCCCATCAACCCACAAGCACGCTCTACAACACACCAACACAACACAGAGGAACCTCAACATCCCTTCCTCCGTCTCGCCCGTCCCCGCCCGCCCCATTGTCCCTCTCAAGCGCAAGCACACACACCATGCCCACTCGCACGAGCCATCACCCACACCCAGCATTCCCAATGTACCCATGCCGATGTCCCGCCATCCCTCGCTTGCGCTGCACACACCGACAGGCCAGTACACTACCCTCGCCCACCACAGCGGTCCTTTCTCCCCGTTTACATCCACATCCACCGCTACACCTGCCACACCTACCCTCCACACCCACATCCACCCGCGTACACCCTTCTCCGATCACCCTTCAGGTCCAGGCACACCCATGGACGTCGTCAACGGCTCCCCATTCACCATGCCGAACGGTATCACCAAATCTGCCACCACCTCTACCGTCAACACATCCATCGCCAACGGTACCAACACCGCCGTCGCCGGTGATGAGACCAGCCCAGACGACGCCGACGGCGAGATCAACTGTATCTGCGGGCTCACGTACGACGACGGCTTCTCGATCGCATGCGACACCTGCTCGCGCTGGTGCCACGCCGCGTGCTTTGACATCTCCAAGGACAAGGTGCCGGAAGAGTGGCATTGCTGGGTTTGCGTTCCGCGGCCAGTCGACCGCGAGCGCGCGCTGCGCATACAGCATCAGCGGCAGAGGCTTATGCTCGAGGCGAATGCTGCAGCCGGTGTTGTATTCGGCGCTGGGATTGGGCCGGGTGTTGGAAGTGGGAGTGCAGGGGGGAAAGGGAAGGAGGGAGGGAAGGAGAGTCAGAGAGCGAGGAAGAAGAGTCCAGGGGTCGAGCGCAAACCGCGTTCGCGCGTCAATGGGGTCGCCGCAGCTGCTGCCAACATTGGCTTCGTTGACGGTTCCCCAGGTGCTCCCACAGCTGGCGGGTCGAGCACCGGAGGCACGAGTGCGGCGGCGAAGCGCAAGCAACGACGTATCTCGATGCTTACAACTGCTGCTGCGCAGGCGGGGGGCCCACACAGCGCGCCGCCGGGTGGTCCGAACGGGATGTCATCACATTTGCCGTTCAGCACCAACGGGCTCGCTACGAGCGGGTACGTGAATGCGGGTGGGGAGGACGACGAGATGGTGGATATCGGTGGGGAGCCGTGGACGAGTACCTACGTGCCTATCTCTCGGGATGTCATTCCGCAGGCGGAGACGCGGGATCGTCTGATGCGGCAGGCGCAGCACTGGCGCGGGATCACGGCGCTCTCGCCGCCGCCAGGGTCGTTTCCGTCATCAATGTCGGCATCGGCATCAACACAATCCTCTTCACTTCCTCCATCATCGAGCGGGGCGTCGTTCCCTCCATCGTCATCGTCGTCTTCTTATTTCAGCTACCAACCACCACCAGCCTCGAACAACAACACATCACCTGTCTTCCTCCCCTCCTCCCGCGCCCCGCCTACTGCTCTTCGTCCTCTCCCTTCGTCGTCTTCCTCACCAGCGATAACGGCTACCCCACACCATTCCGACCTCCTCCCCCCTTCATACACATTCCACACCGCCACGCCTCTCCCTGCATCCTCTTTCATCGCGCGCTACCCATCCACCATCATGCCCTCCTCAGCGTACCTTTCCGACCAGCTCAACGCCTACGCTCACATGGGCCTGCCGAAGCCACATGTCCATCTGCTGGGCCCGCCGCTCGAGGTCGCGCTCGATGCGAGAGGACGAGGCGGGCGGGCGCGGTGGGTCCGGAGCGGGTGCAGGCCGAATGCGGTTGTCAGGCCGTTTTTGTGTGAGCCTGGGTCGAAGAGGGGTAAGGGGAAGGAGAATGTGGTAGCGGAGGACGAGCAGGCGTCGCAGAAAGAGAAGGAGGGCTCACCTTCGGAGAACCGGAAGGAGGGTGGTGATGGCGAGGAGAGCGACGAGGATGCGCTTGCGTTTGGGGTGTTTGCGCTGCGGGATCTCAAGGCGGGCGAGGAGGTTGTGCTCGGGTGGGAATGGGACGATGGGAATGTGGTGCACCAGTTGCCTGCGCTTGTGGAGAGTCCACATTTGTTTGCGTGAGTTGCCATCATCTATCTTTGATATTATTCATACCTTTCCCATTATCCTTCCCGTTGTCTTGCTTTCGTCCTACACCACCCGCCCCCTCATGTTACTAACCGGTTTGGCTCAATAGACCCGTGCACGTCCACCACCTCCGCCAACAATTCGGTACGATCTTGCACACTTTGGGGTCAACATTCACAACGTGCGCGTGCGGTGCCGCCGCGCGTGACTGTGTGCTGAACGTCATGTCAGCGTTTGTCGACGGCAAACCCATCCATCACTATCCTCGTCGCGCACCGCCATCCGCTCAAACACCCAGCCGGGGCCCCGACGCCGGCGAGGCGCATGTGAATGGCGCGGACGACGATGAGCAGATGACGCCGAGGGCTGCGAGAGGGGGCGGGGGCGTCGATTTGGGGCCGCTGGTGGGCGCGGAGAGGGGGTTCAGGACGAGGGAGAAGGTGCCGTTTTCGGGCGGGCTGGCGGGTGTTGAGATGGTTCGTTCGGGAAGTCAGAGCGGGGAGGAGGGTGTGGCTAGTTCTGGTTCTGTGAACAAGGGCCTGTATGTATATGCCGAGGCGGGGCCTTCGAGGTTGCCGCGCTCGGGCGGGTGGATGGGTGAGCAGGGAGCGAGAGATGTGGTGGTTGGGGATGGCGGTGGTGGTGCGGCCAGGAAGGTGGATAAGAAGGGGAAGGGGAAGGCGAGAGAGGATGCTGTGGTGCTGGATGAAGAGGATGAGGGAACTGATGCTGTGGGCAAACGTGCGTTTTTGGGTTGCTTGATTTTGGCTTGACTGGCCCCTTTTTGCGCTCTGCTACCCTATCCCTTGTACCATTTAACGCTAACGTTCTTTGTTTCATGTAGGTTCAAAGCGGAAGAAGAGTTCTCATCCATCCGACCATGACCCATATCCTTCATCCCTTGGGCAGCACGTCGATGCGATGCAGGTCGATCCTGATCCACCAGACGAGGTGGAAGGAGGTGAAGTCAAGGTCCCGCCACGGATGCGGAAGCGGTGGAAGAATGCTCCTGGAGGGTCATCGTCTTCGTCATTCTCTGAGTGGAGAAGTTTGCCGAGTGGTGGGAGTATGTCGACCGGGAGGGTGGAGGCGTCTGATGCTGCAGGTGTAAGGAGGGATGCTGCAGCGGAGAGGGGAGGCAAGAGCTTGGATTCGGAAGGGGCAGGTATGGGTATGGATGTTGATGGTGCGTCGACCTGCTTTTTACGCTCGCGCACGAAATGCTGATGAATATACGCGTGGTATCTTAATTCTACAGATGCTAGGCCTCCACCACCAGACGCACACACGCACGCCTCTGGCCGCGACTACGGTCGCGAAATGCCACCACCGCCCATGCCGGCGCGTTTCGACCCAACGACGGTATCGTCTGCGAGTCCGGAGGCGCAGGTGCAGGCGCCGCGGACGTCGCGCTCGAGAGACGTGATGAGCCTCGCGATGATCGCGCCGCAGCATCATCGGCATTCGCCTAGCTATTCGGAGCCGCCGCGGTCAACCCCAGCGCAGACTCAAGTCCAAGTCCAACCTCAACCTCGAGCTGAAGCACATTCACCTCAAGGTCAACCACAGTCGCAAGGTCACCCAAGCTCACGACGCCCGGAGACGCATTCCCCCTCAGCGCCTTTTGCGAAACTGTCGTTGGCCACGCCCACCTCTGCTCCACCTACAGCTGGTACTGGGTCCGGATCGTCTTCTGGAGCGGCGCCGTACTTTCCTCCGCTCGCTCGTGATGTTCTACATCATGATGCGCTGTTTCGTCGACCTAGCTCGGGGCTAAGTGTCAGTTCTGTTCCAGAGCCCGAGTTCGAGCCAGAGCCTGCGCCTGAGCCTGAGCCTGAGCCTGCGCCTGAGCCAGAGCCAGCGGCAGAGGCGGGTTCTGTCCCAGAGTCGTCGATGGACATTCAGGAGGAGCAGCATCCATCTGAACAAGTGCTCGTGCAGGATGAGCAGGTTACAGCGGAAGCTTCACCAGAACAGGAGCTGAAACCGGAGCCAGAGTCACGGCAAGCACCCGAGCAAGAGTCAGTTATGTCGGAGCCAGAGTCTCAGCTCGTGCCAGAGGTTGAGCAGGCGGAGGTGGACGATGAATCGCCGGCTTCGCCGCCCCCTGGAGCAAGGGGTGAGGAGACCGAGGATGAATATGTTGCGGAAGTGGAAGGTGCGGAGGGTCGTGCGGAAGACGAGGAGGAGGGTGTGGCAGCGCCGACAGTGCGGTCCGCAGATGTTCCGATGGTGCAGGTGGATGATCATGAACACCGGGAGGAAGGAGAGATGGAGAAGGAGGATGGGATGGATGTGGATGTGGATGCCCATGTGGAGGCGAAGGTCACGCCTCCAACGGTGGCTTCGTCTCTCCCGCTGAGGCACTCAACACCGCTCGCCTCTGCCACGGATACAGACGTGCAGATGAAGCGTTCGCCTTCACCGCCATCTTCTCCTGTGTCGAATGAGCCACCACGTGATCCAACTCCTGCGCCAGCTCGGTCACCTTCACCGCGATGGACCCCAACCCCGTCCCCTGAACCGCAGCCAATGCCAACGCGATGCGACCCAGATCCTGATAACACACCTTCTCCATGTTGGTCCCTGACTCCAGAACCGCAGCCGACTCGCGCGTGCGAACCAACTCCCCCACCACGCACCCCGACGCCGCCACCAGCTCCTCATGAGCCCACCCCTCCCCGCGAGCCTACTCCGCCTCCGAAGGCGCCGACTCCGCCTCTCAAGGCGCCGACCCCGCCGCCCCAGAAGGTGAAGTTGTCGTTCAAGGACTTTGCCCTCCGGAAGAAGAAGCAGCGCGAGGAGATGGCGAAGGAGCGGGAGTTGCATGGCGAGGAGTGTGCTGCTGCTGCTTCTGCTTCTTCAGACCCTGCCGACGCCCAGGCTGTCAGGGTCAACGGTGGTCCCAACGGATCGGAGGTGAATGGTGCTAGTGATCAACACCAGCCCCAGCAGCCCGAGGAGCAAGGTGGCGAGAGTGGTGCCGTGAATGGCAAGGTAAACGGGATTGACGAGGCGAATGGAGAAGGCGGTAAAGGCGAGATTCGGGACGCATTGGTGGCACCAACACCAACAACACCAGTATCAGCGCCGGTGGACAAAGTATCGGCGATGGATATGGACACCTCCGAGGATAACAAGCCGGCTGCACCTATGCCTACGCCTGGGCCTGTACAGAAGCTCCAGTCGCCTGCTCCAGCATCTGTCCAGCCTTCACCGCTGGTATCCAAGCCTATCCCGAAGCCTTCTCCTGCACCCGTGTCACCCGTGAAACCAAGTGCCGTCCCGTCTCTTGCTTCGCGAATACACCCCGCCAAACATGACGTTCCACCGCATCTTGAGCTCAAGCGTGACAGGGAGAAGTCTCTTCCCAACGGCCGTGCTACTACCTTCGAGGCGAAGAAGGAACTCCTGGACGAAACCATCCCTCCTGCTTTCTTCAGGGCGACTGAGATTAGGGATTCGGCTGAGGTTGAGCGCAAAGTGAGCTTTCCACCGCCAGAGCCGCCTCCTGCAGTTACTGCATGTGCCTCCAATGGCAGCTCGACAGGCGATGCGAGTGTAGTGGGTGTACCCCTTTCGCGCAAGGTCTCGCGTGAGGAGGGGGAGATCCCAAGCAACTCTCCCCCCAAACATGGTTCTGGTCCTCTTGCTCCGACAACTGGTTCCTCATATGTCCCGCGCTCGTATACCCCGCCGACCCAACCACGCTCGTTCAGCACTATTCCTTCCGCCTCGGTTTCTAACACATCATCCTCCGTCCCTCCTCCCGCCTCACCCGCCCTCTCTACCGGCTCGTCTGGTCCTCCTCGGCGTGCACCGCCACCCTCTGCACCGTCGTCGTTCTCCAACATGGGCAACGCCCGCCCACCTAGCGGTCCTCGCGCACTGCGCGCCGCGGGGCATGGCGGCCACCCGCATTCTATGGGCTCGGGTCCCGGTTCGGGGCTCGGGCCGGGCGGGCACCGCGGGTTTATCCCGCGCGGGCCGTCTGCGGATCGCGATCGGGAGCGAGACAGAATGGAGTGGGAGAGAGAGAACCGCGAGCGGTGGGCGGCGAGGAGTGCAAGAGGGAGGGCGGGGAGCGGAGGTGGGTGGGGGCGGTAGTGGTGATGGATGTGATGACTGTGAAGAGGGGGGTTGCGTGCGTGTCCTAAGTTTTATTGTTAATCACTTCTTTTTCTCTTTTATTGAATATTGGTCTTTCCTGTGTTTTCTCTTCTTCTGTTCCTTTTGTTGGCTTTTGGATTCATGGATTGGCAATTGCTTGCTACACCGCTACTTACCGTACCTACTCGTACAGACTTGATGTATCTCCGTCCGTCTCTGTTTCGCTTGTTCCCTCATTCGTTCCAAGCTTCTTGTTTGTTGTTGGCTTGTATTCTCGTGCTATTGATCGACCAAGCTAGCCGATGACTTACCCTTGGATGTAATGTCTGTCATAATGTTGCGATACTCTGTAGCGTTAACTTGATTCCTGGTCTCTGGGTGGCGACCTACGAGTGGATGGTTGTGAATGACGATGAGTTACCAGTAACTCTGATCTTCTGGAGATGCATGCTGAGCATCAAGCAGGGCGAGAAAGGATCGCGTGCCATACTTCCGGATACCTGCCATCTACACGGGGTATGATAATTGACTACTCGGTATAAATGGAGGACATAGGGTGAATTGTCACTTGCATTTTTTCCTGGTGGAGGGAGTTGACTGTACCCGTTTATTATCACCGGAAGTGTGGGAAGCACATGTACAGGTAGGGTTTCAACCAACTGAAAATATACTCGAAAGTCCAGTGAATAAATTTTTACAGTATCAAACCCAAACAATGCCGAGATATCATGTTCTGAAAGGAGAGACAATACATATTTCCAAGACACAATACAAGATAAGTGTGACAGTACTGGAGTACAGCTAATTGTGCTTACACTAGTATTGGACTCCAGAACAAATCAAGCGCTATGCTCAAGACAAACTGACGTTGATCACACTCAGACTGTATGCCGGCGCAGTGTAATTAAACGCCTGTCCGATAGTAATAGCAGACGTTGTAGGCGTCACGAGGTTCGGGTCCGTCGGCGTGTTGCTCGCAGTTGAGTCACCAGTTAGCACTGTGACAGTCGCAGATGACGCAACGGCAAATGGAAGCTGGAAAGTCACATCCTCGGTTGTGTTCGCATAGTTGACGACCTGAAAATGGTGTTAATTTAACTGCGTGTAATAAACATAGTGAATGGTAAAGACATACCTTAATGGCGAGCGTGCTGGAGTCGCTTGTTACACTCCAGAAGACAGTGCCACTCGGATCGGGCAGCGTACTAGGCAAGTATTCGGTGCCGCGATTGAGACTGAAGAGCTGTGGTAGCATACTATGTCAGGCCACACAATGCTACGAGATGGTGCGCTACTGTTGGACGTAGAAGCTTGTTGACTTGTAAACATTGGCGGCGCTAGGAATGTACATAAGCCGGGTGAACCACCAACTGTACTAGATTACGTACTCGAACTCAACCAAGTTAGGTATCTGGGTTGAGGAATGGGTTAATCAAGAGGTCTTCGGTGTGGCAGGAGTTTTGTGTGCTTACCCACTGGTATGCGCCATCGGCGACGTTCTGGAGAGGTCATCTCAGCGACACTTCTGGATAGGGGATTCATTAAGTGCACTTACCATCAACAAAGGTGCATATGATGCAGCAAAGACAATATCTGCGTTGCGCTCAAACCCAGTCATATACGCAGCCTCGCCGATACTGCCTGCAGAAACACATTTTAGGCGTAATGAAACGATGATTTCATCCCTACGCACCCTGAATAGTAGGGTACATCAAGTTTTCATCGGCGTAAGTCACAGCATACTCTCCTTGGAAGTAGTATGTGCAATTGCGCTAATATTGGTGTTATATAAGCCTATTCACACTAGATAATTGACGAGAGTACCTCAAAGTCGTCATAGTAGAATGAGTTCTCGGCGAACCAGTCTGAACTTCTCGTCAGATATCAGGCCTATGGAACCGAGGCAAAGAGAAACAAACCAGGACTTGAATAGACGTGGTTGTCATACTGCTGTGGTGTGGGATCGAGGATGGGATTGAATGGGTCGGTGGTCGCAATGAACTCTACAATTCACCAAATACTGAGACCCCTGAACCAATACCACAAGATCGAGATACTCACTGAGCTGCGGAAACGCGGCAGTGAGGTTTCCCGCAAAGTCTCGCCAGCGGTAAATGTACGACTCCGATGCAACGAAGTCCTGCAAAACTCAGGTCAGCTGAACTGGAACACGTTTGGCTGGTCATAAGTTGCAGTAGACTGACCTCGTTTCCGATTTCCACATATGTAAGTGAGAAAGGCTCTTCACGCCCAAGAGAGGCGCGAAGGGCAGCTACAGAGGCCCGTTTTTGAGCAACACATCCGTATGTATGCAAAGTAAGCTCACCTGCTGAACTACCAGAGGGATCACCAGTCACAAAGTTGATCTGTCCACGACTATATGAGTAACATAATATGGCAAAGAGATTCATGCCAACCTGATCAATGGCTGCTTGGATGTACGGCGCAAGCTCGTCCTCGGGAAGGGATGTGCCGTCAAGTGAATAACCTGCAACATGATGAGTCTGGCAGAGAGCGACGAGGCTAATACCTACCAGCCCAGACAGCCATGAACGGCTCCATCTCCATATCCTCGCACCAATACAGGTACTCCAACAGGCCCAGTCCACTAGAATAGCGTCAACTACCGTAACAGCTTTCTTTGAAGACGCATGCTTACTCGGTATTGATGTAGCTCCAATCACCAACGCGACCTGAATAGCTTCGTCAGTCTATGGCATGAAGCCTAAGGAGGTACCCTGATGACGTACCGGGTCTGTCGACTAGATCCCCGACGGTGTTGTTCCAAATCCATCGAGTGGCAGCACTTTGACCCTCCAGGTTGTTGCCTCCGGGAAGGCGGAAGAATGAAGGCTTCATGGAGTACAGCACCTAATAAACGCGCATAAGTATTATTAGAAGCGTGAGCAACGCGAAATAGCGTACCTCCGCAACGTCGATTCTCATACCGTTCGCCCTGTCCTTGAACGTGGGCGGGAACAGCAAAAACATAGCAAAATTGATTGTGTTGCCCGCAGCGGACGAGTCAAATGTGACGGTGAAGTTGTTTGCAGTGCTCGATGGTGACGTGCTCGGCGTAAGCTGTGCATAAACTTGTGTCCACGTCGTCTGAGAGCCGCTAACGGGGATCTGCGCGGACGCGTAGATCTCGCCAGATGCGCTTTGAAGTGCCACAGTGGCGTCACCGCTGAAGTCAGACACCTCGGGGAAGCGATAGTAGAAGGAAGCGTTGTACGTCCAGGAGGAGTTGACGTTGATACCTAAACAGTATCAGCAAAAGCTTGATCACTACTTCAGAAAACTCGAGCTCACCATAGTAGCCTTCGTTTCCGAATCCAACTGAACCAGACGCGCCCGATGGTATGGTCAGCTGAAGAGCGTTCGGCAGCGCAGATGATACCGGGTCAGAGTCGGCAATGACGGTAATGTTTCCTCCGTTGACAGCAGCCCATGCATACAATGCGGTTGCATCGCCTGCAAATACTAGTATGAGATGTTGAGAACAAATAAGCGTAACTGCTTTACCAGGCGTGACTTGCTGGAAAGCACGGTTCTGCAGCACTAGGGTGGGACGGTTTAGTTATGACGATCAAGAGGGAACTCTATCGAGCACGTACACTCAGCGTACAAACCACCATCTCCGCTCTATTTTGTCGTAAGGTCGTATGCGTCAAAATCTCAGCTAATGAAACCTACATGCTGCACACACTGTAAGCCCGATGTTTATGCGAAGTTAAGGCAAGGAGCAACTTACGTTGATATCCTGACGAAGCGAATATTATAATAGAGATTAGCGCTGACTAGAAATCAATGTGTATGTTACGAACCTCAAACATTTGTCCATCTGGAAGTACGTTAGCATGGTAAAAATAAGCCTCTGGCGGAATTGACGTACACAGCGTAGAAGGGATAGCATGGCTTGCCGTGCTGTTGACCACAACGGTCGTTGCAGCCAGTGCTGCAGTGGCAGCAACCAGCAAGACAGCAGCACGTCCAACGCGTCTTTGGATCATTGTCTGTCCGATGAAGAGCGTGAGGGGACCGTCGACAATGTATAAAGCGCATCATTTTATACTGCAAAGTGCCGTTTTACGGTCCGGGAGGCTTCCCCCTCCCGGAAATACCGCCCCAGATCCTCTGACGTACATCCCAGCTGCTGCGACAATGAGAGAATACATTTCTGCCCTGAGCCGCACGCGGTTCGCGCTCACACGACCTGCAAAGTCTCATACATAACGGCGCTCGTAGGGACGTGTGTAAGCTCAGTAGGATCTGTGCGCCCAACGGCGATTAGAGTCCCGTGAACGATTTTGAAGTCATGAGTGGCTGCCGATCCGGAAAATCCTATCATCGAACAAGGTCTGAGCAAGGCGATGGTCGGGTTGCATGTGCAGTCAGTGGGAGACAGCAGGTAATCTGTGGTACAAAGCGCTGGCACGCACAAGAAACTGAACGATGTGTTGGTAGGCCCCCGCCTTTATTACCTCTTCCAGACAGGTGCCTTGAGTATAATGACGACAGCCATCATCAGGTGAGTGCCAGTCGATCGCATCGAAATCCTCTATCATATAGTGTGCTTGCACTCTGATTAGCAGTTCAAGGACAGGTAATCTCACAGTGAGAGTAGTTCAATGGCAGTGGAGTTCAGTCCCTATTGAAAGGGCGCCGATCGAGAGACTGGAGGCAGTGAAGATACACAGGAAGAGAAAGCAATGTGCTGCGGGTCCGACGACAGTGCGGACAAGAGAAACCCAAGAAAAGACTTCAGGATCAGCTTAACTCGAGCGGACCGCAGGGGCATCAATGAGCGCATCAGATCTGAACAAATTGGGAGTCAGCTCTTACGGTCAGTCTGAGTCTATGTGTGGTGAGTTAGTTAGTAACTCTGAGGCGATAAAGTCACTTCCGTCTAGCGGTAAATCTTGGTGCACATCTGTATTACAAAAGAGGTAGGTTCAATGTCTAGCCTCCCTTCTTTTTGCAGGTTTGCTGCGTCGTGCGCCTCTTGTGATCCGAGTTTCGCATTCAAATTTTCCAAACTGACAACAACGTAGAGCACGCCCGGGTCTTTGAGTTCCTGAAAGCCAGTGATCCAAGAGACACTGAATGGATGTAAAAAAAGCTGACCGTTCTCTCGGAGGTCGAGGTTGGGAAACGGACCCGGGCCGCCATGAAGACATCGGTACCATCACATCTTCAAGTTGCTAGGTGAAGGTCAGCATGCCCTTTACTTCATGCGAGCCTCTGACTTTAAAAGTGGGCAATAGGAAGAAATTCTGCCGACAGCATCGCCCTGGGTGAAGATGAGTGCGAACATTGATATTATATCATTAAGATGCACCTGGTCTATGCTGGTTGAGGTAAGGGGGTCTCGGAACTGCGAAGAGAAACCGCGGGTCCCTTTTTCCTCTAGCAGAGGATGCAAGCGCCTCGTTGGTGGACAACGCATGCTACATGGTGTGGGAGGGCCCCATGCGCGAGCGTGCATTTCACCAGAGCCGGCCTTGTGCATGCGGTGCAGATGCTGGCGCGAAAGAGGGGCCTCGGCTTGCGCCTGGCGGGATACTGGGATATGGCAAAGAACTGGCGTCCGGAGGATGAGGAGATGTACTAGGTTGACGTACCTAGTATGGACAATGGCTGCCGGCGCATAATGTTCACGAGGATGACTCTAGTTTGCTCAGTGCTATAGTTGACCTTAGTGAAGATGGACATGCAATAGTCATAATGTCATCCATTGCGTCCATAAATGATATGGTACTCTAGTGTAAACGGTCGAGTATAGTGCTATCAGGGAAAATCGTAAGGGGAGCCATTAGAAGAAATCATTAGGACCGACAGGTCAGTGAGCGCAGCTCCGTCCCCACCATGCTCATGCCCATGCCCCATGCCATCCAAAATATACAAACCCGGCCCGTTCTTGCCAAATCTTCTGGAGATGCACGCTGAGCATCAAGCAGGGCGAAAGAGGATCGCATGCCATACTTCCGGATACCTGCAATCTACACGCGGGTAGGTGACTTCAAGTTTAGCTGCGCGCATACGATGTATCGATGGCGATGACCGGCGGATTGATGTTCCGGTGCTTCACGCTGGTTTCCGTTTGCGACCGAGGGTGTCACGTCCGAGTTCCATAAGGCTATGGCGCTCATGCATAATGCATAATGCGTAATGGCTGGCACCGCACGGCCTTCTCCGAGTCCGGCTGTCTCCGACTTTTACCATGGCACTGGCAGAGGCCAGTCTTCCCCATGATGGTCATCATCCATACTCGGTTCCTCTCTCGTGATATCATATTATTCAAGGTGCCTGGAAGCCTAGAAAGCCGGAGTTGCGATGAACCCGTTGCAAAGAATGTATGGCCTCGGAGCCGACTTCTCGTACCACTAGCACATGGACCACTGCAGGACGACGCAGCTACCGGTGAAAATCGCCGATATAGTACTTCGGACAAGAAGTTCTTGCTCGGGTTGCCCTCTTGATCGTACTAAAATCCTCGGATCTTGTGCTGTGTACTACCTATCTAGGCGCCACAATCTCTTTGGACCTTTAGGCTGTATGATTCAGGCCCACGATCGTGTTGCAAGCCGAAGTCCTCTTGCCATCGGTCCAAGTTGGTGAAGTCTCGCGGTGGTACCTTCCGATACATGCGCACCTCAGATATGGAGAATACACCGGACCGACGTCGACGACTCATCCACATGCATATGCCTGCTTCCAGGTGCATCGTAGCCAGCTCTTGGGCTCAGGGAGCGTTTGTCTCGAAGTCTTTGAAATTTACTTGCGTCCGGACCGTCAAAATCGAGGGTGCTTCCGGCTGCGTATTTTATTTTCCTGGAGTATCTGTTATACCAATTGCCGGTAGGTAACCATCCTATAGTTGGATACTCTGGAGGCTCGAGTGCTTGAAGAAACGGAGATTTATCGATGACTAGATGTGTATCACGGCGATCAGTTCTCTCTGCAACTGTGGGGATGATCCTTCCTCTTCAGGCTATTATTTTAGCTCATTACTGCCCTGCCGCAAAATTCGGCCCCGATTCGTATCCATGGCAAACCACATTTTCTTGAGGACCACTCTGCCGATAAAAAATTACTTGTGAGTTTTTTTAAGATGAAAATCAACAGCGAAAACAACGTCGCGGAAGAACATAATCGCGATGACCACGTCACAGACGATATTTCGAGCTTTCTGGAGGACGACGGCGATGTCAGACCTTAATGTGGGGAAGTCCACATGAGACGGCGTTAGATCAACTGATGCCCATGTCTACTGCCTTAGGCACATGAGAGACGGCTCTAATGGTGAAGAATCCACTCCAAAGCCTAGTGCTGTCATATCTACCGCCTCCTTTTTCTTGGGACGACTTATCCAGGACTTGTTACAGACTCTCTCACATACGTCAAGGACATTCATTTCTATATGTATTAACTGCGGTGAGTATCGACCAACCCAAGTTTGGTACTGTGCACGTGTAGTCTCGAATTTCAGCTAACCTGTAAAAAGCTTTGGCTGGTGCGCAACTGCCTTTTTCATCTTATCCGCGCGCCATTTGTTTAGAGATCGCACCATGACACGCGTAGACGCTTATAGGTGCAAGTGTATTCGGGTACGCGCTGATATCCTGAGCGGCGTCCTTGGAGGACGAGTGGCGCGTTGAACATGTCTGATGACGTTTTGGGGGCTTACACGAGGCATAACTCAGGAATCAATCAACCGCGACAGACTGTGTGCAAGAACCTAAGTTTGTCTGGACGTCTTGTGGATCCTTAGGAGAGCTTTTGAATGTTTCATCTAACGGTGCGTTTCACTTTTATATCCTTAGACATTGATCAATTACGTACAGTCCATTTGAAGAGTATTAATCTGATTTCGAGTCTGATGACTTTCTGTAACCACCTCATTCCGTCAGTTGGCCATCGCTTCAGCTGCCAAGACGCTGCCATGCCAAACAGCGTATACCACCTGACACGGGCAACTTCGCTTCCGGTCCTTCACTGGTTCCTAGATCGTATCATCTTGTACCACGCGTTGTGCATGGAAGGGCGCCGGCTCCTCACCTTGCATCGAATCGCACTCGCTCTCAGGCTTCTTGTGTCAAACCAAAGTGTAAACCACGCGGCTCGGGACTCGGAGATTGCCGCCTCTTACAGGCTGTCAAAAACGCGCTCATTTCCGCCAAATAGAATTACCCGGATTATGTCGTAGTCTCAAGAGTCGTTCGACTGTGATGCAACGTGAGCTCGCGAATCGTGGAGTGACCGGTTAGCCCCTGAATATCTAAATGACAAGAGGTACGCGGGGGGAAAGCTTCCAACATCTCCATAAGTACTAATATATGCCGTACATGATAGCCCTGGAAGAAACTGAATTGGTGCTGCGCGATCGAGGAGGACACGATACCGTGGCTGGAGAAAGTTATTCTCGAGGGTCGGACAGCCAACCCTGAGCCGATCACTATCTCTGCTAAGAAATAGGCGTACGGACAGTCACGGTGCTAGCAGCACTAGTTTGAAGTTTGGCGCATGATGCGGAGGCACAGGCGCCGGCAGGTATCGTCGGCGACAACATCCTTCCGTGCTGAACTGACTGAATCAGTCGAAACTGAAGCCGATCTCACCGTGCAGCGCCTGCGCCACCGACAGCATTGGACGCGGGGCGGATGCGCGCCCGTACAGCCTCTGGGACGAATGTCACGGACAGTCACCTGCGATAGCTTGCCCTACCATAAGTTGCATTTTCCATGTCAAACGTGCGCGCCCAGTGTGACGCATGGACATGGTGTATGACTGCACAAGGAAAGCAAACGCTGACATGCACCGCTAAAAATGCGAAAACAGCGGATTTGCAGCAGAAGCTTAGAGAGTGCCGCAAGGAGTGCCGATCGAGGACATACCGAGTGCGATTGAACACTACTTACATAACTCCATTGCGAATCCCTGTGCAATAGTTTACGGGCATGAGCTTATCTCTTTCTTTGCCAGACGAGCGCGGCTCTTTTCGTCGCAGAGATCGACGCACTGGCATGTTTCCACCTCCGGAGCAACTTTATGCCGCCTCGATCATGTCTGATTCAAAAGAATTTTTGTGCGTTTACGCAGGTAATCATGGCTACTTTCATGCAAATATTCAACTTCTGCACCTTATCTATGCGTCTCATCGGAGAATTCATCGGTCCAGCGAAGCAATCTTTCGAGAAACCCGTTCATTACAAGGGTGAGCCGGCTGAAACAGAACGAACTTCCCGTGTTTCCCGAATGACGTCGGTGTTGATTACGAAGTAACAACTGTAATCAGGATTAGACATGCAAATAAGCATTACACAACGACTGAAGATTCACAGCTTGAACTCGACCTTCCGGTTCCACCGTTCTGATTCTGTGGAAGTGATCCTACACCAATCGGCGTCCGTACAAGTTGCCGCAACGTTCTCAAGGCGGAGAGTCCGTCTGCATCAAGGAGAAACCGGGCTTTACATATTTTTGGACCAGGTGACAGAGAAGCGCGAGTGCCTGAGAAGATCGTCCAAAGGATTCGATGATCAGAGCTTCTCCCGGTATATGCGGCTCTTGCTAGCGCAGAAGACGAACACTAATTTCCCCGCACTTGCAAGGAGATGTGGTAAGGCGATTACCTGTGCAGGATGCTTTACGAAGGAGAAGGTCCAATGAACCGCGGAAGCTGATTTCTGACAGCAAGACGACACAGCACCGATCGCACAGCTTGCGTACTGTAACAGCTAAGACCGAAGTGCTAAAAACCATATGACCAGCAGCATCAGATGTGGGTCTTCGGGGTCCTTAGATCAGGATCTGTCGCCAGGAAAACGGCGCTCTGGGGATAATACCAACCCCGACGTCTCGACGACAAGGTTGGCAGATTTCCCCAGCTAGGAAAACAAGGCAACGCGACTTCGTCCCGACTTCACCGACGCTCTCAGGCACTTGCACATCGGTGCTCTTCTTTTGGTCAAGGCTGATATGTGTGAGCGCCCAGCATTGCAATCGCCCGACGTTCTGTCTGTTCATTATGCTCCCGTGACCCTTGCCCCTGAACTTAATGGCGACCGATAGGTAGTGTTCAGGGCCGAACACCGGCGAGTACGGGGCCATATGACATGACGTCGCAGCTAGCAACTCTTAAAGTAAGGTACGTTCTGACAAAAAAGCCGGTGCGCAGGATAGACGAGGATAGACGCTGCCAATCCACCAGTCAGGATACCCGCGGCACCGGGGACATGGTCGGGCACTATCATATTAGGCAGGTGGACTTGGAGTGGCCGGGCGCTTGAACCAGGTCCATTCACTGAAGGATCTGCCCGCGCTGCAAACGGGCCACGGCGATCGGGCTCACGACGCCCACAGCGGCGATGGGGCCAGATAAGACCGTGCTACCGTCCTCGGACAAGAGGGCGGTGTTGAAACAATCGCCCAAGCGTGATTGACATGATAAGCGCACTTTGGGAGAGGCTGATGAATGCAAGCTGCGCCACAAATTAGTGCTAGCCTTGTTAAGTTTTCAGTGAGAGAGTGGACATACTTTCCATGAGTATCGCAAGTCATGTGTGCTGAAAGACGCGTAAAGAAGAAGGCATGTCAATTGTCTCGGAACATGAAGCAGACTAAAATTCCTTACCATTGTGAGATATTTATTCCAAGCGTAATCTGCCACCGCGAGAGATGAATTAAAGGCCAATTTGATAAGATTGCTGAGAACCTGATTTCATTGCAATGTCAGAATGCTCTTTTCTCCAAACCACGATTTTACGGGGGCCCTCAGCCTCCCTCAACCACCCGGGTGAACGAACGAATGAGCAACACCCCAGAGTACGTTGGATCCCCAACTCGTGAGGGCCGCGTGGGGCGTCTGTCTGACAGTCAAAATGAAATCAGTGGAGCAGACACTTTGCCTCGAGGGCTTTACTTACGTGAAAGGCACCGCGGCGGCGTGGAAGCATGTTCCAAGTTGGTGAAGAAGGAGCCTAGTGTATGGGTCTTGTTTCTTCAATGGACGGACAGAAACTCTCTGTTCCGTTTGAGACCATGAGGTTCCCATCAGACAAGTACGGCGCTCAAAAGAACCCGAAGCACATTCTGAAGACGGCCTAATATCGTCACCAAGATTCCGAATGTGCGAAAATAACCCACAGGAATGAAAGCCTCAGAGCTTTGAGAGAATGGTGTCAAAGCGCCGTCAAGGGTACTATGCGAAAAAGAACCAGGATCAGCGTGTTCTACTCGTTCTTCGTGATGAAACATGACGTGTGCTAACGTTATCTCATCTTGGCCAGGGAAGGTGGGTAGTAAACGGTTCATCCCGCGGCATGGTCAACACACTCACCAGGCGCGTGTGCCTTCCGTCAACGCGTAACAGCACTCAGCTTCGCCGAGGTGCCGCCCACATCTGCCCACTGCAGCTGCCAGGTGCGTAAGGTGGTGAAAAGCCTTCTTGCTGCCACGAAGGCTTTGCCGTAGATTGATGAACTGATGTGTGGAGGACAACATTACCGTGCGGCAGCTCGGAAATCGGAGACGCGTTCGTGGGAATATTGTTCCTAGTTGCGGCACAACCGCAGTGCCGCATCGCAAGTCCGGCAAGCGAGCGCGACTTATCCCACATCGTTCAGCTCGTCCTCCAACACCAACATACGATCTTAGAAGCTTGTCACGCTCACTGAGAGATTTGCCAGAACCAACATAGGATAAAAGAATCTTTTTCCTGCGACAAAGAACACGGGACTACTTGTCCGCAGAGCTTGATCCCATGTATCCTATAGCGGATTAGACCAGGCCATCCTGTGCTTACAGCTAGGTTGACATGACCAACAGATGACACAAGTGACCTCTCATGTAGATGATCTATTACTCAGATCTGGCCAAGGTGACGCGCGAGGACGATCAACCTGATGGCAAGAACCAAACAAGCGGTACCAGGGGTGCCGGGAGTCCCTTCGCTTATGCTGCACGTGTAATACTTTTTACTGATCCCTGGTAGCCAGCGGTCGCCACCATGTCGTTGGGCATCCTCGACTCGATATGTTTTTATTTGGACGTGCCCAATACAGTCCTGTCCGGGCACATTTTCCCTGCGCCCACAAAGGTCCTCAAAAGAGAAAGTCCGCCTTGAACAACATAAAACCCCTCCCCTCCTCGACTATTTCCGACATCATCACAACCCACTCCCAACTCTTCTACCTCCCCTCCCAGCCTCACATCCTTTGCCATTACAATGCTCCAGCTGCCTTCACATTTCGTGCTACAAGATCTCTGCGCCATCTCTGGTCGAGCCTGCGAGCTCAAGGTCAGCCCTCTGCAGAGGGAGGCCGGCGCCCTCGCGACCAAATGGTTTGACAGGTCCGTCAAATTTCCTCGTCGTCGGGTCCGCTTCTTGCTCATCCTCCTCCCCAGCATCGGCGTTTACGATGAGATCAAGTTCACCAAGTTCACCAAGTTCGGCAAATTCGACCTCTTCGCTGCGCTCAGCTTCCCCGAAGCCGACCTCAGACATCTCGAGACTTGCCTCATGTTCTTCTTCTGGGCGTTCTCGGTCAGTCACCGCTGCTGTCATTCATCGCGGATAGAGCGCCTCATCTGACAGACAATGTAGACCGACGATCTCTCCGATGAGGGCGCCCTTCAGAACAGACCCGACGAAGTCCAAGCCGGCCACGATGTCTCCAACGCTGTGATTGACCACCCCGAAGCTCCTCGGCCGGCGTACCCTTACGCTGCGATGCTCTATGAGTAAGTCGGCCCGCCAAATCATCAATAAGCGAGATCTAAATCTCTTTTTCTCTGTCAGTCTCCTTGAACGGTTCCGTGAGACAGGAACAGAAGGGGCTTACGCTCGGTACGTTTTCAACGGCACTTTGTACCCGAAATCGCGATCACTAACGGACCACCCCCTTTTGGTTAGCTTTATTCGGGCCTTTGAGGATTGGAGCGAGTCGCAAGTACAGCAGTCTCAGAACCGGTCCGAAGACAGGATGCCATCGATACACGAATTCATCCTTATGCGTCGTGCTACCATTGGTGGTGCCATGGTGGAAGGTGAGCAGTTCCGCTGGCTATGCGCAAGGCACAACGCTAATAACTGCTTCGCTGTCGCGTACCAGCTATGATCGAGTACTCGCTTGACATCGACCTGCCCGACTTCATCTTTGAGCACCCGACAATCATTGCCATGTCAGAAGCTACTAATGATATCATGACCTGGCCTAACGTGCGTTCTAACCTTTCTCGATCAAACCATATCAGTTGTCTAATATCTTATCTCATCTCCAGGATCTCTGCTCCTTTAACGTGAGCCCTTTGCCCAGCTCCACGTTTTGATAGCTTAACTGACACTTCCGCTTCCTTCTTACAGAAAGAGCAAGCCGATGGTGATTACCAGAATCTCGTGTTCATCATTATGGAAGAGCGCGGAGTCGGCCTCCAAGAGGGGATCGACATCCTCACGGACATGCTCTCGCAACGCGTGGATGATTACCTTGCCCTGAAAGCTTCGTTGCCCTCGTTCGGCCCGAAGGTCGACTACGAGCTCGCACGCTACCTCAAGGCGCTTGAGCACTTCACGCAGGGCACCGTCCTCTGGTACTACTTGAGCCCACGTACGTCCGCTCTTCATCACCACTCCTAAGTCGCCGTTGGCAACGTTGCTCACTCCGTTTGCTTCGCAGGCTACTTCCGCACTGTCGACGTCTCGAACCGGCACAATCTGGTGGTCCCTCTTTTTCCGCAGTCCTTTCATTGAGAAAGAGCATGAAGAAGCAAAGGAATCGCCGTCATCTCCATCTGCCGCTACCTCGCCCTCGCCGTCACCACCACGATCACGATCACGCTCTCCATCTCCATCGATACCACTGCGCTCCCCGCTACCTCTGCATCGATCGTCACTCCCCGGAAACATACACGTCCTCCTCAACACGAAGTCCGTCACGCCTCACGACTATCACCGTTCTGAAATCGCTTTCGCACCTGTAGTACCTTTGCTTTCGTCAATGGGTATATTTATCGGAGCTAGTACTGTAACCCTAATCTGTATTCTGTGTATAGTGTCAAGGATGTAATTCTCATTACGCGACGAGCGTTTTCCGGAATGAAGTGGTTCTTAGTTGCATCGTTAGCCGTTGCTTATCTGAGTCGTCCGACGTGAGGTTCGTTGCTTCTCTTCGCATCTCCGAGTCCGGCTTCATCTCGAAGCAACCTCGGAACGAAAGTCCTCGGGATCGTTCATAACGCTGGGCATCGTTATACGTAACTTACATCGTGTCACCGTTGCAAGGTCCGTAGACCGATCTAGCCATAGTCAAGCAAAGCGGTACTAACCTCGATACGGTGGTGTGTTGCAGCGGTGGGGTATCTGTACAGTCTAGTGCCTCATGGCTTCAGCCTTGCGGTGATCTTGTTCTGGTAAAACATCATTCCAGCACCACATGAGTAGTAGTACAACAGTCATGCATTTGGATGTCGCTTTGTATTTCACGACGGATAGAATTCTCGCGGGAGAAGAAAGGTTCGCTCTAAACCAGCTCTTATTCAGTTTTTGGACTCATCACCTGCTGCATTATGTCTTCCGACTGTATGCCCAGCGTCTAGGCCCATGCTAGTCCATACGCACCCACTGATGCTGATGCTAACGACATGTCCATTCGACAGCCCGTTCTCGAGTCCATTCAGCAGTCCATTCAGCCGTTGAATGGACCGGCAATTTGGAGGCAAGGCAACAGCGTCTGTCACATCTCGGCTTATCTCGATCCATGAGATTTATGGCAAGGTTCTGATGCTCTGATGGGGTTAGAAGGCAAAAAGGGCCGTACTGATCCGCTACTCCGAGCCGGTCGGTGGTGTCCAGGGTCCCTCCTTCACTTCACCCCCGACTATCACAGTACTTGTCACTGCGCGCCATCGGCGGCGGGTGTCCCACGGCATCTCCCGAGACTTCCGTCATCTGATGCAACATGCAGGTGTTCGTACATATCCCTGGGCAAACGCTTGCCTTGACGCTGGCAGCACGTTTGGGCTTGGGCAGTCTCGAGATCACTCTCGGGCCGCATTGCGCCTTGTGGTGATCCTTTGTGGATATAGATTCAACATGCTCAAGTGTGGTAGCCTTGCTTCACCCTTCGTTGACGTCTTCTTGGGTCCAGCTTGTATGCACCTTCAACAACGTCGACAAAAGCCCTTTTGAACACTCGAACGAACGTCAGAAGAAAAGAAATCTTTTGCTTCAGGCATGTGCTCTGCGAAGGACCTTCTCAATACTAAAAGATCACGCATACATAGATCACTAGTCCTCGGGCCTTGTACTCTGCAACCACGCTCGCGCCGTGACGTGGGACACAGATATCCGACACGACAATTGCAGCGGCGACTCACCGTCGGTGCGCGACGCGACGGCGAACTCTGAACTACTGCTGCTCCGACTCGACCTCGGGTTGTCGACTCGACATCATCGCAACCATATATCCTATAATATCCGTAAGTGAGCAGTCGCTAGGCGCCTCGACAACGAGCTGATGAACAGATTGATGCCGTGGCCGTACTGTATGTATGTGTCGGCGAGGCGGAGAAGGGCGGAACGATGTCGGGATTTATGTTGCGCGCGGCCCTTGTCAACGGCCCTCGAAACCCCGCCGGCAAGGCGTCGGCTAATATCAGCTAATATCCTACGATTGTCGGGCCTCGCCCACAGTGGCTCGGGGCGGCATTACTGGACTCCGTCGGCGGAGCAGCTCTCTTCTCATCTTCCCATCTGTGCATGATGTGCGCTGATACCATCCCCACGAGAAACCGCCGGCAATTACGAAGCCTCGAGGTCTCGCGATCGTCGGTACCCCCGTGTTCAACTCCCGACCATCGCACATACACAATTCCTTTGCTGGGCATAGTGCAGCATACAATACTGGATCATGGCGCTGGGCAACGCATGTTCTCCGTATTCTCTGTCTTTGTTCGTGTGGAACCCAGTAGGTCGTCTCAATACCACGCTCGAACAGGGTCGTTTCTTAGGCGAAAGCTAACCTTGGTGGGAGTGTATCGAACATCTACAGTGATTCCCACGCGTACCCAACGTCGTGCGGAGCCCTGTCGATGGTGATCTCTGCGGGCGACCTGCGTTCCGGCCGATCAGCATTTATCCCTTACTTTGGCTCGATGCTCGGCCGACTTTATGATATGGCATCTTTGCGACTTGGACATCCCACTAGAGCGATTCCTAGCTCGGGCCTGCGTCTAACTCGGGGAGGCGTGTCATGCCATTGCCATACATTCCTTCGATCAGACCGCGTCTTGCGCTTTGGGTTAGACCAATATCTGGTCTTGTCTTCTTCTAAAGGCACTCTCTATGGTGCAGTTCACCTATGCACCGCTTGTTTTGTACAATGTATAGGGAAGCGTGAGAATTGACTTCTGGGGCATTCTGTCTTGACAAAAGCATCGTTTTTACACGTAGATCAAAACCTCTAGAGGGATTTCCGCCAAAGTCAATTTTGAAGAAAAATTATACTCGTGAATTGCTACTTATGTAATTTGATTATGTAATATGTCACAAATATGGATACTCAAGCCCCTGTCTCATCAAGCGCACTTGCAAGGGTGTCCGGAATACGTCGATGGGAAGTGTAACGCTTTGAACTAAATTCTTTTACCTTTGATTGTGCCGCTTTGACACTTAATCCATCACTGTATGCTTCTATCCACCTCCACATCCGGTGCTCCCAACGCCGGATTGTCTCAATTTTGACCGATGCCAAGGCCTTTGGCATGTTCTTTTTGAGTGAGTTGAAGGTATAGTCCGTGTGATCTCGAAGATATTTCTTCACTGCAGCCCAGAAATATTCAATGAAGTTCAGTTCGCAATGATATTTCGGGAGGAATATCACATTGTGACCTGCATCTTCAAGAACTTCCTGAAGCAGGCACCGCTGCTCAACAAAGTCTGGCTGGACCTCGAGAATTCGACGTGCACAGCAGTTAGGGTTTTCGAGGTCACATTTGCCCGATTTGCACCTGGCAAGAAGGCCATGTCTCCACAGACCACGCTCTTCAAGCACCGCTTGCATTCCTTTTGGCTGGGTGGGAAATTGGGAATGGTCGGGTGGGAAGTTCATGCATTGTGGGATTTTCTCGCCATCTTTGAGGAACCAACCCGGTCGCATGACTGCTTGTTTTCCTCCGGGCCTGAGGTTCATGCGGTTGGCCACTAATGCGTCAATGGCATATGAAAGGTGCCCTTGAGAGTGGTCGAACATAACAAGGGCTTTGTAACCTGGGCCATGGAGTTTCTCAAAAGCAGGGATAAACTTTTCCTTGACCTTCTCGAGCTCATTGAGTTGTTGAAGCTGATTTATTGGGAAATATACGCACTTGCTTCACCAACAACTCTGCATTCCAATAACCCTCGTAGTTTTTGCCATATTCAAGGGACTGGCTTGCTTCAGCCATCCACCCCACAGTTGAACAGATAAAATCGGACTGGTGGGTTCCTCGACCGGGCCCCTTTTTCTTCAGTGGCTGCTCTCCCTCTAAACCCCAATTTTTGGTGTGACTATCATTCGTCTGGGCGGTCATTTCATCATGAGAGACCAAAATAAGCCGGTTCTCATCGGGTGGAAGATCTTTGATAACCTCCTTCTCGACATTGCCAACTTCATACTGAACCAGATGTTGCCGAAATGATAATAACGATGGAATGAATACCTGTTGTCGATAGTGGACAACATCTGGTCGTTCATGGCCATCATAATACACTGCTTTCTTATACTCCACATATTGGAAGCCAAATTTGTGGAGAAAGCGTCGGGCAGTGCTTATGGATAAACCATCTTGGCGGGCTTTGCGATGGAGCCGAGGGAGTACTCTTTCTTCAAGATAATTCTTCACAGCCAACGGAATCTCGTTTGTGACAAGCTTGGAGGCGTATGCATGTGCCTCATTTGGTGGTAATTCCTGGTTCAATAGTTTCTGCAGCTTTCCGGGATTCATGGACCATTTGTTGGTTCTGACATATGCCGATAACTCTGCACAGATGGACGGATCCTCGAGAAGGGAGGCAGATTTCGTGTGCTGGCCCCATGCTGATTTGGGCAGTTCCCGCGACTTAACCCAGGCTGCCACCCATCCACGCACCATCCTCCCTCCCCATTTTGCTGAAAAGTGCTGACTCTCGGCAGCTCGTTCCGATGCGTCTGTGAGTGTACGCCCATTTTTGACAATCATGAAGAGGCAACTCTCAATTGCACCAGCTCGTCTGGCCTGGAGCCCGGTAGAACCGCCCTCAAAGTGGATTTTTCGAGACTTTATTGAAGCTGTTATCAAATCAAGGGCTTCTTGACGCTCTTGAAAGCGTTTTTCCTGTGCTTTAATACGAGCTTCACGCACTGGAACAGCAAGACGGCTCCGCTTTCGAGGTGGCGATTGGGCATCAGGTTCAATGGCAGGGGCTGTTGGTAGGGGAGGAGGGCATGCGGATGGGCCGGGATATCCTGAAGATGGTACACTCTCCAAAGCGATTCCATCCTCATCTTCATCGTCTAAACTGTCCTCAAAGGTATCTGAGTCCATATCAGAATAATATCCATCGAATATCTCGTCTGAGAAATCGATTATTTGCTCCCAATCAGGGGGAGAAGGACTGTTAGCAGGAGTGAGTGCATCCTGCTTGTCCACGCTTGTGTTCTCGGCATCATGAGACGCTTGTTTCGGTGTGTTGAGACTGAAATAGTCCCGCATCAATGCTGCACCAAGGCTTTGACGGATAAGCACAAATATGATTGAGTGTGAGGTTATACTCACATCAGCAAATTGACACGCCGCTTTTTTTCGGGCTGTTTACTTATCGCCCCCTTTTCAATACTTAGTAGATGCTTTTAGGGTGACGCCGAAGGGCTAATAAGTACAATGAGAATTCATGTATTGTCAAATCTCATAAAGCGGATTACGAGGCCAAAAAGTGCACAAAAAGTAAGTCTGATAGCAAATCGAGCAAATCGCATAGAGTAACTAGCAATCGACAAGATTGGACTGAGATACAAGGACCCTGATAACTGCCCGGGATTCACCAAACTGCCCTAAGGCGTTGTAGAGCCCTAAGATTCCACAGAGGCCTGCGTAAACAAGTGAGTGGCCAGGAAAGGGGAAGGCAGGGCTATGGCAGACATACTGTATGAAGCGCATCAGCCGCACCAATTGGGCCGCCGGCGTGTGCCAGCAGGCAGCGCAGGCTTTACAAAACAGAGCACGAGACGCTCGGTCCAGCTGCAACCGACAGGCCCTTTAGTTGGGCCCATGCGACGCGCGTGGCTTGACCGGCAGTGACCTCATGTCCGCGGGCACTGCTGCTGGCTGGGCTTCCTGCGAGGTAGTGTTCGGTGGCCGGTGCAGGATGATGGTGGGCCAGCGAGGGGGTGTGCATTGTGCCAAGGGCGCAACAGGCTTGTCATTGTCGGAGGCGGTGGGCTGTCGACAGCCAAGGATGGCGTTGGCCAGCGAGGAGCGTGCTGGGCCAAGGGAGTTGCAGCAACAACTGGGTGGGATGGTCGACACGTTCATGTTGTCGCTGGACGAGGGATGAGTGCGTTGGTATGGACGACGACGGGTGGTGGTGGTGGTAGGCAGGAAAGAGGATGCCGCGTGAGCGAACGGTGAGAAAATGAAATTCTATAAACAGCATCGGAGAAAATCGGAATGTTTGGCGCAATCACATATATAATAACGCAAATGTACAAAACTAGGCTATCTCAAACGAGTGATGGTCAGCATACCGGTTTACGTAGAATACATGGAAATCATTGTACGAATCGTAGTGCTTCAAGGTCTCAGGGACAGGGTCAGAACCGTAGTATGGGATGAGGTGAGCAGCGCGGACCAGCGAACCGACGGGTATGACTGCAAGTGCGGGGGATCCATCGCCATGCCAGTCTTTGCCTACCACGTACATACCGGTGTCGGGATCTCGCACATCGCTTGCACGAGAAAACCAATGAACGAGCGCACATGAGTACCCGAGTAATCAAAAGAGAAGAATGCCATTACACGGGCAACCTCCATGCCCAGCATTCCTGGAACATCCTCGTCGGTTGAGACAAAGGCACAGTCGTGGCGAGGGGCCTCATTTCTCCAGTTGAGTGTGGACCGGATCCGCTCGCGACGCATTCCATGGATGCCAGATATGTCGCTAGGGGCTCGAAATGTTGCAGCAGCCGAATTGTAGACGTATATGCGGGCCTTGGGATCGAATGGAGGGAGCTGGGCAACAGGGACAGCTGATACATCAACTGAGCCGCGCTGAGAGGTGGGGAGATCCGAATTATAGAGGAAACAGCGGACTTGATAAAGGAGATCGAATTCCTCGAGCGTGAGCTCCTCAGCAAGCGCGGGGATGGATCGAGCACGTTTACGTGCTGAAAAGCCAATGAGAGACGCTCTCGTACATATGAAGATATAGAGGGCTGCGGCGTACCTTTTGTCTTTGCGAGCTTGACCTTGGCCTCTACCTGCTTGTTGATGACGCAGTCCCGCTCGTCCTCTGCCACATCCACACTACCTCCAGTCATGCCTCGAATGCGGATGAGAGTGGTGGGGTCGGGGTCAGCTGCTGCAAAGTAGAATATGCTATCGTCTGTATGAAGAGAAAGGTGTGAGATGATGCGGTAGGAAGAAGCAATGAGCCTTACATCGTTGGATCACATTAAGCACATCTGATTCCGAGGAGGCCTTTCCTTGGAGCATCCCCCTTGCTGTTAGCTCAACACGATAAGCCGCAAGCTTCGCGAGGCGTTGATTTGTCAGTAACATTTGCTTGAGGGCCTCGAACCGACTAGATCGCCGCCAAGGTTCTTTCACCGCCTTGATATGCATTGACTCAGTGATCGACGAACAAAGTCCGTTAGGTGCTCCAAATTGGCGGATCATGAAGGCGTAGTGGATAAGTGAATGTTGGCGAGGGAGTGAAATGGACGTCGTGACCTTGAGCTTTGTGAATACCTTGCGATACTTGTGGAAGCGTTCGAGTGCATCATCGATCTCCCGCAGTGTCTCTTCTGTCTGCACGTCACGCCTCACAAGGTAGCAGAATTCGAGAAATGCTCGAAATGCTCGAACCACCCTCCGTGGAACGTAGCCTTCGATTGCGGCAAGATAGACCTAGATAAATTAGATTGACAAAATAATAAAACCAGAAAGGGAAATACGTACCTTCATTAGTGCCTTGCTATCGTCACCGGTCCATTGCTTGAAGCCTCGGCCGTTCGGAAATCGGCGGAGTCCAGCGAATGGAGCAACTGCAGCAATTCTTTCGAAAAAAATTACTATGAATGAAGCAAATGCGAAAAGGAAACAGGCTGACCTCCTGTCGATATCGTCAAGAATGGAGAGGGCTTTTGCCTTGTTGTACTTCTTGTGGAAGTAGCTGACAACCCACTCGACGAGGTGGTCCTTGAAGCTCCCTTTGATTAGTTGGTGTAGTATATCGGGGGTGATGAGTTCGTGAATGTCCGCTCGCGGAAAGTCATTGGTGAATGGCTAGACATGCGGTTATTAGCTAGTAGTCAAGAAACGGATGAGAGAGCACTCACGACAACATTCCCTATTACCCCATAATAGTCCCATAGTGTGCCAAGGTCCAGCTCCTCTATAACAATGTCGTCATGCTCTCGAGTCCGGGGCAGTGCTGGCTCCCCATCAAGGTCGTCTCGGAAAGCTAAACACCTTTGAAACAGGTTATTTACCGAAAAGCAATAGAAAAGTAGCCGACTCACTTCGGGCACCAGCCCTGGACGATACAGCCCAAGAGCGCCTGTTCTGGGTAGTCCGCAATATATGGCCCCAGCCCATACATCACCCGTCGAAAGTAGCCATCCCCAAAGCGGACCACCTCGTATGTGGTCATCCCCGGCCTGAGCGACTGAAGGATCCTCGACAGTGATGAATGGTATAGTTGCCGGCAAAAATGTCGGAATACTGGGTCGCCTGTAAAGCTTTGATTGGCTAAAGACTGCATTAAGGTTTTGCTGCACGCTAGTGTACGAAGAGACTTACTCTTCGGAATGGAGAGGAACCCGATGAGGTCAACAGCATTGCTGTGCGCTCGACGGATGTTGTTGTGCACGTTGCCGATAGATAGGTATAGGGGGTAATACTCGGTTTGGCCAGTTGCCACCGAGACTGTCGTTTTGTCGCTGCCTAAGATGATGGGGACGAAGGTGCAGCCATCCGTGCCAGGATTTGCAGCTATCTCGTCCTATTGATAACAATCAGCTGGCAGATATGACAGAAAGATGAGAGCGACTTACTGCCTGTTGCCAGGCCCAATCACCTGAGAACATATGTTCAAATTGGCGGTGACCGCTGTCATCAAACTCGCGATAGGGGCTATAGTCGATGCCGTCACGAAAGTCGGCATTGCCAAGAATATTCCGAACGACCTTTTGGGGGTCACGAAACCAGACGTCGTAAGATTGCGTCATCCATGGAGGGACAGCGCCTGCCGGCTTTGCACCCTTGTAGGACATGCTGAACGACTCCCAAGGGACGTCGCCAGCCTTGATGGCGTCGATGGTCTTATAGAGATCTTTGTGGTCGGCGAACGGCGGCGTGTCACCGTGCTTTCGAAGTGTTGCCCCCCAGAGGTCCATGAGAATGTCAATATGACCGGCGGGCGCTTGAGAGCGTCGGTAGAGGAAGTCTGCTGTCTCGAATTCGACCCGACTGCGGAATGGGTGCCAATCGTCAGGGGCACGGGCGGGGAGAGGAAATGGACCGTTGTCCTCAGATATGAAGCTGCCATCTGGGTTACACCTATCGCCTGCAAGGCAGATGTTAGAGCAGGGCATCAAAGGAGACATGGATACATACCAGTCAGGACAGGATGGTACTCGCGAATCCTTTTCCCCCCATCTAACTCTTCCACCCTTCCACGCGGATGTTCAGACTGCGGCTCCAGATGTTCAGGCAGCTCATGGTCTTCAGGCTGAAAAGAGTCCATGGGAGGCTCGTCCTGAAGGTCGTGATCAACAGGCGGAGGGCTGGATGGGGCAGGCGAGCTGTCGACAAGGCCATCGTGATAGCTGCTAATGTGCTTGGTGAGACCGCCTTTGGACTTGAACAGCCGACTGCAGCCTTCGGCTCGGCATGGATAGCGTAAGAGAGAGTGGAGTGGGCGTTGGCTGAGGAGGTCTTCTTCTGGGGTGGATGAGGACTGAGAGCATGAGGGGCATTGGGTGTGGGACATGGTAATGGTTCTTTGGTGAACAGCGGTGTTGCAGGCAGGATAAAGGGGGCTGGGCAGATGCGAAAAGCCTTGAAAATGACGGAGGAAAGGGTGAGCCGGTGAATGTATGGGCGTCAATGAGTGTACGTACATGTTTCCAGTGTAAACTGGCGATGGGGTCCACCCGGGTTTGTCCGCACTTGCTTTAGCGACGCTAATACTTGAAGAGTGCTTTGTTACTCACCGAAAAACTTTTGACCCGCGGTTCCTCTCTCTCCTCCCTCCTCCGTCCTCCTTCCCATCTACGCAATGGCTTCCCGCATGACAACTCGCACCGCAAATGCCAACAAGCACCCTGGAGACCTCCTTAAGGCCCTTGACCGGCGCACCGCTGAAGAAATCAAGCTAGAGAAGGAACGTAAGCAAGCTGAGAAGGACAAGAAGCAAGCCGACAGAAACCGTACCATCAGCCGTCTTGCAGAGCTCGAGAACAAGGTTGCAGCCGAGCACGCGAAGAAGGCCACCAGCGCTCCGAAGGCACCAACAAAGGCAAAGACCACTGTCAAGGCTGCGAAGCAGGTTTCCCTACCTGCAGGAGACAGCTGTGCAGGGAGCACTGCGAAGGCTGAGAAGAAGGCCAAGGGAAAAGGTAAGTAAAGCTACGTACTATTGGTGCCATTAGTATGTTGCTCACTGCAACATCCCAGCCAAATCTGAGACAACGACCAAGAAAGGGCGGCGTGGAAAGACATCCAAGGCAGCACCTATCGGTAAAGTCTAGTCAGTTGTTAATGTTTGACATAGCCGCTTACTTTATTTGCCCTGCGGGTGTTTTAGAGGAAGACGTTGAGGATGATGACTCTGACAAGAGTCTGACTGACGCAGAGGTGATGACGGTTGTGACGAAGAGCGTTGCGGACAGAGCAGTCATCCGTAAATGCGTGGATGACAAGAGGTTCCAGAAACCTGTACCAACTTTGGCAGGTGTATCCGCAAACGGCGGTACCGACGCTGATGAGCCCATGTGAGTTTCCGTTTGATCTTCCCATGACCGTTCCCCTTTCTGTCCATTGCCACCACAACCATGCTCCTTTCACTTACTAAGTCCACACTTTTCTATCGTGACCTTACCTTCGCCCACTTCAGCGAGCCCGTCTCCTTCAAGATCAGCATCAACAAATGGTCAAAGGGAGTACGAGCTCAAGGACCCCCAGACTCCACTTCTGTTACCTCATCTCGCCATCGCTCTCACAAGAGCAGCGCCCTCAACAGCACCAAGTCCTCCACCCTTGTTGGCTCTACACGCGCGAAGGCGAAACCTCAAGCCAGTCCTGTCGACGAACTAGGTGATGCTGGGCTCTCAGACGACGACCAGGTGAACCTGCGACGGGAGCGTGAGAGTTTTGGTGATGTGACTGCTGCTGCTGTTCGCAAGGCGAAGGTACGTTCATGGTCCCTTTCCGATAATCCCACTGAAGCATCCCTCATTCAGAACGTTCATGTCTTTGAAACACCCCCGAGCCCCCCTCCTTTGGTACACGCCCCCCCTGCGAAGAAGGTATCCAAGAAGCGTCTTCGTGTCGAGAGTGACGATGACAGCTCCGACTCCGATTCGGATGCCATGGATGTTGACACCAGCGAGGATGACAACGACCAGGACGCCATTATCGAGGACACCACCATTGAGGACGCCGCCATCGAGGACGCCGCCATCGAGGATGCTGCCATCGAGGACGCTGCCATCGAGGACGACGCCATTGAAGACGATGCCGTTGAAGATGCCACTGACAAGGATGCTGCTGCCCCAAACACCGCCGACGAGGACGCTGCCACCGAGGACAACACTGACAAGGACGCCGCCGCCGAAGGTACCGCTGACAGTGCTCAGGCTGCTGATGAGGGTGGTGTTGGTGAGGGCGCTGGCGACGAGTTCCCCATATGTAAGGATGGGAATGCTAGTCTTCTGCCGCTGACAATCATATTTCACCCTTAGCCGACATCTGGGACAGCCGGTACTTTCCCTCTGACGACAATACCATGCCCCAGGGGCAGCATCTCAGGGTTATCGAAGATTACTCCGTAAATCCTTCGTTTTTCCCAAGGTATAAGTAACTGACTCATCATGCGAACAGGATGACGAGCCTGACGTTGTGATCGTCAGCAGCCGAACAACTGACAAGGGACGTCATTTATCATTCCATCCTCAGGTCATTACTTACGGTCCCCACAGACAGATGTTGAGGTGCGGCCCTCCAAGCCCGTGAAGAGTGAGCCAAAGTCAGAGTCACGACCCCTCAAGCGCGTCAAAACGGAGCAGACTGAGCCGCAACTCACTTCGGCTAAGGAAGACGGTTCCGAGACGAAGGAAAAGGCATCAAAGAAGCGCAAGAACAAGGCCCCGCGCAAGAACGAGCTCCTACCAGCATACTGTCTTGAACGCAATCGGTGGGCGAGGGCTTTCATCCCCACATTCCTCCGCTGGCTCGCCTGCCAGAAGAAGCTGTGGGGCCCAAGCAACTCAAAGATCCTTGACGCCCTTCGTCTTATATGGCAGGCTGTCTACAATGTGGATATGCCGCCCGAGCAGGACGCCATCAATGGGCCCGCATTTACCATTGTAAGTTTGTGTTATTTATTCGGACATGCTTACTAAATTACGACGGCCCGACAGTGCAAGCAAAGGGCAAACGAGTGGCATAGCAACTTCGGATCGACAGCCATTGCCGCCCTCAACAAGTCATTCGTCGAGCTGGGGATGTATGGCTCCGATGACTCAGCGAAGGCTCGCATCCGCTATGCCAAGGGCTTGCTCGCTGGCAACGCCTTCCTGTATGAGGATATTGTTGATGGCAAGCCGCGTCATACCTTCCGAGGTCAGCTGTATCTTATCACCCTCGCCACGCATTATGGCGCTATTCGTGGTGCCATCGAAGTCCCGAAGTTGAAGCTCCCCACTCCCTACACGCCGTGGGGTGCAATGACTTTGTGTTGTACTGCGGTATGTATCAATTTGACAATCTAATCGTATGTCTAATCCTAACGCACACCAGGCTGAACGGGCATGCACTCTCGCTGCCACAGGCAAGCTTGGAGACATGAAGAAGGTCTTTGATGGCCTTATCAAGCACGAGAAAAGCGGTGCTCAAGGCAGCGCCATCAAGAAGGCCAAGGCACTGTTTGCGGCTCACGGAGGCCTCAAGCAGATGAACGAGAGGACGGGCCGGATGTCGACGACTCTGTCAAACTTCTCAGAGGCCAACTGCAAGAACTCGACCGACATGTTCTGGAAGTCCGTTAAAGGCAGCAACGCGCTTCTCCTCTCAGAGGCTTTCATTGCGTCGGCCCCTTACGCCCCGTCTCCAGATGCAGAGGAGTCTGACGATGACTCCGAGGACGAGGACGAGGAGGACGAGGACGAGCGCGAGGAGGTAGACGATCCTCGGGCTAACCTCGACATTACGAAAAAAGTTGCTGCTGCAAAAAAGGCTGCTGCCCAGCGAGCCCGGAATGGCCGCACCAGGAAGCGAGGTTAACAGATATCCTATCCATAGGATACAGATGAGCTTACCAGATTGTTTGAGCAGCCGGAAACTCAAATTCGCAAGATGCAGGCGCAAGCTTGGAGATGACACAAACATTGTCGAGCCCAGATCTTGATGATGCTGTGTCTGCCACAGAAACAGCATCACCTCAGCAGCCCGATGACCTTGACAGAGAGACTGACCTGTGCAATTGGAGTGGAGCTGTTGATGACGGCTTACCTAGTGGTGAAGCAGAGAATAGTGAGAGAGAAGATGACTGGTCTGAAGAGGAAGATTGCTGTGAGCTCGACGGGGAAGAGCTTACCATTAGTTTGGAGCAACAAGCTGCTCATGTGGCAGACATATCTCGTCGCCTGCATGAGCCATTTCGGAGAATTATGGAGAATATGTCAATAAAGGACTGGAAACGTGCAGAGAGCAGTATCAGAGGTGCACACACTGGGAATGCACCCCGTACACTTCGCTTGCAAAAACAGAAGGCTGCCGAGAAGGCAGATGCAGATGCAGAAACACGGAAGAGGTGCATCAGGAAAACAGCACGCTACTTTTGCTGTACTTATACGTACTTATCCACGGACAAGCAATGAGTAAGGTTCGACAAAGTAAGGATCAAAAAGTCCTCAAATAAGCAGATCGCGCTTCTTTTTAGTGCACTTAAACGCACTTTTACGGAACTTTCGAGGATCAGGCTTTCGGGGAAACGGGCTACGCGTGTCTATTCAGTGTCCATAAGCACTAGTAAAGGAGGAAAAAGTGTAAAAAAAGTCCATCTAGACCAGCGACAAAATCGTCGTCAATTATGGTAAAAAGAGATGAAAAGGAAACAGAAAAGGGGGCGATTGTTCACATAGAGCGGGGAGCGAGAAAACTGAGTGGGGAGGATATAATTAGCAGATGGTAATAGAGAACGAGATACGAGACGACGACGGCAAGCAAGAGCACAAAGCGGGCGCAAAAACAACGAGGAGGCGAATATTGACAGGAACAGGAACGGGCAAGCGCAGACAGCTGCGGGCATCCAACGATTCTGTTTAATAGAAAAGGTCAGCGCTGAGACGAGCTGGAATGGGTGAAATTACAGTGGGGCATGATGGAGATATAAACTAACGCGATTGTGTATATGTGGAAATTTCAAACACTCGATTAATGTTTGGGTGGGCTAGAGTGTAGCGATCTCGACATCTATCATATCTCAGTTATCTAGACGTCGGTTCCTCCCCCCAATTGCCGCTTACGTAATCTGTACAAAACAAGCGGTGCATAGGTGAACTGCACCATAGGTGTCTACATGCAGCCGACCAAAAGGGACAGGGTTGTCGCTAGGAATAACTGATCTGCAACCTTCTCGCCGGATACGGTATGCTTAGGTTTTGCACCGCCCTGTCCAAAGCTTACATTTCACGAGGCTTTCACGAGGCCAGCACGATCGGAAACTTCGCATCTTCCATTAGTCTTGTGGGCACAAGGTTCAGTCAGTCATATATGAGTTCATAAAATAAGCAAGAAATTATTACTTACGAGACGCCCCGATCGTAATATTTGAAGGCTTAATCTAGAGTAGTTGCAGACTTGGAAGTTCCATATTTGTCGTATCGTTTGCCGGTCGAGCTTGTACCCACAATCACCGGTGGGCAGTGCAGGTCTTCGCTGTTTTCTTATCCCCGGACCGGGACCGGGGCACGACATTCTCCTGCCTGCGGTCTATTCTATAACTGTCCAGCTTTGGAGAAGCCCCAGGATTCGGAGTCACAGGCTCGCGGGAAAGCAGGCATACATTTCGTGTGCATGAGTCGCCTACGCTTTCCACGCTCTTCACGGGATTCTCATGGTCTTGGAAGGCTACTCGGCTCATTCGGCGAATGGGAGCATGCGCTTTCCTCCATCCTCTGCTCGGGCATCCACGAGAGCATTGCCGGTCGATGCGACGCTCTCGCGCGGGACAGGGGCATGAGAGGTCTGCGTCTCCATCTGACGCTCCCGTGCTTGGTCCGTGCTCGCTGTGTCTCATGCACTGGCTTTCGTGGGACACATCGCTGGGCGTGATCCTCCGGCCTCAGGGATCAGGCTGGGAGGTTGAAATCTAGCGGGGCATCTCCCAGCACCCTCGTGAGCTACTCTGAAGCTTTCAAACATAGGACTGTAACTCGACCACCACGCCCTCATCGATCTTGCGTCTCCTCTGCTTATGACCACCACCACTACCGCCACCGCTCCAGCCATCGCCACTGAGCCCCGACGCAACGACCACGTCCAGGAGTCCAGCGAGCTCACCATCACCGAATCCACGTCCGTCTCGGCCACGCCCACGCTGAACAACGTCGACGCCTCCCAGATGCAGCCTCACCTCAGGCTCTCGCATACCTTCTCCGTCATGGCCGAGCAGATCGCAGCAGCGTCGCAGGCTCTCGCCGCCGCATCGCCGGGCCTCTCAGAGTCGGCGGGGGGAGGAGGAGAGGTGGCCGCGCTGAGGTCGCGGCTGGATGCGATTGAGAGCACGCAGGAGCGCCTGGGGGCGAATATGGAGGCGCTCATTGACCAGATATCGAAGCTAGCTGCGAGCGGGGGCCGTGATGGTGGTGCCGGCAACGGTGTGAGCAACGGGGTCGCGGATGCGGCTGCGAATGGTGCGCACGAGGAAGGGGAAGGGGGCGGAGAGCCGCCGAAGGACCCTGCGATCGAGGCTCTCGAGAAGAAGATTGCGGATTTGGCTGAGGTGGTTAGGCTTGAGTGAGTGTGCTCTCTTTCTTGTTTATTTTTCTTTGGTCGCCTCTGGCACTGTCTCTCTCTGTGTTCCTCGCTGTTCCTTATCTCGCTTCACATCGTCCGTCACGCAGCGGCGCGCGGCGCTCGGATCCATGATGCGAAGTCGTGGATGCTTCGCGCTCGGCAGTGCTGCGTGATGAACACTTTGCTGAACTATGATGCTGATGCTATGTTTATCTCTGCGCGTCGGCGTTCTAGGCAAGAGCGGCTCCCGGCGCGTCTGCACAACTCCCGGGCGACCTATCTCAAGTACAAGATCAAGCAGCCAGTCACAGCCAACGGCAAGCCGGCACCCAACTTTCCTATGTCGCGAGGCGAATTTGAGCATATCACCAGTTGAGTGCACGTTTTCGTTTTTTTTTTCACACCCAACCCCGCCGTTGCCGTTATCGCGCCCGCAGTCAGTGCGCCGTCAGCAGTGCTCTGGCTCGTCGGAAACCACTTCTGTTTTCCGATCGTCGGTTGCATACCAGATTCGACAGGCTAATTGACCATTCGCGCTTGTTGCCACTTTTCACAGAGGAACGTTATGAGGCTATATTGAAGGCCTACGGTCTTCCTCTCAAGGGCGACACCGACGCAAAGAGAGAGGCTGTCCGTACGTTCATTGGACTGCCCGAGGATGAGCTGTAGACCAGGATTGGTTGTTCTATGTTTGGCTTTTGATCGCGGTTCTAAGTTTATAGCTCCAGCTCCAAAGCACGTATTTATAGGCAATTTTGGCTCAACTTCCATGCGTTTACGTTGGTGCATCACGCATCACCGGCACCGGCCTTTTGCGGTCACTCGTATGTCATAGATACTTAGACATCACAGTGCTATGCGTATTATTTTTGCCATGCACAGTATGTGCCCCACAACCACTAGAATCTGGACTCTAGCGAACGCGTGGAGTTCAGGAACGTCTGTGTCTGGATGTAAGAAAGGGGCAAATGCCTAAAAGCGGAAGTCGCGGGGTGGGTGGTTTTCATTTGGGAGCGGATCGAGTTTTCGAGATGTCAAGCTCTCATGATTCTCCCCCAGACGAGCAGCCCCAGCCAATTAGGCGTGAATCAACATGACAGGCCTGGAATTTTGCGAACGGGGCGTCTCGGACGTTGAACGTTGAACGTTGAACTACGACCAAGTGCGACCTCCAGCGGACGCGGAAAGCTGAGGCCGACTTGCAGAACACAGATTCACGTCATCAAGCTGTTCCCCCAAGGCTTCAAAATTAGCTCGCGTACGGCTGCATGCCAACGCCGCTATATCTTCCGCCACGTCTCGTCGGTATTAAGGCCACCACTTCAACTCGCAACTCGCAGTCCATCCACCATCCCCCCACCTTTATTTTCCTCTTCACGCTCAACCAACACCAAGGCAACCCCAACGATGCCCTCTCAGGCCATTATCGACAATCTCTTTAAGCGGAACGCGCTTTGGATGGACAAAGTCAACGAGGAGGAGCCCACCTTCCTCCCGACGCTCGATAAGGGCCAGTCACCCAAGGTAAGTTTCTGTGTGCAGAAACGGAGAGGGTAGCAACGTGCGATGACGCGCGGCCCGCGTTTACCGTTTAGTCTGGGGTTTTCGAAGGCCTTCTAAATGTGCTCTAACGCCGCTTCGGTGTTGTGCCTTGCTATTCACAGGTCCTCTGGATTGGATGCGCGGACTCGAGGGCACCTGAGAGCGTGGTCACCGCTTCTCGCCCTGGCGATATCTTCGTCCACCGCAACATTGCGAAGTATGCCTATTCTCTGTTACTCCGTGCTACCCCGCAGCGTCTGACGGTGCTTCATCATCTGTTCGTCACTGCGCATTGCAGCCAGTTCCATCCTGAGGATGATAGCGCGAACGCCATCTTGACGTACGCAATTGAAACCGTTGGCTGCGAACATGGTGGGTGCTGTCTTATCTGTGGATATATGCGCGTCGATTCTCATCCATTCTTCTTTATCTGTTGCCCTTATCTGTCCATCTGCTCTCAATTGCCTGCACACCCCTCTCATCCACCTCCACCATCTCCACCTCCACCCACGACTGATCACCGCTCTTTCTCCTCGCTCACCCTCCAATACTTATCCGACAAACACACCATTCGTCCTCTTCAGTCGCCATCGTCGGCCACACCCAATGCGGTGGTGCCCTCGCGTGCCTACACGCCGCCGGCTCTGCGCCGGCTACCGCTCCTTCCGGCCCTACCGGCGCCCTCTCGCGGTGGCTCGCACCGCTGACGAAGCTCGCCACCTCGCTGCAGCTGTCGGGCAAGCCGCACCACGACGCGCTGACGACGCTCATCGAGGAGAACGTGCGCGTGCAGGTCGAGAACGTGTGCGCGTCTGCGCCGATCGGCGAGGCGTGGGCGTCGGGTAAGGGCGTCGCGGTGCATGGGTGGATATATGAGGTCGGGACGGGCAAGTTGAGGGATTTGGGTATCACGCGGACTGCGGCTTAGATGTTATGTGTCGAGGGTCTGAGTGACGAACGAAATGGCAAATGTGTATGCTTATGTGGGCTAATGTTAACGATCGTAGATGAATGCAAAGCATAGAAGTTATCGAAGCTGGCATGAATGGATACTCAGGAACTCTTGGAAGACAACAATTTCTACATCGCCAGGCTGTTCCTTGTGTTCAGTTGACGCTGTTGCGTCGATTTCATCAGTCGTCTGCAATTGCGCACACTGTTTCAACTAAGGACGCAAGCCAAGTGAAGGATTGCTGAAATGCGCGAAAATAGTCGACGAAGAACTCTGCGCTCATAGAAGAAAGGATTCGTCATGAGAAGAACAATTAACACCTTGGGAACGTATACTGTATGCTTGCCAGATCATCCTAAGGTGTTAATTGGCAGGCCAAATGATGTATACGACGAGAGAACAGGTGAAGTGCTTCTTATGTATCGTACTGTGGAATATATCCAAGTTGGTCATAAGTGCTGACGAGCCAAGTCAGCGTAGCGACATCGATGTCGAATGTGTTCACTTGAAGCAAGGAAAACAGAGACAATAACTAATTTTCCCCAGAAAGCCAACTTCGTTCCCCTGATTTTCAGTCTCCGGATTTTCGGTTTCCGGATTTTCGCTTGCTGCTACATCTTCTTCCGACTCCGAGTCACTGTTACCAGGATGCTGATCTGGGTCCCTGTTGGTGCTCTTTGCTTTGGCTGATGTATACCTTCACGCAGCCACAGACTGAGACATAATGTCAGCTATTTTCTCGAGAGTGAAACGTAACGAACCTGGCTATCGCCAGAGACACGCTTGCTTGTTTGCGACGTAGTCGGCGCATGGGATGGTGTTCAGCCTCGCGGCCCGTGCCCGTGTCATACTGTTCTCTTTTTTCGCCTTCGCGCTTGCTTTCGTTGTAGATTTTCTTGTTGTACAGCGCTGGCGTCTTGATCCTTTGCCTAGCCACTTAAGATACTTTCAGCGAGGTTCATTTCATCTCAGAAGTCTTCGGATTTCACTCCACGCCGGTGTCTCTTGCCGATATATAGTAGCAGGCATCTCGACGGTAAAATTGCGCTTGGTGCCTCTGTCGTTGGCGTCTCGCGCTCTTGCTCCGAAAACCATCTGCTCGGTTCATAAATCCGTATGGCATAGTCGTCTTCTGCGCTTGAGAAAGCTCTGACATCGGGGAACTATTCACCAGCTCTGATAGCGGCAATAACCGTGCTTGAAGCCCACATCTTTTCCAGTGCCCAAAAGTACTATGCGCTGTCGATGAAATTCGTTTCTGCGAATTCTTTGGATTTTTTATGTTAAACCTCCAATTTCTTTGCAAAAGGAACGGTTAGGAATACCTCATCTCGTAGTGCGCATTGGAACCGATGTTTCTCCCGTCTCTGCGTTCCAAATCTGAACTCGAGATCTCAATTAATGGCCATCTGTGGAAACAAAGCGCTTGCCGCCCGGTGAGTGAGAAATTGCGCTACTGACCGCCCGCGTATGCCCATACAATGGATCACTGAACTTTGTCCTTTGACGAGGTCCCAAACATAGATAGCACCGCCGATAATGAGCGCTTGAGCCTTGAACTACCTGGTGACCTTGTAATGCCTATACAAATGCTCGCGATTTCGCGAACAGCATATCCTCTAAACGGGCTCCTCGCTGGCTTCCCAGTTTCCGCGCCCGTACACGCATGGCGCAATTCTAGAATAGTCCAGCAATAAATTGTCCATCGGGAGAGTATACCGCACTAGGTGCACCGGAAGAACTATGCGCTTCGGTCACGGATGGACCGGTAGCTTGAGCTTGTTGACATCGCGGACACAAATCTTGCCTTCGCACGAGCTGGTCGCGAGACTCTTCCCGTTTGGCGCCCAGGAGATCGACTTGTCTAGGAAACAATTCTGAACTTTATCTACAAGCTCGTGGTTGCGGGAATTCCGTAATTTGAGCCTGTGATCTCCAGCAGTGGCAATGAACTTTCCATCAGGGGAGTACCGAACGCTCCAAACAGCGCGTTTGCACATTATGACAGACTTCCCACCAACTCGGGTCTCGTGCCCGTTCTCGATGTCCCAGATGCGCATCATACCGTTGCGTCCGCCGGATGTGAGACGCTTCCCGTCAGCTGAATAGCAGATAGCAGATAGATGTGACCATATACGTGTACCCCTTCATGCTTTTGCCCACTTGTCTACCTGAGCGATCCCTCGATCCAGTTTTGAGATAGAATTACCGTGAGGCAAATAGGCTATAGCACGGATACCCTTGCGGTGACCGTCGAACGGCATGAACCCTTCATCTGGGACGGTTACCACACCGTCAAATTCTTCACTAGAGCCCGATATGGACTGAAGGGAGGGGAATGAAGGGATGGAGCCTTGATAGTGTACTTCTGAGTCTGAGAGGACGGACATGAAGGAGCTTGGTAAGCGCGAAGAAAGATATAACAAGTTTGAGAACGCGTTTTAAGCGCACGTACAATAGGTTTCTTGCTGTAGAGCCCCCCCCCCAGGCTAGAAGTAGGTACATCAGCGCCAAGGCTTCAGGACGGTCTCGGTTCTTCAAGCGTGTGGCTGGATGATGGGCATCATCGATATCGCGGAGCTGTTCAGCGTACAGTGACGGGAAGTAATCAGAGCCTGATGAACGTGCATGCTAAAACTGTGCCGAAATCTCCCGGAATCGAAAAGGCGATAAACTTCTCCAGGTGAACACACCGTGAACAGAACATTCACGAATGCGTTGACGGTGCGAGACCAAGTGCAAGACAATTCGGGAAGGCCTGGGAAGGCCCCAAAAAGGGGCTCATTGAGGCCCGGAGCACCGGACCGGACAGTCCTCGTTTTGGTTCCGTGGCTCGCGGTTGGCTCCGCTCGTCCGAGTCCATGCACCGATTTGACGTGCTTCGTGTTTCAAAATTTCGCCCCGTTGACACACCCCATGTCTTGTTATCCGTCTTGGGAGTAAAGTCGAGCCCATTCCACGTCAGTTGATACACATCTTAGGTATTGCTTCCTCTGCTTCCCGGTTTCTGAAACTCCAAGAAACACGAGAGCTATGACTGACTTATCCAGGAAACCACAGGTCCTTTGCATTTCGGCCGCTGGTCAGATACTGGCTGACCGACTGAGACCTTGTATGTAGAAGCGCACGCAAAGCTGACAGGGAAGTCGGTGGTCCCTGCATCGAATGAGTAGGTCACGTCATGGTTGAAAAGCGACTCACAAACGATGCATGGCTAAACAGCGACCGATGACGATCACCGGGAAACGCGAGGCTTGCCATGCGGCATCCTCCTGGAGTCTAACGGCTCCCAAACTCTCGCTCACCTACCATACACGTCCAGGCTCATTCATATACCTCTTTGTCCCCGCGCGTCTCGGGGCATGTAGGCGGTGTGCTGATCAGACCGCCTTCTCAAAGGTGTCAGGTCCGCGCCTCGCGCTCTGAGGCGGCCCCTGCGATATGACGGTATAATACCACGCCTGCCAGGGGCGATATGAATCCCTGTTTGCTTTAGACACCGGGCGTCTTGGTCTCGGGCCTGCCTCTTCCATCTTTCCTGTCCCTTTTCCCCTTTCCACTCTCCATCTCGGATTGATATCCCGCCTTAACCCGCAGCTGAAGCTGTTTTCCTGGTTTCATCCGAATACCTAGGACTGCCATTGGGATCTACTGCGTATGCCACCTTACGCGAGCGGCAGTACGACCGCTGGAGTAGGGGGAGGAAGTCCAGCAGCAGAGATCATGCGCGGACCACTGATAGGAAGCTTGATTGGTATGGCGTGAGTCATCTCTCCGTAAGCCAGTCTCGACTAGCAAGCTAACCGAGACTCCAGCTTGTACGGCGTAACATGTCTCCAAACCGTCTTTTACTACAGAGCATACCCAGGGGACCGGTTGAGTCTCAGGATGCTGGTGAGCCCGTCCTGCTGTGTAACACTACGTCCCTTGCTGTGTGAGCGCTAATCACTACGCATATAACCAGGTGTGCCTCGTATGGTTCGTGCCGTCAGCCTCGGGGTAATCGGCCATCTTCTGACATAGCGGCGTACAGGGTATTCGAAACGGCACACGCCTGTATGTCAATATTCGTCCTCGACAGGTATCTCATCCTGAGTTTTGGGAATGATCTGGCTGTGGAGTCAACGGACTGGTGCGTCGTTTGGCCTTCATAGTTTCTCTTGCACCGTCTAATGCATCTCTGATGACAACAGGGTGTTTACTGTCAGTACTGGCGTCTTCTCAGCCCGCATCACGGACGTCACTAATTAGCGACTTGCCCATCAGATCATGCTGATCATCGGTGTGAGTGCGATAACATTCTATTCGAGCAGAGACTTACGACTAACTCTACGCCGAAGTTCATGACTGATCTCGTCGTGTATCTATACTTCACGTGGAAAGTATGGGCATGTGAGTCATGACCTTCCCAAGGCTGTAGCTTAACGCTGTACTCACCCGTCCTCTCCAAAACGAAGTTACGCGCAGAAAGTGGGCAGCTTTATTCATGGTATGTGGTCTTCGGACAATTGCGCAGAGAAGAGTTGACCTTAATGACCATTCGTCAGCTTCTGGTTGTCCTTGCACGTACCGGTAAGCTGTCTGATCCTTACAAGCAATCCAAGTTTGATTATAGATCAGCAATCAGCTTGTGGGGATGCGCTGAGACGTGAGTACCCGCAGTTTACCTCTCACGCGTGTATGGAATTGACACCCGAACGAACAGTAGTCGCTATGAACTATGGTTAGATTACCGGAAGAACACGCTGGTGCGGTCCAAATGAATGAAGCGTTAAACAAGTTTCTCTAACATCAGTTCAGTCGATTAACATAATAGGAAACTCACTGTTTATTGCCGGAGACACGTTTTCGGCCGCGATACTTGCGTACTACTTGCGAAAGAATCTATTGTTGTGGAAAGGGTAAAGTCGAATCGCTCACTCCCCACCGCCATGCTGCCTCTAACTACACTCCATTCCCATGCAGCTCTCCGACCTCCCAACTCTTGCATCGCCTTGTAGTCTACACCGTTGCCACTGGGACGTTGACGAGCTTAATTGATGTAGCAACGCTCGTTCTGGTGAGGACTACGCTTCTTAAACCTCATATGCAGCGATTGAGGATCCTTTGATTTTGCAGACCGTGCAGCAGACGAGTACCCTCAGCTTCACTGCTCTGATCATTATACAAACACGAAGTGGGTATTTGGATGTATCACTTCTGTTTGTATCCTTACTTTTACTCCCAGTTTACGCAAATTCTCTCCTTGCCTCGTATGTCTTCTCTATCACTCCCTCGGCGTGCCCCATTCTTGATCCTGATAATACAATTGCCATGCAGCCTCAACATGCGCAGACTCAACGCCCAAAGGCTCGGCTCACCAATAACGATGTCACCCGACCCCGACATCGCGTTGATGAGCACCTCGCTCCAGTTCGCAGGCGAGACCAACGCCAACACTAACACTGCCACAGAGTCAGAATTGGTCCGCTCGCCGCGGACGTCAGCATCTACCGCTGCGTCCGGTTCAGCGTGCCGGCCACCAGAGCTTGATATTGATTGGAGGGGGCATGGAAGCTCGAGCATGGACGTGCCGAGTGAAAACACTGTCGTGAGTGCATCCATATTTCATCCTATGAGGGTCGGTCGTGAATGCTCACCGGGAGATTGTTTGGGGATATGCTATCTAAATCTTGTTGCGACTCCAAACTTGCGAGCACAGTCACAGGCAATGTTGGCGAAAACTGTAGCTGTGCGGGAACTAGAAGCTATAAAAGCGGAGGCAGAGGGAGAGGATGGGGTGAGGGAGTCGTGGCATACTGCGCTTGCGATGCCTGACAGTAACTCGGATGTCGTGAGGGTTCCTCCACCATCTCCTGGAAATGGCTCGTGATTAGTGATGAACCTGGTTGGGGGCTTGGCCTTCGAGGGTGCATCCAGGGACGTATGTTCCGATATCTGGTCGCTTTTTGCGAATACCATCCTACTTGCTGCATTAGTGTCAGGTAGAATTTCCATGATACCTCTCTACTAAATTATATACCTGGTTGCTCATGAGTGAAGTGCACTCAACTTGGACCAGCAGAGACGAGTTTATGAGAGGGAGAGACAGTGTCACATCAGCCGGGTGCAATATCCTTGAGTTGAACGTCCAATCAAGGCTCTTCCCGCTCATGATAGGGCGTCTATTACGTTCCGTGGAAACACAGCATTGCATACGCGTCGTGCGTATGTTTTCTTTCTTGTTCCTCTATCAAGGCCACTGGACCCGGCGGCTCTTCTCCTTTCTCGTCTTCGAATTACCCCTCGGATTGCTCTCATGTCCACCGTGTCAGACGTGCAGCAGCTTGAAAGCGTTCTGGACGAGACACGAAGCGTTGATACCGTAACTACAGGAAACGCAGATGATGAGGACGATTTAAAGCCTTTCACAGGCCACACAGGGGGTATCATGTCCATCTCTTACTCACCTGACAACAATTACATTGCATCGGGCTCCGAGGACAGGACAGTATACATCTGGGATGCAAACACAGGTAGACAAGTAGGCGTGACAATGCATGGTCACGAAAGCCCAATCCACGACATTTCCTACTCTCCTGACGGAAAACTCCTCATATCCGGCGGAGAAGATAGCATTGTGCGCGTCTGGGATACCATGAACATTGCTGACGCACCTGTGACGACCATAGAACATGCTGTAGATCAAGTATGGACCATCAATCACTCTCCAGACGGGCGGCTCATTGCTACTGGCGGCAGAGGCAAAACGCTCAAAGTCTGGGATGTTCGCCAGAAAACGCTCGAGTTTGAAAGCGGGGACCATTCAGACTTGATCCGCTCTGTGTCTTGGGAACCGAGCGGGAGTCGACTTGCGACCGGCTGCGCGGATCATAAACTTCGCGTCTTCGACTTGAAGAAACCTGGCGCGGAGGTATTGCTCGCCGAGGGGCATCGGGGCGAGATCAACACTGTGGTGTACTCGCCAAATGGGCATTTGCTAGCGAGCGGTGCAGACGATTATAGTGTGCGGTTGTGGGATGCGCGAACAGGAAAGCCCACGAAGAGCCCATTTCGAGGTCATAGGGGCTTTGTTATGTGCCTGACGTGGTCCCCAGACAGCACGCGCATCATCAGCGGCTCTTACGACTATACAGTTCGCGTCTGGGATGCGAGCAATGGTCAGATCCTTTTCAAGGGCGCATTATACGCACACAAAAGTCGTCTATGGAGCGTCGCATACTCTCCTGATGGGAAGCATTTTGCGTCAGCTGATGCTGGCACCCCTCCCCGAGTCCAGATCTGGGATGCACGGACAGGTAAAGCGTCACTTCCACTGGTGAGTAACCACCAGCGAGCCGAGGACAAGCATTAATAAATAGGTTCTTCTAGATATCTGCAAATAAGCATTCTTCCTTCAAACAATATGCAGAAGAACACTCTGGAAAGCCCGACAGATCCAGCGATCCGGGGAAAATGAAGGCTGGGGCTGCTATCTTAGCTGCAATGTGGTTTCCTGATTGTCAGCGCTTCGCAAGTGCCGGTGAAGAACCTCTCGTACGTATCTGGGATGCTCAGACTGGCTTTCAGGTCGGCGACATGGCGGGCCATCGTGAAAGCGTCAACGCGCTGTCCATCTCTGCGGACGGTACCAAGCTCGCGACTGCATCGGATGATCGCACTGTCCTTATTTTTGACACAAAATCAATGCAGCCGGTAATGAAACCCCTCACTGGTCATGACGAAGCGGTTTACACTGTCAGGATGACGCCTGATGGCTCTCGACTTGTCAGCGGAGGCAAGGATAAATCCTTGCGTTTCTGGAACGCAGTCACTGGTGAACTTCAGCATGTCACCGAGGCACATACCGACGCTGTGCGTGCGCTCTCCATGACGAAGGACGGGAGTAAGCTGGCGAGCGGCGGGGACGATAGCTGTATCTACATCTGGGACATGCGCACATATGAGCGACTCGCAGGGCCATTCAAGCACGATGCCTCTGTTCGTACAATGGCCTTTTCGCCAGACAGTTCGCGTCTTGTGAGCGGCTCAGACGACCTTGCCGTCCACGTCTGGAACACTACAACCGGCAGTCTCGCGTTTGATCCTATCCGTGTACATACAGGCTCAATCGGTGCAGTCGACTGGTCGCCGGATGGCACGAAACTGCTGACCGCCGGCTCTCACGACTGGACGATATGGATCTGGGACGCAGCCACGGGCGAACGAGTGCTAGGGCCTTTGGAAGACACTCAGGATGGCGTCAGAGCTGCTGCCTTTTCTCCAGATGGGACTCGCTTCGTCAGCGGTTTCATGGATCACACGCTTCGTATGTGGGATACAGCGACTGGTGTGGTTCTGCTTCCAATAGTCGAAGAGGTAAATCCATCGCTGCTAGGCATGTATCTTATTCCCTAATCACCGTACATCGTCACGTAGTTGAACTCCGACCCAGAGGGAAGCCAAAGCGCTCCAGATCCACCACGAGGAAGAACGGAACGTGGGGGAGTGCCGAGAGAGGTAAGTCTGCGTATCACGTACTCTCAGAGTTATAAGGTGACACTATTTCCAGAGCGACGATGACAGTATCATGAATGTTTGTTCTCTGAATTTTGACTGATCACTCAAAACACCGAATCTTACACCCTTCTCTTAGATGCCAGCAACTGTGCGTAGGAAACCAGCACCAGGCTCTAAAGGGTTTTGGGACGATGCAGACGTGAGCCATAACCTTTCACATGGTTTATCTCCCAAGATGAGCCATTGACCTGCTGGTAGCTTGGTGGCACGTCAAAAAGGCAAGGCAAAGTCGATACTAACAGAAAGAGCAAGAGAGACGTTCTTAAGTCCCGGCACAAGACCAACATTCTCAGGCGATTCTGGTGGAGAAGAACTGTCCATCCTGGTTCAAATCTTAAAGGAAAGAGCAAAGAACAAGGATCTGAAGACTCGGATATCGGCGGCGAAGAACTCGCGATGACTCATAAGCCTAAACGCCCTACTACGAGAGTTGCTGCAGCTCGCGACAAACTGGTACGTCCTGGTGTCGTGCCTTGAGTATCTGCTTCTTCGCGTATAATGAAAGTTTATACCGTTATTCAGCGTGTACTGGTGGCAGGGGATGATCCACATGCAAGGCTCCCCTCGCAAACTGAACCAGAATCCGATGAAGAGAGAGATTCACCAACAGGCTCAGAAGACCCCAATCGGCCCGATCACAGCTCTGGCAGTGACGACCAGAGTGAACACGGATTGGTCGACACGATATGTTTTTGTCTGTGTCTGCCATGTTGTAAATAATCCTAATGTAAGTGAGACTTGCGGTCCTTGCTCTCACTCTGGCCTATCGGGCGGAAGCACCAAGAAGGAAATGAACAATATATTGTAGTTGTATTATATGCAGATACTGTATATGATTAAGTTGTCTGAGATGGTACAACCCTCTCCCATACCCGATCAAGCGTTCGCGAACATACCCACGGAATCCCAGTACTCGACCCAGCGCAGCGCATCCCGGGCAGTAAGTGGTTCCAGCGTACGCATCGTCTCGCTCGCCGCTTGTGCCTTAGCCGTCGCAAACGGCTGGAATCCCGTCGCCTGGAGCTCATCCGCGTCTTGTGCTTCGCGCACTATAGTGTCTGAGATGGCAAGGCCGCGCATGAAGTCGAGCAGTTTTAGCGCAGGCTAGACGTGAATATGAGCAGAAGCACCCTCGTCAGAAAAACATGACCTGAACCAGTATTGTTGAGGAAGAAGCTCACCACTTTTTTGATCTCCGCCTCATCTCCTGCGTTCGAGGCCTGAGAGAGTCTCTCGAGCTCTGCAAACCACTCGGCGAACGGCACGAGAGGAAGACTCTTTCCTCCGTTCATGGGTGCCAGCGCTTCGCTGATAGGTTCTATCAGCTTGCTCCAAGGTGTACAGCGGGGGTGCACGAAGTTGAGCAAAGCCGGCAGCTCGTTGGCAGAGAACGCGACATCAAGCATACCACGCGCGACAGCGTCCATAGGAAGCCATGAATTGACCTGTAGAGTGCTTAGAACATAGTGTTAGGCCACGAGATCTTTAATGCTTACTCCCTTGGCATCGGGCAACATGCCCATGCCGACGCTCGACTTGACGATGATCGGGAACCACTCCGTGGTCGACCACGCACCACGCGGTAGCCCGCCCGACATCTGACCGATACGGAAGCTCGTCGATGGGAGACCGCTTTGTTTCAAGACCTACTCGTGGATGCACCCGTTATTTTTAAGATCACGATCACAACAAACGTAGCACAGCTTTAAACGCACCTGTTCAGTGACGTACTTCCCCTCCCCATACCCACCACCAACAGCAAACTTCGCGTCGGGCATGATTTCCTCGGGCACATCCCCCGCGGCGCTGTGCGGGTCCCGTGGCCATCCCTGCGCAGACGTGACGGACGACGCAAATATGAACCGCACAGTGCCTTGCCCCGACCCGGACTCGCGAGCGAGGTCAATCAGATTGCGTGCACCCTGGACTTGGGGCTCGAACGAGGGAAGGGTGAGGTTGAAATTGACGCGCCAAGCGTTGTGGATGATGTGGGTCACCGAAGTACGGATCTGGATACACGGAGTTTACGTCCTTTAATATGAAGAAGAAGGAGGTTAGATATTTGTTGTCATTCTCACCTCCTCGTAGATGTCGTTGGGGAGGCCAAGCTTCTCCTGCTCCGTGTCCCCCTCGATGAACACCAGCTTATCAGACTTCAAAATCTCCGTGTCCAGCCCACGCGGTTCGAACGCCGCCGCCTGGCGTTCGAGAAGAGACTGCCCTTTTCCGGGTCGGTTGAACGCGTACACTGTCCGCACATCGTCTCGGGCAAGAAGCCCGGCCAGGAGCTCGCTTCCGAGCGCACCCGTCGAGCCCGTCAGAAGAACAACGCTTGCGCCCTTTGGCATCGCGACGTGACCGTTCAGCGCCGCTTTCGCACCAGCACCAGGGAGTCCGACAGAGTACTTCTTGATCATTGCTTCCATCGCCTCCACATGCTGAGCGACGTCAATCGCAGCTTCGCCGGATTCTCCTTTGACGATCGCGCAGACGGCTCGCGCGAGCTGCGACACCGTCGGATGGGCGAAGATGAAGTTCTGGCTGATCTTGCCCGCGCGTTCTCTGGTTTCTGGATCGTCCGCGTGCTTGAGCGAGCCGATGATACGGTTTCGGAGGAATGTCGCAGACAGACTGGGGTTTTGGCGTGATAAGCGCCCCCGATCAGATTACGTGGAAGGAATAAATGACTTACCTGTCGAATCCTTGAGCGAAGAAGTCGACGTCTGGATTAGCCTCCTTCTCGTTATTAACATGTGTGATGTGGGTCTGGATCCATGGCTCGACCACCTCGGGCGTCCAGCTCTCGGGCAGTGGCACGTCCGTACCTGCGCTTGTGCTCGCTAAGATGGTCTCGTACCTATATTCGGCACGAAAGGAGCAAGTTGTCAACTCGAGAAGGAGCGAGTAAAACACAGGTGTACGAACAAATCGTCAATTTCAGATTCGTAAAGCTTGATCGTCGCCTTCTTATTTACTGTGCCCTTGCCAGCGCGAAGCATCGGCTTGTCTGGGTTCGTGACGAGGATCATCTCTTTGAAAATACGACTGAATGCGGGCGCGTCTTTGTTCGCCTCTTCGACGGCGGGCCTAAGAAACAATGACGTCATTGATATCTCCTCCGATACTAGGTTCAGCTTTGTAGCGAGGACGCACCATATCAGATTTCTGAACTTGGCAACCTGAGCCGGGTCGTTGGTATCGACCTCGTAACCTACTCGCGGTTCGACAAGGGCACCAACTTGAGTGCGCTCGCGTCCGAAGAGGACGACTCCGCCGACGGCTGGGTTCGCGAGGATCGTGCCCTCCATGGGAACCGGGACGGTCTTCTCGCCCGTCGAGAGTATGATGACATCGTCTACGCGCCCGACGCTATAAACATGGAATTAGCCTAGGGGGGAAGAGGTGCAAGAAAAGCTGAAACGCACACCCGCCAAAGCCCTTCTTTCGTGGGGTGTTTCTGAAAGACGTCCGAAGTCGCATAGCCGCGGACGTCGGGAAGATTCTCGACGGAGGGTTGGTACGTGTCTGACGTCTACGTGTGCACGTTGATCAGAGTCATGGTAAACTTCCACCCATGCCATTCAAGTAGACGGATAAACCCACCAGGAACTGCAGCTCATAGGTATCATCACTTTGAGGGACCCACCGCACCTTGATCATGTCAGGGATGCGTATGTACATCCAGTCCTCGCGGGAGTAGGTTCGTGGGTCGGGAACGGCGTACGACGCCCCTCCGAACTCGGTCCCACCATACAGTGGCATGATGCGTACACCCTGCCCAGTTAAGTAATCACCGCACTTGATTGAAAGTGGGCCGCCTGCAAACATCTGAAGAGAAGGGTATTAGGAATTTTTGCAGGTGTACTTGTCACAACATGAAAGCATACGTACCACGAACTCCAATCCTTTGAGAATCTCAACGTGCTTGGGCTCGTTTGCCCACTGCTCAAGGAAGGAGGGAACGACAGCGATAGCATTGGCACTTGACTTTTTGATGTAGTCGATGGTGCTGTCAGTGTTAGGCACGACGGGTAAAGCGGTAGGGGAATCAAGCGAAGACGGGCGGAAAAGGATAACAGGGCGAAGGCTGAACATCGGGAAATACAGCTGTATCCCGAGTCCGAAAGTGTGGAAGGAAGGCAAAGACATGCCGCCGATACGCAAGAACGTAGGGTAGCTGGGAACATCATCTACAAATGCTGCAGGAGAGGTCGATCAACTCATAGCATCCAAACTGAATGACTGAACACTCACGAAGACGAGCCCAGCCCAGTGAGGTCTGGTATGTCTGCGGAATAGACTTGGGGTGCCCAGTACTCCCCGACGAGTGCAAATATAGCATGATGTCCGAAAGGGCAGGACGCTTAGCAACCGTAGGATAGTCCTCAACTGGTGAACCGGAGGCGTCCTCGGCAAATAGTTGAGGGTATACGAGGCCTAGCTCGGGCGCGTTGACCACATGTAATGGATAGTCCGATATCGTCGACACCTCCAGCTCTCGCTTGACGTCGCGAATGAGCGTCCTAGCAACATCCGGCGTAGCAAGGACGTGATGAGACGAAACCTTGGTCATCATGCTCACGACGGCCGGTGCAGAATTCCTCGGAGACATCGGATACGGCTAGAACGTTGTTGACATCGCTATCAGTGACACCTAGCTGAGAAGCAGAGAGGTACGCACCACCAAGCCTGCGAGAATCATGCCCATGACGTATGTCTGGTACAAGATCGAGTCTGAATTCGCGATAATGCTGAATACTTGGCCTTCGGGACCCTCTCGTCCCGGGCGAAGAGCATGGGCGACGCGATGACAGCCATCTCGGAACTCTCGATGAGTTATAGTGACGAAGTTGTCGCCTTGCACGTCGCGAGGGAAGATAAAGAAAGGGGCGTCCGGGTTGTATTTCGCGTTAAATTCGAGGACCTCTGGGTGGTTCAGGGAGCCATCTTTCGGCGGGTAGTGGAGATTGAGGTAGGATGACTGAGATGTACCATTCATGGTGAGTTGGGTGAGCGGGCAAGAGCTTGTGAAAAGAACAGAGGCGAAAGATGTTTCTATTGAGCTGCTCCGTCGCTTTCTGTGAGGTTCTTTATATGTTGAACAATAAACTGCCGATTGCGATGAGGACTAAGTTGTGCTGAGACAGAGAAGTGGTCGGCGAGCGTCGGCGTAGCTAAGCCATGCCAAAAGAGATCGAATAGAAGAGTCCAATGAGACGTCCAACGCAAAGTTCATGTTACTAGTTGAGTAATCGAGTCGCGTCGAGGCGCTCCTATCGGCGTCGTGGCGATTATATTGAGCCGCAGAGCTCCAGTGACGATCTCGCCTTCCAATTCGAGGAAAAGATAACATCGGTCCGACGAATGTCACAAATGGCCCGGGCCGGTTATCAATGAGCCGTAGTCCGTGTCTTGATCGAATAAGAACATCATCGTCAGCCCGAGCCCGAGCCCGATCGCCGAGAGATTCAGTGTATACAACATACAGAAAGCAAGTCACCAAAGTGAAGCGATGAATCACCTTGAGCTCAGGATTGAATGAGAAATGGTGCAAAGCAAAACCTGAGATGCAGGCAAATCGGGGCCGCAAAATCCATCGGAGTTACAATCCAATTTTGTCTCCGAAATTGAAGCGACCCCAGCTGCAGAAGCGCCACTCCTCAGGGAACAACATCTTCTTTGGAGCACCCCATTATCTAGTTAATGATACCGCCTATTCATGTTGGCGGCCTGATCGAAGTACTGCTGCTTTAGAAATTGACTGATGCGTTTGCCAATTATCGGCTGTGCGAGTGTTCAAAAATTCTTAGCTACTATCGCTTTACGCACGGAGCCTTGCAGGGAGCTCGCTTCTGCGGCAGTCATTGTTTGGACTGCTTTAGAAACGTAGCACACTCGTAGTCGCGTCCTAAACGCGCAATGTATGACCCAACGACCCACTGAGAAACCTCTGACCCTCTGACTTGAACGATTTCAAGCGCCTCACGGGCAGCCTGGGCACCTCGGCAATGGTCAGCTCATTCCCGCGTCATTGTGTAATGGTCGGTCAGCAAGTCGGTCAGTCTCGGTCAATTGGGTGTTTTCTAAGATAAGAATTGCCTCGATGCGAAGGAGCTGATTACCCCTATTCCAGCTCCTTTACTTGATGCTTATCCGGGCTCTCCCACTTCTTGGGAACATACCAGAAAGTCATTGGAAACATAGCACAATCCGCAAAGCATACTACCTCTGCCATCTTCTCTTGTCTTGTAGACCTGACAGCGACTCGGAAATTGTACAGATATTGGTTCTGGAGAAGACAAAACCATTGCATGCTCCATTCAGGATTGATTCAGGATATCGTATTTTAAGGGGTTAATCGGGTACCACTTGACCGGCGAGCCGACTCCGCGGGTCGCCGAGTCGGGTCGTTCATCATTGAACCGACATTAACCCTGTTGCGTTTGGTGGGTCACCCACTGCGGCCAGGCTCCTGAGCCCGGACACCTTTGGAAAAACAATATGTTATGGGCTCTTCCCATGTATATAGGGTTTCACTCGTCTTGCCTCGAACACATTACAGTCTCCGCAAAGTTTCTTCTCTTCCCTCGGCGTTATATTCTCTTTACTTTCTAGATCCAAACATGCCCGGGATTGACTTCACTGTTTACAAGGGCTCAGAGGGCGGCAAGGTCGTCCAAGCGACAGCTGCCGGCCAAGCTCTTGGCCCCAACGAGGTCCTTATCCGGATCACCCATGCCGGCTTGTGCGGCACAGACCTGCACTTCAGAGGGCAGGACATGGTCCTCGGCCACGAAGGTGTCGGTGTCGTCCAGCAGATCGGAGCACAAGTAAAACACTTCAAAGTGTGAGTAGTCACGCCGGATGATCTACCAGATCCAGCTTCACTCACTGAGATTTCCGTGTCTATCAGCGGCGAGCGCGCGGGCTGGGGCTACCTGCACGAGTCCTGTATGAGCTGCGAAAGCTGCTTCACCGGGAACGAGATCCTCTGCTCCGAGCGGCACCTGTACGGCACGCACGAGCACGACCGCGGCGCATTCGCGTCGCATGCCGTGTGGAACGAGAACTTCCTGTTCCACATCCCCGACGCGATCTCCTCGTCCGACGCGGCGCCCATGATGTGCGGCGGTGCGACCGTCTTCAACGCTCTGGAGAAATACGGTGTGCGCGATACGGACCGTGTCGGCGTCATTGGCGTCGGTGGGCTTGGGCACTTTGCGATCCAAATCGCAGCGAAGATGGGCTGCGAGGTCGTCGTGTTCTCCAGCACGGAGAGTAAGAAGGAGGAGGCAATGCGCCTCGGCGCGACCGAGTTCTACCCAACCAAGGGCGTACAGGAGCTCAAAATCGGGAGACCGCTGGACCAGCTTCTTGTCACGACGAGCCAGCAGCCAGATTGGAACATGTGCGTATCTTTCCTAATCATTACCTCGGTAGCGGGACTGATACCGGTATAGGTACCTGCCGGTTATGGCGCCCAATAGCACCATCTTCCCCTTGACCGTATCCGAGGGCGACCTCAAAGTGCCATACTTTCCGCTCTTGGCCAACGCCATTCGCATCCAAGGATGTCTCCCCCCGTCGCGCGCCATCCACATGAAGCTCTTGCGTTTCGCTGCATTCCACAAGATTAAGCCCGTCATACAAGAGTTCCCGCTCACGAGGGAGGGCATCGAGGAGGCGATGGATAGGTTGGACAAGGGCGAAATCAAGTATAGAGCCGTCCTAGTGGCCGACAAGGCATGATCCTGGTGACGCGGTGATTTCTTTGCATGTTATGGGTTATTGGTTACATTGATAGACTTATAGACTGGCTGTCCGTTATTATTATTATGGCATCATTAATAGCGTCCATTTGAACATTGTTACGCATTGAAGTGATGTTGATGGAGCAAAGTTGCTCCGTGCATGTATTCTTTCTTAGGCTAGGTGCATAGCGAAACGGCTCATTTGGCCCGGAGTTATGAGGAGTTCAACCATGTTAGCTTGCTCGATTAACTCCTCATGGCAACAATAAAGGAGCCAGAGCTTGAAAGTAGGCGGTGCCTATCTCTGAGCCCATCCAACGGCAACATAATGTATGCCATTGTGTAGCGCAACCAATAGCTCAGACTTCAATGTCTAAAACGGTAAAGTAAGAAGAAGATCGAGTCCAACGCAAAATCTCCTTATAAACGGGTTCATACCAGCCTACACCACATTCGAGACATCCACGCGAGTCTTCGTTGAAACACCGCCTTGTCCACCAAAGCCCGATTTGCCATAGTTATTGAGCTCAGCAGCTTCAGACCCATCGCCGCTTCCGTTCATGAGCGCTTGCCTGCCCCAAAGCGATTCATATATAGTACAGCTGCGAAACACATAGAGCACGTACCTTGCTTTCCGCCGCGCGTACACGACGTTCTCCTTCTCCGTGGTGATCTGCTTGCGGATATAACGCATCGTCGGGATCGAGACAACGATCACGACGGCGAGCACGATGTACGTCGCGATCTTGTTCGTTTTGGAGTCGCTGGTCCCACTGGTGTTGAGATCTGTGCCGATGAAAACGGAGGCAAATTGGCGAGGGAGGGCAAGGACCGCGGCGAGGAGGAACTGCCAGAAGACGAGCTGTGATGCAGCGAAGACGGCGGTGGTGACTGTCAAAGGCTCGTTAGGCTGAAGCAATTATCGGTTGGTTGGTCAGAAAGTGACTGACAATGGGGTGGGATCGCGCTGTATCGTGCAGCAAGAACAATCCGGAAGCCACCATTGCGTATGACGTTGCAGAATGCAGCAAACGTGATGTTGTTGCGTTGCGCCCTCTCGTTATACGAGCGAAGCAGATGTTTGAATATGCTGAGGAGACAGCGTTGATTAATATACATCTTCAAAAGAAGAGAGGGCTTGAATCAGACGTACAGGAACATGAGAGTCTCGCCGATGAGCGTGCCTGCAACGACGATGGCGAAGCCGATGCCTGGACCCCAGACAAAGCCGCACAGCATAGCGACAATCTCGTGACCGAAGAGCTGTTGGCAGAATGTAAACACCACGGTACAAAACGGAGACGGGCCATATTTCGCATATACGCACCGGAGGGAAAGAAAGGATGATCATGATCGCGATGGGGATTAGCCACCCTCCAGGTGTCCTGTAATTCACGCTAAGTGAAATGAACGAGCTCCTGGTGTCGAAGAGAGGCTTACCTGTACATCCAATGTGCGAAAGGCTCGAGTGCGCTGATGATTTGATCGTGGAAGACGGCAATCATGACGACAATGAGCACCAAAATTCCGATAACGGCAAGTGAAACTACGTATATGAACACAACGTGAGGATAAAGTCGAACCTAACGAGCGGACAATAGAAAGGAACGCACCGTAATCTCGCCATGATTCCGCATGCCGGACCCGCTGTATCACTCCCTGGATGCTGAAACCAAAAGAGGCGTCAAGGGCTTTGCGCTCGCTTGGCGTAGGACTCGGTGTGCGCGTCAAGTATGTTCGCGAGTCAGGGGCGCCGCGGCCAGAGTAAGTTTGCGACGAAGGAACAGGAGAGACGTCTGCCTGGCCTCCCGTAGATGGTTGGGTGGCATATTCCGGGCCTAAGCTCGAGTATGAAGGCAAGGCGTGAGGTGAAGGGTTTGAACCGGGAGGTGGGTATGATGATTGCGTTGGATAGGAGGGCTGAGGCATGTGGACGCTCATGGCTTTCAGAGACCGATGGTTTGTTCACGGGGCGATGTGGTAGAGAAAGCAGGGTCCGAAACGCGAAGACCTCGAGAGCGAGGTGACAAAGTGTATGTCCAGAGGTTTCCACAAGTCACCCTTTTATCGAGGACCGCTTCTCCTCGTCGTATTTCATCCACGACGTCGATCAGCCAGCACCTTTCCCGCCGAACGCAGGCTGTCCATCTACTGCGGAGAGCTGCGCCTATTTCTAGCGCTCAGGAGCCAATGAGCATGCCCAAATGTCATGTTCTCCTGTAAGACGAGGGGCTCGCTCTCGAAGTGACTGGGCAGGTTGCAGCGACAACATAAACCGCTGTGAGAGTCCGAGACGAAGTCCCGAATAAGACACCCTTCGAGCAAAGGCTGTGCGATAGGGGCACAAACACGCGACTTTTTACACAGCCTCATCCCAGGACGCGGTCATAGTGACGCGACGTTGCTCTTTGACGTTGAACCAAACGGCATTGACCAACGCCCTCGGTATCTTGCCGCTGCTTTCGTCATACGCGCTTTCTGCTGCTCATATGTCCAATGGCGATGTTATTTTCTTCCTGGAACCACTGGGTATATCGCCTCCTCTGGAGCTTAGGTTTGGAGCACCCAGGATCGGCTCCGGTAAATCTCCAACATATTGCAGTAACTCCAGCAAGATCCGCGAGACTTGCGCGAAACTCAGTATGACGGGAGGGCATCCTGTCAAATGAAAGAAGAGATCGGCTGATCGAAAAGCCACAAGGGTGCACTGGAGCATCAAGTCCTTTCCGACACCAACTTGTGGGTAGGATAAGTACAGAAGGCCAGTGAGTAGTACATCTGCATGCATGTCAGCAGCATGTCACCCTTTGTTTCTGGCTCTCTGAGCGCAGCATCACCTTTCAGAGCCATGTCCAGTGAAATGCTTGCGCATCTGATTGCCCATCGCTGTCCCCCCGTCCTCCTCGCAGACTCGCGCACCTCTGTCCAATCCCGGGCTAAACGCCTGGCCCGCATTTAAACGCGTTCTTATACATTTATGCGAACCGGACACTTTTTTCAATGGTTCAACTATTTGCTGCTCATGTCAGGTTCAATTATGAGCTTGCGCTCGACCCTCAATCACGACTCATGCATCACCAGCTTCGTTCCACTCTAGCTCCCATGCGTTTATCCAGCACGGATGCGGCGCTGACTCAGAAACCGCCCTCGTCGAAGCTCGCTTGAAAGATTATCTACGATGTCGCGCTCGGCGGTCCGGGGTGTTCTCCAGCCATGTGCGCACCACCGGAAATAGCGCTCTAAAGTAAGCAATTTCCCCGAGAAAACTCACCAACCTCGGTCTCATGATCTCATTCCAGGACTGCGTTCCAGTGGTTTATGCGGTTCGTTGTCCCTCGCAAAAATCTATAAAGCTTTCCTCTCCGAGGTTCTTCTGAGGGACTCCCTTGCTGTCGAGTATTCTCACCGGTGCCCTTATGATGCTCACGATTCTCCTCGCTGCACTGGTCGCGTCCGTCGCGTCCACGTGCGCGCTGGCGCAGGTAACGATTCCCAACGACGATCCGCTCATCTACTACAACGGGCGGTGGGACGAGACGCCCGAGACGTGGTGGTGCGCACACTCTCTTCGTCGCCCCTCCCATCCCCCTACGTTCTCATCCCTGCGCATGCACATTCATGATATACAGGACCGGCTCCGGCTTCAAGCTGCACGCCGCGAACCTCTCCTCGCTCACGCTCAACCTCGGGCCGTACACGTCCGACCCGGTCCTCCTCGGCGTGAGCGTCGACTACGGCGATTTCGCGTTTTTGAACGCGACGCAGGGCGCGAACGTCATTCCTCTCGCGGGGCTGGAGGAGGGGAAGGCGGCGGCTGTTGTGAGGATCAACTCGCCTGGTTGGGAGGAGAACAATATGAATTTAGACAGCATTGAGCTCAACGAGGTGCGCTGGGGTTTCTCTGTGCTTTTTCGCAAGGAGGAAGCATTCTGACGAGGAATGTGCGTTGATAGGGCGCGTCGTTGTTACCGTACGAGCCTTCGAAGTTGGTGTTCCAGTTCATCGGTGATTCTCTGTCAGCGGTATGTGGCTTCTTCGAGTTTTCGAAAAGTAACCCGCCTAACGGGGGCTTGATTGTGTAGGGTCAGTTCCTTGACGGTGGGGTCGATCAAGCCTGGCCGTTCCTCACCGCGGAGTACTTTAAGGCGGAGCACAATATCATGGCTCAGCCCGGTATCGCGTTGACGGTACGCCCCATTCTTTCTTCTTTGGCTGTGGTGCTGAAGGGTGCATTCTTACAGGACATCGACTCATACGGCAATGTCCACGGTATGGACTACCAGTTCTTCATGGTTAGTGTTATCTCTGTCCTCTCCGTGCGACGCGATTCATTGGTTTTGGTCCAGACTGAGGATACGCAATCATATTACGGTACATCCTCCTCGTTGCACTGCGCAATTCGATCACGCTACTGAGAATCTTTCACAGATGCTCTACACAATTACACGACACCATGGGACTTTTCCAGGGATCAGCCTCCGGCGACCCACGTTGTGATCCTCATTGGGTACGTCGATACCCTCCTGTCGTCCTCCCAGAGCTGAACTTCGTCCTCTGGCAGAGCGAACGACAGCGGAAACAATCTGACCGCGAGCACATTCTACGACGTGTGTACCTCTCCACCCCAGCCGACGCGGTGCTGACACAGTACTGCGCACTCTTTCACAGTCGTACACGACCTTCCTGGACAAGATCCGCCTCATTTACCCCACGCAGCCGTTCCTCATCTTCCTGCCCGTGAGTTGTCACCATGTGTTCCCCACATTGCGGGGTCGGCCCTGACCGGGCCTCGTTTTGAACTTTGTCTTTCCGAAAACGGCGCAACTGATGCATAGTGGGGCTGGCCGAGCGCTGATGCTCCCCCTGCGCCTTATTACGTGGGGATCTACCAGGAGGTGGTGCAGTACCGGTGCGTGGCCGTTGTCCGGCTTTGAGGCTGATAAGAGAGATAAGCTGTTCGGCTGACTGATTGAACCCTACTGTACTACTGAATGGGCAGGAAAAGTCTCGGAGACGAGAACATCTATCTGGTGAACGCGACTGGCTGGGTCGAGTACACAGACGTGTTCCCGAGGTAAGCACTTTGCGTCACGCCACTCGTCACTCTCCCCACCGTTCGTGCGCGTGATCCGGGAGTATGTCCTGCGCTGCGAGTAAGCACTGGGGTATGGCACCGTGGCCGGGCGCAGCGTGCCCCAGAGGCAACCCCAAGACATTGCAAGCAGCGAATCGGATCGCGCTTCTTGGTGGTCGGTTCCTCGAAAAGGCGGCTATTGACGTCTCTCTTTAGCAATCTGCACCCCACCGTGGCCGGGCACGAGAAGATCGCGGGCCTTTTTGAGAGCTGGCTCGAGGACTGGGGGTTGCGCCCGGAGGGGGAGTGGGCTACGCCCGTTTAGGGAGGTTGGCGGGCCGATGCGCGGGCTCCGAGTCACGTCGTTCGAGGAGATGTGTTATGTTCTCGTAGGGTGTATCTATCAATGTTCTGCTGTGTTCTATTAGTTTCGGAGTATTCTCGATGCTACAGTATGGCCGAGTGTGGCCGAGAGATATGAGTGAGGACGGCAAGAGGGAAGCGAGGCAGAGGGCACGCGAGAGGCCGAGGGCCGGGGCACAGCCGGAGTGTGGGCTTATAACCGTCGTCATCAGGCCGCGGCTCTGGATCAAACAGCGCCAGGCTGCTCAGTCCCCTTCCCCCCACCACAGCACAACACAGCACAGCACACGACTTCCCCTCCTCTCCCCCTCCCTCTTTCTCATACTTTGATTTGCTCTTGTAACGAACACGCACGCTCATGTCAGCCACGAGCATCAAAAACTACTACGGCAAGGGCACAGTGCAGGTGCCCGCCGAGGACGGGCAGACCGTCTACCGCCTCGCGATCGCCGCCGACAAGCTCGTGACCCAGCCGCTCGCGGGGATCGACGTCATCCCGGACATCGTCGCGTACGCCGCGCGCACGCACGGCACGAAGGACGCCGTCGGGTGGCGCGACGTGCTCGACATCCACGAGGAGGCCAAGGAGGTGAAGAAGGTCGTCGGCGGGAAGGAGGTCACGGAGACGAAGAAGTGGAAGTACTTTGAGCTGAGCGAGTACAGGTATCATACGTTTGTCGACTTTCAGAGCCGCGTGAGCGAGCTGGCGCGGGGGCTGGTGAAGCATGGGATGACGCGGGAGGACGTGTTCAATGTGTATTCGCAGACGAGGTGAGGCTTATCAACACAGCCCGGGCTGTGGTATACGTTGTCGCGGGCGCTGACGAGCGGCGGCATGCAGCGCGAACTGGCAGCTCGTGTCCCACGCCTGCACGTCCATCTCGACGGCCGTCGCGACAGCGTACGACACCCTCGGCGAAGCCGGCCTCACGCACTCGCTCAACGAGCCGCACTGCGCCGGCGTGTTCACCAATGCCGAGCTGCTCCCCACGCTCGCCAAGGTCCTGCCCAACACACCCGCGGTCCGCCTCGTCGTGTACGACGGCGACGCCAAGCCTGCGCTGCTCGAGCAGCTGCGCGCCGCGCGCGAGGGCGTCGTCGTCCTCAGCATCGAAGAGCTGCGCGAGGCCGGGGCCGGCGAGCCCGCGGAGGCGCTCGCGGAGCGCCGGCCGAAGCCGGAGGACGTCGCGCTGATCATGTACACGTCCGGGTCGACGGGCGCGCCCAAGGGCGTCGTGCTGACGCACGCAAACATCGTCGCTGCCGTCGGCGCGGTGTACGTGCTGCTCGGGCACCATCTGCGGCCGGAGGACACGTTCCTCGCGTACCTGCCGCTCGCGCACATCCTCGAGTACATCGTCGAGCTGTCGCTGTTCTTCGTGGGGATGAAGACGGGGTACGGGCGCGTGAAGACGCTGACGGACGCGAGCGTGCGGCGGTGCAAGGGGGATATTGTGACGTTCAAGCCGTCGATCATGGTCGGCGTGCCCGCGGTGTGGGAGCTCATCCGCAAGGGCATTCTGGGCAAGGTGAACAGCGGCGGGTCGATCCGCAAGAGCGTGTTCAACGGCGCGCTCGCGGCGAAGAAGAGCAACTTTCCGGTGCTCAGTCAGGTCGCGGACGCGGCGGTGCTGAGCAATGTGCGCGCGGCGACGGGCGGGAATCTGCGGATCGCGCTGAGCGGAGGGGCGGCGCTGAGCAGGGAGACGCAGGAGTTTTTGAGCGTCGCGCTTGTTATGATGCTGCAGGGTGCGCGTTTCCTTTCTCGTTCTCACTCCCCAATCTGCATGCTAACTCATACGCACAGGCTACGGCATGACCGAGTCGTGCGGCATGTGCGCCGTCCTCCCCCCCGAACTGATGCAATACGGCTCCGTCGGGCTGCCGATGCCGTCCACGGAGATCAAGCTCGCGGACGTGCCCGAGGCGGGATATCTGTCGAGCAACAGCCCGCCGCAGGGCGAGGTGTGCATCCGCGGGCCGTCGGTCACGAAGGGGTACTATAAGCGGGACGATCTGAACGATGACGAGAGCATTTTTACCAAGGACGGGTGGCTCCGCACGGGCGATGTGGGGCAGTTTAATGCGGATGGGACGTTGACGCTTATTGACCGGTGGGTGCTTGTTTTGTGCCTGTTGATGCTCGCATGGATGGGCGCTTTTCCCGGAATCATTTCTCTTGTTGGAATCACCGTTTCGTTCGCGGTGGTTGTGCCCCTTTTTTTATTTTTGGCGCGCGGCGCGTCGGGATTTGCAATGGTTTCCTCACAGCTGGTGGAGCTGTTTTGCTGATTGCGCGTTTGTGTGCAGGATCAAGAACCTGGTCAAGTTACAGGGTGGCGAGGTATGCCCGTTCCGCGCGCTACTCCGCAAATAGCTTGTTTCTCATCTGACTGACTGACCCTGGCGCCCTGATCTGCGATCGCGATCTCCGCGTATTGCGATTTTCATTTTGATAGTACATCGCGCTGGAGTCGCTGGAGTCGACGTACAAGTCGTCGAACCTCGTCTCGAACATCTGCCTGTACGCGACCGCGGACGCGAAGCAGCCGATCGCGATTGTGTTCCCGCACGAGTCGAACCTGCGGCAGACGCTCAAGGACGGCAAGGCGATCGCGGGTGCGGACGCGGGCGCGGACGAGCTGCAGACGCTGTGTGCGCATGCGGGCGTGAAGGAGCTTGTGCTGAAGGATCTGAACGCGGTGGGGAAGAAGAACGGGTTCAGGCCGATGGAGATGCTGCAGGCGGTGGTGCTGACGGAGGTGGAGTGGACGGCGGAGAACGGGCTTGTTACTGCTGCGCAGAAGATTCAGCGGTCGAAGATTAGCAAGAAGTATGAGGGGGAGATTAAGGTGGGTTTCATTTTTGTTGTTGTTGTTGGGTGACGGAGATGTGCTGATTTGATTGGTGCAGGAGGCGTACAAGGGTCAGTAGATGGGTATCGATGGGCGGGGCGAATGAAGAGTCCGCGGATATGCGTGTAATGACAAGGTTATGATTTCTTGTAGAGGATTGTAGTGTATATACCAGCGTATTCGACGAGTGAGAAAGTGGTGTGATCAGTGAAGAGGCAGCGTCGTCACAGCATCTCGGAGACAGCTGCCTCCGGGGGCGGTGCGATACCCCGGACACCCGCATGCTGGCTGGGTGAGCGCAGCAGGGGGTGTCTGGGGTCGTGTAGGCCGGGTATTTGGGTGGTGGTGTGTCATTTGTGTCGTCGGCGGCTCAGCTCTTGCTTTTAATCCACGCATCCCGCACGCTCGACACAAGCCTGCTCCTCTGCTCCCCTGCGCCGGCTGGATCCCCCGCCTACAAGACTCCCTTCGACACATTTTATTTGCATTTGCCATTTTTCTCGTACGTTTGGGGAATATATATTGGCTTCCTTTTTTGCGACGTTGCTTAATTTTGACCCGGTTTCTCCTCTTCCCCTCCGCATACGGACGGCTGCATTCCCCTCCTCGCACCCCCGCCCCGGTCTCCCGACTTTCCCTTGCCCTGCGCTTCAAGTCGCCCAGCGCCTCCATCCATCAGACGGACCCGACAAGCGCGCGGCGTGTCATCAGCCAGCTGGTCTAGTACTAGTCTAGTACAGGTAGAGTATAGCCCGCCCGATCCGAATAGCTTTTGCAAGCAAGGCGCTCCACTTTGCCCGTCACCACACGCACGCATTCACCCACACGCAAACGCCGACTGCCTCTCTCTCTCACCCTCGAACGTCTTCACTACCTACCACACTACTCCAGTCGGCCAGTCGCAGATGTCGTCCCAGGCCCCCGTACGTCGCCCCTCTGCTTCACCTTTGCTTGCTGGTGGTGGTGATGATTGTGGTCGAGAGTGCTGACGTGGGTTTGTGGATATGTAGATTCGCAGAAAGCTCGTTATCGTCGGAGACGGTGTGTATTGATTTTCTTCTTGTCTTTCTATTGCTTTCTCTTGTCTGTGCCATCGTGTGCTCCGCGCCCTTCATCCTTGCTGCATGTCCGATACCTCCCTGTTCTCGCCCATTAGTCCTATTGCATACACCGCATCCTCCTTTCACTGCCTTTCCCGAGAGTGAACGCACGCTGACGAGCACGACCCCTCTCCCTCTGAACTCTGGACTCTGAACAGGTGCCTGCGGGAAGACGTCGCTGCTCTGCTCGTTCGCGCTCGGCGAGTTCCCCAAGGAATACGTGCGTTTGCGTCTTTCTTCTCGAGGTTTCTCGTGCCTTGTTTATTTGTGCTCACACCGTCCTCTTTCGCATTCACATTTCGACTCTTTGTCGCGATGCATTACTCTTTTGCGAACGCTTGCTCGTCTCGCCTCGATGTCGATGATGATGATGATGCTGCACGACATGACACGCTGGCACCCGCACCCGCACACCCGCATCCGATCTTCGGTCCCCGTTTGATCGACATGACACGGGAATCCCACGCGGACACGGACGGCACGATTGAACTGGGGCTGGGACTGGGACTGACTTGGATTCGATTCGATTCGATTGGACACGGACGCACTGGCACACGCGGATTGGCGCACTCCAGCAACCGAGTAAGTCCTACGCACCAAGCCTGCTCTAGCCTAGCCCGACCGGGGTATGGTCCCCGCGTCGAGTGTGCGCTGTGCGCTTGTGCTGTGCTGTGCTATATCTGTCCTTCCGTGCGGGGTGGTCGCTGATTGTTATTCTTGCTTATTTTTATCCTTGGTGGCGCTGTGTTCTGTTCCGTGGTGTTTGCGTGCCGTGCCCGTGCAGCGATCTTCGAGAACTATGTGGCCGAGGTTAGGCTTGATGGGAAAGCGGTTCAGCTGGCGCTGTGGGATACCGCGTGAGTTCGTTTTTTTTTTTCGTTTTGGTTTTTTGGTTCTTCTTGATATGTTGCGGTTGTCACACGATTGCTGATGTGCCGTGTGGGTTTTTGCCTCCTTGTTTTTGGTTTTGGTGGTTCTTTGTCGTTTGTCGTGCCATCTGACTTGTGGATGGGAATTGTTAGTGGCCAGGAAGAATATGAGGTGCGTTCCTGAGCCCCTTTTTTAATACATATCATGGCTAATATTGACACGCTCGATAGCGTTTACGGCCACTGTCGTACTCCAAGTCCCATGTTATACTTATAGCGTTCGCCATCGACACGCCTGACTCGCTCGAGAACGTCTCCACAAAAGTGCGTTGTCCCACCCCTTTTCGAACTCCTTTTTTGTGATTAGCTCCCCCCGTCCTTCTTATCCCTCGAGTCTATTCTTATACCCATCCTCCGCTACAAATATTCACCACTGACGCCGCCCTTCACTCACACAGTGGATCGACGAAGTCCGCACGATCTGCGGGCCCACGATCCCGATCCTCCTCGTGGGATGCAAAGCGGACCTGCGCCCCGCGCCCGGCTCGCCGACATCGTCGGGCTTCGTGAGCCGCGCGCAGGCGGAGCGCGTTGCGCAGGAGATTGGCGCGCGCGCGTACAAGGAGTGCTCGGCGCTGAAGATTGAGGGCGTGGACGATGTGTTTGAGGCTGCGACGCGGGCGAGCATGTTGATGCGCGAGGGGGCGCCGGCGCAGCAGGTGCATCATCAGCATCATAGGCGGAAGAGCAGTGCGCGCACGAATGGGACGGGGGATGTGGGTGGGGAGGAGGAGGGCGCGGGGAGGTGTTGTGTTGTTTGTTGATTGTGGGGTTCGTTTGGCTGAGGCGGTGGTGGTGGTTGTGGGTTTTCTGCGGAATGTGCTTGTGAGGCTCTCGCTAGTGGGCAGCGAACGGCGGACGGTGGCGGCGGCTTGACAGCATGGCATAATGGCGGCGGACATTGGTTTCTCTAATACGGACTTGTAGTAGCGACTGCGGTTAGCATTCATCCCTCCACCCCATCCACTGAATCTTCTCTGATTTGCGTGTGCGCGCGCGTTCATCCTCTTTCTTCGTATACGTATTCTCATATCTCACACACATCTCTTTCTCCCTTTTTGTTACGCTTGATGTCGAGTGTTCGTTACATTTTTACATTAACCTGTTTATCTCTCACTCTCCCTGTTTTTAGTGACGTGTGCGTGCGTTGTGGCAATTTAACATGCTTGCGCGGTTTTTGCGATGGCAGCGACCTTCAAGGAGACCTTTGTGGTGAGATCTTGATACTGTATGGGGTGGGTGGGTGTTCTGTTAAGTAGTAAAGTTGTTATGCTTGGATTATGTGTAGTAATGTTTAATCATCAACTAATAACTACCTGGAAACCGAGAGTCCTGAAAAGCTGCCGCAAGTTTACATACATCGTGACTGACCGGCGCCCGACGTGCTCGCCGGGTGCGTTCCTCCCTCTCCTCTTCTATGATCTATCAGCCCGGCCCTATAGGAAGACACCGATCAACTCTTAAGCGTGTCCGCATCGCGTCGCGTCGATGAGCCCCAGCCGGATCGGAGTGGGCTCCGTGCTCCTCCTTGTACATGTCGTCTTTTCTGCATAACATACGTATAACATACACACGCCCCGTGCTTGTCACGTCTGGCGGAACTCTTGCGCTTGCGTGACGAAGGTGTGTACGACCTCGGCGATGGACGTGTCCAGCTTCACCGGTTCCGCAAAAGCCTAAGCAGACGCAAGGGGTGAGTTCGAGCGCGCGTACATACAGAGAGAGAGGACGACATGCATCAAGCCAACGCACCTCGAGCGAATCTCCGCCCTCCAGCACCGCGTACTGCACCCGCTGCACGGACCTCTCGAGCACGCCGAGCGCCGCGGGCTGTGTGACCTCCTTGAACGTCTCGTACGTCTTCCCCCAGACGAATGCGCTGGCTCCGGCTCCCTCCTCGCCACCGGCAGCCTCGGCGAACAGCGCCTCGACCCTGCGTTCGCTCGCCGCCGCGCCGTCTTTCATCCTCGCGATTGTCACGCGCGTGTACGGCCGGCCGAGCGCCGCGACGGAGGGGCGCAGCGGGTGCGCCGCGGTGCCGTCGGATCCGGAGGGAGCCTGGGGATGCGGGGAATGGGTGGAGGTGCCGGAGCCGGAGCCGGAGCCGTTGTCGAGGCGGGCGTGGTACACGACGGGCGTGTCCGCGAAGCATTTGCGCAGGATGGGCATCGTGATCTCGTGCGTGAAGCGCGTGCTCGCGGTCGTCTCGTCGTGGTCTTCTTTGTTGTCCCAGTCTGTGCGAGCGTATATTATCCGTAGGCGTGAGTTCGTGCGTGCGTGCGTGCGTGCGTGGTGATGGCGGTGAGATTCGATGGGATGGGACTGTTAGAAGGCTAGAGAAGCAGGTCGAGGACGAGGCACGTACCGACGAAGAGCGTGTTCTTGTACTTGGACTCTGGAATTGGCGGCTCGATGCGGCCTGCATAGAGGGAGCTGGGTAGCGATCGGGCCCGGACAGCGACAACGACGCGTTGTCGTGACGAACACAGAGGGTGACCAGAGAGCAGCGTTCAAGATGTCAAATGATATGTGCACAGGGTCGAAGCTGAAATTATGCTCACTCTTGCGCTTTGCCAGAGCCCAGCACGACGTCGACGATCTTCTTCATAGCTCCTTCTTGCCAGGCTGGGTCTTCGTAGCTCTCGTTCGTCGCCAGCATGTTGATCTGAGTGACCGCGACCGCCGGTGCAGCTGCGTCGGACGCCATATCGGCTAGATGTGATGAGAACCTGTGTCAAAAACTTTTCAAAAACCTCAAGCTGCCTTGTATCGATGAGTGATCTGCCTGTGAGAGCGTTAGCAGGAGGATAGCAGGAAGACCCGCAGAGCAAGAACACTGGGAGAGAGTGAGAGAGGGCGAAAGAAAAGAGCAAGACGCTGTCGCTGCGCGCAACCAAAGAACAGCCCTAGACATATAAAAGGAGACTCGGCTCGATGGGTTGCGCTCCCCATTCTATCGGGAATTGAACGCCCGCAACCAGGGCGTGTGGGAGAGCAGTCACCAGGCCGGGCTTCTCTTCTCCGCCGCGAGGGCGCGTCATTATCGCGAGCTCGGTATCAAAATTCATTAATTTTACGCTGTGGCTCGCGCAGTACTTGTCGACTGCCAGCTCGCTCGGTGTCGCTGTTCGTTGATGCGAGAAGGAATGCCGGTCTGAAAGAAAGTTAAGTGGGTCCCCGTTGATATCAACAAAGTTTGAATGTAGGTTTGAGGCAACACACCCTAAAGGGCAACCGATAAAGTTTCCTGTTCGTAGGATTGGCAACACTCCGGAGGCGGACAGGGATTCAGATATTGTAAACTCCGATTTCCCACGTGTAGATCAGGCCCAATAATATCGTCACGAGGTTTTCAGCTCTCTCGTCTATTCATCCATCGTTCATGTTCATTTGGGTCCGCCTGCTGGGCTCGTTCGCATCATCCGAGAAAAAGCAATTTAGATTATGAAGAACACAAGTCGAGCCTCGGCATTGCTCGGGCTCCGAGTTTCGGCACATATGTGGCTCGTAAAAATGTTTCTCGTCGCTGTCAAGGGCAACTCACTGGAACTCATAGCCCCGTGGCATCACACACTTGCCCCGGTTTCATGGAACTATGAGGTAAACTGCCGATCGCGTTTATGCGTCTACGCCGCCGGAACGCTCAATCCTAGCAAACGATTCGTCAAACCGATCGCTTACGTCTGTCGCTGATTCTGGGGACCCATGCTAACGGCGTCTTCGCACCCAAGCTCAGGGGCGGATAAGGGCGCTCGTTGATATTTATCGTAAGACGACGCGGCGCCCTTGCGCGCCTGTTTTTCGCCTTCTTCCTTCCCCCAAACTCTGTCGTCCTGCCACATCGGCAGTCGTCGGCCGCGCTGCGTTCTTGGACGCACGATGCTAGACTCCCAGGATGCAATGTTCGACAGTGCTGCTACTGTGGTGACATACTCGTATGATGCTGTGGTGGAGGATAAGCGGGACTCGTGAGTCTTGTTCTTTGACTGCTCGCCTCACTCTGACAGCGTGTGCGTCCCGCGGTCGAAAGCCTCATATTCCTAGTGCGAACATCATACCCCAGGCTTGGTATCGAGAACAATGCTAATGCCATTGTCAGTACGCCGCGGTGATGGGATATACAATTCTCTTGTGGGACCACGCTATTACCCTCGGGGATGAGGTACGTATGCGTGCGTTTTGTTTGCGGAGGGTGTTGGGAGTCGTTGATGGTTTATCGAGCTGTAGGTGGAGATTGTGTGGAGGCAGCGACAGACGATGAGTGAGCGCTCTTTGTCAAGCTTCGAAAACGCGAAACTGATGGTTTCTAGTGTCATACCTATTCCTCTTCGTATGTAGCCACAGTTATACAATGTGGCGTCTCGGCCTTGCCCACATCCACCCTTCAGAACCGCTACGTCATTCCACTGAGATTCATGATCACATTATACGGCATGTCTCCTTTCTGTGTCGAGTGTGTGTCGTGCTGAAGATATCTCAGCGTACTTCTCTCCAGGATTCACGGACGCCGTAAGTCGGTTCTTCCTTCGAAGACATGTAATGACGTACCACGGCTGACAGCCTATTACCTTAGCAGTCGGTCGTGTCTCCAACCTGCGAGCTGCGCCCGAGCTAACCAATACTAAGCAGATGCGAACATTTTGCAACGTATGAAGGTTGCATAGTCTCTCTGGGTGTCTTCATTTCGGGTTTGATGCTCCTCAAACGGTACGTTCCCCCGTCCACTCCTCCTATAATGACTCAAGACATATCGCCCTGTTTTTTCTTCGTAGCTTAACAGCGCTGTACCGAGAGTGGGTGTACGTGGTTTACTTTGCCAGCTTACTCCTCTTGGTGTGGGTAGCTCTCACAGTGTTGAGAGTCACACAAACCATTCGTAAGCGACTCGCCCCTACCCTCCTTGCCGTTGCTCTCAATATCGTATGCGCCAAATGCAGCTGTTACACACACCCCAGTGGTACACTGTGAGTGAACGCACGTTACGTTTGTTTATTCGAAACGACTTATAGCATGCAATTTAGTATGCAACGAGATAAGTCATGACTGGCCGCAGTGAGCTATATTCTCAGTCACGGGGGATATAACATCTCCTCACCTTTTCGTCTCTCCTACAGAGGATCTGGGTCAGCAAGTCTGTGGATCATCGTGTCATTCGACACCTTCGTCGTGTCTTGTATTCTAGCCAGAACTCTCCCGTTTCGCCAGCTCAAAGGTGCCAACACGATTGCACGGACGCTGGCAACGGATGGGTTGATGTACTATATGTGCGTTTGCACACCGACGAGTACTCAGGCTGACAAACTACAACTCATGGTTTTTCTACAGAGTTGTATGCATAATCAACATCGCGAACGCGATCTGCATCATGAAAGCTCCCGCTGGTATCAAGAATATCTTCGGACAGTGAGTCCCCACGCGTTATGTTTATGTACCGGGCACTACCATGGCTTACCCCGTCTCGCCGCCCAGACTGCAGCTCCACTTCACAGTGACAATGATATCGCGCATCACGCTCAGCCTCCCCAAGGAGCACCGAAAGCTGACGGGCATGGGCTCGCGCGCTCCTTCGCGATGGCAGGATGCGACGACGATCCTTCCGCCGATCCAGTTCACACAGCGTACCGTGCGCACAGTGGCGCGTACTCAGTCTAGCGCGGAGCCACGCGACTGCGTCTCTGGGGATGGAGATGTGGAGCTGGTGCCAGTGCGGACGCGTGCGTCACAGGTGTGCTCTATAGTTGAAGAGGGTGGTGGTGGATGATGTTGATTTGGTCAGACAGGAGTGGACGAATAACCCTTGGTGAATGTAGAGTTGTTTGATACCAGAAATGATAATGTACCCTACGAGCTAGATTTGACGTGCCAATCAGATTTTAGATATAACTGGTAGTGGTGGCTGGTGTCAAGAACGTTGTACTCTATTGTCCGCTTCAATGCCCGGCCTTCCCAACATCTTAACTCAACCCAAACTCAACCTCAACTGCTCCATAACTGTGGTGTTCGGACGGGATTCTTGTGCTGCACCGTCCACCGTCTATCTATTCATCTACAAGGTGAGAGCACTATAACGATCCCAGGCTAAGCATGCGCGCGCAAGGCGACAAATATTGCCGCAGCAACTAAGTGCCCATGTCTGTTTTCAGGACTAGTCAGGTACAATGCCTATCACGTGGGGGGTTTCATTCTGCATCACTAAAGGAGGGGATGAGTGATAAGCAAATGACCTTGACCGACATCACAGACCGTCTTGCTTTGTATATTAATATATTAACACCTATTTAGCGCGTAGTGGCTGCAGGAGATGATCCTCGCCCAAGGTCAAACTCACAAGAGGAACTAGAGTCCGATGGCGAGAGCGACTCACCGACAGACCCAACGGATCCCAATCAGAATAGCACCGACTCAAACAGTGAAGACGAGAGCGTACATGGCTTGGTTGATACTGTCTGCTTTTGTCTTTGTCTTCCCTGCTGTAAGTAATTCGGGACACAAGCTTGCACTGCTCAGTGAGGGGCTTGAAACCGTGGGCCGTTGGATATAATTTTGGCAGTCTCTGTATCACGCATGATGATATCGATGTTAGCTACTCTATGGTCCGAGTCTTTGGACAAATTCCAGCATAAGTCTCTTTGAGGCCCTTATATTAGTTGGTCTCAGAACCGCCGTATCCACGTTACATTTCAACTCCAAAACCCACCCATCCCCTGCGTATACCTATTACTAGTAGTACGAAACTTTTCGATGCGTTCGGGTAAAATCGAAGCTAGCTCAAAGGTTGCCTCTTTCGCAGCACCATCGTAAACTACTCTGCTTCTGCTCCTTGGTGGTAAAACGACGGCTCAAAATCTGCGGGCTTGATGAAGCCGAATTCTACTGTGTAAAACACCACACCCGTATTCGCACCCATGTTGCGTCGACATCACGATCCCGGACGATGGCTCAGTATGATGATGTCGTGTCCCAGCGGTTCGCCGTTCAAGTGAATAAAACGATATGTGATTTCTCGTGTCACAGATACACGTGTATCAGTACATGCAGCAGACAGTAGGCCTTCTTCTTCGAGCTTGAGCTTGCATGGAGTCATTGTCAAGAACAAACCTGAAGTTGTGGGTGCTATGTACATTCGGAGATTGAAGTAGATGTAACTCCGACACGCATGAATGTTTCTCCTTGGATTTGTCTGCGTCTATGCATCGTGTCATCTCTTATTCAGTCCTTTCCGAGGCGAGGAGTGAATGCGAACACATCGGTGTGTGATCCTCTTGTTCGTGACTCATTCGCTGATGAGGAACTAGCTCGGCCGATATCAGCACCAGCCCTACTCAAGTACTCACCCGTTTTCCGGTCGTCGCTCCAATGAATCCCAAGCTTCTTGACTGAACTCGTCATCAGTACGAGCATACTACCAGCACCCGAGCAACCTTACGAGATTCTTCGTATCTACATTGTCCGTTCTTTTCTCTTCCAGGAGCGTCAAGGAGATATCCGCTTCATCGTAATGCCCGAGTTTCTATAACAAGCCCAAGTCTCGGTGACCGGGGCCGGTCCGTCAATGTTCTCATCCAATCAAACATAAGCTACGGCGGCAATCTACGCTTGATCTACGCACGGTGTTCGATCGGAACTACAATCAAGTCTTGAAATGTTAATCATTGACCCGACGAGGAAGGCGAAGCTGGCTAGTTTGAACTTTCGATCTTCACCGATTCTCTCCCGGCTCAAAGTCATCGTCATAACCCGATAGGAGCGCCTCGATCCGCATAGATTACTCAACCGGAAACAAATTATCTGCGTCACTCCAACATCTCATTGGATGCCTTTCGTGCGTCAACTCGGAGCCATAACCCAGCTACACCGATGCTCGCCGACCCCTACTGAGCCGCCCCTCTCGCAGGCCAGCCTTTGGTGGAGCAAGCATTGGGATAAATTGACGTCGAGGATTGCGACAATGCGGTTCAACATAGACATCTTTCACTCCTGTTCTTTCCAGAAACCCTATCCTCGCTCATACAGTCATGACTGGTCCATCTTACTCTTCCAACCACGCTAGTCTTCATTACCCGCCGAATGACGGCTCTTTGAACCACCCTGAGGTCCTCGAGTTCAATGCGAAACATAACCCGGACGCCCCCTTTTTCATCTTCGCACGTGACGTTGAGGGCAATGAATTTGCGACTATAACTCATCGAGAGTTCCGAGATGGGTGTCATCGCGTAGCCCATGCTCTCCGCCCGGGACGAGAGGGACCCGAAGGCCAGGTCTTCAGTATCATCGCAAATTCAGACTCGATCTTGTACCAGACGTATGTCATGGGCATGATTCTTGCAGGCTTTGTGGTGCGTACCTCCTCTGACTCTCAGCTAGGTGTCACTGATGGCCATGTTGATAATGTTATAGCCGTATCCGATGTCTCCGAGGAATTCTGCGCGGGCCGTTGTGAGCATGATGACCAAGGTCTCATCTCATCACATCCTTGCTACACCGGATGTCGCTAGTACGCTCATTCGCGACGTCAAGCGAGAGTTAGAGGCGTCCTCGACGTCGAATTATCCAATTCATGTGGTCAACACGCCCAGGTTAGACCTCGTCTACCCTCAGCTAGTCGCCAAGGATGCTTCCGCATCGGTCGAAGACTATCCTTCCGCCCCCCATCGTCCTGCCCCTTCGGACGTCATGTTGTACTTGCATTCGTCGGGCAGTACTGGCCACCCGAAGTCTATCCCTCAGACGTACCAGACGTCGCTAGATTGGGCTCGTCTCCGTGAGTAATCCTCGTATTCGGCTCGGGTCGATTTGAGGTGTCTGATCTTTTCTGCAGCCTTTGCCCACGATATGCCTAATTATCCTACATACTTGCGCATCGGCGCCATGTCTCTGCCTCCGTTCCACACACTTGGTCTCTCAATACAACTATACACCCCAATGTTTGCGCTTCGCCCCGTCGTGCATTTCCGCCCGTCCGCGCTTGACTCCACCGCCACCCTCCCTGTCGCTCCTAATGCCGAAAACCTCATCGAATACATCAAGAAGTCCAAGGTCAATATGATCATTGTCGTCCCCTCCTTCCTCGAGCAGTGGTCGAATGAACCCAAGCAGATCGAGATTCTCAAGGGATTAGAGTTCGTCGTACGTAATTATCACAGTCACGTACGCGCGTGCATTACTTGTTTATGCTCATCGCTTCTAGGTTTATTCCGGTGGCCCCCTTTCGATCAAGTGCGGTGATGCGTTGGCTGCGCAGGGCGTACGCATCGTCCCACTGTATGGCGGGACTGAATTCGGAGGGGTGTCGTGCTGCGTACCCAACCCACGTACTGACGCGCGTGAGGATTGGGTGTGGATACGCATCCCCGAAATCGTGAAGACGCGATGGGTCCCTCAAGGTGATGATACTTATGAACTGCAAATTCTGGTGGGTTTATCCGTCTTTTCACATGACATGCGTGAAATAATATATACATCCGTCCGCTTAGACGTCAGAATCGTTCCGCCCCTCCGTCGAGAACATTCCCGATGTTCGTGGATACGCAACCTCGGATGTCTTTGAGAAGCACCCTACAAAGGAAGGGCTCTGGCGCATGTATGTTCTGATCGTCTGTAATTCTGTGTTTCTAAGCTAAATTTTGATTGATAGCGTCGGGCGCGCTGATGATGTCATCATCCTCTCAACGGGGGAAAAGACAGTCCCAGTGCCGATGGAGGGCGCGATTCTCGCGCAACCAGCCGTCGCCGGAGTTGTGCTCTTTGGACGTGAACGCACTCAAGTAGGCGCCCTCGTCGAGCCGCGACAAGGGTACAAAGTAGATGTCAATGACCCTGCTCAGATCGCCAAGTTCCGAAACTTGATATGGTACGTCATCATCTTGAAATTAGACCCATTACTGGGAGATGCCAACATTGACGTCATTTATTAGGCCAGCCGTCGAGGAAGCGAACAAAGATGCACCCACATTCAGTCGCATCTTCAAAGAGATGGTCCTTGTCACTAGCCCCGACAAACCGATGCTCCGCGCTGCGAAGGGCACGGTAAATAAGAAGGCGACAATCAAACTTTACCAGTCCGAAATTGACCAGCTGTTCGTATACCTCCCTTTTGATCTAACGGTCTTGTCTCATGTTAAGTTTAGATATGACACTGTTTTGGCGAGCGCAAGCGCAGGTACAGATGTCCCACTTCCTGAGAGCTGGACGCCCGATGCCGTCGAGCCCTGGCTCCAGACGCACATCACCCACATCAATAATGATAAGAAGGCTGATCCGGGTGTCGACTTTTTCGCTCAGGGTTTCGACAGGTAAACGATCCATATCTCCGATTTAGCTTGATGAAACCACTCACCGCGCTAAATACTTAGCCTGTCGGCGACGTTCCTGCGGAATCGCATCGTTGGCTCGCTCAAGCACGCGGACGACCCAGAACTCAGAGAACGCTCTGAGAAGATCAGCCAGAACTTTATCTTCGCCTACCCGACGGTGCATCAACTCGCTCGAGCTGTTTGCGCGATCGTCAAAGGAGAATCAGGCGAAGCTGCGATTGACGTCGCTCGACATGTGGAGGCGATGGAAGCAATGATCAAGAAGTACTCGGTCGGACTCCCTGGCGCTGGTGCGAAAGCGGCGCCGAACGGTCACGTCGCCATGCCAAAGGGCGCAAGCGTAGTTCTTCTGACGGGCTCGACGGGTGCGCTCGGAAGCGAGCTCCTGGCAGGGCTTCTTGCCCGAGACGATGTGCAGACCGTGTACGCGTTCAACCGACCCGGAAAAGGGCAGTCTCTTCTCGAGCGTCAGTCGGCGGCGTTTGAGTCACGCGGGCTGGACTCGAAGATTCTCAAGTCCGATAAGCTGGTGTTGATCGAGGGGGACGCGGAGCAGGAGAACCTTGGCCTACCCGACGACATCTACGAGAAGGTATGCACAGCAATGAACAACTTGCATACCGTCGTCATATTCACTCATGTTCGGATTTTCATTCTCAGATCCGCAGTTCAGTGACTCATATTATTCATAATGCTTGGCGCGTCAACTTCAACCTCGCACTCTCCTCATTCGAGCCCCAAGTTCATGGTTCCCGTAACTTAATCGACCTCGCCCGCACAGCTCAGTCTGGACAAGTCCCAGGACGAGGCAGTGTACGGTTCATGTTTGCGTCGTCTATCGCCTCTGCGCAGAACTGGTCGCGGGATCTGCATGATGCTGTGAGTAGGGTACCCGAAGATTTAGGGCCCAATGTAGAATGGGCTGTTGGGAATGGGTACGGAGAAGGGAAGGAAGTCACACAACGGGTGAGTTTTTTCTATTCTTTTATTCCTTTCCAATTGTGACCTGACCTTCCTGATGCATGGTGATGTGCGAGTAGATCCTAGTCCAAAGCGGCCTCCCATCGACGAGCTTCCGCATCGGGCAGATGTCGGGTGGCTTGCCGCGCGGCGCATGGTCAACCACCGAGTGGTTCCCAATCATCGTCAAGTCAAGTGTCAGCATGGGGATGTTACCCGATGCGAAGGGAGTGAGTACCACCTTAGTCTTATAGATTGAAATATGACTCTAATTACCACGTAGCTCACAACGTGGCTTCCTATGGATGCCGCTGCGCGCGCGATGCTCGATGTCACGTTCTCTGCAAACGAGTTGCCGAAAATACTCAATCTCGTGCACCCTCGCGGAACACCTTGGTCTAAGTTGATTGAACCTATCAGCGAAGCGTTGGCGCGCGTAAACCAAGGGAAGAAGCTCCCTCTCGTGCCGTTCGCCGACTGGTTCGCAGAGCTCGAGAGACTTTCGCAGGCCCCAAATGCGGGAGACGAAGCGGAGATCCAGAGAGTGGTGCGTTCTCTTTACAAACCCCTGATATCCAGCAATGTTCTCATAACGAGGTTTTTTTTTTACACTTTCTACGTCTAGCCCGCACTGAAGTTGCTTGATTTCATGCGCGGCCTCGCCCGCGCGGACATCGCCATGCGCGAAGCACAAGATACGGACGAGCTCGAAGCCGTGGGATTCCAGCCATTTGCGACGGCTAAGGCGCAAGAAGTGAGCGAGACAATGCGTACGCTGGAACCACTTACTGCTCGTGATGCATTGCGCTGGGTCGAGTACTGGGATTCCGTGGGTATGTTCGCGAGCGCTTGATTGGATATGGGTGAAGAAGAGAATTGTACCATCTAATAAACTTGAATCATGCGCAGTACACTATCAGTTTAATGTATCTTCATTTCTTCTTCTTTAGGTTTCATTTTTAACAAGTCGAAGTCAGAAGACGGACGATAGTTAGAGGCTAAGGCTGCGGAGATGGAAGTATCTCAGGCCGAGAGTCCGATTCCGAGTGAGGTTTACCCACATGACTCAAATATTCCCCGAAATGTCTCTATGGTTTTTCGCTAATGTAACTTGAACAATGTATAGCCTGAAGAAACCCCACAAGGAAACGAAAACGCGAATCGTTAGTGATAGTATGTTTCTCTGGAATCTGAAGATCTAAAATTCTAACCGGGTGTAACGGATAGCGGAACTTCACCCGAACTTTCGCCGCAGCCACCGCTTGCATTGACATTTCCCACGATAGAAAACATGTGTACAGCCTCCGCAATCGCAACGTTGCAACCGTACCAAACCCGCACACTACCGTCGCATTTCCCTCCTGTAAGCCTGACCTGCTATAACTCATACCTACCCAGTGCTAATGGGACTTCCAACATTCATAGAACATTGGGATTCAACACGGAACTATTGCACTTGAGCTTGAGGTGCTAACCTCCATCCAATCGGCGCCTAATCTGTTGGGCTAACTGAAGCGTCTCTCACTTATTTCTCACATTGCATCTCCGTAGCTGCAGCCCTCTTTGACCCAGAGAGACATTATTCTGTTGTGGGGTAGAACTTGCGCCACTTCCATCTATCTTTGTAATGGCAGGCCTTTCGGAAGGATCCCAGCAAGACTCTGCTTCATCCTCCCCAAAAGGGCTCATCGACATACCAAACGATATACCCGCTAGAAACGAGACAGCGGGATTGTCACCATTTTCTGGACACGAAGGTGGTATATATGCTCTTGCATATTCACCTGACAGTAGGTTCATTGTCACCGGATCGAAGGACACAACTGTCCGTCTCTGGGACGTAAAGACGGGCAAACAAGTGGGAGAGACGATGAAGAGTCACGAAGCTTCAGTTCAGGCCATATGCTACTCACCCGATGGGCGTTATGTTGCTTCTGGCGGAGATGGCGGCAAATTGTGCATTTGGGATACGGAAGATGGAAACACTCTTGTCTCAAAGCCCATGGGGACGTCCAACGAAACGATCTGGACAGTAGCATACTCTCCTGATGGGAGGTTCGTTGCCAGCGGCGGAAACGATCATATACTTAGAGTATGGGATACGCGCTTGCATGACCTCGCCTTCGAGCTCGAATGCGCTATTCCATCCATCTGGACAGCTGCTTGGGCACCGGATGGAAAGCAGATCGCAGCCGGGTCTGCTGATGGCAAGGTCTGTATCTTCGATGTGAAGAAACGCGAGCCGTCGGTGGAATTCAAAGTGGGCCAATCTGATAAAGTCTACACAATCTCGTGGTCGCCGAATGGGGACGTGCTCGCCACTGGATGTTTCAATGATGCGGTGTGGCTGTGGATCCCGAAGACGGGGAAGGCCAAGAAGAGCCCATTTAGAGGACATAAAAGCCATGTATACTGCATTGCGTGGTCTCCAGATGGGACGCGCCTCATTAGCGGCGCCTTGGACCACACAGTACGCGTCTGGGACACGGACAAGGGTCAGACTTTATTTAAAGGGCCTCTTCTTGGGCACAAGAATAGTATTCAAGGTCTCGCGTACTCCTCTGATGGCAAGCAGTTTGCGTCGGGAGACGTGGAGGAGAGCCCACGCGTTCAAATATGGGATGCGGAGACTGGAAAGCCGTTGCTGCCTCCGGTAAGGGTTTACACCTTCGAAACGAACATGACAGGATAACCTCTATCGACGCTAGGTTTCAGAAGAGTTGAAACGTACATTTCAGGAAGCAGAAGCGGAGGCGTATCCCAATCCCGAGAGCGATCCCGGAACACCAAGCAAAATGAATGCCGCTGCAGCCATCACCGCTGTTGCATGGCTCCCGAGCGGGAAACACTTTGTTAGCTCGAGTGTCGACGGCTTGACACGGATCTGGGGCGCACAGAAAGGCTACCACACCCGCGAAACTGCGGGACAAAAGGAGTCTGTCAATGCCCTCGCTGTTTCTGCTGATAACACTAAGCTAGCGACTGCGTCTGACGATCACATCATTCGCATCTTCGATCCTATATCCTTGGAACAGCTCACAGACTTTCGCACCGATCACACTGATTCTATGCTAGCCGTACACTTGACACCCGACGCGTCCAGGCTTGTCACCGCCAGCAAGGATAAAACAGTACGTTTTTGGGACGTGGGCTCCGGAAAGCTGCAGCACGTTATCAAGGCACATACCGACTCTGTTCGAACGCTCGCCGTGGCGCCTGATGGAAAGAAGCTTGCAAGCGGTGCAGATGACAATACCATCTTGATCTGGGACATGCAGACGTACGATCAGATTGCTGGTCCGTTCAGGCACGACGGCTGCGTTCGCGCCCTGTGCTTTTCACCGGACGGCGCTCGTCTACTCAGTGGCTCAGATGATTGCACCGCCAGGATATGGGATGTCTTTACGGACAAAGACGCGTTCGACATCATTCGGGTGCATGCAGGCGCGGTTGGAGCAGTGGATTGGTCTAGCGACGGCAAAACGCTACTGACCGCTGGCGCTGACGACTGGACGGTGTGGGTGTGGAATGCTACCACTGGCGAGCCGATACACGGACCACTCGAGGGTGATGGCATCAAGGGGATCCAGGCCGCTGCGTTCTCCCCCGATTCCCAGTATATTCTCGCCGGCTCCAGTAGTGGCACGCTCTGTATATGGGAGACAAACACAGGCAAAGTTGTTCTGGATAGACAGGAAAAAGAAAAGGAGGTGAGATGGATTTCAGGCCGTCTGCAGACTAGTAGATACTGAACGATCTCCATAGTCAACGTCAGATATTGTTAGCCACCATTCAAATGAAGCACGCAACAACAGAACAGGAGCTAGACGTCAAGTAAGTCTTTGAAGCCTGTGTATTAAGAACACATGTTTATCCATTGACTTAGAGTCTAGATGATAGCATTATGAACGTCAGTCACTAAGCGCAGTCTTGGTTCGTAAACGACACCACATTTAACTTTTCCCGTCAGATGCCTGCGACCGTTGCCAAAAAGACTAAAGACAATCGGCAAGGGAGAGGCTTCTGGGACGAACAGGAGGTATTTAGCTTTGTCAGCCTTCTATTGCGTTGGATCCCTCACCATAGCTGTTTACCGAACGTAGGATGAAGGTGGTCAAAGTCATAAGGCAAAAACCGTCCCTAAGGAGCGCCGGCGTAAACGAAACGTGCTGAAAGGACTCTGGATGAGAAGAGCTGATAAGTCAAAGTCGAGGGCGAAAGGCAAACGAAAGGAGAATGATGGCGCTACCACCGCCACTGAAGGTCATGAGATGCGTCGCACCCGATGGCGCACGACAAAAGACGTAGTCTCAGCCCGCGAGAAGCTGGTTCGTGTCCTCATCTGCTCAAGACGTACAACTGACCAAGGTCCATTGCAGCGCGTACTTGCAGCAGGAGACAAGCCACGCGCCCCACGCGGCTCGCAGGAAGAGCCAGAGTCGGACGGCAGGAGCGATTCGCCTACAGACCCGGCTGACCCCAACGAGTCTCACGCAGACTCGAGCAGTGATGATGAAAGTGTGCATGGTTTGGTTGACACCTTGTGCTTTTGCCTCTGCCTACCATGCTGTAAATGATGCGAAAAGCGTGAACTATACGGCTCGCGTTCAACATGTCTGCTATAATGTAATTGTCAATACCAAAGTTGAATATACACAGAATACCGTTCCGTTACTTCTCTTGTTAAATCCCATGTCTCTCTCAACCCTGCTCACGACGTCCAAGCTCGGATCCAGTCCCTCGTGGCCTCATACCACGTCGCCGCACACTCGACACCATCCATAGCATGCGTCTCACCGGGGAACGTCAACATCTCCACGACCTTGTTCCTTCCCTTGAGCGCGTGGTAATACCCGATCCCTTGCGTCGGCGCTACCCTCTTGTCCGCTTCGCCCACGCACAGCAGCGCTGGCGTCTTGACGTTGTCGACGTACGAGATGGGCGACACAGCCCACAGCTTCGCGTACATTTCGGGCGTCATGAGCGTCGCTGGCGTGAATGGCAGGCCGCACTCGGCGTAGTACCAGTCTGGGATGTCAGACGTGGAGATCTCGCCGAGCGAGATGACGGGATTGCAGAGGATCGCAGCGCGGAAGAAGTCGGGGTACTGTCCGATGACTGCGTCGCGCATGATCAGTAAGGGTGCTGGGCGATGGCGAGGGTGAAAGGGACTCACGGTGTCCGGTGAGGAAGCCGCCATGGCTCCCGCCCCATATGGCCCATTTGCCGTTCTCGGAGATGCCTTGGTCGTTGAAGTGACGTGCAGCTGCGATGCAGTCTTCGACATCGAGCGATCCACAGTTGCCGATGAGACCTTGTACAAAGTTCTCGCCGTACCCGGTAGAACCAGTATAGTTGGGCGAGCAGAGCGTGTCTGTGAAAATTAGATGAGCACTCATACACCAGATAGACAGTCACCAATACACACAGCCATCGAGCGCAAATGAGGCAGCGAGATAACTAAAGGTCACCATCGAGTTCGCGTGCGGTCCGCCGTGGGGCATCAGAAGCGAATATGGCTTCTTGTCGTCCGTAGCGCTGGACTTGGGTCCAATGTGGATTGCTTCAACGGACTTGCGGCCTGTGATGGGCACGACGCTGTACTCAAGGCCTTTCAGTGCATCGTCCACTGCATTTGGAAGACGATGAGTTATGGATAGCACGGAGACGGACTCTCGCAAACGTACATTCAGTGGAGACCACGGTCGTGTCGATCACCTTCCAGCTGACTCCGCCCTTGGCGTCGACCGTACCTAGAACGACCTCGGGAGGAAGCGTTGGCGAATGGCGAGAGCAAACGACACGGTTGCGTCCATCCGTGCACAATAAACCGTAAGACACCTGTGGCTCGCCCTTGACAGACGGCGTAAGCTCTTTCACGGCACCACTCGATGCATCAACCAGCAAGACCGTGTTGCGAGCGCCCCATCCCGAGGAGATGACAACCTGGGTGGTGTCTCCGACTCGGAGGAAGCCCCGTTGCGCGATATCGTCGGCGAAGATGCCTGGGAACGCGCCCGGCTCCGGCTCGGCTACCGGGCCGACGAGCGCTTTGGCTTCGCCGTCCTGTCCGCCGCTTGCATCTGACGCGAGCTGTTTGGAGTAAAGCGTCGCTGAGGCATTGTGAGCACCACCGAGAGCGTTGGAAAGCCAGAACAGGTGCGTAGCGGCACCGTTCTCATCGCGCAGAACGCGAGGCGTACGAACGGTACGCTCGGGGGGTGTGAGACGCGTCGCGACACGGGCGGCGACCGTCGGGAGCTTCGGCGCGTCTTTCTTGTCCTCGCTCTTTTCGGTATTTGAGTCGTCCTTCTTCTCCTCCGGACCGAGCTGTAGCTCGTACAGGGCCGTGGGCTTGTTGTAGCAGAACTTGACGCCCATAAGCTTGCCATCGCCGGTGTACTCGTACCCTGTCGCGATAATGCGATCTTCTGACGCAAACACGGCCTGCCCGAACAAAACGGGTACAGCGGGAGTCTCAACGGGTTTGAGCACGCTGAGAGAGACGTCGTTTTTGGTCCGAGTGGGGAGGATAGTGCTGCGTGCGTCGCCGGGGTTCGCCCAGCGGAAGAGGTAGATTGTCGAGCGCTTCTTGGTATACATGGTTTCACCGGCGTGGGGCGTGAACCGAAACTTGTCAAAGGGATCGGCTTTTCCGCCTTCGAACGTAGACTTGTCAAGCTTAGCTTCAGCGGAGTAGAGCAGCGCGGTTTCGGAAGGAGAGAATGACAGGGTAGATAGGAAAACTGGGATTGGGCAATAATGTCAAGGTTGTCGTTCAAATTCGACCAAGAAGGTTGGACGTACGATCTGTGTTGAACTCCTCGTGCTTCTCCGTCACATCCAGCGACGCCTCGAGACGCGACCCGAACCATATCTCAACAATACGCTTCTTGCCCTTGTCATCGGATACCTCGCGGAGGAGGGCCCGACGTTGGTTCGAAGGGGAGACAACCGATGCGAGTACGTCTGTGGAGTCGAATGACGAGGTTGAAATAGCTTCTTGGGTTTCAGGGACAAAGAAAGTCTTCGTTTGCGACCGTTTCGCTTTACGCTCGCGATCTCTGAAAGAGTATGCCACGCGCAGAACTGCAAGTCTCGATCAGCTCGCTTACACGCTTGCTAGTAAATGGCACTCACCGTTCAAGTTCGGTCCATCAAAAGTACCAGTAGTAGGCACAGGAAGCTCGAAAAGCTCATTGAAGAACGTGGACGCGTTTGGACCGCTGTGTTTGAGTTGGACCATCTTATCTGAGAAGTCTATCTCGAGAGCAAGTTAACGACGTGAAGCAGGGAAGGAGGGCGTTCAAGAAGAAAGATAAGCCAGAGGTCTATATATGCGCTCAAAGCTGCGTCGCAGTACGCTTTTCAGGCCTTGAATAGTCTCGAATGCGGGACCTAGTTGACCTGAACCAACTGCGACGCGCGTCGTTCGTAGACCCGCGACCCATTTGACAAGGTGATCGATCATGGGGTGGTGCAAGCTGTACCCGTGGGAATGATGATGCTATAATGGACTCACTGCGAGGCCCGAGTGCGACATGTGCAACTCGTGTTCTTTCCAGACCACGCGCAAGGGCGCGCAGCGGACTGGAATGGGAGCGGAACATGGGCACCGTACCCTGCGAGGCGGGCGTGTGGAGGGCGGAATCAACCACTGACGTGCAGCTCAGGATCGCGTAACGCAACTCGACACAGCAAAATTTCGCATAACTCCCGCAGCCGTGAACAGAAAGCCCCTAAACACATAGTACTACACGTTGGTGGGCCGCCTCGGACTCCGCGAGCACTATCATAACATGCAGTGCTCAAATACCTGCACTGTGCGCACGAGTGAATCCTGGTGCATGCGCTCTTGCTGTGAGTTCCTTGCGAGTATACCCATAGGCAGTCCTAGGAAGAGCTAATTTCCCCTGCCCTACTATATTACGTCCTCGCGGACAGCGCTGGTGTGTCTGCCCTTACGGCAAGGATTCAAGACGCTCTGGTAGATATAAAGGTACTGAGTCGCTTCACCGCAACTTTCCATGACCCCGCCTTTCTCTAAAGTCACATCAGCCGTAGGAGTGCCATGGTCCAGTACAACGTGTCACACGCCCTTCTATGTCTCCAAATCGGAAACATCGTTGTCGTATTCTTGTCTGGCGTAACCTTTGGCAAGATATACCGATACCTTACCTCAAACAAGTATCAAGAAAGTCCGCTCTGGGAAAAATGCTTGGTACGCTCCTCATCCGAGTCAGCCATTCTCACCAGCGTTTAACAACGTTTGTCATGAAAAAGGTTTCGTATATGCTGTAAGTTTTCTCCTTGTCTCCTGCGAATGATGTTCAAGAATTAATGCTGACTTTGTAACCAGCTGTCTCCAGGGCTTACACACCGCACTAGTGATCTACACCTTGTTCAGCGCCATTCTTCACTGGCACAAGCTCGATAACTTGGAAGACAATACCGTAATTCCGTACGGTATTGGATTCTCCATGTTCGTCGGAAGCTGTATGAAAACGACCGTGCAGGTAGGTATGACTACTTTTTCTGACGCTCTCGCTCTGACTTCTGACCACTTGGTACTCTCATTTAGGCGTTCGTCATCAGACGCGCCAAGCAGCTCTCTAGTCAAAAATGTATACCCATTTTGTGTTGGGTGCTGATAACACTGGGGCTTGCCGGATCTCTTGGGTGCTCTATATCTGCTATAGGAAATACTTTCGGTGGATACAGTGTTTTATGGTTGGATATCCTAGCTGCCGTCTTGGCAACGAGCATTGCGGTGGACCTTACAAGTGCCGCGGTACAATGGATATTTCTTTACAAACAAAGTAAAGAGTCCCCGGATCAGTAAGTTGTCACTTCTCTCCCTGTCTTCGTGCGACTTACATTCCTGCCTGCAGTACAAAAAAGCTCGTGCATCGTATTATTTTGTTGATAAAGAGTAGGTGTCACTGGGAAACATCGTGTGCGTCTCTGACTCTCCAAACTTCCTTTCCTAAAGGGACAACGCTTGTTACGAGGTAAGTCCGCCATATACGTTTCGAAGAGCTCTATGTAGCTCATTGATCAACAGTATACCAACACTCCTCACTGTCGCACTTTTACTGTATGCCCTACACAGAAACACTTGTAAACATCTGTCATTATCGTCGAAGCTATATACGTGCTGACACAATTATCGTAGTGGCTTGGATAACGACGCTTCTGTTTCTTCCTGAAGGTGAGCTCAGTTTGCATCTCCAGCTGAAAGGTTTGCCTAATAATACATATAGTCTTCACGTTGACATTTTTTGCTTCGTAAGGAGTTTTCTCGCTCTCATAGCATGAGTATAGCTTACAATGAGTTCGAACAGCTTACTATCAACGGCAGAGGCCGACGCGGATACCGTGACAAATGTCCAGCCTCTGATAAGCTCATATATACTTCCGCCGCCAGCATCTGCCACTCATTCAGTAAGTAATTCAGCTTTAAGTACAATACTCCGCGCCGCTCACGATTCCTCTGCTGCTTTTCTTGCACTAGTAGAGCACCTCCGGACCACTGGCTAACTTTTTGCGTAGGGAGAGAAGAACAAGCCTCTTCGACGCAATCAAGGTTGACATTACTGTAGTTACCGATTCCAGTTAGTCTAACCCGCGAGTCAGTCTTGTTTGCAACTACTGTATGTTCGCTCTGACGGTTGGTTGTATCAAGTCTATCATCCTATAAAAAGATTCAAAGTTATCTTACTATGTACCAGTCTTACGTATTGTAACCATAGTTTTACATAATAACCGTCCGATTATACCCCCATGCCTGATTATTGCATTTATTATCGGACATGCGGGGGGAAACCAGACGTGAAAAATGCATTTCGACCAACAGTAAGGGTTGTAGATACTGCACAAACGATATCTCAAGTCAAACCCCCCAATAAATTTGGATGCGAGCTCGAAGCAGCTCTCAAGCAGAATCACTCTTCAAGGCGCTATGCTTATCTCGGTAAAATAGATAGATAAAATAAAAATAAAAATAATCAAAACCCTCCCAAATTAAACGTCTTTCACCTGATCCGGGCTGGCCGGCAACAGCCGAAAGAGGGTTCGCCAGTCAGAACAGCTTTGCACCTCCTCGCCTCTTCAACCAACCTCAACGTCAGCCTCAGCGCTGACAGTACTAGACGGTGAGGCCGATACTTATTGGCCCTAAGTTGTCAGCTTGAATGCCTACGCTGGGTGTTTGCGCTCAATTGATCGCACTGGGAGTTCAGCCTAGGGTTTCCTCTGGACCTTCCTGGCCTTCAGCGAACGTGACCAAGGTCCCTCTCTTATCCCATTGGCATTTATCGGCATCATTCCGTCGGCTGGTATTTAAGCGATAACACAACTAGATCTCTTTGCCTCCTGCTCGTCTGAACCACCCATAGTGCCCGCCTCGCTCATATGAGGTAACCCAAATGCAGTTTCGAGGCGGTCTAGTCCAAGCTGTTACGAGAGTGGGTCAGTTTCTACGCGCCTTGGTCAGAAGTTCACCATGGCGCACCTGAAGGACCTCCCTCGGACGAACAAACACAAGTCGATATCGCGTGGGGTATTGGTCTTGGCCAGTCGGGATCTCGAGACCAGATCAGAAACGAATTCCGGATACTATGGTTTGTACTCACGATCAAGACACCAGCCTTCAACATCGCACCTGACAACGCATCTTGCTTTTGTTCTAACGTTTTACTCTTGCCAAAGCGGTCTAGGACTGATGCGAGGTCTATGACAACGAACTGGCCAGCATAACAAGGCAGTAGCCTGTTCGTGAACTTGGTAAGCCAACTCGGTTGAGCGCCAGAACATTCTCGCACTCACGTAATCTTGTGGAACTGACACCACGCCACCACCATCTCGAACGCCTCAGCTATCCTCCGCCGGCTCTCTTCGAGGAACCAATTCCGCCATTCTCTATCGTTTATCGCAGCAGCGAAGATCGCATCCGTGGGGCCGGATATGGCGTTCGAAGCAACTGAAGACCCCATGAGTTTGACAAGCTCAGGGTTGTGCTGCGAGATGAAAAGGCCGATGCGCAGGCCTGATGCGCCGAAATCCTTGGATGGACCCGCGACGACGTGTATGCGCGACTGGTCGCACTTTGCCAGAGTGGAGAGGTCCAGAGCGAGCGCCGACACGAAAGGAGGTGGGTGCGGGACAAGCGAGTTAGCATATACCTGGTTGCCGTATATTTCGTCTACCAGAAGGTGGAGGTCGTACTACGGTGTCATAGGTGAGTGTGACTTCCATGACATTGTTTAAGGGAACTGCCACTGACCTTTTCTGCAAGTTCCGCGTACGCGACGATGCTCTCTGTCGGGTATACCCGGCCAAGAGGGTTATGTGGATTGCAGAGAATCAGACCCCGTATCGTTGGTCCGTCCACCTTACACTTCTCTATAGCTCGTTCCAAGTACGAGACACTTTCCTTCGAAAGCGGGTCTATGCCTTGTGGTATGTCCACTACCACAAGCTTCGTGCGAGACGGGTATTCGCAGTCGGGTTGGAATCCGCCTGACACACCGTAAGCGTCCTTCCATCAACTCATGATTAGTCAAACAACTGACCATAGAAGGGCTATCAACGATAATAGAATCAGTCTCAACCTGACTGGTCTCAGAATTGCCGTACCGCTGTCACAAGAAAGGCCTCTCCTTCGTCACAAACCTGCCAAGCAAACTCTGAGATGAGAGAGCCTACGCCTGGACCAACAATTGAATTATCTTGAGTAACAGGAATGATAGGGTGAAAGGTATCGTTGATGTACTGCGGTAAGGCCTCTTCCGTTGTAAGTGTAAATCCTTTCTGCAACGTAACGTCTAACAAAAGTATGTCAGCTGCACGTTGGCGGGCGACGGGTGACTGACGGTATCTGAAATGATCAGCATCAAGACGAAAGTTCTTCTCGATGTACTGCGGATACCCCAGGTCGGTATTCAGGTCCATTCAACACGGCGAGCTAGGCCAAAGCCAGGTGAAACGTACCTCCGTGAAGACCGGCGTCATCAGTGCATTCTCCGCCACACCCATGATAATGACTCCATCAGGGTTATGCGTTGGCTCATAGAACTTCTCGGGCAGCAACTTCATTCTATCGTCCTCGTCGTTCAGCATGCCCCGCTCCGTCGTCGAGACAGGGGCTAAATGACTCACATAGGCATCTCCTTCTCGATCTGCTCGGCCCGCTCGCGTGCTCTCTTGCTCACGGACGGCATTGTCTCAGCTGTCGTCAGTAGAATTCACGATGAGGTGAGAGGGTGTCGCAAGCGGGGGTGCGTAAGGTGCAAGAGGCAAATAGACGCGCACGCGGAATTCTTTTAGACGGGTCCGCAAAAATAGGTCGTTATCATCGGGGATTCTTGCGATGTGCGAGCACCATGAGAGGAATTGGATAGACTAGGATATGCCGACGACCGGAGAGTAAGTATGTATCGGTCAGCCGGCCGCAAAGAGGCGGCATTGACGAACAGCAGCGATAACGAGGTCGTGGCGCGGACCATGTACTGGGAGTGGCTGTGCAGATACATGTTTATTCTGCCTTTGATTTCTCACCTCATTCGTGGCCTGCAAAATATGATTAACTTCGAGCCAAGGTTCCATGTTATTCTCTTCAAGCTAGGTTAGTTATATCTTGCGTAGATATCATTTGCAGTCCCGATGATCGATCTATAAATCCCAGCATCATATAGCCCTACTCATTTGCTCAGCCCAAAAGCGGCTTCCAGACGATACAAGGCGAGCTAGTGACTCGTTGAGCAGCGTATTTGGATATCTTCAAAGCTCGAACCTACCTCTATGATCTCTTTGGGTCGAACAAATACTATCCTATAACGGGTTGGTGACTGGTCTTGGCCGGTAGGGACCTGCGCAGCTTGTCAGGGAATCACAAGCGGCAAACCGACTGCGGGCGTACAATCAAAACACCAGCTTTTAGCATGGCAAATGTCAACGCTTCCTTCTTCTCAGCCATGGCCTTATCTTCACCGAAGCGTTCTAAGATCTTTGCCAGGTCCATCACGGCGAACTGGCCAGCGTACGACGGAAATATTCTGTTTTTGATTGTGTCAATCAGCCAGGTGAATGCGTCAGTTTGGAAGACTGCTCACGGTATCTGGTGCAAGTTACACCACGTCACGATAACCTCATATGCCTCCGATATCCTGCGTCTGCTCTCCTCGAGGAACCAGTCCCGCCACTCCTTGTCGTTTATTGCAGCGGCAAAGATGGCATCTGTTGGTCCCGGAATGGCATTAAGCATGGTAGCCGAGTCGAGTAGTTTGATGATCTCGGGATTATGTTGAGAAATTAAGATGCCAATGCGCAGACCTGAAGCGCCGAAATCTTTCGATGGGCCGGCGACAACGTGGATACGTGCGGGGTCACATTTTGCAAGCATGGGCAGGTCCATCGCCAGGGCGGAGACAAAGGGAGGTGGGTTTGGGACGAGAGAAGAGGGGTACACTTGGTTCCCATATATCTCGTCAACTAGGAGATGCAAATCATACTATGGAGTGAAGGGTCACAAACTGCTCGGATCACTCGTTGTCGACACTGACCTTTTCTGCAAGCGACGCGTACGCGACAATACTCTCCTCTGGGTATACTCTGCCGAGAGGATTATGCGGATTGCAGAGGATTACTCCTCGAATCGTCGGTCCGTTAACCTTGGACTTCTCTATAGTTTGTTCTAGATAGGGTATGGCATCCTTCGAAAGGGGATCTATCTCGGGTGGGACGTCTACGACAACAAGCTTTGTTCGGGATGGGTATTGACAATCGGGTTGAAATCCACCTGATTCTTAGATTCAAATTCATGTCAACGCACTCGAAGTAGCTATCTCACCATAGAAGGGCTACGTACCACGCCATCAACCGTGGTAAGTGAACAGAGGCATCAAGTCAAACATCAACTCACTGCAGTGATCATGAAAGCCTCTCCATCATCGCACACCTGCCAGCAGAATTCCCCAATGAGAGAACCTACGCCGGGACCTACCACGGAGTTTTGTCGGGTGACGGGAATACGGGGGTGAAATGTGTCATTGATATATTCCGGCAGCGCATCTTCTGTGGAGTGTGCATGTCCTCTGCGCGCCGTAAGATCTGTGCACGCATCAGTGCTCCTGAAAGGGTACTACTGATGTATCAGTTTGCCTTACGATACTTGAAATGATCAGCATGCAAACGCATATTCTTCTCGATATACTTGCGATTATGAGAACGATGATAGTGGTTCAGATAGCATCCACAAAAGAGGTGTGTAGATGAGCGTACTTCCGTAAACACTGGCGTCATGAGGGCATTTTCCGCTATTCCCATGGCAATAACGCCCTCAGGATTGAGTACCGAGTCGTGGAACCTCTCAGGCAACAGTTTCATTCTGCATCGTGGGTTCCAGCTGGGTGAGCACTCCTTGCCATCCAAACAGGGGCTAATTCGCTTACATAGGCAACTCGCTATCGATCTCCACCACGCGCTCGCGTGCTCTCCGACTCAAGTGGGGCATCTTCAGGGTGTTTATGGACTAGGTTAAAAGGTGATTGTAAGAAGGAATCAGACAAGTCCAGCAATGTGAAGGGGAGCAAGTTGAGAGCAAGGGTTCTGCGAGCGGAAAAGCGGGAAGGAAAGGGGACGCGCGAAAGTGGTACGCTTATAGATCCGAATACCGATCGTCTCCACGAACCGCGTGACCCAGTTCCGAACCTCGGGCCATTGTTTTTTTCAACGACGTCGACATCTTTGACCATTGCTCACTTTTCACTTGCCATCGGTCGGGCCTCAGACCTCAGGGGACAATATGCCTCCTCAAGCACAAGTGCGTGTAGATCTCGAGACCTTAACAATCACAGGTAACTCTTCGAGCTGGCCGCATGGCAAGATCTACTCCACATTGTAGCCCAGTGAGAGCGCCCATCCAAGCGTCTATCAACAAACACATGTATGCAAGCTCAGCTTGACATGTAGGGCAGGGTAAGTGCTAGTAAATGTGTAGCAGGCGAGGTTGATGAGCACGTGTCACACGTCAAAGCCTGCTAGGCGACACGAAACATTGCACCGCGCCTGCAAGTACTACGCGCGTAAGGCGTGCTGTCTCGTTTTTTTACTCTCTGCTGAAGCTGATGTATACAGCCTCTCGCTTTCCTCGCTTTCAAACCACAGCGCATTCCGCAACTCTACCCCACTTACCTAGGTCCCCACCCATGTCTACTGTCTCGGAGGTACAGCAACAGGCCAACGTGGACGAAACACAAGGCGCCGTAGCTCAGGCTACGGTGGCAAACGGAGGCGATCTCATGCCCTTTTCAGGCCACACGAGGGGCATTTTGGCCATCGCATACTCACCTAATGGCACGTTGCTTGCAACAGGCTCGCTGGACAGCACAGTCCGCATCTGGGACGCAAACTCCGGCAGGCAAGTAGACGATGCGATCCACGGACACACACAGCGGGTCAACAGCGTCTCCTACTCCCCCGACGGTACCTCTGTTGTCTCCGGTAGCAGCGATGGTACTGTGCGGGTGTGGAACGCCAAGGACCTTACAAACACGCCCGCAGAGATCATAGAACATACTGAGGGTCAGCTATGGCATTCAGTCAAGTTCTCCCCAGACGGACAGCTTATCGCTGGCGGCGGAAGCAATGGAAAACTTAAGGTCTGGTATGCGCGCGAGAAGACAGTCAAGTACGAATACAAAGGAAATATCAAGGCTTTCATTTGGGCCGTTGCCTGGGCGCCGGGAACGAGTCGACTTGCGACTGGGTGCAACGACGGCAAGGTTCGCATCTATGACCCGGAAAACCCCGACGTCGCTGTACTCCTCATCGAAGGACACAGAGGCGCTATCAACTCGGTGAAGTACTCACCCGATGGGAAGCTGCTGGCAAGTGGCTCGGACGATCGCACTATACGCCTGTGGGACGCGCAGACCGGAACACCCGTGAAGAGTCCATTCCGTGGGCACAAGAACTGGGTCACCTCCGTGAGGTGGGCTCCCGAAGGCACGCGTATCGTCAGCGGCTCTGCTGACAAAACTGTTCGCGTCTGGGACGTCAGCAGAGGTCAAGCCATTTTCAAGGGAGCGTTATACGGGCACGACAGTGGCATATGGAGTGTCTCATACTGTCCAGATGGGAAGTCCTTCGCGTCAGCCAATAGCAGTAACACTCCCCGCGTCCAGGTTTGGGACGCACGGACGGGCGATGCATCGTTGCCACTGGTGAGTACCCACTTAACACAAGCCGAGTACATACAATGATCACCATTTACCCTAGCTCTCCGATACTGAGCATTCGGCATTAAGAAAATCACCGGAAGCAAAGTATGCCAGTGGTATCATATCCAGCGAACCCGGGGAAATGAAAGCTGGGGCTTCAGTTACCGCTATTGTTTGGCTCCCAGATGGCGAACGTTTCGCGAGTGTCGAAGAAGAATCTCTCGTACGGATATGGAGTGCGCAGACCGGCCGCCAGATCCGGGAGATCACGACTCAGCATGAGATTATCAGCGCTCTATCCTTCTCCGCAGATGGCACGAAACTCGCAGCTACATCCGACGACCATACCCTCCTTATCTTCGATATGGAGAAAATGCAGTCACTGACGCGGCATCTCACCGGCCAACATGAAGCGGTCTATGCTGTCAAGCTGACTCCTGATGGCTCTAGAGTATACAGTGGCGGCAAGGACAAGGCTGTGCGTGTCTGGGATACGCGAACTGGTAGCGTCAAACACGTCCTCAAGGCGCACACCGACGCTGTGTGTGCGCTCTCGTTAGCGAAAGACGGCAGCAGACTGGCGAGCGGGGGGGACGACAACTCCATTTACGTTTGGAATCTGCAAACCTACGAGAAGGTCTCCGGACCCTTCAAACACGATGGCTCTGTTTGCGCGCTGTCCTTTTCGCCTGACGGTTCGCGTCTCGTGAGCGGTTCTGACGACTGCGCCGTCCGCATCTGGAACGTTGCGACTGGCAGCCACGTGTTGGACCCTATCCGCATTCATGCAGGGACGATTGGCGCGGTGGATTGGTCGTCGGATGGCACCAAAATTCTGACCGCCGGCGCTGACGATTGGACAGTATGGATATGGGATGCGGCTACAGGCGAACACCTGTTAGGTCCTCTGGAAGGCGGAGAGGGTGGCATTCGAGCCGCCACGTTTTCTCCGGACGGAAAGCGCTTGGTCGGCGCGTTCATGGACCACACATTATGAATGTGGGACACAGCTACGGGTGCGATAGTTCTTCCAAAAGATAAAGCTGACGAGGCTACTAAGGTAATGTGGTCTCTAGACCTGTATAATCTATCCTAATTGTTATACACCGTGACGATCTAGTCGAGCCCAGCGCAAGCGGAGGCAAGCAAACGCGTACGGAAACAGTCTGTAAGCCTAATCACCGCCTCCTGAAAATGAAAATTTGACCATCATCGAACAGAGCATTGATGAGAGCATCATGAACGTAAGCTAATTCACACATCCTGTTTTGTGGATAGCACTAAGCCTGATCCATCCCCTAGATGCCCGCGACTCTTGAAAGGAAGAAGTCAAAGATCTTCTGGAATGATTTAAACGTAAGCCAGCCCACAACATATTGTATTCTTTTCTTCCAATTCACCATTTATATCGTTCCAGCGCCACGGCACGTCAAGAGACGTGCGAGGGGTCGATGGCAGCGAACAGAACAAGAAGAACCACGAACCCAAGCGCAAACCGAGCTTGCTCTGGCGAATCAACCGGCTGCGAAAAGTCGCCCATCATGCCTTGAATCCGGAAGGAAAGACGACAGAGCAAGGGGCTGACAATGCTAGTCCTGAGAATCACTCGATGACTCGTATCTTCAGATCACCTGTAAAAATGATTTATGCAGCCCGTGACAAACTCGTACGTTCTCGCTCAATACCCCTTAAACACATTCATTGACTCACTGGTGATCAGCGCGTAGTAGCTGCGGGGGACAATACACGTCCAAGGCCCTCCTCTCAGGTCGAGCCAGAATCCGACGAAGATATAGTTTCGCCAATGAGTCCGGGAGATATCATCCAACGCGGTATCGACTTGAGGGAAGACGACTCGGATGAAAGTCAACACGGCATTGTCGACACGATATGCTTTTGCTTGTGCCTGCCGTGCTGCAAGTAGTTCCGAGAAGGACCACATATTCCAAAAAGTCGATATGTAGTACATAGTTTACTTATCCTCTTGCGTCCTTTAATTATATCTAATCGCGGTATCGAGTGCTTTTACGCCTGTGCAATTGCGTAGAGCTATATCTAATCAGCACTTATTGTAGCTGCGCATGTGGGTGGATAACGAAGTTGTGGCATTCTCGTTCGGATTACTGGTAATTGCACCTGCGTAACATATGTAGGTCACCAGCACTAAAGCCTAAGGTATTCGCCTGCCTGCCTGTGATGTTCAGGTTACTGTCACCATGTGCAAGCGGCATAAAATCATTGGTAGTCGCATAGTTGCCAATGAGGTATCCATTACAGTGGTTGGCAAACAAAGTACGACATATCTAGCTTCAAGTCAAAGTATACCGCTCTTCAAGCCCCAAAATCCTGAGAATCTCTACCCTTTGACAGTCCAGGCTGCAGATGAGCAGTTCTTATCAGCTATTCAAGGCAATATCGGCCGCAACATCAGCCTTGGTATTTACGTGTCCATGGTCATTTATGGCGACATACTTGGATATATGTTCTAAACCAAAAGCTGTCTCAATCCGATGAAAGGCAAGCTACCGCATGTCAACCTCAGTCACGATAGCTATGGGAATATTCGACCAACCTGCAGCGTATCTGGAGGTAACACGAACACTATTCGGAAACGGGCTGGGTATTGGTCTTTTCCTGTGGGCGTCTGATTTACCATTCCTTCAGCATTCATATTGACTGGGACATGAACACTGCGAAATAAAACTCACCATCCACACTCCAGCCTTTCTCATAGCTTCAACAGCGGCATCCTTCTTTGCTTCAACATCATCGCCATCGAACTTCTCCACTATATGCGCAAGGTCCAGTACCATGAACTGACCAGCATACGAAGGGGCAAAGCTGACGAAAAATGAGAAGTCAGTACGATCAAAATCTCGTTCATGTTGCTCATGAATATGATCTATTACATACGGTATCGAGTGGAACCGACACCATTCGACGACCTTCTCCAGCGCAGCGCTCACTCGTCTTTTATTTTCAGCCAGGAACGGCTCCCAGAACGCACGGTCGCTTAATATCGTCGTGAAGGCTGCCTCCGAGAGCGTCGACACCGGCTTGAAGATAAGCGCAGCGTTCAGCGCGTTCACCAGCGGCCGATTTGCCTGCGAGATTATAGCTCCGCATTTCCACCCCGAGGCGCCGAAGTCTTTCCCGGGGCCGGTGAGCACGTGTACACGTTCGGGATTGCAGCCTGCGAGATGAGCGAGGTCAAGAGAGAGCACGGAGACGAAGGGTGGTGGGACGGGGACAACTGAGGAAGGGTAGACTTGGTTGCCGTATACTTCATCAACGAGGAGATGCAGGTCGTACTGAGATAAGTTCAGATACTTAGATATCCCATGAGAAGATAAGGAGTGCATACTTTTTGGGCAAACTCGGCAAACGCTATGAGCGCCTCTGTGGAGTATATCCTTCCCAGCGGGTTGTGAGGGTTGCAAATAATGATTCCGCGTTACGCTGTCCGCCTTCTTGGTGTCGCTCGTTGAACTTCTCGAGTGCATTGACGAAGAATGGGATTGATTCCAAAGACAGCGGGTCGACCTCGGGTGGAGTGACGACCTGAATGAGGTCTGCCTTGCCGGGATGTCTGGCATCGCGGTCGAATGCGCCTGGGACCATTGTCAGCTCACGGTGGCCCGCATGAAAGAAGCGGCTATCTACCATAGCATGGCTGAATTTCGCACTCAATCAGTGTTAGCTTATGAGTAGACGAGGGTGGTTGCGCACCGCTACGATCAGCACGCCATCCCCGTCCTCGCATGTATGCCAGAAAAATTCCGAGATTACGGCGCCAATACCAGGACCAATTGCGACGTGCTCTTTAGAGACGTTTTTTAGTGGATGAAAGGTGGCGTTGATGTATTCCGGGAGCGCATCCTCCGTGGTGCGAAGCGAGGTACGCGTCAAGGTTTGGCCTAATCATGAACGAACAAATGGATAACCAATGAAACCGAGAGAAACCGGGAACAGGGCGAGCAGCGCACGGTACTTGAGATGATTGACGTGGATCTTGACACTCTTATTTACATACTTCGTGTTTGTCCTCAGCACATGCAGCATCGAGCCAAGCAGGAGGGACGCACCTCGATAAGCTCCTCATTCATCAGGCAGTTCTCGGCCATCGTCAACGTAATTAGCCCTTCTGGATTCAGCTCGGGATCGTACAGACCCGATGGCGTCTCACTGTTTCATAGGCTATTGTTAATGTACGGCTTGACAGAGACTAAATAATGCTTACTAGCGCACCCCACGTTCCACTGCGTCGGACTTCGCTTGACCACGGGAGGACAGCGACATGTTGGACAGAGCTGAACGAGTCAATGATGGTCAATAACCATCGTTTACGCAGCGCGCTCAATAATTAGATTGAGTCATGAAAGTTTCGGATGAGGTGCTCGAGGAAGCCGTAAAAAACAGCCAAGCAGTCAGCTGCACTCAAGAATATGGCAAGAACCGGAAGCCGGACCGGACTCGAGGCTGTATGGATATGGCCGGGAAGGTCATCGGTCGAGGGTATAAAGGTCAAATACGTTATCACCGGCCAAGGACAGATTGGCGAATTGGGTGAAATAAGAAACGGAAGCTTGCATATGAACATTATGGCGATGCAAGGTGGGTACACAATTTCAGCTCTTAACGGCGCCAATGATGGGCAGAATCAGGGACTCTTTCAACCTGCATCTGAGCAGCTAGTCAAATTCATCGCCGAAGCGACGCAAAGACCGCCGACTGCTATACCTGAAGGTTCTGTTCTCACTATATTTCATCGGCTAGTTCGAACCAGATGCATCAAACGAGCCGCAAGAAGTCGCAAGGGCTAATGAACGTGACGAGGCACGACCACAGGTAAGCCTTGAAGCTTGAATTTTGAGTACAACTTTTAAACCGCTTGTTGACCATCCCCAAAAGCTACGTTCCGATGACAGCTTTATGAATGTTAGTCCACACCTTTATTCTAGCTGGCTGAGAACATTGAAATCGAGTCTGTCCGTGTAGAGGCCTGCGGCTATTGGTAGGACGTTGCCAGGTGCCTCCGTATCTGGTAGATTCATCTCGAAAGGTACAAACGTAAGCCATATGCCCGATGCACTTGCGTTCACAGTCTCTAATTGATCTCCAACATTATTGTAGCCTGCTGGCCCATCAAGCAGACTGCAAAACAGCACTAATCAATGCCCCGACAAGCCCAATATGGCACATCGACTTTGGCAACAACTCAATATCCTGCGTGCTCTGAAGCAAAGAGGTAGGAACAGGGGTCGGAGGGAGGATGCCACAAATGTTGAAGAGCACCCAATGACGAGGGCGCGAAGGCCCTTTGCAAGGACTGTTTCTGCGGCTCGTGAGAAGCTGGTATGACCTCCCTTCATGCCTCACAAGTCATTCGATCCGGATTGCAACGCTGACGGGGGCGTTCCGTATTTTCGCGGCAGGTGGTGTACGCAGACTGGCGACGGGAGGTGTCTCACGCGGAAGTTCCCACTCAGAAGTCGAGCCGGAATATGACGACGACAGAGACTCACCAACAGATCTCAGCAGGTCTCAGCCTGATGCCGACTCAAGCAGCGACGAGAGCGTGCATGGACTGGTTCAAACCGTCTGTTATTGCTTGTGTCTTCCGTGTTGTAAGTGAACTTAAATCGCATTGCTCCGGAACGACGGTACGTAATCCAAGCTTTTTCACTAATCTTATTTTGCGTGTCTTAAGCGGATTGTTTTTTTATTATGACAGACTATATCTTCTCGTTCCTTGGCCTAAGTTTGTACAAAGTAGATCTCATCAGTATTACTATAGCATGATGTCTCTACTCGTTATGAGCATGTAATGTGTAGCTCAAAACCCACCGCGGAAAAGTTAACCCAAGTGTATGTATGTCCAAACAGCACAATACGCGCCCATCGGATCTATAGGCCGTTTATATGAGCGTCTATCACCCCGTGGGACCTTGACAGTATGCACCACACAAGCCACATGTTATCTATTTTGTCCCTCTATCGACGTTGCTGGAGCTCGTACCCCTTCCACTAGTCTTCTCCTAGCCGCGGATATACTACCAAACTCCACCACGTCCCTTGCAACGTTTCTATGGTTGTCATGGCAAAATTACACTGACAGAACGGTTCGTCAGAAGCACAGCGCGGTGATGCCCACAGTACGGAAAAGACGAAGAGGTAGAATGGCTCCTAGACCTATTAAATATTTCGTTTAACTACTGCGTGTCATTGTCTAGTCAAAAGTCAGCGCGAGGGGAGGCAGGCGTGGATCAGGTGGCTTGCTGGAATGGTCCGTAAGTTAGAAACGAGTTTACAGTTGAGAACTGTAGTTCAAACGATCGTGAACAGTGCAATCGTGGCGGTATCATGAACTTAAGTCCGAAGGCGCACTGAAGGAAGGGAGCATATTTAATACACTCAGATTTTGTACCATTTTTTCGTCTGCGATCGAAGGTACCACACAATATAAACCCTGATTCCTCTAAGCCAAAATTTGACTCATTGTCCTACCCATATGCCTAACAACGGTCGGCTCTCAGCATGCGTGAATGAACTATTTTTCTCACTCATGTTCAAAATTCTCTGGATGTTAACCGATGGACGCTCTTCGAACATCCGCCGTTGCTCTTGCTGTATGCCGAGATTCCCTAGACGACTTTACGAACTCTGCTCCTATCACAGTTGTCTGAGACTATATTGGACATAGAATTGTTAGCATTTGCCATCTATTTTAACCCACGCATACGATGACTTACCCGGCTTTGGTGAATCATTGCAACACGGGGACCCAGTGAGTTAAAACCGGCCTTTAGATTGTGCAGGGATGTGGCTGGAAAAGCTGTGTATGGAGATTGAGTGCCATCCAACTCTGCCACTGTTCCGTGGAAAAACTGTATAGAACGAGAGTTGTCCATGATTTCCAATTGTATGTCGGGTTCAACAGGCGAGTCGAGGCTTCTCGCATTGATCTTGCGCATGTTTACTCTAATGAAGAGGATGATCAGCCAGTGTCTTGTGCTAGAAAGAGGTGAAACTACATACGATGCGAGCAAGGAATTGGCGTAGACTGAGGGTTAATAATCAATGAGTGCATCAAATGCTTAACATTCGCGCATATTACTCACTTCGAGTCTGAAGTATCAGTACTGATGTGTAAGCCAGACCTTGTTGTTGTTGAAGTGTCTGCATTACGGAAAAGGATTTAATAACAGGCACATGGACGATACAAAGAACTGTCTGCCCACCAATACCAGTGCTACAATGTCAAGCAAGCTGGTCAAAGTTCCGGTAGCGACACTATACACAACAAGGCGATATATCAGGCGCTTTGTGGACGAGCTAAGACGTTTATAAATTACCAGTAAGCTCGAGAAAATCTCGTGGTTGCTGGACCCACCCTTTTTGAACGACTAGATGCTTTCTCAAGTAGTATGCCATTATAGCAGAGGAAAACATGTCTCCAAAAATAAACAAAACATTTCCGGCTAGGTTGAGCGGCTTTACGAACATCAGCCATATAACAGAGCGCTCATATACTCAAGCCTACCAACACGTGCTGTCGGTAGTTAACCCACAGTTCGTACATTATTCTGTATGGCGCAGCCGTTAGTATGACAATTTAGTAAACCATGAATTAACGAACATCTCGACAGATCCCCACAAACCGATGCCTGCATCATGATTAGCCACTGAAAAATCCAGATGCGCTTATCACTTACCCGTTCTTGTAATTATCACAAGGATCTAGTCGGTGAACATCGTCATCGGCTTTCTCATGTTTGACTTAACGAGACGTACCATCAATAGCGCCGGCCATATGCTCCGTGTGACTTGTGGCGATAAATCAAGTAAATAAAACAAAGACGTGCAACTTACATGTCCATATTTTCCATGCGAAGTAACTAGATCGAGAACATGAAGTTCAGCGTGTTATTATCGTTGAGATCACGTACATGTAAACCACAAAGTCGGTCAAAAACTGGTGTTTAGAGTAAGCATCTTGTTTTGGTAGCAAGACGGAAAGCTTACGCCCAAGATGAACATAACCTAAGTTTCATAAACCTGCATGAGACTTGCAACATAGTAAAAAAATCCGGCTTACCATAAATTCCCTATCGTACAAGCATGATTGCTGTTAGCGTCATGACGGGTCAGGAAGATTATCACAAACCAATTCGTAGACGCTATTGCGAGATTATTGCCAAACGCCTGAACCAACATCTTATCGACGACGGTTATTGACATGCACATGTGTGTTGTCTCAAGTACCCTGTGTAAGGTTAAAATGGATATTACTAAGTCCTCGGAGCCTATTATGACGACAGCCCCACAAACAATACAATGCCCACCTACTTGAGTTTTAGGTTAGATGTTTCACAGTGAGTTGACGCAGATGACCATGGTAAACTCACGAGTGCCTTGAGGCTCCAACGATCACCCGAGTATGCCCTGTAATAAAATACAGTCTGAAGACACGTTATTCCATATAGTCTATGCCGCGATATGAGCACAAAAATCTCCATCACCATTGAGCAGAACTCACCCCATCGCAACCAAACTTCCTATCAACGGCCCGCGCGTCAATTCACCCGCTGGGCTTTCTTCTCCCCTGGTTATAGGTGCCATGTCCAAGCCACACTAATCTTTGCTCCTTCGGAGTTTACGTGACTGCTGGGCCGCTGTAGGTCAGCGCGGGTCGTGGGGGGTAATCGAAGTGATGGCGGGGAACAGGAAGCTGAACAGACCCCAAGCCTGATGCATTTATATCTACATCATGATACCACACCGTATTGGCAGGGCTAGACTGGGTTCATCTGTATTTCGGGTTCAGGTACGCACTATGAGAGGCATCATTGGGACCTGTATAGCTGTTCAAGGCATTGCGACTACGCTGGCTTATATTGGATGTTCGTACACTGATAAGTAAGTATTATCACAGCCAGATAGGCGCTGGTTTAGGCCGTATGGTGCCGCATCATGATATGCTCAAGATCATCACACCTTAGGCCTTTGCTTCTTGCACCGGCCGCGACAAGTGATCGAATGTATTCTAGCGGTGTACATCTGCGCCTGCACCCTACCTTTCCATGAGTTCCCGAACGGGACGTACTAGTCGTTGGGGCAAAACCGTGAAGGTGAGTGCTGCCTAGTAGACGTTGAGCTAGTCCGAGTTTGATCCTTATCAAGTCACTACATTACTACAAAGGTCCATGACGGCGGGGCCAGGCTGTGAAAACGGAGCTTGAGACTAGTGCCTGACTCAGTCACCACCGTGGCAAGGGCCAACAGTCATTCCTCGGAGATTGAGACAGGAAAGGCCTTGATTTCATTTCATCACTGATATAATATGACTGAATAGGGCATTTAGTGTCACCAACAATCGAGGACTTGGAAGTATGCAAAAGAGTTGATGCAGGCAATGCGTAGCAGTGGCGTCAGCATCCTTCGGAGTTCGAAAGCTTTTCGATCTCCGAGGTGGATTCACTGGCGTGTGTTTTGTTTACATCGCGTCATTCCCTCTTTCACTCCGAGTCCTAGGTGAGGAGTGAAAGAGAGCAGGTCAGATACGTTCCCCACTCAGATATCCTAGATAACTTATGCTTCAACAAAGTTCGACTCAGGTACGAGAAGCACTAGCGTTGCTTTGATCATCGCTTCTATAAGCCAAGTGTTTATGATCAAACTTGGAGTCGCTCATGACAGCGGCCGAACATTTTCACAAGATCTTTTGCGCACTAGCCTCGCCCAATGTTCATCTGAGTGTACGAAACAGCCGGTAGCTTCATCTTTGTCCCTTGACCTCTATAATCTATAACAAGTCGCAGATTTCTCAGCGTCCTGGGTCGCGCTGACATAGATTCTACAGCCAAACATAAACCACGAGTCTATAATGACCAAATTTGGGGTACTCTCAACTTTCGGAGGAAGATAGTTGATTCTTCATCCTATGTAAGGACACATAATTGTCTGGTTCTGTCGATCGATATTCCCACTGATGCTCTCCCGGTTCATCTTTATACCCCGCGGCAAATAGAAGTGCCTCGATGTGGACCGACCACTCGGCCGAAGATCTATGATTTGCGGCGTTGCACCAGGTACTCACCGCGGATTGGTGGCTCATGTGCTCACAGGCTAACCGTTGTTTTCCAGCTTGCACCCCGGTTGACTGCAGCCATTGGCGCCGAAGGAGCTATATCAAGGTGAACATCTTCTTTCGCCTCTATCCTTTCCACAAACCACAAACCACTGCCTCTTTCTGCTCCCACCGGTCACCATGAGCGGTACATCTCACTCTCCCAAAGACCTTAACCTTCAGTGCCCGCCGAAGGACGGCTCGCTGAACCATGCCGAAGTTCTCGAGTTCAACGCGAAGCACAATCCGGACGCACCATTCTGGATGTTCGCTCGCGATGCAGAGGTCGACGACCTCGTTACTATATCTCACCGAGAGTTCCGAGACGCTTGTCACCGCGTAGCGCATATTCTGCGCCCAAGAAGGGCTGGCCCCGAACGTCAGGTCGTCGGTATCATCGCAAACTCGGACTCGATATTGTACCAGACTTATGTCATGTCCATGATTGTCGCGGGGATGGTGGTACGTGCCTTTACGATTCTAGAGGAGAACGTCGTTGATTGTGATGTTGCCAGCCCTTCCCCATTTCCCAGAGGAATTCGGCACCAGCCGTCGTGAGCATGATCACGAAAGTCTCGTGTCATCATATCCTTGCTACGCCCGACGTCGCAAGTACGCTCATCCATGATGTCAAACGAGAGCTGGAGGCGTCGGACTATGCGGTTCATGTCATTGACCCGCCTGAACTAGCCCTCGTCTTTCCTCAGGTCGTCTCTAAGGATGCCTCCGTACCTCCAGTAGAAGAATATCCTGCCGTTGGACAGCGTCCTTCACTCTCGGAGGTTATGGTATACTTGCATTCATCGGGTAGCACTGGTTTTCCCAAGCCGATTCCGCAGACATACCAGACGTCATTGGACTGGACCCACCTTCGTGAGTTAATTTTGCGCCTATTCTCTTCCGTTGGAATCTACTGAGATATACTTCACGCTTGCCATAGCATGTATACACGATGTGCCTTCGTATCCCACCTTCTTGCGCGTCGGCGGCATGTCGCTGCCTTCCTTTCACACGCTCGGGCTCGAGACACAGCTATACATGCCCATGTTTGCGCTTCGCCCCGTCGTCCATTTCCGACCGTCAGCGCTCGACTCGTATACTGCTCTTCCTGTCGTACCTAACGCAGACAACCTTATCGAATACATCAAGAAGACCAAAGTCAACACCGTAACCGTCGTCCCCTCTTTCGTCGAGCAGTGGGCGAGCAACCCCCGCCATATCGAGGTTCTCAAGGGACTAGAGTTTGTGGTGCGTGCAGCATCACGCTCTCACACCATGCACCATCTGCTGATCCTCTCTTGGTTCTGATTTTAGGTTTTCTCCGGCGGCCCGCTCTCCCTGAAGTGCGGCAACCAGTTGACTGCCGCAGGTGTTTGCCTCACCTCCCTGTATGGCGCAACTGAGTTCGCGGCGGCTGCGTGCTGTGTGCCTGATCCACACACGCACGTATGCGAGGACTGGGCGTGGACCCGGCTACCAGACATTATGAAGACGCGGTGGATTTCTCAAGGCGATGGCACGTATGAGTTGCATATCCTGGTAAGTTTATACGTTTACCCTTGCAGCAACAAGGAATGATCCCTGTGAACCTGATCATCGTGTGGATATAGACGTCAGACACATTCCGTCCCTCCGTAGAGAACCTCCCCGATGTCCGTGGGTACGCGACCTCGGACGTCTTTGCGAAGCATCCGACGAAGGAAGGCTTTTGGCGGATGTAAGTATCGGAATTTATCCCAGTCTTCAGATGACATGGTCTATGCTCCAAAATTCAAACCTAAAACTGCTATTGTAGCGTCGGCCGTGCAGACGACGTCATCATCCTCTCCACCGGTGAGAAGACTGTCCCACTCCCCATGGAGGGCGCGATCCTCGCAAATCCAGCCGTCGGCGGTGTCGTGCTCTTCGGGCGCGAGCGCACGCAAATCGGCGCCCTCGTCGAGCCGCGTCCAGGGTACGAGGTGGACGTGAATGACCCAGCCCAGATCGCCAAGTTCCGAAACTTGATATGGTACGTTCCCCGCTCAGGCAGCTCAAGCACGTCCCTCCCCACCCCCAGATTGTAACAAAAGAGATGTTGATAGCGATCTTTCAAACTTAGGCCCGACGTGGAAGAGGCAAACAAAGATGCACCCGCATTCAGCCGTATCTTCAAAGAGATGATCCTGGTCGTGAGCACAGACAAGCCGATGCTCCGCGCTGGGAAGGGTACGGTGAACAAAAAAGCGACGGTCAAATATTACGAACCCGAGATCAACGAGCTGTTTGTGGAATATTCATTTTATGGGCTGATTCTGTGATCTGACGAAATTCTGGTCGTGATCTCAGATACGAAACAGTTTTGGCCAGCGCAAGTGCAGGTGCAGATGTCCCATTGCCCGAAAGCTGGACTCCGGGTGCCGTCGAGACGTGGCTTCAGACCCACATCGAGCACGTAAACAGCGGGAAGAAGGCAGCCCCTGAGGTGGACCTTTTTGCGCAAGGCTTCGATAGGTGAGCATTGTAAATGAGCTCTACGGTATAACACGCTAATCTATACGAACTCAGCTTGTCAGCGACATTCCTGCGAAACCGCATTATCGGCTCGCTCAAACACGCGTCTGACCCGGAGCTCAGAGAACACGCGAACAAGGTCAGCCAGAACGTCGTCTTTGCCAATCCGACGGTGCGCCAGCTTGCGCAGGCCGTGTGCGCGATTGTCAGAGGGGACGTCAGCGAGGCCGCGGTCGATGTGACTTACCATGTGGACGCGATCGAGGCGATGGTCGCGAAGTATTCGGCTGGTCTCCCCGGATCCGTAGGGAATGTTGGGCTGAATGGACATGCTGGTGTGAATGGCAAGGATCACGGTGGGAGCACCGTCCTTCTGACGGGATCGACGGGTGCGCTGGGCAGCGAGCTCCTCGTGGAGCTTCTTGGACGGGACGATGTGCGGACGGTGTATGCATTCAACCGGTCTTCTGGCAGGGGCGAGCCTCTGCATGAACGACAGTCTGCGTCATTCGAGCAGCGAGGCTTTGACACGGAATTACTAAAGTCCGACAAGCTAGTGTTCGTCGAGGGTGACACCACACAGGATAAGCTAGGGCTTAGCGACGACCTTTATGAGAAAGTGAGTGCATTCACCATACGTCAAGTGCCAAAACAATTTATAAGGCTCCCGTTTATACTGACGAATCCACACTTCTCTGTAATCCCAGATCCGCAGCTCGGCAACGCACATCATCCACAACGCGTGGCGCGTCGACTTCAACCTTGCCCTCTCCTCGTTCGAATCCCAAGTTCGAGGCGCACGTAACCTGATCAACCTCGCCCATACAGCAAAATTTTCAGGTCAAAGCAGAGTGCGGTTCATGTTCGCTTCGTCCATCTCCGCCGCGCAGGCATGGCCATGGGATCCGCGCGAGGGCGCAGGCAGTGTGCCAGAGGACGTGATCGCCGATGGGCGGTGGGCGGTGGGCAACGGGTACGGGGAGGGCAAATATGTCACCGAGCGGGTAAGTCCCTCCAAGTCCCAAGACAACATATGAGTTGACGTGCACAATGAATGCGTAGATCCTGGCACAAAGCGGCCTCCCAGCGACGTCCTTCCGCATCGGACAGATGTCAGGCGGCCCACCACGCGGTGCGTGGTCGACGACGGAGTGGTTCCCGATCATCGTCCAGTCCAGCGTCAGCATGGGCTTGTTGCCTGATGCAGCGGGGGTGAGCACCACCTTCGATCCCCGCAACCTGACAGACATTGATGCGAGCGATGTAGGTAGCATCGTGGCTCCCAATGGAGGCTGTCGCGCGTGCGATGCTCGACGTCGCGTTTGCTCCCGTGGAGCCGCCGAGCGTGCTCAACCTCGTGCATCCGCGCGCAACGCGCTGGTCCGATCTCATTGCGCCCATCAACGGGGCGCTGGCGCGCACAGTGACCGGGGAGAAGGAGCTCCCCGTCGTCCCGTTCGCCGAGTGGTTTGCAGAGCTCGAGAGGAGGTCGCAGAGCAAGGACGCGGGCGACGAGGCAGAGATCAGGAGACTGGTGAGTGGATTATTCTTCCTATGGTGTATGTCATTGACAAGGGTGAATCTGTTCACCATCACGTTCCAGCCCGCCCTGAAACTGCTCGACTTTATGCGCAATCTCGCCCGAGCAGACACCACGCTGCGTTCGCTAGCACCCAGCTCTAATGTTGACAGCGCGAACGTGGGCGGGGCCGACGTCGACGTCGAGTCTGTAGGATTCCAGCCATTCGCGACTACCAAAGCGCAACAAGCGAGCAAAACGATGCGCACGCTGGCGCCGCTCACAGCGCGGGAAGCAGCGCGTTGGGTCGAGTACTGGAACTCGGTGGGCATGTTCTCGGAGGTGTGACTGGACACGAGCGCGGTGGAGGAGAAGAAGAGGCGGTGGCGGCAAAAGAGGATGGTAACGCCTACAACAGAGATAGATAAAGCACGTACAGTATCCGGCTTGCAGCAGATGCGATGAGTGTCTTTCACTCCGACGAGCCAGGGGCGCAAGATGGCGAAGACACAGCTTGCTGGAGGCAGAACGGAGTCTATATATGCTCGGTTTTCTACAGCCAGTCCAGACTCCAGAGTCCACATATGCAGATATTCGGCGACGCGGCAATCCCGCAGGCGAAGTGACACACAGGCCGTGGCAGGCGGAGGCTAGGACTCTGAAACGGCAGTCTCTGCCATGAGATGCACAATGCCAGTACTTAAAGTGTGATTGTCAGACGCTGAGCTACAGTACGATGTCACGAGGCCCGAGGATCCGATGAACCAGTGAGAAGACCAGAAGCATCCGTGACCAAGTGATACCCATTATCGAGTCAAGGCCAGAATAGCGACGGGTACCATCTCGTTCGTGGGCCCTATTTCCTGCAGCATGGTGTGTTGGCGTATGTCCAAAACCTTGAGCCCCACTGTCGGCTCCTTGGGCTGGAACTAGTCAACCACAAACAGACAAGAGCTGAGATGGCGCGTGAGACTGAGGTTTCCGTTCAGGTGCTTGTGCCTGCGACGCAGATAAAGAAGGTACGGCGTACGAGATGACGTCAACCAAAGACGACAAGAACAAAGGCAAAGAGAAACATGTCGCACTGTGCGGCGTTTGACTCCGTCCGTTGCCGAGATGAGATGGGACGAGACTCGACAAAAGAGGGAGTCGCGCAAAATGAAACAGTTTCGGTTTTGCTTTTTGAGTTCCACGAGCCAGGCGGTCGGAGAACCAAGGGGGTCCTCCCGGAGCTTCCATTACAATCACGAACACGCGTTTTCGCGCGTCTGTGGCGTCCCCGCGCGCGGCGCAGCAGAGGTTGAGCGAGAGTGTGCATCAGAGCGGAACGTTGCAATCGTGCGCCGGGACCGGGAAGCAGGAGCTGTGAATGGGAACTTGACCATGGAAGGAAATGAGGAGATCCTTGGGTGAGACGCGGGGTCGAGCCGAGGGCGTGTGTTCGTGTTTCGCGAAAATTTTCGGGGACGCGGGTCGTCGAATGCGTGTGCAGCGTGGTCTTCGAAGCACTATCCATTCGCAATGGACCGGTATTGGACAAACAATCCATCAGAAGAAGAGCTTCGGTAGAAGCCCGGTTTCTTGAAAATCGTGGTCGCTATGATCCCGCACAAAAGCGATAGCCTTTTGTGTTTGTTGTCCGTAGGTCCGAGCGGAGGTCCACGCGAGAAGACAAAGGTAGACAAGGGAGAACAGGGAAAAGATGTGAAATAAGGGGATGAGATCATTGCACCAAGCTAAGCGAGAGAGCCAACAAACACGCTTTTTTAGTGGAGGTACACGTGTGCTTGCCTGGCCTGTCTGTCCCTTGATCAGCCCGGCATGGCTTATAAGTCATGTCCTCCAAGCCTCGTTGCAACTTGCGACACCACCACACCACACTCCCTGTGTCTCCCCATCCTCCCTTTTATCCTTTGTCCCCCGATAAGCAGCTCGTTGGCTCGAGCGTGCTGAAGAAAAGAAACGAGCGGTGCAAGACCCCGATCGGTGAGATAAGAGCGGGCTGACCCAGGTGCGCGCGCTTCCCCGATCCGTACTTGCGCCGAGACGCGGGCGGACGCCGCATCCGCACCCTCGGCGTACACAGCACCTCCGTACTCATGACTGCCAGTCCTACAGGCCACCCAGCGCCCTACGACCCTCCTCCGACCCAGGAAACGAACGCATCTACTGACTTATCTCACGAACACGAGTGACACGCCCTTTGCCACGCACACTACGTCTCTGCCGTCCACACCCTCACCCACCCAACCATTAATCGCGAGGCCGATCAACGCTAGCCGTTGACCTCGACTCGACCACTCAGAAACTCTGGAGGACCACAGCCACCGCGCCGTGAGGACCGCGACGCCGAACGAGAGCGAGAACGTGCGGGAGAGGATGGAGTGCCCGATCCTCGTGTGGATGCTCTCGCTCAATCGAGATGTGACGACTGACGTACGTCGGCACCGCTTTTCTTTCCTTCCATTCTTCGGCCCCCGAGGGCGTATAATAACGACAAAATGCACGCCAACAGGAATATCAGAAATGTTACGAGCTCGTACGCGAATGCGTCCCGCACGCCAAGATCCCGTACGCGCCCACGTCTATCGACTCGTTTCGTGCGTCTGTCTCTTCGCCTCGTTGTGTTGACTCGTTAGGGAAGGCTGACGAGTCCCTTGCACTCATAGGCCAACTTATATGTCAGATGATGCCTTTGTTGATGATGCGTCATCGTCGGATATCAAGGACAAAGTGGAAGGACTGTCAGACACAGAACGGGAAGCATTGGATCGAGCAGGTACGAGTCCTCCGGGGTATTGATCTTTCTCTCGTTTAACCGTTCTCGCCTTCCCGTCTGCTATGCTATATATCCTCGTTTGCTTCCCCATGACGCCACCACCATGCCAAAACCACGACGTGCATACATTTTCAATCGCGACGACAGGGCTGTGAAGACATGCCACCCGAAAAGTTCCTCCAGTCGATGATCGGCTACCACCTCGCATACGACAACTCGCTGTGCGGGATGATCATGACCCAAGGGCGGCAACGCCAGGTGATCAACATCGGCATCGGTATCAAGCAGCTCGCCGTCGAGCCCCGCGGCGTGTCCGTCGCCGCGTACGCCGAGTCATTTGCACACAAGGTGCGCTGCTCTACATCCCACGAGCCTGAGGTGACATAGGCTAACCAATGCCGGACGCGCAGCTCACCCCCCTCGAACAAACGTTCATCAAGCCCGAGTTCGGCGACGAAGTCGTCCTCCGCCGGCTCTGCATCCTCCTCGCGCTCAAATCCGCCTACATCAAAGCCATCGGCCAGTCCATCGGCTTCGACTGGTCCCGGCTCGAGTTCAACATCCCCGCCGAGTCCGCGCGGGGCGACGACCACCCGCTGCAGGGGTGGGAGTTCCGCGTGTTCAAGGCTAATCTGGGGGTGGCGCGCAACGGCGGGCTCGTGGAGGAGAGCTATCAGTGCGCGTGCGCGTTTTTTAGGGGGACGAAGGACAGTAAGTTTGTGTGGCAGGATAATCAGAAGGACCTGGAGCAGTGGGTCCAGTTTATCAATGTGGATCAGCTGATCAAGGTGATTCCGAAGTTGAGCGCGTAGGCGTATGAGGGATTTTCTTTTCATAAAAGCTTGGCCTTGATCGAGGTTCTTCTGACTATCCTTTTGCATGGAGCTTGGACCTCAGTCCGTGTTTGCCTGCTTCTCATTCTTGTCTCTGTGCGTTTCTGTGTTGTTACTTCTTAATACTTACTCTGTCTGTGGTGGCCGTCGTTGTCTAGAGAGCGCTAGCGCTGTTGTTGGATGTATGTAGGAGTATCTAGTCCGTATATCTTGTTTGCAATCTGTGTCGCCGTATCTTGTGTCTTTAGTATAATACCCATCATATTTGCTGCTTCGGGGCCCCATTTCTCTGCGACCTTCCAAGAGACCTACCGAAGACCTCGTTCGGCATCCAGCCACGCAATTGCAACAATCCGGTAAATGTTCTCTTTCGGTGTTCGCCGAGGATTTAACCGGCGCCGGCAGAACATCCGTGTAGCCGCGGAGACGCTGCCACCCCTCTTGGGTGAGGAAGTGAAGCTCATTACTTAACCTGTTTGAAGTTGCGCTCATGTCTCCGTGTGCTTGACTGCACCACGGTCGCGCGACTCTTATTCGTGCTCCTCTCACTTCTAACGTCGTCTCCAGCACTGGGTAGTAGTGCCAGACTGAAGTTATGGCTTCATCCGACTACGCAAGTACGTCTACGTCATCATAGCAACATGCGTGGCACTCGTTCAAGGCAGAGGTCCTGACAATAATCCTTGTGTTTGCTTTTCGACAGAGAATGCCCACCTCGTAGTGACACTGGGTGCGCTCGCATTCGCGACGCTGTGCGTCGCCACGTACGGCGCGCCGTGGCGCCGCCCATTCCCGAGCAAATCTCGAGGTGCGTCCTCCACCCATGTACTAACTGCCCATGTCTAACTTGTCCGAATGCCAAAGCGAAAAGCAAACCAGGCCTCCCAGCCTCCCAATACTCGTCTACGCACTTTGTCGTCTCAGCTGGAGCCATCGCGTTCGCCTTCTCCCCTGCCACCCCCTCCGTCCCCCCATCATCCGCCTCCTCTTCCTCTTCCACCTCTTCGCCGACGTCACCTACAACGTCCACCTCCCATCTCCCACTGCCGAAACAGGAGCAGAAACAGAAGCAGCGCCCGACCCACGTCGTCCTCGTGCACCACGCGCGCAAGGACGAGTGGCTCTTCGCCAAGGGCCGCCGCGACGAGCGCGAAGACCCGCGCGACACCGCCGTGCGCGAGGTGCGCGAGGAGACCGGGTTCAGGTGCCGCATCCGGCCCGTGACGATGCGCACGCGCGCGACGATCCCCGTCCCGATCCCGATCCCGGCTCCCTTACACTCCCCGCCATCGCCGGCGGCACCAGGGCCCCCGCGCGCAGGCGACGATAAAGGCGTGATGGGCAGGCTCGCGTCCGCGGCGTCGTCGTCGACGAGCGTATTAGCAACAGCAGGAACATCTCCGACGGTGGTGGGCGGCGTCCCGCTACACCAGCCCGATGTCCCGCGCGTTGCGCGCGACTGTGTGGAGCCCTTCAGTCTTACGATCCGCCCGCAGCAGGGCGGGAGCGTGAAGCTCGTGTACTGGTTCATCGGCGAGGTCATTCCTGATGGCGTCGCTCCCCTCCTGCCCGGCGGCGCCGACGGTGGGGCATGTAGCGGCTCTGAGACGAGCAGCGATGCGGACGGTGCGAAGCGGCGGGCGATGGCGAGTCATGCGGATGCGGAGGGGTTCGGGCGTGCGGCGCTGTTTCCGATTGAGGAGGCGCTTGAGAGGCTGACGTTCGAGGGGGACCGGGAGCTGCTGAAAAGCGCGGTGAGGGTGCTTGAGGAGGAAGAGAGTCTGGATTAGGGTTTGGGATCTGGACATTAATAGCGTGCTCTCAAGGCTGGGGAGACCCGCAATCGAGGATGGGCGGGGGAGTAGAACGTGATAAGAGTAGGCAAGGACGCGATCTGTTACGATATTCCTATAATGTGTTGATTTACATCCATCTTTGTTGTGTATGCACGGTATAATCGCTCGAGGACTTCATGTTGCTTTTGCATGATAGATACGTTCCAGGATATCAAACTTGCTTTCGGTTCGAGGGTACTTCATATAGAATCGCAATTATACAATGACTTTCTTCAACTTATACGTACAGCCGGATTACAGCTTCGATCGCCTCGTCCCACCCCCATGCGTGCCCAAAGCCAGTCAGGAAACCTGCTTCAGCTCGGTGTGGAAGATGTGTCCGTTCTGCTTGGGTGCCAGGCTATACAGCTCCTTCAGCGCCGCGTCGATCTCAGGCGCCTTGATCGTGTCCCAGTGATGCTACAACCCACGCATCAGCACAACTTCACTCCCCTTCCCTTCAAACACTCACCTGAGGGCTATCCCAGCCCGCGACAACAACATACGTCTCCGGCGCCTCCTTCGCCTTCGAGAACACCAGCAGGCCCTTCGTCCCGTCCGACAGCGCCTGCAGGATCTCCTCGACGCGCGCGCGGTGCTCGGGGGCCTTGAGCTCGATGATTAGCACCTCGGTGGTTTTGGAGTCTTTCAAAGCGGGCTGGGGCGAGCTGTTCCAGTTCTCGAGATGGTACATCGTCGCGCCCGCCTTCGCAGGGTCGCCCCCGGCGACGGCGGGAACGAGGGCGTTGAGGACGTTGGGGTAGTCGGGCGCCTCGATGATGTCCTGGTGGTGCTGCCATGTGTCCCAGTCTGTTGCACGTTGTGAATGGGATAACGTGGAGAGAATCGGAATGGTGAGTGCTGGTGCATGATGGGATGCGATTGTGAGGAGTACGCACGGAGGAAGACGTATCCCAAGTTGTACGTCAGGCCCTCGGCCTTGCGCGTCTCGCTCTCGTCGATCTGTGCACCCACAAACGCAGGGCTTGATCGGAACGCCATAAGCAAGCCACCATCGGTGATCTTTCATCGAAGACTCACCTTTGGCTTCCCGCTTTCTTCAACACGATGTCGAACACCCCCTTAGTCGTGCCCTCGGGGTCGGCCTTGAACGCATCAGAGGCCTTGAAGAAGAGGAATTCGGTCGTCGGCAGAGACATGATTCTGACAGTCTTTCAGATAGTCCGTTAAAGAGAGTAGTAGGATGGGGTGGTTGCAAGTGGGAGAAGACAGGGGCAGATAGCGATCGGCGGTGTATTTATCCGGCTCTCTCATCTCCTTCCAGCCCTCCACGCCAAACTCATTGCCGTGCGGATCCCCGTACGCGCGCTCCCATGGGTTAAGGCTTGCCCATTGGGCGCGCACGTCGGAATCGTGAGCTGGTGGCGCTGACACATATTTACCACCTGACGGACGAGGATGAGTCAACTCGTAAAAAGATTGGTCCGTGTGTCATTTATGAGCAAAAGTCGTTTGCTTGCATCGATACAACATACACGCTATCACACTTCCCTTGGTGATCACTCACTCTACAAACTTGCGCTTGTCCCATTAATCCGATGGTACTGCTCCGGCTTAGGAAGATGCGCATCGTGTAAGCTCTTAGAGTATTCGCTCAGATCTACGCCAGAACCTCTCAGGGCCTAAAGAACAACGCGGTAGAGGTAGCCAGTGTAGATCAACATCGACTCTTAGATCTAAAAGGACCAAGACGCACCTCAGAGGACTCTCCACCCTCGAGCAGTATGACCACATCCTCCGCCGGCGTCCTGTACTTCTCGTGCGCAATCGCGTCTCCCCACGCGATCAGCTTCCCATCCGCGGCAGCGTCAACCAGCACCTTCTCGAACGCTTCCTTCCGCTCCTTGTCCACCTTCGCGATCCGCACGCGTGCGACGGGTCTGCTCAGCACATCGCCGAGAGATGCGGCCTTGCCCCCTGCCCCGGTCGAAGCCTGACGAAGTGTGAAGTCAACGTGGTACGTCATCGGCATGAACGTTTCGCGGTCGTAGTACGGCACCAGAGGGCCGACCTCTTTGAGCACAGCGGGATTGTGGAAGCCGGTGAGATGCGCATCGATGGAGGTCCAGTCTGGTGGGTGCCGTGGATAGTGAGATTAGCAAAGGAGTTTGATGAAAGGAAGAACGCGAGAATGCACTGGCGAAGGTGTACACGACCTGCGGGTCTTCTTCTTGTCTCCCGTTGTACGCTGGGCTGCACGGAGAGATGCACGAGTGTCAGCATGACCAAGAATTCAAGACGTATCCACTCCCAAAAGCCCAGCGCAAAGCCAGCTGCGGTGGTACCCACCTCCCCGAGCCCTCCATGCTCATCAACGCCTTGAATACATTGCCGTTCATCTCCTTCTCTCCGTCGAACTGCCCCGTGTTCATCCGCATGATCGTGAGGTCTGTAATGTTGGCTGACATGGTCGACGGATCTGGTAGAGTGCAATTGAAGTCGTTGGATGGATTGCAAGCTCCAGTCGCTGCCTTCTTGTGAGGAGGCGGTTGTACCGACGCGACGGGCTATGCACCAGCGGCGCGGATGCATCTGAATCTATCTGAATCTGTCACGGATCTTTTGTCATGCGCCGTTCCTGGGGCCTGTTGAAATGTTAAACCCGGTGCTAAGGCCTCGTCGAGGCTACATGTTGAGCATATGAGAGATGGACGCAATTCAAAGTCCCTTGTTCCTTGAAACGAACTTTATGAAACATTGCGTGTGGCGTAATAACCAGTCTTTCAGACAGAGACTAGAGCAACCAAATCGAAACACAACTATTGTTGCTTGAAACCTACTAGTGTCATCACTTACAACCCGGCATGCACAAGCAAAATTATGCAGCGCCTATTATACCGCAGTCACTTTCATCACTGCCCCACTCAACGCTGTGGGAAGACGAGCTTTCCGTAGGCGAACCTCTACCATCGTCTGATTCCGGTTCTGCTGCTGGCACAGTATCCCGGTGCGGTCTATCGCCCGCAGCGTACACGCGCTATGTTTTTCGGTGTTGCATATCCTAATGTAAGCTACGCAGAAAAGGTCAAGGACAATAACGTACCATCTTCGCTCGAGCAGGTCTGACTTACGGAAGTAAATACGCCTAATTTGCTGTTTACCGGGCTTGCCAGTCGGTACAGTCCACTCGTCGTGGTGTCCTGTGTGCATTGAATCTCTTCTTTTAGGAGCGCGTAAACAAGAACGCTTCACATCAGATGTTAGAAATCATTTCAAACCTTGAATACGTCGCAAGCTATAACAACAATGTATCTTCTTGAAGTTTGCGACAGATAGCAACTTTATCCGCCATCGTGACGTGTGCTGTCCTACTGAAGGGTTCTCTTGCACGACACTTGTATTATCCCGTTCTTCTGCGATTCATTTGAGTGTCGGTCCATGTGGTCACCTTCGCCACCATGAAGCAAGAGTCGCCTTAACCTGCGTAGCTTCTGGTGTCGCCTGTCGGCCACATCATCGCATGTCTTCGTCTCGAGGGCTTTGGGCGCGGATTTCTCATTCTGGTCCAGTACGGTCATGTCCTGGCAAGTTTCATTAAGTGGCTATCACATGAAAGCGTGAAACGCGGAAGTGGCGGAACCGAAGCAACAAATGTGCAGGCCGGAGCAAGATCGGAGCCTTAAAACGGGCGCTTTTTGCCGAAGCTAGGTAGGACATCCTCGGTCGAGTTGTCACCGCCGGCGGTTGTCGTTTAGTCAACCTGATCCATCACTCGACGCTCCCTCAGTAATCACATTAACGCATTTCATTCTATTCAATTATTCAAAGACAGTTCTGACGCGATTATAATCTTGAGAAAGCTCGAGACCAGATGCTGTGAGAAACAACGACGGACGTAGGGTATATAGAGCTGATGCCGAAAGATCCAGAGCAAAGCTCCATATTATGCACCCGTCTCGAATTTGACCTTGGTAGTCTGGCTGATTTCTCTGAGCTGGGCAGTAAAGGTGTTGACAACTTTGGTACGCTCAGGGACTGGAGGTTCGCCAAGTTCCTATGAGACGGAAAATGAATCAAGGTTGGTATCTCGGGGAGAAAGAATAACAGTGCACCTCGATGGAATCAGCCCCTTCTAGGACGACATACTGAATTCTGTCGAGAGACCTGTCGCGTAAGCCCCTGTACTCCTCCTGGACATCCAACCACTTCGCGTGCGCCTGTCCCCAGAAGAATAAACCGCCGGAAGCTCTCTTGATAGTCTCGGTCCGCCGAAGAGTTTCCTCCACGAAAATGAGAGATTCGTCCAGGTTGTCGCACATCCTAATAACTGTGGCGCGCGTGTACGGCTTCCTAAACGCAGGTAGAGCGGGGCGCCATGGAAGGCCCTCGGCCGTCGGGTCGCAACTATTGAGTGGCACGTGGTTGGCAAGGACATCTCCTCTCAGAGACCTTTGTAAGATGGGCCTGGCGACGTTGTGCGTAAACATGTGACTCGCTAAACACTCGTCTCGGTATGTCTTCGCATCCCAGTCTGACGGAGACGTATCGGTGCCAAGAGGACACACGACGCCCGACGCCCGCTGGTTCAGCAGATGTCTCTCTCGACAAATATAACGCAACAAATCCGTGGCTTACCAATAAATACCGCGTAGCGATACGTCGACTTGGGTGTGGATCCAAAAATTGGACCAATGAAGAACGATCTAGGTAAGGGGCAAATAATATAAGCAAAAACGTTAAGATTGCCTTGGAGGTTGACAAGCGGATTCATTGGCGTAAAATAAAGATGCCTTACTCTTGGGCTCTCTTTGTGCTCGCAAGGAGCCTGATGAATGCCGGATTCGCCTCCTTGTCTAGCACGTCGTCGAAAATTTCGCTAGCCCCCAAGAACATGATCTCGGTGGTAGCAACATTATGTCGTCCATCGCGTTCCAGTGTGTCGCTCATTGGCTGAAGGAAGTTTAAAAAGCTGCGAGGCCTCGAGCAGGAAGAAAAAGCCAAGGCGGCCTTCGGTGCCCTGCACTAGTGTCTTAAGTACGCCTGCACGCTTAGCGATGACAGCGATGACAGTAGTAACCCGAATGTCCGGCGCTCAGCCCTGAATGGCTCCGCTATCGATCAGCCCGCCTTTATTCTAGATAAATTGATTAATGAAATACAACGTGGAGAAGCATGAAAGACGCACCTAGTTGGTATGACGAAAGGTTCGTTCTTCCTTTGTTCGTGCAATGTTCAGTTTTTGCCCGCCGTTGGCTGGCCGGCGGCGCAACGCCACACGCGCGAAAAATGCCAAACAACGCGAGGCAAACGCGCCTACAACGCTCACTTTGTTTCAAACAGAATGCAATTTAACGCCCGAATGGGTTACATTGTCTTCGCGTGCAGGGCCAGTGATTGTCCATTCCCGCGATAACAGCCCTTTGTATTGGGTGTCTCCTCATACATTCCGAGACGTTCCGTAACTCAATCGTCCCGAGGGCCAAAATCGCAGATCATTGTATTCGTTCACTTTTGTTTCAGGTTCGGAAGCATTTTCCGGCCGCTCGGTGCCTCTCCCGTATGGTCAAGGGTCCCGGGAATACATGATTTCGTCACGTAAAACACGTAGAGCTCAATCTACTTACTCGTACAGCTTCTCACAAACTTTTCTTCGTTAGGGTTTCATAGTAATTCATACTGTGAGTTCACTTGCTAGGATACGTGGTCAACTTGACGACAAAGGAGTGGAGCACCTGTGTGTTGTCCAGCTGGATGCCCCCATCGAATGCCTGTGTATGGCGGATAATGTCAGTCAGGCGGATCGGACACGAGGAATCAGCGTGGGTCGACGATCAGATGATGTCCAAACATGAATGACAGATCGAACAACGGAAGCGAAGCACAGGAAGTGCATGGCGTTTACGGATCACAAACGGAGACGTACCTCGGCGGTATTTTTCCCCTCGAGGACTGCAAACTGCTTTCTCCACACAATTTCCTCATCCCCCTCGTCCCCCTCGCGGGTCACTTCCTTGAACTCCTCCTCCGATTGACCCCACCGGAACGTCTCCGGCTCTTTGATGCGCGACATCGCCTCCTCTAGGTCATTCTCGAGGTTGCGAACCTTATCGGGGGAATCGTCCACTATCCTCAGAATTGTGACGCGTGTGTACAGTTTTCCAGTGGCATCCAACGCGGGTCGTTTGGTGTTTGCAGTGGCACCACCCGACTTGAATGGGGTATGGGTGATCGCCGGAGCAGCGCCGAGACTCGCCTGAAGCACAGGCACGACCTTGTTCACGAAATCGTCAGATTCGGAGCAGGCGTCATGATCTGATTTCTTGTTCCAGTCTGGGCAAAATTTGTTTCAGTCTCCTTTTCCTCAAGCACGCAAATGGTTCAGCGAAGATGAGACAAGTACTCGCCTACAAAGACGAGGAGTAACGTAGGGTCCTCAAGTGGTGATCCATAGTGAATGGAGCTATGCGACGTAGGCAGAGGTGTCAGAATTGTGGAATTGGTCCATCTAAAATGGATGGAGTGAACCGACCACTTACTCCTGCGCGTTTCCCGTCGCAAGTAGGACATCCATCATCGTGGACGTGTTAGCTTCCACCGTCTTCTTCGCACCATCCCTCAGCTTCAGTATAGAGATTTCGGTCGTAGCGACAGACATGCTGGGGGCGATATAAGGTTGTCGTACTCAGCGGACAAGATTCTCGATGAAGCGGATGGCAAGTAAGAGGCTTAGAATGGAATCTCTGGGTTCGCTGATAATGATGGCAGCTCCGGATCTGGCGTCAGTTCTTCAGTTTTATCAGATGCCGGGGGAACATGGACAAGTCAGAGCTTACCAATCGTCATGACGATTCCAAGTCTCCTTGTATGTGCATTGAGTGCCAGATTTGTACGATGCACGAGGAACCGTGGTGGAGCCTCGGTCGCCGCCGAGACATACAAATCAAGGCTTGAGATCAATGGGATACAGAAGCGAAAGGGAGCACGAGATGAGATCCACACCAAATCTCAACTAAGGGTAAGGAAACGCATTTACAGCGAGTGGTAGAGGGAAGGGAGGAAGAAACCCGACACGACGGCCGCATGCTATCCTCTCTACAGCTTAGTCAGCATTGTGGCTTGAAGTGACTTGAAGACTTTTGAAGGGACTGACTCAATCGCCCGTGTAGGCCTCGCATAGATAGCGAGTTGACCAGAGGTATGAGTGAGGTATTCGCGGCTAATATACATGTAATAAACACAAAATAACTCGAACGGGTGCCCCAGGAATGCGCAACGAGGCGATGTCCACCATCCACATGTATAGTATGACCTTAGAGTTTGGCCCTGGTCTCAGCTAAGCGTTGCCCCTTCTCAAGCATAGCTTTGATGCTCTCCTACCCAGATCCGACGTATTAACATCTATCTCAATGTCTATACTAACAGAAACAAACGTACCTCATATCCAGGAGTAACCTCCTCCGCATTCATAGGCTCCTGCCTCACCCTCTCAAGCAGTGCCTCGTATACCCACCCATCGTGCACGCCAAGTGCACTATCCAAATCCCAGTCTGAGAATCCGAACGCGTCGGTGAGTGCAATAGCGTCTGGAAGTACAGCAGCGCACGTCGACTTTATCGCGAGGCGCAGCCCACGTGCCGGGTCGGATGACGGGGAATCGAAGGCTACGAGGTCGAACGAAAGGAGGTCGGCGAGTGCAGACTCGACTGTGGTGAGAAGATACTATGTGAGGGACAAAGTCAGCATATCTTGACGCATATATACAGCAATGAAAGGGACAAACCAGGATGTACAACCTCCTCACCGCTTCCGCTTGCCCGCCAGGGAGCACCCTCAAATCCCCAAGCATAGTCTCCACTTGCCTCGCGACGAACGCCTCCGTAACTGCGCGAGAAACCCGCTGACTGGCGCTAGCGTCTGGCCCTTCCGCAGAAGAAACGGTACTAGCAAGTTCGGCGACCATCTTCGCAGCGCGCCACTCAAGCAACAATGCAAGTTGAGAAGGTGAAGAGCAAGTTTGTCTGTCGAACGTGAACCTGGATTGGGCTCCTTTGGAGGCTGAGGGATGTAGAAGACGAAGGTACGCTGAAGACGGAGGGCGCTCCGTGGATCCTTGAGAAGTGGCGGTGGCAGATTTGTGCGACTTGAGTGCGGCACGTACGACTTGGCCGTCAAGTACGAAGTTGTCACCTTCATAACTACAATAAACCGCTGTTAGCGCTCAAACATCAGGAAGGAAAGGGAAAACCTACGTCGCAGCAGGCAAATAATCCGCATAGATCTGCCCAACACCCGCAAACGCGCTGTACCCATGTCCGCCCATTGAGCGGCGCGCCGTCTCAAGGTCGTTAATCCCCGCTGTGGTGACGAGCACTTTGAGACCACATGTGATTGCATGCATCTCGGGTAGGAGGGTTGTGTTCCCGCTTGCGAGTTGCGCGGACATCTCCTGAAACGCTTGGAGCTGTGCATTGGCACATTCTTAGCGACGGAACGGAAAAGGCAAGGAAGGACGCACGACACGTCGACCGAGCGCGATGAAAACGTATGAACGCGCAAGGATAGGGATGAGGCGGTAATATGTCGATGGGTATTTCAGCACTTGTCGCTCTAGCCCGGATTCGTCGAGTTCTCCTTGGCGCCGGACAGTCGTATACCGCAGTGCAATCGTGATGCCTGTAACATACGAATTCTGTGTCAGTACTCGAGACGCGAATAAAAAGTAAAGATCGCTGACCTCGGGCGATCGTCCAACCCGCACCAGTGACCATGTTCGCGCGAATAGTGAGCATCTGCGAACAAGAAGAAGCGCATATAATCAGCATTCACGCTTATCATCTTCGCCTACGGGTGGCCAAGCCAAGGAACTCACTCCACCATAGCTTAACTTCGCATGTGGTGGCTTCACGTACTCGCCCTCGCGTGTCACCTGCGCAAATTTCGAAAGCATGTGGAAGCGCGGAATGCGCACGCGCGAAAAGCGCGCGTAGCCATTGTCGTTCGCTTGGTTACCTATGCACAGCGCAGATCGCGATCAATTCCCAATGAAGGCGGCAGTGGGCCAAAGGCCGACGCACCTCCCAAAGCTTTCGGCCCGATATCTCCTACGTCTATCCCTGGAAGCAGTCTATGGTCGTCTGTGAAAGTTCGCATCCGAGTCGCGGTCGTCAGCCTTTCATGTCTAGCCTTGACGTTGGGAATGAATACCAAGCGAGCGGAGCTGAACAAAGAACAAGTGAGGACCCATATCGCGTCCTCCGGGCAGGATAAGTTTAGCCTGTACGACGCCATGTGTTGCGGTCTTGCCGAGTGCGCCAATCCACCACTTGGTGCTTGTGATGGAAGGCGAATGGATCTCAAACTCGTCGGTATCTGGGAGGAATGTCGCGGTTGTTTCAAGACTGGCGACGTTGGTACCGTGGCCAAGCTCGGTTTGGAGGTAGCAACTGCGCGCGAGCAAGCGTGAGCATGGAATGAGGAAAGGCGGAGACAAGGAATGGAGATGGAGACGAAGGGTGCGAAGGATTGGCAAAGGTGGTGCTCACCCGATGATACCCCTGGTTGCGACCAGTGTCCCATATCGCTTCAAAAGCTCCTCCGAGCCCTGGGACATAAAGACTGGCTCAAACGCTAGCGAGTCCGACGACAAAGATGGCAGTGCCAGTCAGCAATCATAAGAGAGACGCGGCACTGCAACGCACCAACGTAATGCAGGTTGATGGGAAGCGGATCGTAGAGCTTCTGAAAGACATCCACCATGACTGCTGGTGACCATCCATGTTCCTCTTGCAGCTCGTAAGCGCGTTTCATGATACGTGTGCCGTGGATGTACCGCTCTTTGCGAGTGAGGAACTCTCTGCAGACATTGGCATAGCGCAAACGAGCGGTTGCGGGACGGTTTAATGCCATGAGAATGGATTCACAAGGTCGATCGAAGTTGGTCGTTTGAGCGAATGGACTCCTCCAAGGACAAAGTCGAGACTCACCTCCCCCGCTTGCTAAACAATGGCTCCCGACTCAGAATATCCTGTAGCTTCTTGCCGTGCTCCCATCGCTTCCGGCCTCCTGACCAGACACGCGTATTAGCCACCTTTACCTCCGAGTATTGCTTCGGTACTACCAGCGAGGAAGACCTGGATAGCCTCGACATCAAGCTTGGACGTCTCCCGGGCGCGCTGCATGTCGAGCGCCGTTTGCGCGTTAGCGTCGTGCCTGGCTTGTGCCATGGCGTTTGTCACCGGATGATGGGGTATGTATAGGTATCTGAAAGGTATAGGAACGCAAGGAAGAGTGGGCCAAGGGTGGTCAGAAGCGCTGTGAACGCATCAAGGTGCTGGACCGGACATTGAGTAAGACGTTTAGTGTAAAGTGTTTGATGTCGGCCCGTGGGGAAACTGTTTAAGTGTTGGAGATGTCCAACTCGGGGCATGTACTAACAAGTCGCGACCATTCTCGCCAAGTCTTAGCGCTATGTCCTGAACATCTTAATAACATACTGAGCCGTAGCCATTGCATGATTACAACGACACAATCCATATCACGGTGTAGAGGAATCAGCACCATTTGTTTTCTCGAGGAACACTCGCCGTCTTGACGCAAAAGCCCCTGTCCTCAACGGTATAGCTCCAGACTCTGAATCGGCCACCGGCAACTGAGAGAGCCGGTTCATCCCTCTAAAACAAAACCTCATGATCGCTGGCGTTTGCACGACCTGAACAGCTGATCGAACACGCTGCAGAGATAAAATGCCACATGCAAGCCCATTTGTGCCTACATCTTGCCGCTCTACTAGCGATACTCAGTCAGAAGATCAGGGGGTTCCACAGTTGTTAGATTCTGAAGTGCTAAGTAGGCTACAGTGAATACATGAGAAAGAAGATACAAGAAGTTACAAATGCCAACGGACGCATATCGTACACTGACAGTATACAGCGCACTACGCACTGCGCAGTACGTACTACTGTCTTCTTTTTGCTTCAAGACGTCTCTGACGATTACACCTCGAGACGCTTATGCAGTCTTGGTCACCTCCGCGACGATCTGCTCAACCTTCTTCAAGGGAGTGTTGTGGTCGAAGATCTTGTACTGCCCTGGCGCATACATGAGACTCGGTGATCATCAGAGCTATGCGGGGGAGATACTCACAAGGTGGAACTCTCCCAGTGGGCAGCTGCTCGTCGAGAGCGATGCGGCGCTGCTGACGGCGATCGAGGTACCGCCATGTCATCACGATGCTTCCGGCGAACAGGGCGACACCCGCAGCTACGGCCTACACAGTATGAAGTAACCTGTCAGCAATCAGCGAAAAAATCATGGGCGGGACTGCTTACCCTTCCAGCACCAGCCGGGATAGGGAGCTCAGTAACGGGCATCTTGGGACGGATTTGAGACATGATATTGGCGGGATACTTTGAGCTTGGTTGATAGAAAGAAGGTAAGATTTCCGTATGCTCAAAAACAAGAGAAGTCGGGGGAGAAAGTTCTGATGCAGACCTACGGGTCTTCAACGGGTTTATATCCTATACCTCCTCTGCTACCCCTGCGCCTGAGGAATCATCTCACCCGCCCGTGGTGATGCTTCGAATCCAAAATTAAAACGCGTACATCCGTACCATTCTCCTGGCTTACCTATCTTCTCGCGCGGGGTAACACGGCGGCCTTGGGCAACTGACTGGATGCGCTATTCGACGCACCTTCGACGTGTACTGTGTTAGAGTGGGCATCAGGGCACACAGATCCAGGGCATCTCAGGCTGATTCAGCGCGGGGGCACGCTACGGCTGCCGCTTTCCATGTTCCATTGTTAAGTTGTTCTTGTTAGGCCGCCAAGAGGCCTATCCCAGAATTGTAACGTAAACCGGTGTCAAGTGGCTGCGGAGAGTCCCTGAGTTGCGATGGATCATGCCAAAGCGCTTGAAAGGTTGAATATAGAGCAACAGCATCCGGAGACTCCTGCAATGCGGGGAAGTGAAGGTTCTCGATTGTCGGTCGCATCCGTGCACGCGAAGGGCGCCGTGGTCATGGATGCGTTCTCGTACCTTGTTTGGACTTTAAAGATAACCAGATCGGACACGAGACAGCATATTCAGAGGACCACGTCGTCTATCTGGCGGATATGCAATGGCTGTCTTCAACATCGCGTCAACCTCAAGCCAAAGTCCAAATACCGAGGCCCGAGGATAACCACTCACTCGGTCTGATATCCAACAACTAATCCACAGCTGCTCCATTCTTCGTCATCCCTCAGCACACCATCCCTCTTGCGTGCGAGAAGCCCATCTCTAACAGCCAGAATTAGCCTCGACGCACTTCGCCAAGCTCATGGAGGCCGGGAGCTAGCGCTATTTACGGTTCATGTGACCAATCACCGGTCGAGGTAAGTCTCCCAGGAGGGCCCCGAACAAAGGAGACTCAGACGACCTGCAGACGGCGGCCTGTTCGTTTCGCGAGAAGTTCGTGACTTCTTTCCGGGCTTGCAGGGAACATTGGGAGGCTACCCCTGCGCATCTTTGGAGACTCGACGAGTTCTTGGTGATGAGCGGGGTTCCGCTCTCGGGGCAACCCAGAGCTATATGCCAAGAGCCTAAGTATTCTTAGTGTCGACGAGAGCTCCTTCGGGCCAGAGAAAGATTGACTGATCGATGTTGAGTGCATGGATGAGCCTGGTTAAAGCGCGTGAGCGGACAAGAAACAGCCGGGAACTGCCGAATGCTGACTTGCACGCGACACCATGCAGTCTTCGATCGAGTTCGTGGTCGTCGCGAGGACTTGCTTCGATGCTGACGGGCTTCAGAAGCTTCTCGAAACTTTGGACCACGCAGTTCAGTTTATGACGACATCATGCATACATAACGAATTCGTTTGCGTTGCTTGACGATGATACATTCATCCCGTTTTCATATGCATAAATCTACAAGAGCAAGATCGAGCGATATCATGTCTGGTGATAGCCTACACGGCCTAACCTTTTGTTTAACTTGCGTAGCCCTAGCCTAGTCCAGGGCTTCATTGTCCCATGGGGTCCAATACGCCGGGTCCTCGCGTCACAGCGAGTAGCCTTGACATCATGACGCACCAGCAGCATCCCCGCTGTCCGCCTTGACCTTCTTAACCGTCTGCACGAGCGGCACCGCCTGCCCGCGAAGCCCAGTGTTCGGGCCGCCATCAGGCTCCATCGTGCGCTTGCGCTTCTCGCCCACCTGCGCGTCGCCGCCCTCCTTCGCCTCGCTAGCGTCTTTCGACGGGTTCGACCTCTTGCCATCGTCGCGCCTTCCACCTCCGCGTCCGCCTCCCCGGCCACGGCCACCACGACCTCCCCCGCGTCCTCCACCACGGCCTCCGCGACCACCGCGACCGGAGCTGCTGCGGCCCTGTGAGCGCTCGAAGACGGTTTTGGCGCCGTGTTGCGCACGTTCGACCTGGAACGCCTTTTCTTCGTCCTCTGCAAGAATTCAAAAAGGATCAATGTCGACTCCTTGACCGAAGGAACAGCGAAATGGCAAAGGCGTAGAAAATGCCAAGGAACCGAAAAGTACTCACCTTCAGGGATGCTCCACTGGACTTCGTTGGAGTTGATAGTTTTGATATTCTCTTTCACGTACGCGATCTCCTCTTCCTCCAGCGCTTTGTCGAACCCGACCAGCCCAGAGTCATCGCCCTTCTCGAACTTGATGAACGGCACTTTGGCGAAGCGCTCCTTCAACGGGGCCTGAGCAGGATACCGAATTAGTCAAAAGTAAGGCAAGCACATGCGAACCAACACGGAGGACAGAACAGAAGCTTTGAGATGCTCACCTTCACCTCCGTAAAGTTCACATCCCCACCACATCCCGTGAACTTCAGCGTCGCACCCTTGACGAATGGCACCTCCTCTTCCTTCACAACACCCGCTCCATCTTCCTCATGCACCCGGATCTTCGAGCCGAGGAACTCGAGATATATCTCGGGCTTGGGTCTATCCTTCCCGCCCGCGGGCTTGCCGCCATTCTTCTCCTGCTCCATCTCGCGGAACGCGTTGAAGCCCTTACGCGACGAGACACTGTCCTTGCGCATCTGCGCTGCCTTGCCCGTCAGACCCTTTTCTTTGATCTTCATGTCGCAGTACGCCTCCCTGCAGACATGGTTATGAACGCTAGGGTGGAGTAGGAGAGGAAGGGAACACACTTGGACATCGTGAGCAACTCGCCACCCTCCCATGTCGGCTTCGGGTCCGCGTTCAGGAACGCCTCAGCACCTTTGATGTCGGCGTACTCGGCGAATACTGATCCCTTGAACTCCTTGTTCCCGTCCACCCGGCGCATGCGAACCGCGTTCGTCTGGCCATACTGGTTGAAGAACTCCTCGAGCTTCTTCTGCAGGCCGGAGTCTTCCGAACCGAAGCCTTTCTGTCAAACAACCCATTGAGTACTTTCGTTCAGGGCGGCACTTATACGAGAGAGAGAGTGAAGCGCAGGGCCCGACCGAGATGATAGAATGGAGGGCAGATGAAACGCTACGAAAAAGTGTAGAGGTTGACTCACCGCATATACGCTCCGCTCAAACTGCCCCTTTGGTGGTTGCAGCTCCGTCAACCGACGCACCTTCTCCCCGGATTCGTCAAGCTCAAGCTCCTCACTGGCACGCAGCGCATCCACGAGCCACTCCAGCCCGTACGGGACAAAGTCCCGCATGCGCTTGAACGACGCGATTGTTTTGATGGGGACCCAGTGCTCCTTGTCGGCTATGTGAAGCGTCCACATGAACCTTTGAAGCAATCAAGTTAGATTTCATGGACGGTTGGCGTGAATGAACGCCATAGGCAGGGATAGCTGTACTAACTTGTCGAATGGGAGGTTGGAGTCGCCGAAGTAAAACTCGACTGGGTAACAAATGCAGACACAGGCAATGAGCATCCATCGTAGGCATGTAATGATCGCTCATAGTGACAACATACCTTGTTTTCGTGCAGCAGAAATCTTCGTGAAGTCATCCTTTCCGCCTTCCATCTCGACGTCTGCCTCTGGTGCGGGTGCCGCGGTTGGTTCCGTGGGTTTGGCGTCCGTCGACATAGTCAAATATTTTTGAGTGATTCCAGGAGGACACTTGGAGGCGGGTGGATGGCAGTCGCGAAGTACAACTAGAGGGAAGGGTGGATGGCGAGAACTCGGAGGCAAAGGAGCAAAGACGGTCAACGGAGATTTTGATGGGCTGACAGCTCAAGTCGGGCATAGTCACAAGATAATCGCATGAAAGAGGCAATAAAGCCCCTGTCTTGGCCAGCATCAACAGTCTTTCTTTTTGCTTTCGATCCTTTTTGATCATTAACCGTCACTCCCTCGCCAATGCACCTTGCAAGCAGAATAATTTCCTCACCAGATTCGCAGACGTCTTGTCTTTTAATTCTCAACAGTGATAGCTCAAGTTGGTTTGCGAGGGCTAGGAGGTATGAAAGCCCAGCGCTCATTCCTAATCGTCTATCACTAGCAGTCTGGCACTGCCCGTAAAACCCCGGCACACACACGCAAGACACACGTTGTCCTCCTCGTTTTCCCTCCTCTCCTTGGCCTCTCCCTCGAGCCATCTTCGTATTTCCGGCTCTTTACCACTCACTCGAAGCTCACTTCATGACTTCTGTGTCAGAAGAACAACAGGACGATCGATCCGAAGCACGCAGCATTGATGCTCGAACTATGGAGGAGGCAGACGATCAGTCTTTCCAGCCTTTTACAGGGCACAAAAAAATTCTCAATACCATCTCATACTCGCCTGATGGCAAGTCCATCGCAACTGGCTCAAGAGACAACACGATCCGCGTCTGGGACGCCAAATCGGGCAGACAAGTAGGGAATACGATGCGCGGACACACTGACGACGTCAACAACATCTCTTACTCTCCTGACGGCAAATCCCTCGTTTCTTGCAGCGATGACGGTACTGTGCGTCTCTGGGACATTACAGATGCCGGAGGCGCGTATGCAAAGACCCTTGAGCTACAAAAAATCCAAGTAATGGTTGCCAAGTATTCTCCGGACGGGCGGTACATTGCTATTTGCGGCACAGACAAGACGCTCAAAATCTGGGACACACACGAAGGACGGTTGACGTTGAAGGCCGAATACGGCGGCCATACCCAGTGGGTTTTCTGTGCTGCGTGGCACCCAAGTGGGAAGCAGCTCTCCACCTCTTGCGCTGACCCCTATATTCGCATCTTTAATTTGTCAAACCCTAACGTGGTGGCTTTGCTCATTGAGGGACATCGGGATAATGTCTGCTCAGTGATGTACTCGCCAGAGGGAAACTTTCTGGCGAGCGGGGCATACGACTGCAGCGTGCGACTATGGGATGCACTGACGGGGAAAGCCGTGAAGAGTCCATTTCGAGGCCATAGGCGCGGTGTTTCGTCCGTGGCGTGGTCTCCCGACGGCACGCGCATCGTCAGTAGTTCTGGGGACCATTCAATTCGCGTTTGGGATGTCAGCACTGGTCAAAACTTCTTCGACGGAGCTTTGTACGCACATAAAATCGACATATGGAGCATTTCGTACTGTCCCGATGGAAGGTTCTTTGCGTCAGCGGATGGCAGCGGCCGAGTTCAAGTATGGGACGCGCTTACAGGCAAACCGTCACTTCCTTCGGTAAGTATTACCACAATGCAAACCCCCACACTTCGAGGTAAACATACACCGTCAGATTTCCGATGAAGAACTTTCGTCTTGCAAAGAATTGGCAGAAGATGATTTTGCAGATGATCAAATTCCCAGCAATCCCGGGAAGATGCGAGCTGGAGCCTCCATTTCAGCGATCGCGTGGTTTTCAAACGGAGAATGCTTCGCAACCGCCGGGGAAGAACCTGTTCTACGCATCTGGAGTGTCAATACTGGCATGCAGATGAGCGAGTTTGCCAGTCACCATGAGACCGTCAACGCATTGTCCATCTCCGACAACAGCACAACGCTCGCAACGGCATCGGATGATCACACTATCCTCCTTTTCGATATACGATCCATGCAGTTACTAATGGATCCTCTCACTGGCCACGAGGGAGCAGTCTATGTTGTAAAGCTGACGCCTGACGGCACTCGAGTAGTCAGTGGAGGCCATGACAAAGCGGTGCGTTTGTGGGATGCACGCACCGGCAAAGCTCTCCGCGTCATCGAGGCTCACACAGACGCCGTGCGTGCGCTCTCCGTGACAAAAGACGGGAGCAAGCTGGCAAGTGGCGGGGACGACAACTGTGTCTACGTCTGGGACATGCAGACTTTTGAGCGCATCGCCGGACCGTTCAAGCACGATGGTCCTATCTGTTCCGTAAGCTTTGCTCCTGACGGTTCGCGGCTCATTAGCGGCTCAGACGACTTCACCGCCCGTGTTTGGAAGATTGCAACTGGCAGCCTTGCATTTGATCCTATCCGCGTTCATGCAGGCCCAGTCGGAGCGGTCGATTGGTCGCCGGACGGTACAAAGGTATTGACCGCAGGCGCTCGTGACTGGACAATATGGATATGGGATGGGTCCACTTGCGAGCGCATTCTGGGTCCTTTAGAGCCGTTGTCCTTGGATGGGGGTAAAATTCTCACCTTTGCGGATGGCCGTGAAAACGGCATCGCTGCTGCTTCCTTTTCTCCAGATGGAATGCGCTTCGCAAGCGGCTTCATGAACCACCGGCTTCATGTATGGGATACAACTACAGGTGTGGTTCTTCTTCCAAAAGCTGAAAAGGGCAAGGATACCGAGGTAGGGTGGCTTCTAGATCTCCGCGTCTGTTCTGACCACTTTGCGCTCCCACTTAGTCAAACCCAGAGAAAGCGGAGGCGAGTAAACTTGATGGTGTGCAACGACAGCCTGTAAGCATTAGGTGTCCTATAACGTCGCAAACACATAGCTAACCGCTATCAAACAGAGTGTAAGCGAAAGTATAATGAATGTAAGCCCTCGAACCGCTAGCGATTTTCCCACCAGTGAGGTTTTGACCTTGTGCGGCTTTGACCCTGTGCTTCAGATGCCTGCAACAGTGAGTAGGAATAATCTAGCCTCAGCATCCAAAGGCTTTTGGGACGATACAGACGTACGTTATTTGATGCACGCCCTTGAGCCCCCCTTCTTAACCCACAGATGTCCTACTTGTAGCTCGGTGCTCCTTCAAGAAGACGTGGAAATTTAGAGAGTGGCAGGAACATGAGGAACACTGACGAGTCGCAGAACAAAGGCAACATCCTCGGGCGGCTTTGGCGGCACCAAGCTGAGCGACGTGTCTCGAAGGTCAGGGGAAAGAACAAAGAGCAGAGAGCTGGAACCAGTGACCCCGAAGACCACGCTATGACTCGTACACCCAGGCCCCCTGCTGCAGAAATCTCCGAGGCACACGACAAGCTGGTACGTCATCGATTCTGCTAGCCGTTTGTTTCAATCTTGAATCCCACATACCGGTGTTCAGCGTGTGGTGGCGGCAGGATATGACCCGCGTGAACGATTCCGCACATGCACCCCAGAATATGACGACGAGAGAGACTCGCCGACAGGCTCGGCGAGCCCCGTTCGGCCGGAAGACGGTTCAAGTAGTGACGATGAGAGCGAACACGGATTGGCCAAGACCATGTGTTTTTGTCTGTGCCTGCCGTGGTGTAAATGATTCCATTTTACGTGATTTATCGCTCACATCATTTGGAAAAGACCCTACGTACCAACAATTAGCTATTATCAGCGATGACCTGGTACAGAATCAATAAGCCTTATGTCTACGCGCACGATCTTCGTCTTCCACGGGTCTCTTGCCTAAGCCAACGTGTCGAGACTGTTTTCGAGCTTAAAGAGTTTAATGAGTGACAAGTGTTAATGTCAAACATACGATGCTCTCCCAACCGGATTGCAGTCGCCCGTGTCTGTTGTAATGTGACCCCCAAAACATATCATCCCTTCGAATCACTTTAACTGAAAAGTCAATTGCGGCCAGCTGCGACAGGAAAGTAAACTTTGCGACGTTAACATGCGTACATTGTAAATGACATAATCCTCCGACTATTCATACACGGCGAAGCCGAACGCTTGAAGTGGACGTAAAGACATAGTATGATGCAACCACGTTAGCACAAGTCTTCAATACCACCCCGTGTGGGTGCTTCAAATGACGAGACCTAGGTCCCCCGCAATCAGGGCTGCAGCCTTTTCACCGATGAGTAAAGCGCTCGAGTGAGTGTTCTGGATATTGTCAGTTGTGTGTTATCCATTATTCATAATGATATCTACTTACGGCTGCGACGTTGGACGGAGCTATAGATAGATCTGTGTGCATTAGGAGTTTACGTCAACGTCGAATGAGATTTCAAAGATTGTGCTAGTAAGCTCACCAGCTACTTTAAGGCCTTCGACTCCGTACACGTTCAAACGAGCATCGACAACACCACCTTGATCTCTCGGTTTCATGGCACACGTGCCCAGCTAATATTCCCTGTGTCAACGGCTTTGTATCATATGCAGCCTTTCAAAGCTTACCGCGTGCCTTGCGCTGGTCACTGCGTTTTAGAATAGTTAGATACGCGACTTTTAGCTAATCATTGTGAAGTAGATGTCTTACCAACTTCGCGGTGAAACTTCTCAATTGCTCGGTCATCCTCCGCGCTATATACCAAATCTGGTGCGTTGATGGAAATGGGGCCGTCCGTCTCCTTGCAAGCCGCTTCGCTTCCCACAGGAAAGACTGGATGACGAAGCTGCAGCTCTCCTCGATATGCGGGCATACGTCGAATCCACTCCCTCAATCGTTTGTATGCGAGGCGCATGACTGCGACGTCAGAAGCGCTGTGTGGAGGCTCTTAGCGGTCATGTTATCATATCTGTTGGGATCCTGACTGACTTATCCAAAAAGTTATCAATAAATTTGGGTGGCTGCCGAGGGTCAGTACCGGAAGTAATATGTACACTTCCGGTAGAGATAGGATAGCACTGAAATCATCAAGACCGGAAACCCATCAGCTTTTGGATCTCCGCCTTGTATGATAAGTCAACTCACCATATAATAACAAGCACCTATATACTTTCTGTCGGGTACGTCGTTATGACTTCCTATAATGCTGAACAATCAATTCAGCAATAACTCCCAAAGTTAACATAATGGGCGAACCCTGAGCAAGGCATCAAAAGGGCTAGGCATTTATCTGGGTTCCTCCGATAGAAATTGTCACCCCATCGCTCAAGATATGCTGGGCCCAACTCTTTGAAGTCACGAGCATTGGGCTGCATCTTCAACGCGACATCGTAGGCACTGGATGCACCGCACCAAGTAATTAAGCCTTTCATGCTCTAGGACAAGAAGTGGACACGTACTTGTGGGCGCATATGCCCGTCCCATCCTTTCTCCACTGTGCCTGAAGATCTGGTAGCGATAGCAGTGAGCGGGTTTCGTCGGTTGAGTGGAAATGGAAGCGCACCATCAGCTTCCTTCGAGCCATGTTTATAGAGCACGTCCACCGTCTCAGACTCATCCGCCGCATAATACACCGGAAAAGCGACAATGTGATCTACACTCGGGCCCATGAGAAGAAATTCCAAGTAGCAACTGCAGCGAACAACGTACCTTGTAGGTTCTCTCCTACGCTGTGTAGATCAACAATCTGCTTGACCCCGTTCTCGTCAAGCACATCTTTCCTGCCAATTCCTGACCTCTCTAAGATTCCGGGTGAACCAAACGAGCCCGCGGAAAGAACGACCATGCGCTTCGCGCGGACGATGGATGTCGTTCCAGCCGTATCTTGATATTCTACACCGACTGCGCGGCCCTTCCTGAGGGTACAATGAGATGATGCAAAGTACAACAGGAAAAAGACCTACTCAATAATGACACGGACGACCAGCTTCTCAGTTAGGACGTGCAAATTCTTGTTGTGGTCCTGGCTATAGATATATGCGTGCGCAGAGTCTGAGCGTTTCCCTGTTTCACCGTCGATCCACCTAAACAATTTGAATGACAGCCTTCAGAACCGGATGGAAACACAGAAAAGGCGCATATACTCACTTAGCCCAACGCTAAACATATGCCATTGTCAACCCACAAGCTTAGAGGGATCTGAGAGCGGATGAAAAACGCACCGCATATGCATTCGTCGTCTTCAAGTCGTTCGCGTCCTCTACAACAGGCCTCGCAGGATCGTACACCCTCGCCACATCTAGCGCCTGCCGTCCAATATCGGTGAACACGCCTCCATACGAGACTTTGAGCGGTCCAGCGTGACCATGCGTGCCCGACTCGGACTCTGAGCCAGATCCGTCGCCGCCTCTAGGTTGGTAAGTCTCCATCTAGGCTCGCGAATCCATATCAGTGCTAGCAATCTCAGAACGAAGAGCAGGGTTTGGCCTGGAGATGGAAGGAAACAACGTACCTTCCTCAACAAAGGAACAAGATCCGCCGCACCCCACCCCTCATTCCCATACTTGTTGGCCCACTCATCATAGTCCGACGCAGCCGCGCGCGTATACATCATAACTACCACGTCCGCCTCCCATTCAGCCACTTCTCAAGCCAACCCGGTACAAAGAAGTTTGAGAAACTCACAATTCACACTCGACCCCCCACCAACCCCCCTCCCCGCATGCGCCACCATCCTCCGCCCGTCCAACCACCTACTCGGCTCCCCTTTATACGCCCACGCCGACTCCGCGTCCGAGTCCAAGCCGCTCCCCTCCACGTTCTCGTTGAACCGCCCCGGCATAACGAACCGCTCCTGGTCCTTCGTATGCTTCCCCGCCTCAATAAGCAATATCCTCAGAGCCGGAGAACTTGAAGCAGAGGCGAGTCGGCCGGCGGCGACGCATGCCGCTGTACCAGCTATACGCGACGACGACGATCGTTCATACGTTAAAGAGCTAGCAACGCGACTTAAAGCCAAAGAGAACATACCTCCAGCAAAGACGATGTCGTACTCTGACTCGGTGTCCGACATGACAAAAAGAGAGCAAGTAAGACTGGCTCAGGGTACTCCCTACATCCTATCTCAAGTGTCCCTTTATAACCCAACTCGTTATCGCGGACGCTCAGGGCACCATATGCATATGTACTTGCATCAGCTCGTGACGAAACCTCAGTATTCATAGCGCAGCTAAGAATGAGCGTGCACACACCTGACAAGCTGGAAAAACATATTATCTCGACATATGCACGGCTTGTGATCGCCACCAAATGCACCCCGCGCGACATAGCTTTATCGTCCCCTTCGCCGGAAAAAAATACTAAGCCTCACAAAGACTCACATTACGCGAACGAATCTTTTATTCACGCGCAAAACCAGTCTAGCTATTACATGTTTCTGTTCGGAGGTAAGATGCCATGCTATAGACAAAAAAAGCAGCAGATCGAGAGGATCAGATGATGATGACGATGTCGATGATGGATAGAGAGAAAAACGAAAAAAGGAAATTCGAAAAGCAAGCGAAAGAGCATTCATAATGACAAGGAAAACACATGGTCTTCCTAATCAAAAATCGAAAAATGAGGATCCAGCGTGGAGGGAAGAATCTAGTTCTTGGCCTTAGCAGCCATCTACCAACCACAAGTCAGCACCTTTTAGCATCCTACAATCAAGAGCGACGTACCAGGTTGAGCGCAGACCCAGCCTTGAACCACTCAATCTGGCCCTCGTTGAACGAATGCGCAAGCTCAATCACATCCTTCGACCCGTCCTCGTGCTTGGCGATCATCGTCAGGTTCTTGCCGGGCGCGAAGCTCTCGAGACCCTCAATCGTGATCTTATCCGAAGGCTGCACCTTGTCGTAGTCGGCAGGATTCACAAACGTCAGCGCGAGCATGCCCTGCTTCTTCAAGTTCGTCTCGTGGATACGCGCAAACGACCGGGTGATTACGGCGAGACCGCCGAGGTAGCGCGGCTCGAGAGCGGCGTGTTCACGCGAGGAACCTTCACCGTAGTTCGAGTCACCGATGACAACCCACTTGATGCCCTTGTCGCGGTAGGCGGCAGCGGTCTGGGGGACACCGTCGTACTCGCCCGTGAGCTGGTTCTTGACTTTGTTCGCCTCGCCGTTCTCAGCGTTGATGGCACCAATAAGGCAGTTCTGCGAGATGTTCTGGAGGTGTCCACGGTACTTGAGCCAAGGGCCGCCAGCCGAGATGTGGTCCGTAGCTATACGAGATGCGGTGAGACCATGCCACGAGCGCGGAAAGCGAAGGAGACTTACTGCACTTGCCCTTAGCCTTGATCAGAATGGGGAGGTCCTCTGGGGTCTTGCCATCCCAGGGAGGGAAGGGCTTGAGGAGCTGGAGACGGTCGGACTTGGGGTCAACGGCAACAGAGACGGATGCGCGGTCAGAGGGGGGAGCCTGGAAGGTATTTTCGCCGGGGTCGTAGCCACGAGGGGGGAGCTCGTTGCCGGAGGGGTCGGTGAACTTGAACGGCTTGCCATCAGAACCAGTCAGGGTGTCGGTAACGGGGTTGAAGGTCAGGTCGCCAGCGAAGGCCATGGCGGTGACGATGTCCGGAGAAGCGACGAAAGCGTGCGTGGCGGGGTTAGCGTCATTGCGGCCGGTGAAGTTGCGGTTGTACGACGTGATGATCGAGTTGACCTCGCCCTTCTTGACATCCTGACGATCCCACTGACCAATACACGGGCCACAAGCGTTGGCAAGGACGAGACCGCCGACAGTTTCGAAAGCCTCGATCTGGCCGTCACGCTCGATGGTGGCACGGACCTGCTCGGAACCGGGGGTGATAGTAAACTTGGACCTGACGTCGAGACCGTGGGCAGCAGCTTCCTTGGCGATAGAGGCAGACCGGGACATGTCCTCATACGAGGAGTTAGTGCAAGAACCGATGAGAGCGACCTTGAGATCCTGGGGCCAGTTGTTCTTCTTGACCTCATCAGCGAACTTGGAGATGGGAGTAGCCAGATCGGGTGTGAAGGGACCGTTGATGTGGGGCTCGAGCTCAGACAGGTTCTAACGATACGTTAGAACATTGGCGCTATTCACTACGAGGACAACGTACGATGTCGATAACCTGGTCGTACTCGGCGTTCTTGTCTGCCTGGAGGTTGTGAGAGAAGCGCTGAGCGTACTTGGCGATCTCGTCACGCTTGGTGGCGTTGAGGTAGTCGACCATGCGGTTGTTGAAGGGGAAGAGGGAGGTGGTGGCACCAATCTCAGCACCCATGTTACAGATGGTGGCCATACCGGTGCAAGAAAGCGACTCGACACCGGCGCCGGTGTACTCGACGATGGCACCAGTACCACCCTTGACGGTGAGGATACCAGCCACCTTAAGGATAACATCTGATCCCGAAGTCAGGGCATGGTCAAGGGGAGGTATGACTAAAATTACGTACCCTTGGGAGTAGTCCAGCCACTAATCTTGCCGGTCAGGTTGACACCGATGACCTTGGGGCACTTGAGCTCCCAAGGGATGTTAGCCATGACGTCGACGGCGTCGGCACCACCAACACCGCACGCGACCATACCGAGACCACCAGCGTTAGGGGTGTGTGAGTCGGTACCGATCATGAGACCACCAGGGAAGGCGTAGTTCTCGAGGATGATCTGGTGGATGATACCAGAGCCAGGCTTCCAGAAGCCGAGGCCGTACTGTACTATATGTGAGCGAGGCTTCTAACGTTGAAGGGGGATAGCAAACAGACCTTGGCGGTGGCGGTAGCCAAGAAATCATAGACTTCCTTGTTGATGTCGATGGCGCGGGCCAAATCCTTGACACCACCAACCTGGGCCTCAATCAAGTGGTCACAGTGGACGGTGGTGGGGACGGCGGCGGTGTCCATGCCGGAAGACATGAATTGGAGAAGGGCCATCTATACAGAAAAGATTACGTCATACAGGGTTCGAGGTGACGTATGAGATAACGGGTTGACGAACCTGAGCGGTAGCATCCTGGCAAGCGACGCGCTGTTGATGTCGTGTCAATGAGGGTGTTCAAATGAGAGGACAGAAGAGAACACACGTCCGGGCGAAGCTTGAGGTAGGAGGTACCACGGGTGATGTCCTGGTTATGGGGGTCGTCAAGATGGCCGTAGAGGATCTTCTCCGAGAGCGTCAGAGGGCGGTTGAGCCTTTGCAGCCATTAATATCCGACTCAAATCTTTGGAAACAGAAAGATTCACCTCTGGCGGACGACGGCGAGGTTGTCCTCGATACGTTGGTAGTTGATGTATGCGCCCTTTTCGAGGAGGGACATGGGTACTTTTGTGTCACCGATGCGGGAAGCGGCGGTGGCCATGCCGGCGGCCATGCGCTTGGCGGTGCGCATGGCGCCCTGCTTTGTAGAAGACGCGTTCAACATCGTCGAGATGTATCACCGACGACGAGGGCGGGGGGGAAGACCGCAGGCGAGAATGTCGTCGACGACGAGGAAGAAAAGTTGGAAGGAAGAGGAAGGGGACTCGGCAAGTTGCGGAGGAGAGCCAGCGTGCATTTATCAAGCTCCCGCCCTCGTGATTATGGAGGGGAGCAGCCAATCAGATTTCGCACAATAATACAGCTATCGCCGCAAGGTCCGACAAACACTGCCGAATGCGGCAGGTGGCCGGTCTAGCATTCACGACAGCCGGCCGCTCTGTTGCCGATAGTTGCCGACGAGTGGTCTGCAGGTCAAGGAAGACGCCGCAAGATATTCCGAACATGTCAGACATTGGCTAATCGCTGCACGGCGCAGCCTCGAGGAACATGCAAAACGTTTTCGCTCTCCCACCGGCCGAAGTTCACACTCCCACTGCACCTCCCAATTGGCATATGTCTGGCCGCCGAGGACCCATCGGGTAACGGCAACATCATCGTCGCATCATACGCGCCGTGTGCACCCATCCGAAGCTGTGATACTGATGTGAATGCTACTGACACAAGGAATCGACGTCATGGCTAACGTAGAGGACAACGCCGCAGCATAATCCAAGACAAGTTTGGCTCCAGTAAGTAGTATTAGCGAGCCTTCTCTAGATCTAGTCTATCCTGTCCTTCTTCTCTTCTCTTCTTCTTCCTCCACCGTTTTGAAACAAAGTGTAAATAGCACACGATCACCGTGGCACGACAGGCACACCCCGGAACTCGGACCCCAGAACCGGACAGCGAGTGCCGCGGTCCGGCGTGCACGGATGAAACGCTGGCCGACGGTGAATCGATGACCAACGGCCGTGTGCTGCTCCTCCAAGTCCATCCCACGTCACACACAACGTCCACCTGAATCTAGCCTAGCGTCCTGTGGACAATCAGCGCCCAGCGGCCGACGCATACCCGAAGCTCGTCCCCTCCAATCCCCTCGCCACCAGCGCAAACTGCTGTGCAGCCTCCTTCGTCCGCTTCGGACTTCGCGATCTGCTCCGTGTCCAATCAACCAGCCAATCACAGAAACACATGCCAAACAACACGCACCCAACGACAGCCTTGACAAACGCGCGCTTCGCCTCCGGACTCGCCTTCGAGTCCACAAAGTCATCCTATCACCCGTCAGCGCATGTCAATATCGTCCAGTGCAAGCCCACTCACAGCAAACAAAATCTCCTCCATCCATACCCTCGCCTCCGCCGGATGCTTCGTGACAATCGCACTCAACACCTCGATCAGGTTCGCCGTCGCACTGCGCGGTGCTACGCCCGCAAAGCCCTCGAGCAGCGCGCGCATGATCCGCCGACCGTGCGTCCCGATCAGCGCCGCGTTCTCCTCGCTCAGCGCGTCGCTGCTCCCTGTTCGCTTGATAAGTGCGCCCTACGTAGTTCTCAGTAAACAATGAAACGCGATGAGGGAGTGAAAGTGAGACATACGAGGAAAGTGCACGTCGCAGCAACCGAATACCGCTCCTGCATCGCCAGCCCGCCCAGCGCACACCCAATCAGCGCATCAAGCGCACCAGGCGGGAGCCTATAAAACGCCACAACAAAGCGCGTCGCGACAACATCCATGCACCCAAAGAACGCCTGCACAATATCCGGATTCTGCACCAACCAAAGAAAGCAATAATCGAACCAACTCCCATGTCAGCACCGCTCTCCTACCAAGGCCCACCCCACACTCACCGAATCCATACCCCCAGGCTGCCCCAACACCCCCAACGCCGTCCTCAACAACACCGGCACAACCTGCCCCACCAACGCCAACGCCTCCGCACTCGGCCCGCTCTTCAGCGGGTTCCCCCCACCCCCTACCCCTCCGCCCGACGGCGTGCTCGTCCCCGACGACGCATACGGGAACGGCGACGGCGCATCCAGCTGGTTCAGCAGCATACTCGCCAGCGCGATCCACGTCCCCGTGATCTGCCGCTCGCACGCCGCGCACACGAGCTCGAGCAGCGGTCCGGGCGGGAGCGAGAGCAGCGTGACGTCGGCGGGGAGCGCAGTCAGCGAGCGAAACAAGTCGGATGTCGCCTGCCCACGCCCACCCGAAAGAAAGGTACATTTTAGATGGATCGAACGCAACAAAGAAAGGCGAGAAAGCAAGGGTACGCACATCGCCGACACTCGCATCCGCGCTCCACAGCCCCAGCGTATCTCGCACAGCGGCATACACCGCCTCGCGCATCCCGACCATCCGCGGGTCCGTCCTCGCCCGCTCCAGCCTCTCCACCGCCGCGGCCTCTTCCGACGACGGCTCATCCAGAATAAGCAGCGCGTCCGTCGTGCGCGTCAGGCCCTTCGCGACGCCCGCGAGCGTCTGCAGCTGCACAATCGCCAGTGCACGCGCTTCCTCTGGCAACTACACAAAAAAAACGCACATCCATGAGCAACACACTCGCGCAACGACCCAGCCAGCCATCAAATCGCAAGCCAACGCACCTGCGAGCTCCCCTGCAACGCCCGCACCAGCTTCTCCACAATCGGACTCGCCACAGCCTGCACGGGCGGAATCGCGTCCTCGGGCGGCAGCGCCTGGATCACGCTCGCGATGCTCTGCAGCACCTTCGCGCGCTCCATATCCGGGATACTAACCAGGCTCGCGTGCAGCTCCGCGAACGCACCAATGTGCGGCGCAAGCGCGCTCCGGTTCGCGTCGCACAGGTCGCGCAGCGCGTTGGCGGCGTACAGGCACAATGCGGGCTCGGTCAGCGCGGACGCGACGTATGCGACGGCGCGCATGAGCAGCGAGGGCTGTTGTTGTTGCTGTTGTTGCTGGCCTGGTTGGAGCGATGCGGGGGACGGCGATGCGGATGGCTGCGTGGTGAACCACGATGCGTATGTCCCTGGTAGTCGGTATGAGCATGCATACATATAACATGAGGTAAGAAAAGGAACAGAGGGAAGAACACACCGATCAGCCCCAACGTCGTCCTCCGCACCCTGTCCTGCCCCGCCGTCGGCAGCCGGCCGAGCATGTCCTCGCCGAACAGGCGCACGAGCCGGACGTTGTCCTCCAGCGGAACGGCCTCCTGAACCGACATGACGCAGTGCAACGTCGCTTCTATCTCCTATTTGTTCGATGGGTCGGGACGTGAGAAGGAAAGCACCGGTGGAGAAAGGAATACCGCACCTCCCAGCCGTCCTGCTCCGCCCGCTGCGCGAGGCGCTGTTGTAGGTCCTTGAGATAGTACGCGAGCATGTCGTCCCGGAGTATGTAGTACCTGCGCGCACTGTCACATCTCAAGCGAATGTAACAATTTAACGGATGACCCACGCGTTGATCAACGTATCGCCCACGTCCCTCCGATACCTATCGCAATGCCATCGTCCTCAGCATCCTAACCCACCAAAACCAATCAGAAATCACGCACACTTGAAACTTGTCCACCTGGTCTGCCCACCCAAACCAAACCAATTAACCAATCACGCGCATCCTCCTTAAAGAAAAGCCCAAACGCACCTTTCGCCCACCCGCCCCCTCCCCTCGGCCACACCACCTTCCGCCTCAACACCTTCACAAGCTCATCATACACCGCCCTAACCACACTCCACATATCCTCCTCCTCCCCATTCACCCCTCCCGCCCCTTGCCCGCCCCTGCTCCTCGACCGCGCATGCATCACCCCACCAGGCGGCACATCGCCGTGCAGAAAATCGCCATGCGAATCGCCCAATAAATCATTCTCGTCGTTCTCGTCGTCAAACTCCACGCTCCACAGCGCCTCCTGGAAGAGATACCAGAAGCCGAGCGTCATCTCGGACGCGTCCTCGTCCGCGCCGTAGTACCCCGCCAGACCCGTGTAGGACATCAGCAGGCGGAGAAACGTCTGGATGAGGTGTGCGCGCGTCTGCGGCTGGAGGTGGTGCAGCTGCGGAGACGCGGAGGGCGCGACGGGCTGCAGCGAGACGATGTGCGACGCGAAGTACGTCGTCGAGTGGTCGCCCAGCGCGACGAGGAGCTTGCAGAAGGAGTGCGAGACCGCGTCGACGTATTCCGCTGTTGTTCGCATTATGGGATTCGAATCACGATGCAGAATGAGAGAAAACGGGAACGTACAGGCACCCTGAACGATCCGCGCGCCGTACGCGGCGCACCACAGCAGCAGCGGCTCCGTGAGCGAGCCCGTGCCGGAGCCGCCCGCGAGCGCCGACTTGGACATGATCTCTTGCAGAGCGTCGGACGCAGGCACGAACGCGGCTTCGTCCATCTCGCCTCCGCCGCTGGCCGGGGGCGTGAGGAGGCCGATGAGGAGCGGGATGAGCGGGATGAGGTCGCTTTGGGCGCCAAGGAAGGGAGGGTCAGCGTGTCATGAGCTGGAGAGGACAAGAATAAGGATGAGACTCACTCGCCGCGTAGAATGTACACCCATGACTGCAGGCATCTGAGCGCCGCATCGAGCTCGCGCGTGTTACGCTGCCCGTGACCGTTCATCGCGCTCGTCGCTTGGTTGATGGACGACACGATGGCCTGTACGACCATCGGCGCCGCGTCGAGGAGGGACTGCTGCATCTTCATCCTGCACACATTCATCATCCATAAGCTGACACATACCGCAACGCAGTAGATTAAACCTTGGGGGGAAACGCACTTTGTAGTACCGAGCAACTCAACAGTCTCCAGCTCCTGCGCGACGATCGCGAGGAAATCAAGTAAATGCTCGGTGGGGACACCACCCGAGGACATGAGCGACGCGGCGGAGAGTATCCAGCCGTCCCATTGCCACTGCGAATTCTGACTCGGCACGATCTTGAGCGCTAGCGATGTTATCTATGATCGAACATGCGCGCATTGCAAGGGTAAACGCCACTGAGGCATGAAAAGGGGCGGAACGGAAGGAAAGGGGGAAGACGCACAGCGACAAAGAGCTTGCGGAGGATGACCTTGTTGCGGCCCGAGACGATCGCGTGCGTCGTGAGCTGGAGAAGCAGATCGCGCAGCTGCATCACCGCATCCTGGGGCACCGAATCCCTGCCGCACCCAAACCACGCCAATCCGACACCCAGACACGCATCCCAGATCGCATCCACGCGCACGCACACCGCACCGCCATCGCACGCCCCGCCAAGGATTCAAAGGTTGTCGTCATTAGGGTGCTGTAATTTTGGGGAGAGGGGGAGGAGACGCACCAATCGCGGGCGATCTTGACCTGTGCAGTGTGTGCGCCGAAGAACTGGACGTTCTCGTCGTGGTGGGCGAGGAAGGGGACGACGAGCCCCCATGCCTCGGGGCGGCGCTGGATCTCGAATAGCTCCTGTTGCAGACGGCGCTGCTCGGCGGGGCCGAGGGTCGCGCGGGGCGAGTAGGCCTCTTGGATGAGCTGTAATCAGATGCGCGATGTGGGGTGCAGTGGGCATGGTGTGTCATGGTCGGGCGCGCACGAGGGATGCGAGTTGTGGATGGAGGATGGCGGGGTGGTGAATGTTAGTTTTTTCTAGTTGTGGGCGACATGAGGATGAGGACGGACTTGTGCAGCGCGATCGACGTCTGATTGGGAGAGGGCGGGCAGAAAGGTTGCGGACATTCGACTGGGGCTGAGGAGAGGAAGGTGGGGGAGCGAGCAAAAGGGGAGACGCGTCGCGTAACTCATCTCCTACTCCCAACTGAAACATTCATCCACTCGCTCCGTTTGTCATCGTTCAGCTGATACTTAAGCCAGTGAAATACCCAGAGTTAACTCGCTGGAGCACCATAGTTCCAGCTCACATTTAATGCAGAACATAATCATACATTCTAGTCTACTTTCCCCTCCCAACATCATCCAACGCCCTCATCTTCCGTCTCCTCTCAACCAACGCCCTCCTCGCACTCTCCTCCTTCTCGCTCAAACTCTCTCTCCTCCCTCCCCGTCTACTACCACCGACTCCTCCCTGCCCAGCACCCCCAAAGCCGAAATTCGCAGACGTCATCACCGAGCTCGCAGACGAGCTCTTGCGCCTCACGAGCGCCGGTCTGTCCCCTCCTGCCAATCCTCCGCCGTCGGATGGGATAGTGCTGGGAGCACCCTGACGACGCCGCGTGTAGCTCTCCTTCGCCGCCCGACGACGCGCTGTGACGGCGCGCTTGCCTGACGTGCTGCGGCGCGTGAGGCGGGGCTGAAGATTGAGGGGTGCAGTGGTTGCCGTCTGCGCATATGCGTGGCGTTCCTGCTCAGTCTCGAGTCTACGGTTGAATCCATCAGCGCTCATCCAAGGCTAAGCACAGAGCTGTTGGGTAGAGCGCCTCACCTCGTTTCCTCAAGTACCTCCGGAATCTGCACAGGCAGCGCCTTATCGACAGACCTCGCAGCGCTCTCCTGCGAATAAATACTCACACTCGCAGCGCTCGCCTCCCCCACCGTACGCGTCTCCGCGCCCGCCTCCCCCACCTCCACCGCGCTCCCGAGAAGCGAATCCCCAAAAGACACCACAGACAGCTCGGATCTCAGCGGGCGAAACGGACGCCTGACGGGGCGAAGCGTCGCATCGGAGTTCGCCTTGGACACGTTGGCGGTCAACGCCGCAGTCGCAGCGGCGGTCGCAGACGCAGCGGCAGCAAACGTCCGCTCGTCCTCGCCCTTCAGCCACGCATCGTACCCCGCCCCATCCCCACCAGCACCGGCGGGGCGCATTCTCGACACCCGCCGTCCAGGCACCGGCGTGAGCATTTCCCCCGCTCTGTCGTCGCCGGAGGGAGCCTGGTCCGCGGAGGCACCGCCCCAGCCCCATCCAGCAGGCAGCGGTACCGCGTTGATAGCGCTCGCGACGCCCGCGCGCAGCGTCGCTGTCCATGTCTCGCCCTGCTCGCCCGCCGCCTCCGCCTCCGCAGCTGTAGGCAGACGCGCTGTCGGCGCTGGAGAGGCGTTATACGGGCCTGGAGAAGGTGTATAAGGCAAGGGCGAGACGGGATGAGGCGAGGGCGAGTGGCCCGGGCGGAGAACCGAGGGAAACCGGTTCTTCGGCTTCGGTGGTGGCGGGGGCGGAGGGGGACGCGGGAGTGCTTTGGAACGTAGGGGATTTGGAGTAGTGCCTGGACTGTACGCTGCGGGACTGGCGTATGTGTCCGCGCGCGTGCGCAGTGTGCTCTCGCCTGCCTTGAGCGCGCCCCAAGGGACAGTCTTGCCCTGCGCCTCGACGCTTGGGTGCCGGCCACGCGTCAGATCCCTTGTTGTCGGCGTTCCCATCGTGTTCTCCATCAACATGCCCACTGTGCTGGAGTTGCGTCTCCTTCCCATACTTTCCCGTCGACCGACGGCTTCTGGTGAGAAGCCGCTGGAGTGAGAATGCAGATGCAGGCCAAGACCCGACAGCGCAGCTCCGGGCGGCATACTGATGCTCCGCGTCGACCCCGTCTCGTCGCCGCTCGTGAGCATGTCCCCAGGGACCATATTCGCGACCTCGAGCCTGCCGAGCGTGCGCGCGCGCTCCTGGACGGACTCCTCCGTCTCGTCTCCCTTGTCTTCATGCGGGCCCACATTGGCATAGCTTGCGATCCTCGCACCGTTCTCAATCTGGCTCCTGTTGCGCGCTCGCGCGCCACCGCCGGACCACGCGGCGGAGTGATGTCTGCTTTGCCGTGCACTTGAGCTCTGCGAGGCGTCCCGCTGTCCCGGGCTAGCATCGAACGAGCCGAGCGGGCCATCGGGGTACGGACTCGGCCAGAGCCCCGCGCCGACGCCCGCTGGGCGACGGCCGGAGATGGACGCGCGGAGGTGGCGCATGTCGGCGTCGCTGGTCCTGCGCAGCGTCCGTGCGCGCGAGGGGTCGTCTGGGTCTTTGAGCTCGCCCGACGAGGCTAGCGCAGGGACGAAGCACGCGATCGCGTCTGCGGAGTCCTCCTTCATGTTGCTTGCTCTCTCGTCTCCGTGCAACGTGTCCTCGTCGGACGTCCTGATACCCCTGCCCCCGCCTGGAGGCGGTGGCGGCCTGCGTCCCGCGCCGAGCTCCGCCATATCGACGTTGCAGTCCCACGGCAGCCCGCGCGCCTCCATGTCCGTGCGCGCTTTCCTCCGCTTACGGCGCTTGCGCACGATCCACACGATGCCTGCGCCCACGCACGCGAGGACGCCGACGCACCCGAGCACGAGCGCGGTGACGAACGTCGCGTTTCCGCGGACCTCGAGCGCCGTCGTCGCTGTGGGAATCGGGATGGGCTTGCCATCGGAGCGCGTGCTCATTGGCGGGGGCGCGGCGGGGGTCGTGCTGCTGGTGTGCGGCGTGACGGAGGGGAGGGAGGTGAAGGCTTCGGTAATGGCGGGGGTGGGGGCGGTTGTGGGCAGGCCGGCGGGGTTGGGGGCTTTGGAGGTGGATGCGGCGGGGTGGGCGGGGAGACGTCGTCTGTGAGGGGCGTATCGGTCATTGAGATGGAGGGCGTTGGGAGGAGGCAGTCCGGGGAAGCGGAAGGGCAGGATGCAGAGGGGTCGGACCAGCCGGTGGACTTGGAGAGTCGTTCAGGCATGGACGTTGGGGTTGGGACAACGAGCGAGCTCGGAGGAACTGGGTCGGTAGTTGGGATGCGCGTTGGAACACTGTTCACCACTGCGCTGCCTGGACTCGGGTTTGCGCTTGGACTTGTGTTGGCGGCGATAGGTGAACTTGAGACGGACGCAGGACCTAGAGAGGTAGCGACCAGCACTCCGTTGGAGCCCAACACCAGGTCGGGCGCGTACGCACGAGATGCTGCTTTGCCACGATCTATGTATTGATACAAGTTGGCGTGAAGTGGCATGGCTCTTGACGGTCTTGACGAGGGCAGCGCGCCCGGCGCATGAGATTTAGTTGCTTCCAGAGCAGAGCAGGAGGTGGTGGAATATAATTCGTCTCATCGCCAACCATGAACATATACATTTGCTCTGGCCCGGTCTGAACTGGAAGGGACAGTGGATGACAGGGGGTGGCTGTGAAGCTCATTTAGTGACGCGCCCCGAGACGCGTCGGTAGAGCAGTCCCGTGACTCGTCTTTTCTCCACCCCCTCTTTCCGTGAACGTCGACAGCGATGGACAGCGACGAGGATCTTGCAAGGTGCGTAAAAGATGAACCATTTTGCTTTCAGACACTCAGTAGAGACAACAGAGCCATCGCGCTCAGCCTACAGGACCAGGCCAACAAGCCCAAGGCTCAGCCCGAAGTGCACGTCATAGACGACTCGTCAGACGACGACGAAATAACTATTCTAGACGAGGACCCGCAATTCAGCAGGGACCTCAAGCGCGCCATGAAGCAGTCCAAGGCAGAGGCGGAAACCTCAGCTTCCACTTCCAGAAACGCCACGTCCCCCGCCCCTCCAGCGCGTCGGGCTCGGCCGCGCACACGCATACAACGACGCCCGCGTCCGAACTCACGGCTTCATCAGCCCAGGCGCCGGGTGCACCATCTGGCTTCATCTCAGAACGCGCAAAGATGGAACAGGAACGTCTTGCTCGGCTGAAGCGTCTTCGCGGCGACAGCGTCACCGATACCACATCCGCAGACCAGGGCGACCAGATTCCGGTGATGAAAAGGCAACGCGTTTCGCCTTCACGCGCGTACGCCGGTAATAACCGTGCCGCTCACAGCGTCTCCGCCTTCGCCTCTTCGTCCTCGTCTGGCGTCGATGAGGCGGGCGGGAAGGGTGGCGGGAAGGAGAAAGGAAAGGAGAAGGAAAGAGACGTGCCCACTATTGACAGGACATTCTGGGACGGCGAGCTCAGGCCGACAGCAAACAGGCATGCAGAGCCGAGGGCGGACGGGCGGGCTACGTTCAGGCTGTCAGAGGTTATCGGACATGTACGTCTCTCCTCCGCACCTCGCTTTCGTCTCTCTTCCTCTCTTCAACGAGTCTCATTGTCTCATTATCTTACATGCACGATGTGCTGTTACGAAAACGCAGAAATCCAACATCGAGTTCGCGATTCTCTCCTCCTTTAGCACGTCCATCTCCTGGATCTACGAGTTCTTCGACCCGCACACGCCCGTCATCTTTGTCGCGCAGCCTGATTCCTCGGGAAACGCGGCGCTCAAGAACGTGCTTCCGAACTGGCTCATGACGACCCCGTTCTTGCGGAACGGGTATGGGTGCCAGCATATGAAGGTGCGCCATGCGCATATCGAGTAGACGTCCCGAATGGCGCTAACGGAGAATGGCAGTTCATGTTGGTTGGTGCTTGGTTCGCTTTGTGACTGGGACAGCGAATAGGATGGCTGACTTGGTACGATGATGGGGGACCAACAGCTGTTTTACAAGGACGGACGTCTCCGTGTCGTTATTTCGACTGCAAACCTGATCGACTATGACTGGCGGGATATTGAGAATGTATGCCCTTTCTCACCCTCCCCGTTCTGTTATTAGTGATATTTCGGATTGACGGTCATTCGTCACACAGGCTGTCTGGTTACAAGACGTCCCTAGGCGCCCCTCGCCCATCCCACACGACCCCAAAGCAAAGGATGACTTCCCCTCGATCATGCAGAATGTCCTCCGCTCGGTCAACGTGCGCCCAGCGCTGGCGAATATGCTCGCTAACGACGTACGTATATCTGCCTCTCTCGCATGGCCCCTCCCTCACTCGATCTCACGCTGACTCCACGGTCGCACGCAGCACCCAAACCTCCCCCTGCAAACCATCGCAGACCTGCGCACGCACTGGGACTTCTCAAAAGTCAAAGTGAAGCTCGTCCCGAGCATCGCAGGGAAACACGAGGGCTGGCCCGCGGTCGTGCAGAGCGGGCACCCGCGGCTGATGAAGGCCGTGAGGGACATGGGCCTGCGGACGGGCAAAGGCAAGGCTGCGAAGGAGCTGGTGGTGGAATGCCAGGTTCGTCCCCTGTTCTCCACTCTTCTTCGCTGTTGTGTACCGGACACCATGGAAGTGGCTGACCACCATTAACATATATAGGGCTCCTCGATAGGCACGTACACCACCCAGTGGCTCAACGAGTTCCACCACTCCGCGCGTGGCGAGTCCGCCGAAGACTGGCTCGACGCGCCGCGCTCGCGCCGCACGAAGCTGCCGTTCCCGCCCGTCAAGATTATTTTCCCGAGCTTGAAGCGCGTGCGCGCGACGGCGCTCGGCGAGCGCGGTGGAGGTACGATGTTCTGTAAGCGGGCGCAGTGGGAGGGGAAGAACTTTCCTAGAGGATCCTTTTATGAGAGCGAGAGTCGGGGTGGGAGGACGCTGATGCATACCAAGGTGAGTCAGCATAACCCCTCTTGTGGCCTCACTAGTCTAGGACCGGGTGAAAGGGAGATGCTAATGCCTCGGACTCACACAGATGATCATCGGCACGTTCCGCTCCAACCCGCTCGTCAGCGTAGGGGCTGGCACGTCGAAAAGTGCTCCTCAAAAGAAACAGCTCGAAGACTCTGAAACTGAGCCAGAAGATGATGATGTAGATCCAGACATCCAAATCGTCAACGAACCCATCGGGTGGGCGTACGTTGGTTCGCACAACTTCACACCCTCCGCGTGGGGCACGCTTTCGGGCTCGTCGTTTAATCCTTCACTTAATGTTCGTCTTTTCTCCGCCCGCTTGAGTTTGTCGTCCCGAGGTGCTGACAATAGATCCGTCCATGCATTGCTAGAATATAAACTACGAATTGGGCATCGTCATGCCACTATATAACGACGAGGACATCGACAGAGTGAGCTGTTTCAAGCATCCGCCGAAGAAGTATGGTTCGGATGATGTTCCTTGGGTGCGTTCGTTTAGTTTTCTTGTCCTTATTCAGCGGTATCTTCGCATACTAACCCATGTATGTTGTGTAGATGCAAGACGAGTCATTGATTCTACGCGAGATTGCTGCTGCTAGCAGCTGATGTTGCGATCCTTGTTCTGTAGAATGCCACCATGCATTACTTGTATCAACTCAGCTGATACATATGATCCTGAACCCGCGTTCTTATATGAGATTGGATGCGCTATTCAGTAAACTCATGGTGAGGTGAGATCAAGGCTCCTATCTTAATTTCCGAGGAATGCCTGCAGACCCTTGCCGATGTTCATGGTGGCCTCTGAATCGGAGTCAGGTAGCTTCACGCTGCGGAATCGGCGCCTGTCCGTGTCGTTATGGTCCTTTTCTCATGCTAACTTCGTATTCTGTTAAAAGACTAGGTCGATGTTTAGAAATGGCCTTTTCAAATGCATGCGGCAACTAGACAACCTAGGAGATCACTTGACAGCACTCGCCTTCACGGTTTGCACCAACTCCTATCATCCCACTCCATATTTAGTTGCTACGGCCAACAAACTGCAAATTTCCTGAAGGAAAATAAGGGGAAAGGGGGCTGAAAAGCTTTCTTGCCCAACCTACCTCGCCAGAAAGGCTGACGAGATTTTTCCCTTTTCTCCCCATACCATGGCTTTTGGCCAAAATGACATCGACAAACGAAAGTCTCCTAACTCTCTACTATGGTCAACCGGCAACCTGTGCGAAATTTTTCCCTTTTCCCGGATGAAGTTTCGTCAGAAATGTGGCGGAAAAAATCCCGTTCAGCTCGCCCCTTCTTTAGCTCATTTTCCTGCAGTATGCAAGTGCGAATCACCTCCAGAATCCATCCCATCACTCGCCACAGCCGGCACTAGCAACGACAGCGTCTGGTGCGATGCGTATGATGTGGTATGATGCGGCTTGGACTAGCGCCTATCTGGTTACGATAGCACTTGCCCTTATCAATGTACAAATATCCAAAGTAAGCTTATGTGGCATCGCAACGCCTCGCACGACTCTCAAGTCCAATTCTACCAATACCTTCTAACACTCAAACCGCCCTATCAATCATTCCATTCCGCGCCCGTCAGATCCAGTGCGGCCGCTCATATATAAACGCGTCCCCTTGGTGTCTGCCTGACTTTTATCTCCCTGTATCACCCCAATCACTCCGCGTCGCGCGTTTCCGCGTAACGGTTCAGCGGTCAGCAAGATTCAAAAGGAATGAGAACCACGGTGACATCGATCAACATCATCATTAGGTACCAATATGACACTTGGACCCAGAGGAGAAGAGAATCCGGCGGTAGAATTCATGCGTGGACCATTGATAGGTAGTTTGATTGGAATGGGGTAAGTGTGGGCGGACTTTACTAGTAATGGCATAATCATCTAAGTGCACAGGCTATATGGAATAACATGCTTGCAAGCTGTGTTCTACTACAGGGCTTACCCGGGGGATCGTTGGAGCCTCAAGTTGCTTGTGAGTTCCCTATATACAAGAACGTCCGCTTATTGTTCACTATCTCACCGGGCAATCGAATACTAGGTGGGCATAGTGTGGTTTGTGGAACCCCAGCATAGACTATCAACACTATCTCACTGCTGTCCGCCATAACGCTCTACAGGACACTCGAGACTGCACATGCGTGCCTGTCAATAACCGTCATTAACAAGATGTTGATACAGGCGTTTGGGAATAATCTTGTAGTATCATCTACAAACTGGTCTGTGTACCACGTTATTTATCCGTGCCAACGCTAAAATGAGTCCATACCTGGTTAGGGAGTTCATGGTAAGCTGTCACGGTGCTACTGTAAATTGCCACTAGTCTAATGCAGCATCCTTGCGCTTAGATGGTATTTACACTGGGTGTAAGTTTGACAAAAATATTACTAAACAGGGGGCTTACTCTGAAGATCAGTTTTTGACTGATTTTGTGGTGTACATGTACGTGAATGAATTGAAAATGATATAACACATTAACTATACTCACGTACTATAGTTACTTCATGTGGAAAATATGGACGTGTAGGTTACATGGTTCGTATATATAGTTAGTTTGATGTCTTGATAGCCGCTAGTCACACGAAGAATATGGCCAGTTTTATTGATGGTAAGTAACACTAAATCGGCTATAGATTATGTGGTACTACCACCAGTATAACTAGCTCCCCGTAATTCTCGCAAGGACAAGTAAGCTACGGGGAAATTAGAGTCGTCATCAGCTGATCATAGATCAGGCATCAGTTTATGGGGGTCTATCGATATGTAGGCTGATTTGATTTCTTCAAGTTCTCAATGTGACGATCTCTTCACCTAGGTTAAAGAACGAGCTATGGGTTGACTACCGAAGCTGGGTGTTTGTAGGTTTAATACTTACTGGCGCATACTATGCCTAGCTGAAGTTCGTACAGCCACTCAACCTAGCGGGAAATATGTTGTTTATTGTTGGAGACGTTTTCTCCTCTGCTATACTGGCGTATCACTTGAGGAAGCACCTTGATATTCGAAAAGGGTTTGTTGAACGGTATTATGCCTTTCAAGCCACTGATAAACTGTATCAACTCAGCTCCTCACTTAACCGTCTGCTTTATCGCCTTGTTGTATATACTGTTGCTACGGGAACATTGACTAGTTTGCTTGACATTGTAGCACTGGCATTGGTGAGCGTAGCTCAATCTTCGACATCCAATCATTTTTAATGAGAACGTTCTCCGGTAATATAGACGATCGACCAGAAAGGAGACACAGCTTACACCTCAATAGTGATATTCCAAAATCGAAGTGAGTACTATATGAAAATGTTCACCAATAGTGCCCTTAACGACATCTATTTCTCAGTCTATGCTAACTCCTTGCTCGCATCGTATGAAACTTCACCTTATTCTGCCCCCAGACTGCCGGTTGACCATCCCCCCGGTTAGAGTAAACATGCGCAAGATTAATCTGAGAAGCCTCAGCTCGCCTCTTGACCCTGATCTGCACTTGGAAATCATGGATAATTCTCGTTCTATACGATTTGCCCATGAAACAAGGGCAGAATTGGACGGTATCCAAACACCATCTTTGACTTTCCCGGCGCCATCATTACACGATGTGGAGTTCGGTTTAAGTCCAAGAGTTTCCCGTGAAGAGACAGGCCGCCAGAGCCGTGTAAGTCCTCGTATGCTGCATAGGTTGGTAATGATGCTCAGTGCTAACGGGATTGCTACTCAACTCAGTCTCAAACAACTATGATGAAGGTCGGGTTTGCAAAGTCGTCGAATGGGTCTCGGCATACGGCGAAAGCAACACCGGATGTTCGAAGAGCCTCCATCGGATAGTACACAGACTACACAGACTATGTAACATGAGTGAGAAAGTGGGTTCAGTTGCACATGCTGAGAGCCAACCGTTACTAGACAAATGGGGTAGGACCGTGGGCCAAATATTGTATTTGAATGATCATGATACTTATTTTTGAATCCGTTAAATAATATGCAGGAACGGTACAAATGCCTTCTCAGCTGTCTGCATCCGCGTCTGCCTCCTCTTGCGCTGAATTCGACTAATGGATGGTACACAGCGGTTAGAACAAAATAAGTCATAGGTCAAACAGCGACTTTACCTCCTCTTCTGTTGATAGAGGAACCGCACCCGTGGCGGTGTCCCACACACGCAGCGTGTGGTCCATGAACCCGCCAACGAAGCGCTTTCCGTCCGGGGAGAAAGCAGCAGCCCGTATACCATCTTCACCGCCCTCCAAAGGGCCAAGAATGCAGTCGCCCGTAGACGCATCCCAGATCCATATTGTCGAATCGTCAGCGCCGGCAGTCAGCAGCTTCGTACCGTCTGGCGACCAGTCTACAGCCCCGATTGGGCCTGTGTGAACGCGGATAGGATCGAACGAGAGGGCTGCGGTCGCGATGTCCCAAACGCGAACGGTGAAGTCGTCCGAGCCGCTGATGAGGCAAGAGCCGTCGGGTGAGAAGCACACGGCGCGAACCGGGCCATCGTGCTGAAACGGTCCTGCGAGTCGCTGGTAGTTTTCCAAGTCCCAGATGTAGATGCATTTGTCGTCTCCACCACTCGCCACCTTGGTCAAGTCTTCTGTCACCGAGAGCGTACGAACAGCATCGGTGTGCGCCTCGAGAAGCTGTTGCACCTGGCTTGTGAGTGCATCCCAAAACCGCACAGTCCCATCCTTGCCTCCGCTGATCGCTCTAGAGCCGTCAGGTGTCAGCTCGACAGCGTAAACTGATCCATCGTGGCTATTGAGAGGTTCCATCAGCGACTCCATAGCTGCCGTGTCGAACAGGCGAATGGAGCCGCTATCTGATGCCGTTGCGAGCTTCGCGCCGTCCTCAGAGATGGACAGTGCATTGGTGAGATCATGGTGACATGGAAGTTCACCAACCTGGAGCCCAGTCTGCGCATTCCAGATTCGTACCAGAGGTTCTTCTCCCGCAGTTGCAAAGCGTTGCCCGTCTAGGAACCACGTGGTAGCTAACACAGACGCTCCAGCTTTCATTTTCCCGGGATTACTGCGTCTCTGTTCTTCTACAAAGTAGAAGCATCGTTCAGCCGATTCTTTGAAGGCAGCGTGCTCATCGTCAGAAAGCTGATGGGGACTGGTCATCACGATGTATACTTGGCTCACAGAGTGGTGCTCACCGACGGAAGTGTTGCTTTGCCTGTCCGTGCATCCCAAATCTGAACTCGAGGAGGGGCACCGCTATCAGCTGAAGTAAAGTACATCCCATCAGGAGAGTATGAGACGCTCCGTACGTGATCTCCGTGTGCGTATAACGCCCCCCGGAACAAAGCCTGACCCGTGCTGACGTCCCAAACGCGAACTTCGCGGTCAAAGGAGCCACTAGCAATGCGCGTGTTGTCGGGAGACCATGCCACGCAGTTGACCCCGTCCCTGTGACCTCGAAACGGACTCTTCACGGGCCTTCCCGTCCGAGCATCCCACAGCCGCACGGTAGAATCGTCTGCGCCGCTTGCGAGGAATTTTCCATCTGATGAGTACATCACCGACTTGACCATGCCTTGATGTCCCTCGATGAGCAACGCCGCTATGTCAGGGTTCGTCAAGTCGAAGATGCGAACCTTGCAATCGATGCAACCGGTCGCGATTCGTTTCCCGCTCGGCTCCCAGGCGATGGAGAATATCATACCGTGATGACCCCCGTACTCAGATACGAGGGAGTAGCTGTATGCGTCCCATAGTCTGAGTTTTCCTTCGCTGTCACCGCTAGCAATGTACTGTCCGTCTGGAGAAATAGTGGCAGGCCACACCTGATTCGAGTCCTCGCCACACTTTAGGACCTGTACAAGTGTGTTCCTGGTGTCTGCGACGTCCCAGACGCGCACAGTGCCGTCATCGCTGCCAGATACAAGAACCGTTCCGTCGGGAGAATAGCAAATGCCGTCGACTTCGTCTGTATGTCCGTGCATCGTACCACCTACTTGCGTACCCAGGGTTGCATCCCAGATGCGGATTGTATGGTCCCGTGAGCACGTCGCGATGGATTTTCCATCAGGTGTGTATGCGATGGCCATGATACCCTTCGTGTGACCTGTGAAAGGCTTCGAGTCGCCTCCGTTTGTCTCCTCTGTAGTTCGAGGATCAACACTTCGCATTTCAGGTGGAGTGTCTTCTTGCTGTGTTTCTGGTGTGGTAACCATGGTTGGGGTTTCAGATGACTGGCGGCCGAGGTTGGATGAGGGAGAAGACAGCGGAAGGACAAGAAAATCAAGCAGCCTGGACAAAGGGGAGGCGAATAGTAGCGGGTCCGATAGTCCAGTCAACGGACAAGCGCTTCAAAAAGAGCCTTCCCAAGGCGTTGTATCTTGCAGGGAGTATTTGTACAGGGAGATAGTCTGTGGGGAGGGGAGCAGGGAAGGTACCGGGTCGTGGGAGTCAATTACGTAAGGTGGCGGGAGCGAAAGTTGCGGGTTCAGGCTTGTCTGGGAAGGTTTGAGCAGCGGAAAATGAAAGAGACAGGGCAAGCACAGCAGAAGAGATGCCGCGAGACGTTCCTTATCAGGAAGGTCCCCAGCCTCCAGGCCCCTCCAAAACACCCCCGATTTTCTCCCTCCCCTCCCCCCGCCCGCCTTGCCAACGAGACCCCACGCATCTCCAACTTCCATCACACCTACCCTCCCCTTCCCCCTCCCCCCCTCTCCCGAGCCCCTCCCGCCTCTTGACTCACACAGGGACCTCACAGCAATCGGTATATTATTCGCCTGGGATAATAACACTATCGCCGACAACATGTCAGACGACGCCGACGTGGAAATGCTCGACATGCTCCCCAGCACCCCGCGGGTGAACTTCCATCACAGTGCGCCCATCTCCGTCCCGCCTATCGCGGCGCGGCCCATACCGGTCTCGGTTGCACCCTCGGCGTCGCGCCCACCGTTAACGACGTTGCGCTCGACGTCGTCATCGTCGTCGTCGCGGGGCACGGTGGGGGCGTACCCCGCTGAGGCCGGAGATGTGGAGCCACATTTAGTTTCAGGGGATGAAGGAGAAGGTTCGCGGTCGGGCGAGAACGAAAGCGCGTCTGAGGACGAAGAGGAGGGCGAGGGCGAGGGTGAAGAAGGGGACGAAGGCGAGGAGGCTGAGGGCGAGGGCGAGGAGGGAGAAGACGGTGAAGAGGCTGAGGAAGCTGAGGAAGCAGAAGAAGGCGACGAAGAAACAGACAGCGAAGAAGAGGACGACGACGACTCGGTCGTCGAGATCCCCCCGCCAGGCCAGCGTGAGCCTAGTGCCAAGCCACTCACAACGCCGCCCGCAGCCGTGCCCGTCACATCCGTCGCGTCCGCGTCCGACCTCCCCGCCCCGCCTATGACCGCCGAATCTGACATGACCGCCGTCGGCACCGACACCACCGAAGCCACTAAGGCATCATCCAGCAAGCCGAGCTCAAAGGCCGTAAAGAAAAAAGGGCGCCCGCGCTCTCCCTCACCTGGAACGCCGCCTCCACCGCCCCCGCCCCCGTTGCAGACGATCCGGCTCGAGATTCGGCTGGGCGGGCCGGAGAACTACGAGGTGGACGTGCGCGCTTTGGCCCGGGAGACGGGGCAGCGTCCGCCATCGCCTGCGCTGCCTACAACGCATCTTGGCAAGCACTATGCGACAGACGTCGAGCATGAGGGAGGTGCCGGTGGAGATGGTACAGGGGAAGGAGGGACCGGGCCGCCCGAGGGGGCTAAACGAAAGAGGAAGGTGTGTCTGATCCGTTGTCGATTTGATTAAATGCTGATTAGGTCATATTGAACCCGTATTGGGCGTCTATTGTGGCGCACAGAAAAAGAACCACGCGTCCGAGTACTATGACACGGCCGACCCGTTCATCGACGACTCGGAGCTCGCTATCGACGATAGACATTATTTTGCGCAGACGAAGCAGCAGGGATTTTATGTTTCGAGTGGAGAGGTTGCGCTTCTCAAGGACAAGTGCGTTGTATCTTATGTTCTCCTATGTGGTCCTATGCTCATTGCCCACTACATCACCTTTTCCTCACCAACTATGCGCATGTACTCATCCGCCTACACCCAAACGCGCGCATATACCCAACTTTTCGTACTTCAACTCACGCATACCCTACATACACCCACCTTTTCAATCCTTTCTCGTACCCAACCCATCGCCTCACAACAGAACCCCTGCCCGAAAACCCAAGTCCAAAAAGAGCCCTGCACATGAAGTTCCCGGCGGTGCCAACGGGACGCACGCCAAACCAGACCCTGCACGGGAAAACCCCGTGCTCAGCTCGCTGAGCGTGAGCGCCGCGCTCGTCGGCTCGCGGCAACCTGGCGCGCCCGAGGGCAAGCGGCGGAAGAACTATACGGTCGTGGAGGAGAACGGAAAGAAGCGGAAGGTTGTGGATATTGTGAGTTTCGTTTTTCATCCGTTTTGTTCTGGGCGTAGAGAGGATGAGGGTTCTGATGGTTTTTGCTTATCTTGCACATATACCCACCTGGCTGCCTTTATCGTCGTTATATGCGTCTATTCTTCCTTCTTCTTCGACTCGGATTTGTACAGCGAGACTTCAAGCCCGAGCTCCAAACAGCATTCGATGATCTCAAAGCTGCCATTTCAAATCGTACGCATCTTCGTATACAAGCTACCATGGGCCCTTCCTGATATTTGGCTATGTAACAGAAACATGGGAGAACAAATCCAAGTTCCCGCCAACACTCAAGCCCCTGCTAGCCGAGGTTGCACTCAAAGCTGTGCACCTGGGCGAGTACGATGACGACTTTTTCAACCTCATGCCTGTCTTGTTCCCGTATAATCGGTTTACTATGTCTGTGAGTCGTGTCGTTTCCCTCTCGACATGAAGCGAAAAACATGGGCACGGGCGCTAACATCTAAGTTGATTTATAGAAACTCATCAAACGCCTCGTATTCGTCGACCATGTCAAGATCCTCACGGACGAGCAGGAGAAGCTACTCGCGCAGCTCGCCGCGCTCACGAAGGAGGGTTTCCCGCGCGCGAAGGAGGAGTGGGAGCGCGCCGTTGTGCAGTGGGGTGAGTCCTCTCGCCCATTTCCCCCGTCTACTCGTCCTAACGAATCACAATTGTACTCAGAGAAGCGCCAAGAGAAGCGCTCGGACGGTACGCCGGTAGCTGGCGGACCGGGCTCCGATATCAAAGACGAAGAAATGGCCGAACCCTCTGCTACCGCCAACGCGCTGTCTACTGCCTCGGCTCTGGACGGGGGCGCCGACGACGGCGGTGAGGGCAGAGAAGAGGGCGCGGGCGGCATGGCAGGGAGAGACGCGCACCCGCCGGCGCAGAAGTACAGACTGACGGAGGAGATGAAGCAGATCATATGGCAGCTCGTGTTGCTGAGCAACGAGTGCTGTCGGTTGGAGAATGAGAAGAAGTGAGCTCTCTCCTGTTCTTCTCGGAGCTTCGGTTGGGACGCGGTGTGCTGATGTGATTTGGCTGTGTTTTGTAGTGAACTCGAAGGGAATAATCAGATTGTGAGCGAGCAGGGGACGCGGAAGGTGTTGTATCAGAAGGTGCGGAACGTCTCACGGAGATGAGTCTGGAGCATCGCGCTGACGGTGTTTGGTAGATTGTGGCTTCATTCCCGCCTGGATGGCTTAACTCGGGTCAGATATCGCGTGATGGTGCGTACAGCATTTCCTTGAACTGTTGCCATTGTTCCTGATCAGTAAATGCAACTTACAGTGAGCGCCATGAAGAAGAAGCTCGAGAAAGAGGCTATGGAAGCTGAGGGTTAAACGTTAAACGTTAACCTTGCGGCCCCTGGTGTCCCTCCACCTCCAGTCGTGGATACTTGTGTCACTTCTGCATCCTGGCTGCGCGACTTACCCTGAGAATTTCAGCGCCGACATTTTTCTCTGGCTTCTTCCTCATTCTTCCCGCACTTATGTGATGTCACCGAGTGATGGACGGTTGTTCTCCCCGCGTACCTGTTTGATGAGGTCTGCTTCATATTATCATTATTCCTTCATTCCTTCGCCATTCATATGTTTCCTTTATTCGATAACACTCCCATCCCGTACAGTCTTCGGATCCTCGCATGCTCTACATTCGGCCTTCCCTCCCATCACCCGCCTTGCCTACCGCATGTCGTGCACTCTCTTTTCACTGCCCCCACTGCCTTTCAGCTATACACACGGGCTGGTCGTTTTATCCACTCGCCTTCCTCATGTCGCCGTACCTTACGTATCGCTCGCCCTAGTCAATGACACGCAACCGTGCACGTCGCTTACGCTCATGTTTCTTAGCTTTATATCCTCACGTCAACCCGTACAGTACTCGTACCAGTTAATTATGATGGTGTTTTCGTAGTGTATATTTTCGTCGTCGTTTTCATCGATGATTTGGTAAGTGGTTTGAGTCTTTCACTGATCTTGATCAGGTTGTAAGGATTCTTTTTCTTATTTCAGTCAGCCGGCATGAAACAAAGCTAAGCGGAGCCTTATGCACATGTTTCAGATGTTTGTTTTTGGTCTATAGTCGACTGTAACCACGATATTTGGGTGTCGCGCGCGGCTATCGTGGGACTTTCTAACAATTCTTTGCATGCTGTGCACTGTGCGCAGCGTTTTCTCTTTCAGCGCTTCTCGAACACTTAGTGGCGCCCGCATTGCTCACGTCCCTAACGTTAACACTCATGTCGCCCGACCTCATGCCTGATCTTTCAGAGATACAAGGACAACCAGTGGCTGAAACCGCAGATGTCGCACACTCCATTGCACAATCTCAAAACGCAAAGCCTGCCGGAGACGAAGGTCAACCCAAACCCTTTTCTGGCCATACGAATGGAGTCTGGGCTGTCGCGTATTCCCCTGACGGGAGGCGCATTGCTACTGGATCGAGAGACAGGACTATCCGCATCTGGAGCAGCAAGACAGGCAAACAGGAAGGAGAAACGATCAAGGGCCCTGCATCCGCGGTCAGGACCCTCTCTTATTCGCCTAATGGCAAGTTCCTCGTGTCTGGCACCTATGGCCAGCTGTTGCAGTTCTGGGACGCGGGGGACGGGTATAAACAAGTGGGGGATGCGGTCAAAGCGGAAACCAGGAGCTTGTTGTCGGTACAGTACTCACCCGATGGAAAGCTCGTGGCCAGCGCCGGCGGGGACTCTGGCAAAGTCAAGCTTTGGAACGCGCTCACGCACAAGCTTGTAGTCGAGCTAGATGGCAGTGCTGGCAGTGAGGTTTATTCTGTCACCTGGGCACCAGGCGGAAATCGACTTGCCGCCGCTTCAAACGACCATCAGATTCGCATCTTCGACGTGGAGAAGTGCAAGCTAGCGATTCCCCCCATTAACGTACACAAGGGCGAAGTGAACGTGGTGGCGTACTCGCCTAACGGCGCCTTCCTTGCGAGCGGGTCGGACGACCGTACTATTCGCATATGGGGTGCGGAGACAGGAAAGACTGCCAAAGGGCCATTCAGATGGTTTGGTGTTGCCAGTGTCGCGTGGTCTCCAGACAGTCAGCATCTCGTTGCTGGCAGTAGATCGCCTGACTTGGTCGTATGCGTCTGGGATGTCGACAAGGGCCAAATGCTTTTCAATGGTTCTCTCCACAGACACATTGGTTCGATCTGGGCGGTCGCTTATTCGCCAGACGGGAAATACTTTGTGTCAGCAGATAACAGCTCGGAGAGGGCGGATGCCGGGCGAATACAGGTTTGGGATGCAAATACTGGTAAAGCGGTGCTTCCTGTGGTGAGTGCGACGTTGAAATATGTCGATTCATCTGACCAGACGTGCAATTGGGATCATGGTAGATCTCAGACGCAGAACAGCGTGAACTTGAAGAGAAAAACAAAGGTGGTCCCGGCCGTCATGTCCATTTTAGCAACGATGGAAAGATGTGCGCTGGAGAAGCCGTCACCGGTGTGGTGTGGTTCTCTGATGGGGAGCTTTTTGTGACCTCTGGCGCAGATGGAGGCGTGCAAGTCTGGGATTCACGAACGGGCCTCCAGGTGGGCGAGCCATTCAAACAAGGGCCTGTCAACGCACTGTCTATTTCTGCAGATGATAAGAAACTAGCAACCGCTTCCGATGACGCTACAGTGAGGCTGTTCGATATCGAATCAGGGGAGCTGTTACTGGGTCCACTTACGGGTCACACTGGCGCAGTCTTGGCCGTGAAGCTCGCTGCTGACGGCTCCCGTCTCGTCAGCGGAGGTAACGACGGGACAATTCGGTGCTGGGAGGGAGACACTGGAAAGATGGTGCACGTCCTTGAAGCCCATACCGGTCCTGTGTGCGCTCTCTCGCTCTCCAAGGATGAATCAAAGCTGGCCAGCGGTGCGGAGGATAACACCATTTTAATTTGGGATTGGCAGACGTTCGGCCGAGTTGCTGGTCCGTTCCGTCACGATGACTGCGTACGTGCACTCTGCTTCTCGCCGGATGGGACATGCCTACTCAGCGGCTCCGACGACTGTACCGCGCGAGCTTGGAACATTACCACCGGAAATCTAGTGTTCGACGCCATACAGATACATTCAGGCCCGGTCGGTGCAGTAGACTGGTCTAGTGACGGTTCGACGCTGCTTACTGCTGGAACTGACGACTGGACGATCTGCGTTTGGAACGCCGCCACAGGCGAGCGCATACATGAGCCACTCGAAGGTCATGGTGGTAGTTTGAAGGCTGCCGCGTTCTCCCCCGATGGCGAGCGCATCCTGAGTGGTTCAAGAGACTGTACGCTCTGTATGTGGGATGTAGCCACAGGTGATATTCTCCTGGAGAAAACGAAGTCTGATAGTCAGGTATGGTACCATTCAGATTCTGACACAAAACCTGACGAACTGTGAGCGTTTGTTGCTAGAACGAGTCAGTTAGTCCTGGCCGCAGTCCATATGAACCCCAAGGAGATCTACGTGCGGGAAAGCGTACCACTGACCTGCCGAGGGTATGTTTTAACAGCATGACCTTCATGTCGCTATATCCTAAATATCATGGATGTAGCATTCGTACGACAGTTTTATGGAGGTCAGTTGCCCTCACATAATGCGCTACTAGCACTGAGATCACTGCTACGTCCTAGATTCCGGCTACTGTTACACGGCAGAGCAAGCAGGCCCACCAAGTTAGAAACTTTTGGGACGATGCAGACGTAAGTACCATTCCCTTCTGCACATTGCCGTTATATTCTTACTTCATTCTGGACCTCACGCTGATTTGACAATCTAATAGCACAAAGGTTCCGAAAGTATCCAGACCACCAAGCCTACCGAGAATCGCCAGCGCAAAATGGGCTTTTTGAAGGGTATATGGCGTATTCGACAAAATGAGTCTACATCGAAACACAGCGCAAAGCTCAAAGACAAGAGCGCAACTTATGCTTCTGCGAAGGGGCACGTCATGCGCCGCATCCGCCGTCACGGTACCAGGGACAAAGATGTGGTCACCGCTCGTGATAAGCCGGTACGTCATTGCGCATAGTTGCCTGTACTCGCTTTGGATGTTGTGCTGAAAATGAAGGTCAGCGCGTACTTGCAGCAGCAGAAAAGCCTCGCAGGAGGCGTAACTCGCAGGAAGAACCTGAGTCGGACGAAGGAAGCGATTCGCCAGAAGAATCAGAAGACCCCAATCCGCCTGACACTAGATCAGGTAGCGACAATGAGAGCGATCATGGCTTGGTTGACACTGTGTTCTTCTGCCTTTGTATTCCACATTGCAAATAATGACCGAGCGACCATGAAGTACGATCAGCATGTTTATCGTCAGAATCAACAGCTACTCCATCTTCTGTTTCAAAGATATTTACTTTGTATGTGGCAGGATGGAACATCAACTTAACCAATTCTTTGATACATCATCGTTTTTCGAACAGCCAATTGAAGTGAAAACATAAAGAAGAGCGGGGTAGAGTAACTCCAGGATATGTAGGAAGAGTGTTACTTTCCCCTTGGGACTCGGAAGGGTCAGTGGAGAAAGACAAATATAAGTATGCAAAGCAAAGCAGACGTTTCCTCCATGTAAAGAATCTGGCGTTGCTCATATCATATCCGCATCGTACATGTCCCTACTGCAGTGGTAGATAGACTACGGACGGGATAATTAGCCATGAAGGCCTATTACCCAATTTATTGAGCTCGAAGCTGAAAATACGCAGGCCTCTAATATGCGACAGGATTTCTTTTCATTCGTCAGTCGAGCCACCTTCGCTTGGAGTCTGTTTCATCTCGGTGACTTCCGGCACAGGAGGACCCGTATAGTGATGCCGTCCATCTAGTCGCATGTCGTCAATAAGTGAAATGTACATTGCACGATTATAAATTACCCACCGATCATATACCATACTGCACTAAAAAGTCCAAACCCAACAAACACGACGGATGCATAATCTGGGCACAATCTCCGTGAGGTGGATGGATCGCACACGAAGCAAGTACCACGGACTCATGGATGATTGTGTGACGGGGATCACGGCTGGCATTGAGAACAACACGATCGCGAACATTATCCACAGCACGGCGATCGCATTGACAACGTTTCCCCACTTCCCCAGAGAGAATGGCGCGTCATGAACGTCTTTCCGGCCATTGAGCAGCGAAATCGCCACCGGCATCGCGTAAGAAGCGCCCAGGCACATGACCGCCACGCCCACAAATGCGTTGAAGGCAGCCGACGAACCGAGGTAGATGAGTCCCAGTAGAACTTGGATGGCCGTAGACAGGATGTACGCGTTGACAGGGACGTCGTCAAGTCGTGTGTTCACGTGGGAGAAGTAGGTGTGTAGCGGGAGGGCTTTATCCCGTGCAAAGGCCCAAGTTGCACGAGATGCTGCACACGAGATGGAGATGGCGCAGAACATGCCTATGCCGAAGACTGATAGGAGTGGATTATAAGTGCCGCTGAGGCGAATACCAGCATGATGAGACTCACTGATAAACCACTGGGATACGGCTGGCGTTAGTGAAATACTCGGCTAGTATCTTGCGTAAAGTAACTCACAAGCCCGAATCCTCCCCCTTGAGATCCCATTGCGAGAGTGAACATCACACCAACCGGTTGCCCCGAAGAAACTGAGATCAGCGTCGCTACGTCCGGCAAAGTGAATGTGATAGGCAGCAAAAAGATAATTCCCCATATCGCGCCAATGGGAATCGACCAGGTTATCGCCTGCGGCAGGATATGGGATGGGTTATGCACTTCTTCAGCCATGCTTGCGACTAATGATAATATGAGGGCGAGAACAGTATTAGGAACGTCACGGTGCTCACCCATCCCTATCGCAGAGAAGGTGTATGCTGATAGTCAGCGTCATAAGCGTTAGCGTCTCGGGGTAGGCCAGAGATAAAAGCATTACCAGGCTGGGACATTTAGCGCCTGCGGTAAAGTACATGACAAATGAACATACGGGCAGAAGTCCGATGAAGAAGGACCATCCAGGCGTCCAGCCTGATGCTGAAGCGTCATATTGTCCTAGGGCATACGCGGCGGAATGCCTTCCGGCTGCGGCTTTGGAGGATAGGCATATCAAGATAACTAACGGCGAGAAAAGATGTCATACTACCAGCACGTAATTGTTACCCAACTAACATACCTATAATTCCAAGGGCCGTCCAAATTGCGCACAGAATCTATTGATAGATGTTTGAGCAGTGGTCTTCGGGACGGGCCATATTGCTCACATCAATGCTTGGTAGTAGCCTGTTGAGGAAGAGGCAAAAGAAGCATGCAACGGCTGTCACGGCGAGGAAGATCAAATCTAGTCCAAAGCAGTCATAAGCGTATAAGCTTAGAGGGGCAGCACCCGCTCACAGGTTTGCCAGGGTGTCGCAACCCAGTTCGGCAAGTATATTCCTGCGCCCGCAACCACCAACTGTGCAGTGCCTGTACTAGCAGCATGACATCACACTATATGGAAAAGCTTGGAAACTGGCTCACCGAACGTGACACTTAAAGCAATGGTCCAGACACCGACCATAGTAAGCCACCCATTGATCCATGATATCACAAGACGCCTCTGAGGCGATGCCAGGCGATAGCACCAGTAGTACGCTCCCGCTGATGTCGGGTATTTCGAACAAATCTCTGCGAGAGATAGGGCAAGGGTCTGAGTAAGAACGGCGACCAAGATCCACCTAAGCGAGATTCATGGTAGTTGCCAGCGCTCAGTACGGGGGGACTCAAGCAAAGGGTGAATGATTGAACGCACCCCCAAATCATTACTGCTGGTCCACCTGCCACAAGCGAAGTCGCGATCGGAGCTGCGAGCCCGTATGCTTCCACAGGTTAGATGATGACACTCAACGGTAGACCAGAACAAAGTCCTACTCACGAACTGCCATGATAGCTGACACCCCTCATCAGTCCTAAGCCGCCTCTATCAGTATAGTTAGCGCACCTAATGTCACTGGTAAAAAGACAGATAAGCGGCATAGATGGTTCACAAAGACGAGTGACTCACTGAACAAGATATGTGCGAGGCCACGAGACTGAGGAGGACACCCGTCAACCAAAGCAAGCTATTATGAGATAAGTCTCTTTACCCGTGTCATCTCTTGCTTGTATCCAAGTTGCTGCAAGCCCTCCGTAGCTGCCTGGTCGCTACTGCCAGTTTCCGGGAGGCCCATGTTCGAGTAAGTACAGTGGCTGGTAGTGGCAGACGAACTGGGATCTGTGGAGAGTGAAAGCTATTAAGTATCCGAGCTATCCGAGTAAGAAGCGTGGTCGGAACACGAATGCGATGTCGGACTCCATGCATCGTCATCTGTGGGACTCTTATCGAAGGGTCAACTGAATAAGGATAGATATCGAAGGCCCGGCACTTACCCTATGCGCAAGTATTCGGTGCGATGCAATTGAACTGGTCTAAAGACTCCTTCTCACTGTAATGTCCGGGAATCTCGTGATGTGCATCGCTGGGAAAGCGGCTTATCAACACCAACATGGCACAGGCTCCTCGGAGAATGTGCGTGCGCCTGGAGTTTGGAGAAATATCAAGGGAAAGAAGCTGAAAATTGAGTTTGTGAACACTATAGCTAGTGCTGACTCTGGGCCTTTGCATTATCGTCGACAAGAAACATGATGGCGGGACTGAGCTTCTGGCAGGCGCATCACGTTGCCGAAAACCTGTCTCAGTTAGAGCTGTCATCCCGCCGATTTATGTATTAGGCAGAGACCCCCTTGTCATTGATCGAGATTTATAGTGTAGGTGCAGCACTAGCACTGTCTTGACCAACGTTGATGGAGGGCTGGACGTTGAGCAGGACAGGTCTTGCCACTAGGTTGACGGAACTTATAATGAGAGGAAAGGGTTTCGGGCAACTTCCGGAAGGCTTGCCGCGACGCGTCGGCAACAGTCGGCAACGCGTCCGCCGCCAACGGTTCAACACGGGATCAACACAACCTCAACCGCACCCTTCGAATCTAACGCTGAAGCGCTGACTCCTAGACATATCCTTTGTCGGTGCTTATCCCTGGTGTGTACTCATGCATCTGCGGTTCTTCTCAAAGTATCTACCTCAGGAACGGACCGAGGAACTCATACGAGACAACCAATGCACCGTGGTTACGTTTGGCTCACGGGCGAGTAACTCTACTAGCCTAAGACGCTGAGCTCCTATAAAAATCGACGCTGAGTGTCCTATCTTGAGCCCCTATACACATGTCCATGGCTCTTCACTACGCCATCTTATCTCGAGTCCCGAATCTCGTGACTCAAGCGACCCAGAAACTACTCGATTGCTCGGGTTGGAGGAGACAAACTGGTACCTCAAGCTGACAGGCGTGGTAAGCCTTCGTTTCATGAAACTCTCTGAGTGAGGCCAGCGACTTGAGGATTCTGCTGCTGATGTACCTCTCGACTTTGCAGGGTGGCTGTCGTGAGAATACCATGTACGATCGTAGGTTGATGCGGTACTCCCGCCGGACTGGTTGTAACTCGTCACAATGATCGTGGGCTCCATCATTGCGAACCACCTTCGTCGTCACACGTGCGCTTCTTGAGAGAGACATTCCTCTTATAAGTGCTCCTCGGTATATGTTCTCTCTGGCTTTGGTTTTACCCCCACTTTTCTTCTCCATGACACCCGCTGAAACAGGATTTCTCGGGAATTGTTTTCAAAGTGAGCACAGTATGACAAAATCTCTGCTGGGTTCGTCTCTTTTAACACATTGCTTCTTGCAGTCGCTGTGCAGACTGTTCTTGTATACGATCATGGTCAGTAGCTCAATCACTGATTCAATCACGCGGGACCCATAACGATACGTCTACTCAGTTCTTGACATCGGCGATGAGGTAAGAACATTCCACAAGGAACACCAAATGCCCATTGCCCTTGCTAACTTAACCAGATATCTTTCATATGGGCGAGTGTTACTACGGTCACGCTGCCGTTGCTGCCTGGTTGCATAGTTCAGCTAATGCCCGCTTGTACAGACTCTAGTATCAACCACTCCATCGTTGCTGTACCTACTGGTAAGCCAATCTACTCGAGAAGCGACCCCCCTAAGTACTGCAAAGATCCGCTACTGGGGCCACGTCGTTATGATGTGAGTCTATTTATGTCGCTTGAGCGGATTTAAGGTCGTGACCTCCACCGCTGACATTCTATTTCAGAGTTGCTTTGACTTGTATGCTCCCAAATTTCCTCTGTTAACGGATTGTGTTAGCCTGACCAACGTTTGATACCAGTCCAACTAATGCCGTCCGTACACGTCACTGTATGTCCACTTTCTATCTTATATAGTGACGGTAATCATGAGCGTAAAGGCGTACGTGATCTCTTGAGCGTGTAACCTTTTCTCAAGGGTTGCAGATGTACGTGGACATCATTTCTTCCCCAATCCCAAGTCAGAAACTTACATGGAAAAAGGTTACATGCTCTTCGAACTGCAATGCTGGGGCATGCTAGGGATAGCGTTTGCTGTTCAAGGTGAGCGACGTTGCTCTTACCTTACTCGGCTCCCCACTCAGCACCAGTGTACTGTTGGTGATTGCAGTTCTGATGATCCTTCGTGTCTGGGCCATGAATAGTCGCTCGAAGGCGATTGTTGGTTGTTTAACTATAGTATTCATCGCGCAGGCGGTCGTGATCCTGGTTACCATCTGGTCTTCTATAGGTCCCGGCACGGTCTACGGTACGTCTCACGCGGGCATCTCGGTTGAAGGAACTAAATCTTCGATTCACACTGTAGCCAGCGTCGACCCGTCCGGAGCTGCATGTCTAATCGAAGGCGTCCGCATTCGATTTGTACCAGCATTTGGACCTATATTAACTTTCGAGCTTCTCATATTCCTATTCGCGGTCCGAGGCTTTGTCCGGAATGCATCGACTCAAAGCCATGATGATGGACGCTTATCGCTTCGGGAAGTGCTGATCAGAGACAGTTTCATCCTATTCACCATGTGAGTTTTATACGCCGCCACTTCCAAGAACTGCTAATGCCCATGAACCCCGGCCAGAAATATATGCCTCTGTGCCATGTCCCTGACAACATGGCTCGTCAGTAAAAACGTACGTCCATCGCATTCTACCAATGAGCGTGTCTTGATGCAGCCAAAGCATGCGATGAACGCTTTAACGGTTCCCTTCATCCCGCTCCTCCAAATTACTCTGGGAACGCGACTTGTCCTTAATATTCGACGTCAGGATGTCAGTAATGCACAGTATAGTATGACCGACTATGCAACTGGGATGATGTTCGCCGATGCGGAGCTAGTCGACGAATTTAGTGTACCTAGGGCAGGGACTAGTATAGACCCGCTGATAGAATCAAGGGATGTAGAGGCGAGATAATAGAAATCGACGCTGAGACAGCATTGTTCACCGTGGCACACGGATTTGTTCTTATCCTCATCTAAGAAACAACACGTTAAATCTTAAAGCACAGTTACCATGCTGAATTGAAGATGGCACTGAACACTCAGCATCTTCGGTCTAAAATATGTGAATGTAAACTGCCTCCAATTGATTTGTTGTACATGATGACCATGTATCATTCTTTAAACCGGTATAATGCGAGGGTAAAGTCTGCAATTGTCGAACGCTAGTGGAAATATACCAAGAACGCTAACACTGAGTCGACCTGATTATTACTCCAGCTTCACAGTCTTAGGCCGCTCCATCCAACGCACATACCGCTTTACTAACTCCTGTGAGATCTGTCCATAGTCAATCTCATGGGCCATTGCCAATGCACGCGTAGTCTCCAGTTTCACCCACATATCTCCTCCTGCGCCTGGCCCACGTTTCGCGAAGTCGTTGAAGAACTGAAGCAATTGGAGCGCTGGAACCTTCGTAGTCACGCTGTTATGTGTTTCTGAGTCGTAATTGTGGGCGAGATTTTCTAGTTCAGCGAGCCATTCTGTTGACGGAACGATACGTATGGAATGTACACGGTCACCGGTCGTCTGTGAAGAGGACATCATAGCGTGGAGGAAGCGATCGACAATGACGGGCCATGGTGTCAACGTGGGATTGCTAAGGTGGTAGTACTCAGCATGGGATCGTGAGCTGTCCCTGTTAATGCCGGTGATCGATAGAGACATATCAACTGTTGCTTTAGCTGCGACATCGACAGGTAGCCAGTATGCGTCCTACAACGTCGTAAGCGCAATTTACATATGGGAGGGATTTTGATTTTGAGACGAATATACACACCGGTAAATCCCCAGGCACACAACCCATCATCCTGGCGCTCGCAAACAGGATGGGCACGTACTCTCTCGGGTTCCAATATCCGCTTCCACTGCTGCCAGCGAGCTGTCCAGCACGCAAGATCGCGCACCTCAGACCCGCACATTTGCATACAGCGTCCAAAATGCGTTCCGCCACATACTTAGACTCCGCGTAGCCGCTGTGTGCCGGTAGACTTGGATCTTGAAAAGGGCGCTCGGGCACTTGCTCGTGGGTGGGGATCGAGTTAGAATGGGAAGCAACATAATGCGCAACCGCCCCGATAGAGGAAATAAAGACGAATTTAGGAGGATTAGGCCGACGAGACGAAAGAGCGAGGTCCACCAGAGCACGTGTGCCTGAAACGTGTGGTATGAAGTGGGACAAGGGTAAATTGAAGTTGAGGTGCCAAGCGACATGGATGATGTGTGTCGCTTCTCTGCAAATCTGGGACGATCGATGAGCTAACTCTTGACTGAGCTAAGAGGATATCAAACGACCATACCTCCCCAATAATCTCGCCATCAATCGCCAGCCGTGGTGTCCCGACGTCGATGCGTACGAAACGAAGCTTCCCCCGTTGCTCCTCTAAGACCCTGAGAGGAAGCCCACGCTCATCGAAGGCTTGGCATTGCTGATCATACGGGTCGGTTCCATCCTTGGCTCTATGTAAACACCACACCCTCCTAACGTCCTTTCTCCCTAAGAGGTCGTATAACGAATGAGCACCGAGGCTTCCAGTAGCGCCACTTAGCACGATCGCTTTGCCATCGTCACATGCTTCGTCGCTTGTAATACTGGTATGATTGCGGCTAAGCTTGTCCAGGCCGTCAGTAAAACGAACGACGAGGGCTTCAATGTCTTGCTCTCTATTCCGCCCACCGGCCTGCCGGTCCGAGTTAGAGACTGATGTAGACTCAAAGAGCTGCGACGACAGGAAGCGAGAGAGGCGAGCTTTACTAGGGTAGGCGTACACAACATTTGGTAGTGTCTGCTGTGGCAGGAATCGCCCAGTCTGTAAGAGCGCGGCGCGCAGCTGAACGGCGTGCAGCGAGTCCATGCCTTGCGGATGGGTGAGTGTCAACTTACATCAAAGCTAAACGTTACATCAGGAACGTACCGCGCAAGAAGAAGTCATCTTCGTCTTCATACTCAACCCTTACGATGTCACGCACTATGCGCCTGACAAGCGAGAGTACGTCTTCTTCGGTCTTCAGTTCAACATTTCTCCAGTCCGCGCGTTTGAGCCCTCCGTGGAGGATAGCTTCGTATGCGCCCTTTATATCTTCCTCATACTGGCCAAGCGTCTCCTTGACCTTGATACTTCCCTTGTCAGATAGGGCGAACGGCCGGTCGGGACTCGTGACGAGTGCCATACCATCCAATATCCGAGAGTGTGTAGGTACGGTCGAGTTTAGGGTCCTCAGAGTTGGCGCAATGCGTGCAAGGAAGTCGGGTCCCGAAGAAGGCGCAGAGGGAGAAGGCTCGAGAAGAACACCATTGAAAGGGCGAGAGACGCCAAAGACGAGAACGCGGGCGATGTTTGGGTCAGCTAAGAGGAGCTTCTCTGTCTCAATTCGGGTCAGTCAAGTCCACGAGATGAGTATATTCCGGAACGGCGATGACTCACCAATTTGTTTGTTATCCGTTTTCTCTCCGGTGCTGAGGACGGTCTGAGAGCAGCATAAACTTTATGTAAAAGAGCATGCAAACAATAATGACATACGACGTCGTCCTTACGCCCAATATGAAGCCAGAGACCTGTCAACACTCAATAAGCAGCGAGATGTTGAGAAGGGATGGACCTTACCTTGCTTGTGTGGATGTGCAACCCAAAGATCCCGCGTCGCAAATCCGACCGGATCATCGTGATTGATCACTACCGGGGAGTTGTACTCCGTAGGCTGAGTCGACGAAATGTTGCAGTTCATCAATCAGCTTCCCGTTACTGATTGATTGCAACTGTGACCTACGGAAACTACCAGCTCGCGCACGCGACCCTCGGCATCCATAGGCGGGAGATGAATTCCGAACCTGTCGTCCCGGAAGCGGATATACGCCCATTCATCGGCTTCATCGGCCGAGTCTGTCGGACGTGGATCGAGGGTACTGATGAGACTCGTTTCGCTCCTACAGTCCCCAAGTACGCATGTAGTCTGTCAGTAACACTACTCCTGGAGTAGTATATTCCGTGAGAGCGCAGGATACGACTCACGATCCATATGCAGAGACAACGGGCACGCCTTTCCCGATGAGCTGCCGAGCCTTTGCGTCATTCATAGGAGCACCACCGACGAACACACGCTGGACATTTTGCAATGGTGCCAGCTCATTACTTGGAAGATGGGCCAGCCCTTCGATAAGAACCGGTGCGATGAAGACGAGTGCCCGGGGTAGGACAGACAGGTGACGCAAGAGAGCCTGAGGACTCGGAGGCGGTGGAGGAGTGTGTAGCGAGAGAAGACGCGAGACGGATGTGGATGCGGTATATGACTGAGGGACACCTGTAAGGAAGGTAAATGCGACGCCGGAGCCGAGAGGCCAGCGTGTCGATGCGTAGAGTCCCATTCCCTGCCAAAACATGCGAGTTAATTGTCCGATAATAGGCACCATCGTTGATATATATATATGCGTACATGGAAGAGAGGTAGAGGTGCATATGCAGGCGATCCCGCGAATGCTTGGGCGGATCGGTTGGAAACGCCACTAACAAAATCTTTGTGCCGTCTAGAAACAAGCTTTGGGTGGCCTATATAGCCTTAGTCAACGTTAAATACCCCTGCGAAAACAAGAGCATATACCGGAAGATCCGCTTGTGTGCATGTAATGTAGCACTCGATCAGGACTCAACTCTGGTGGCGGTGGCCTTGCTACTCCCACGTACTCGTCGCCATCGGCGAGAGTGATAAGCTCTTCAAGACTGAAAATTGAGACCTGGGATTCTGAAAGACCGCATGCCCCGTGTGCGGAAGAAATTTGACTGGAGTCGCAGATAAGAGCAACAGCGTGAGCCTCGCTCAGAAGGTGGGCGATCGCAGCAGGGCTGTTGCGTGTCGAAATCAGAATGGGCTGTTCAGACACATGTTTTTTCAGGACAAGCTCGTAAAGTAGAAGAAACCTCAGCGCACCTCGCATTCTAAGAACCAAAGTGAAACGAGAAGGACGTAGTAAGGGTAGCTGCTTGTTGCCAATACTCCCACGGTTCGAGCGGCACAGTCAGTCTCCGCTACTCCGCTTCGGCTGTCTGGCATACGGCCTCGCAGCACCGAGACGAGACGAGAAACGTCATCTAAAAGCGTCTTCCAGGTAACATCTTGCAATGACGGAACTGAACAACCATCGTCGAAGAGGATGCGGGCAAAGAGGCGTTCTGGATAGAGATGGGCGACTTGGCTGTAGACGGCGGGTACTGAGAGGCCGTTGATTTCGAAAGGCTCGCTAGGTTGAAGAGTAGCGAGGTGAGCCGACATGATGCTTGCGGATGACCAGGACGAGGCCGCTGATGAAGATGAACTCGTGGATAAAAGCGACTCCCTTTTCGGCTTATTGTAACCTTACACCGCCGGAAATGGAAGCTTCCGGACCAACACCTACCCTATCATCTCAAACCTACCGCGTACATCATTGGGCTTGGGGCTGTTCTGATGTCGTTTTGCACCTCAGCCTGAGATGACAGGCCAAGCACTTTTTCGTGAGGACTCATATGCTTTGGTATGAGCTGCTGCAGCGCTTGAAACTCTTATGGGTTTCGGATCCTCGGCATCGCTATGAATATCTTGTTAATACACGCCCATGATCAAGTATCAGGCCCAGGTGCGCCTGCTGTCTTCTAGCTGGGTACGATTAAGGCGACTCAAGCGATTCATTACCGTGCATGTGGTGAAAGGAAGTGGAAACCATGCAGCGACCCTCGTAACTCCTCTTGCCTTCGCTCGTCTTCCGATCCCACCCTCTCTTATTGTCCTTTATCGATTTATCCTCAGTCCTAGTAAGCGCATCGATGTCAAACAGCGATGACCTTCCTCTACTGTGAGTTTAATCATTGCTTGGAAGCTGTTCTGTCAAAAGGCTGATCTCCTATGGGCAATGATGACACAGGGCTGGGCCTCTGGTGCGTCAGTTTCTGGTCTAATGCTCCAATCAGCGAGCGAGCTTATCTCTTGTTCAGATACTTGGATATTTCGTGAACTGGGCCCTTCTCGGAGTGTTGACCGTTCAGATTTGTAAGTACTTTCGCTCGCATGCTCCGCCATCTTCTTCACCCAGCACCTAGTTCTATACCACGTTCACTACCCAAATGACTCTCGGCGCATAAAGTGCCTGGGTACGCTATAGTTTCTATGTATGTGCGCACGCATGCTCACGTGTGATCGATTGGTCCAGTATATGCACTTTATCTCTGGGAAACCGTCCAGACGCTTCTTATGACCTCCGACGCCTTTGGATGGTTTGTCAAAAACCTTGGCAATCCGGCGAGTCTTGTCGAATATCGACTTTCTTGGTTCAATGTCCCGGTCATGACTGGGGCTGTTTCGATGGTTGTCCAATTATTCTTCAGTTGGAGGGTTTGGATTCTGGGGAAGCTTTGGTTTCTCTCTGGAGGAATTGCCCTGGTGAGTGGCTGTGTGGTGCAAATGATCAAACCAAAATAACAAGGCTTGGTGTTTTTATTTCATCAGGGGGCATTGCCGCAAGGGTGCGCCGGGATAGCGAGCGGGATCCAGGTGTGATTTATTCTGTGATGAATCCCAAGATCTCCGTTGACAGCGACCCTCCTGCCTTTCTGGTAGCTTCTCGAGCTCCAGAACTTCTCGGAGCTTCCGAGTTTATCACCCGCTGTGACTGTGAGTTTGATTTCTTCTACGTTGTGTGTGAAGTGCCGCAGGTATAACCGTCGTTTCTCTAATAGGTTTGGCATGTGACCAGTGCGATCACGGACTTTTCGATCGCGCTGTCCATGACAATCCTGGTAAGGCATCTGATGTTCTGGAGTGGTCCGATTTTGATCTGTTTCAATTCGTCTGCATACGTTAGCTTACTAAAACAGGCAGTGCTTTTGAAAAGACAAAACAGGTGGTGCGGAGGATGATACAGCTCACCATCGAAACCGGAACCATGACGGGTGCAATCCTGGTGTCCTCCACGCTTACAGTTCGGCTTGGCTGACCGCCTTCACAGCCGTTTTCTCAATCATGGATGTTGTCTTGTTTCTCTCTTTTCAGGTAAGTGCTATGTCCTATAGCTTTCTTTGAATAGTATCGCTCACCTAACCTCCGCCAGCATGCCAACCTGCATATGTTTTGGTGCGTTGACGCACCTCTTATGTGTCGAAAGGTTGTCATTGTTATTTATTATTCGCAAGCGCCATAAACCTCGGAAAATTGTATGTCGTTTACTTTTTGAGGTGGGCGTTGTGTCCCTTCCATTTCTCACATGCCTTTCAACTGACAGGTACACGAACTCGCTTATGGCGGGCCTCAACAATCGATACTACGCCCGAAATGCTCTCGCGCACTTTGAAGAGCCAACGTCATATACAGAAGATCCGTCACCAAATATGTCTTTTGACGCACGCTCTGGCCTCGATCCGAAGCCTGTGTTGTCTACCTCTAGTGCATCAGCTTCCGGGGGGAATGCGGAGGAGAGCTTTCGCATACAATGTGTCACAGAATCACGTGGATGGGCAGATGCAATGCAGGTCCGGATAGCCACTCGTGAGGATCTCGGAGATGCAATTGAACTGAAGACCCCCGAGAGGATCAGAAGGGAGGGGAAAGGACGAAGCTCAGAAGGGTAGGACACATGTATTGTTCGGCGCCATGTAGTTCTTGCAGATTAATTTGTTTGCTGGATAGCGACACGATCGGAGATACCATTAATGGGATCGTCGGCCAAGTGCATGCAGCATCGTTCTCAGCCACTTGCTTATCGCTGCATAGCCCTTCGCAAGAACTAGGTAGGCAACCCAATTACAACATGAAGGCATTTCAACCGACGGTATTGCCATCCAACACCAATAGTCGAGATCAGCTGCATGGTTCGTCTAAGGCCGCGTGACCATCCAAATATCTTTGGATTAGGTTGTGAACGTACTTCCACACTACCCCAACCCCGCCCCTCCCTCGATGCGGTAAGTACTGAACTCACTTCAAGGCTAACTCCCCCACATCATTCTGTAGACACTGCCGGGCGCTTCCATCCGTATGTTCTGTTGATTTTGGGGATCTTTGGGGCACTCGTTGCAATTGACGCCTGCATAGTCGTCTCCATTTGCTGCAAAAACGCCACCTCCGCAGCCCTAAGTTCTTGCTCCGTCCGTTGTAGCACGTTTTACATTGGGACTGCAGTATCTCGGTCGGGCTATGATATCGCGCTCCAACTCTTTTTCTGGAATCAAAGCTCTGCATAGAACATGCCGGCTTTTATATAATTGTCTGGTTACCGGTATCATGCCAAGTGAAGTCATGGGGTCTCCACTGTGGGGCTTCAGCGCTTCAGCTGGCTTCAGGTGCTGTGAAGTGCTGTGTCAACTGACACCACTTCACTTCTTCAAGGCGACTTCCTGTAGCTGTCATTCTTTAAGCGCCGTCGGTGGACGATGGCACTCTCCGTCCTTTTTGTACACTATGTATACTTCCCGCTCATGACGCCAGTGAACGGATCGTTACTAAGCAAGTTGCGTAAACAGGTAGATCCTGACATCTTGGCCGGTCAACCCGCCAGCAGCGGACACTTCATGTCCACCAAGCCGCTCATATACATATAGTAGTGAGCGAACCCACAAGAGTCCATCTGGCGCTCTTGTCTTTCCCTTTCCCTCTGTCCTCGTTTGCTCTTCTGCCATGAACACGCTCGGGATCCACGATGACATAGAGCTCGTCTCCAGCCGACGACGTTCTTTTCAACATGAGACTGAGATAGACGCCCAAAAGAGAGCTGTTTCGTAGGTTGTGACCCTCATGTGCCTCGTTCTGGCACTAACTGTTGTAAAGCAACAACGAAGCCACCCTGTCCAATCCCCTCCGTGGAATCCCTTTCGAGGATCTAATGCACGATGTGGAAGTCTTCGCAGTAGAAAGAGGTCTTACAGACGGGGACACCGTTGAATATCTGAAGAAAGGCGCACTCGTCGCCCAGGATCCGGATGGTGAGTAAGGTATTATTATTAAAGAAATTTGGTACCAATTCACCCTTCTCAGCGTATGAAAACCATCCGGAGTTGTTTGATGAAGAAGACATACGGATTTTGCGAGAGGAGGTAACTAACAAGTGGAAGCAGACAGGAACACTTTACTATGTATGCATAGCTCCAATCCGTCATGTTCTTCCTGACCTTGGCTATGCTTAGATGGTGATAATGGCGTCAATGGCTGCAGCCGTACAAGGCATGGACGAAGCGGTGATTAATGGCGCTCAACTTTACTATCCTTCACAGTTTGGTATTGGCCCCGATTCGAACGGTATGCTTCACGCCCATCGGACGAAATCGCAGTCTCATTCTCGTGTTTCTTATTGTCTAGGAAAAGAAACATCGAGGGATTCAGGGCTTATGGGCCTTGTCAATGCGGCTCCGTACCTCTGTTGCGGAGTCGTTGCTTGCTGGCTTACACATCCACTAAACCGATATTTTGGTCGAAAGAAAACGATTTTCATTACCTGCTTTATCTCCTTCATCACATGCATCTGGGCTGCACTCACCGGCTCCTGGTGGCATCTTTTCATCGCGCGTTTCTTCCTTGGGTTCGGTATCGGGCCAAAGTCAACAACCGTGCCTGTATACACAGCCGAGTGCGCCCCCGCTCGCATACGTGGGGCCTTAGTCATGATGTGGCAAATGTGGACCGCATTTGGCATCATGCTTGGATATCTCGTGAACATAGCCTTCCACGCTGTCCCCGATCCGGGTCACGGGATAGTTGGACTGAACTGGCGCTTGATGCTTGGTGCTGCGGGTATACCTGGGCTGATAGTGTGCATCCAGGTTTTGTGGGCGCCGGAGTCTCCTCGCTGGCTCATTGGCCAAGGGAAATACCGAAAAGCACTCCAAGAACTCGAGCGCCTGCGTTTCGGCCGCGTCCAGGCCGCCCGAGACTTGTATTATATCCACGTCTTACTTCAGGCTGAAGTCGATATGAAGAAGGGACGAAGTCGCCTCATAGAGATGGTGACGATCCGTCGAAACAGAAATGCAGCGATTGCGTCGTGGATCGTTATGTTTGGCCAGCAATTCTGCGGAGTTAATGTAATCGGTACGGTCTTTCAATATCTACCGAAGCATATTTCTGATTACGTTGTCCAGCATACTATTCTTCTACTATCCTCCGCACAAACTATGGTTTCAGCGATAAGAAGGCGCTCCTCGCATCCTTTGGGTTTGGCTTAATCAACTGGCTGTTTGCTATCCCCGCAATCTTTACGGTGCGTACAGGGCTCCCTATAAAATGCGTTCTTCTGTAAATGTTGAATATGACCTTAGATCGATACGTTTGGTCGTCGGAACCTGCTTCTCTCCACCCTACCAATCCTGTGCCTCTGCCTTCTTCTGACTGGCCTTGTTCAAAAGGCAGAAAACACTAACGGGCAGTCAGTGGGTGTGCTATTTGGGATTTGTACGTCTTTCAACGTGCGATGTAGCTCGCCACGTGTCCTCACTAATACACTACTCGCAGATTTGTATAGCATGTTCTACTCACCTGGTGAAGGCCCCGTTCCTTTCACCTACTCTGCCGAAGCATTCCCTCTGTATCTACGTGAAGTAGGCATGTCATTCGCGACGGCAACGCTCTGGTTTTTCAACTTTGTCCTCGCTGTCAGCTTTCCGTCGCTACTTTACAAGTTCCAACCGGCGGGTGCCTTTGGATTTTACGCGGCGTGGTGCTTGGTGCTTTGGGTTCTTGTCCTACTCTTCGTCCGGGAGACCAAAGGGAAAACGCTCGAAGAGCTCGATCAGGTGTTTGCTGTTCCGACCCGGGTCCATGCTGCATATGGACTTCGACAGGTTCGCTACTGGTTTAGGAAGTACGTACTGCGTCAGAACCCTGAGAGGGAGGTTTTGTACAGGCGAGAGGATGGTAGTTCCCCAGATAAATGGCATGGAAAGGGGGCATCAAGCGACTTCAGTACATTTTAAGAAGAAGGTTCATCGGTACTATACATGCCATTAATAATTCTCTACTCATGAAAGACTCTTGTATCTTTACTTTCGAACGTAACATACCGGATTCCAGCTTGTAAAGATGCATTGAAAGCTTTCGATATGAGCCTATCAGTCTCGACAGAACACGAGTAGTATTTGCCCTCAATAAGTGGAAGTAGCCCGGAAACTAGAACGAGTAGAACCACAACAAACAAGAAATACCGCAACCTTAACAAGGCAAATAGGCACCAACGGATGTCATCATTAAGAGGCGAACATAAGCGAACGTTACTAGGTCAATAAGCATCCCGAAGACTATTAGGGAACGAGTATTTACCCAATATTTGACGAGGAACAATGTTTTCCGGACGCAATTGGAACGCAAAGTTGAGTGGATCCTGAAAAGTGGGGAGCCAAACATGAGTTGCCGGCGGTAAATCCATAAAAGGAGGTCGGAGACAGTATGGAGAGACGTGTTGACGTGCTGGCTGTTACTCCCTTGCTTACGCTCAACGCCAACTCAACGCTCTCTAGACTTGCTTCTCGCGTGCCCTCCATTTTCTGCTGGGACATGGGCGAAATTCCGAGGGAAAAGGTGGAGAACAAATGGAGTGGGCCACTGGGGTGCGAACATATCCGTTAAAGGACTAAGTTGAGTCGCCAATCGGAATCTAAAAGGTTTTTGCAGGCAGTTCGGCTAGCAAATACGCACTAGACGCTCGCGTCAGGGTCCACACATATGAAAAAGAGAAGCAGGCCAGACCAATCCGAAGCACGAGGCGACGCAATTATATTCCGCTATACGTCCTTTCTCGGATCCTCGTCTGCCAATGCTCCTTCGACACTTCCTCATCTCTTGACCTCCTGCTGCCCTATCCACCACTCCGACCGTCTTCCTCTCCTTTTTCCACTCTGCTCGTCGCGCTGGCCCAAGACTCGCGAAGATGTTGGCCATCTCGAGCGACGACGACCTCACGTTGATGTGAGCAATAGAGCTCTTTCCTTCTCGATTGTTCATCTGAAGGTTCTTCGGTGTGGGGTGTTATAGAGCTGGGCCTGAGGTATGTTGTGTTGCATGCGAAGTCTTCACTTTCTGGCGCGCTAACATGTCTTTAGTTACTTGGGTATTTCGTGAACTGGGCGCTCCTTGGCGTACTAACCGTTCAAATATGTGCGTTTCTGTTCTGTTCATGGGATGTTCATGTGCCCAAACATGTTTAAGTTCTGTATCACGTTCACTACCCTGATGACTCTTTGCGCATAAAGTGCTTAGGTACGCCTTTGAGTCATCACATATACGCATAACTGCTCACTTGTCACTTGTCACTGTAGTGTACACGCTGTACATATGGGAAATCATCCAGACACTCCTTATGACTTCCGACGCCTTTTATTGGTTCGTTAAGAACCTAGGTAACCCAGCTTCTCTTGTCGAATACCAGCTGTCCTGGTTCAACGTCCCCATCATGACTGGTGCCATATCCATGGTTGTTCAGCTGTTCTTTGGTTGGCGAGTTTGGACGCTGGGGAAGATACCGCTTCTGTGTGGAGCCATTGTGCTGGTGAGTGGCTCTATGCGCACGAATCATAGTACGCATATACTAAGCACACTTCATTATTCCAGGGAGCGCTAGTCCAGGGATGGGCGGGAATCGCGAGTGGGATCCAGGTGAGACCTTCTATCTGATCCTCTGTGACCGCAGCTAAGATACTTCACTCTTCCTCGTTCGGCTTACAGCTTCGCGAGCTGAAGAACTTCTCAGAGCTCCCGCGTCTTTCTCCTGCCGTTACTGTTAGCCTACCTTGGAATTTCGTATATACGTTGCGTCTAACGCCTCTCCGTCTCCGATAGGTATGGCATGTAACCAGTGCGATTACGGACGTACTGATCGCGTCGTCGATGACGGTTCTCGTAAGTCACCTCGAGGCATAGACATTTCACTAGTCTAACCGAGGTCATGATCTACCTCTGAAGCTCCTTAAAGCGGGGAGTACGAATGAAGCGACGAAACAAGTCGTCCGGCGGATGATTCAGCTTACGATCGAGACGGGAACCCTTACAGGTGAGAAAGCCGTGGACACACTCATGTTTGACGTCCGCTGACTTCATGATAGCGGTAGTCTCAATCACGGACGTCGTGTTCTTTGTCTCGTTCCAGGTAAGGCATTAGACTTACTCTTGCTGGGATCGAATCTCTTATCAATCTTCGTAGCATGCTAATTTGCATATGTTCTGGTAAGCGAATGCGCCATCCGTTTGATTCGACGAATATGCTCACCTGTTTTCCTTTACCAAGCGCAATTAACCTAGGAAAACTGTAGGTATTCTTCACGTTCTCCGTATACGCTCCGCTCACCCTTCACATCATCACATAGGTACACCAACTCACTCATGGCAGGTCTCAATAACCGATACTATGCTCAACACATCCTCGCGCGCTCCGAAGAGCCCACGTCAGTAAGCGCTGAGCCGTCCTCCTACCTTTCGTTCGTAACATCTCCCGGCCCGGGCACAACCGCGTTCTCCACGTCGGATACGTCCGCGTCAGGAGGAGACGTGGAGAATCTCTACATGCGGCACCACGCCGAAATGCGTAGTGGCGCAGAGTCCCTGCAGGTCCGAATACCAGGGCGAACGGAGGACGGTCATGACTTGATAGAGCTGCGGAGCCCCGAAAGAGCTTGGAAGGAGGGTAAAGGGAGGAGTTTGGGGTCGTAGGTGTGGGTCGCGGTGCGTCCGACATTTAGGTTTGACGCATTTGATGCATGAGGAGGGGTCGCGGCAGAGTCGGTTCTTCCGGGCTATTCGGCACCGCGGGGTTATAAATAATTCGCATAATGTCATATCTTAGGTGAGTAAATGCTTGCTCGATGCATTGAAGCAGTTTTAAATGATGGGACAATCTTGTAGATTTGCATTGTACCTAGTTGATCTTTGCATCGCACATATCACGTTTGTCGTACATTGTTTCATTTTTCAATTACCTCTTGCTCATCGCATTTCATCCCAACAATATTTGATCCCAACAATCGTTGTTTCTCTTTTGTTACCGCCACTGCGGCAAGTTTGCTTGAATACTCTCATCCTCAGCAGAGTGCTTTTACGCCATTTCTCCAAAGTATCTAAGCCTCAAATCATATGTGACCATCACTTCTTGCATCGCTTAATGGCGCTCGCGAGCATGAATCGGTCGAATGGGGTCATGTGTAAGGTTCTGTCCTGTTGAACGAGGAAATCATCCACGTCTAACGTGCTTAGCGCTTCAAGGTGAGAAATCTGCAAGATGCCGACTGCCAGAACGTCCTTATGGTATTTGGTAAGATTAAGCGTGCATGAGCTACTCAAGAACTCCGCGATATCGGTTCTTTGTGGGTAGGCGCATCGTCCCCGTCTATCAGTGGGTGATGTGTGGTGAGCAGCCATTTCTGATTCCATAGCGGTGTTCTATCGGTTGGAGCTTGGTAAATAATTCAACACCGGATGTGGCATGCACTGCAAACATACCCTTGCAACCTTCCTGGCTCGAGGTTTACGTTTAATGCCCAGGGTCAAGTTGAGCGCAGCGCGTCCTAGGCTGGTAGGTTTTTGGCCAATCTGTCCCTGTGCCATTCGACAGAACGTGGTGCTCCCCCTGCGATTGTGTTCATGGAGGAAACGGCGGATGTACAGATCTACGGGCCAGGCATCTTGGTACTGCTCGAGGAGTGGTAGTGCACGTATGGCCTTGAGGCATTTTCAGTTACTTGAAGGGTGTCGCTTGTCGACCCGACTTCCAAGCTTACCTTCCGCAAGATTGTGTCTATTTCCTTGTGGTCTTGCCCTCCGTATGGTACTTGGACAGCCAGGTGGTCCTGAACGAGTGGGCGGACAACGTTCTGTGAGCAGAGTTTCACTGTCATGAGCCTACGTGCCCCTTCAGCCAAACAGTATGTCTACGCTAAGTGCCAACCTTCAGATCGTTCCAAATGCTCTGATCCATTCGTAACCTCGGTAAAGTCTTACTTAGGGGCCTGTGAAGCTTGATAAGTGCGTTCATGATGTTGTCCTCTGGTCGTGGAACAAGGGCGAGCGGTGAATTTGTCTGCATTTAGCCTATGTTCTGATATCGCACAGCTGATGTGGTACGTGTGCGGGTGTTACCTTTGAACGGGCGCTGGTGGGCTTTGGGGCCTTATATGATATGGGTTCTCGAGTATCGCCAAGAAGCTCATGAACGGCCGCCTATGATAGGGGGTTGCAACTTGTGGGGTACTAAAGAAGGGGGAGCACCATTATTGAAGCGCACTTCTAACGCGCGAAGGCATGATGAGTCGATCCAGGGTATGTAAATGAATCTCGTAACATTTCAACGTTGTCGAAGGTGCAAGAGCTGTGTTGAATTAAAACGTTGACGCGAGGATGAATGTAAGACCGTGGGAATCGGACGCCCAACGCACAAGATCTTCGGCGCTTCCGAGTTCCGACTCTTTCTGTCTCCCCTTGATCATTCTGAGTCGCTGTCACCTGTATCAAACCTGTATGATCAAAGGGCTCATTCAAGATTTCTACGAGCCCTGCTTCTCACTTCGCATGCCATCAAGTGACATCCCAGGGGTTTTGGCACACCGGTAGTCACGGAACCTCACATCAACGCGACCCTGCTTGACACACGGGCTTAATTTGTGCTCGAGGCTGGAGCTGTTCACTCGCTTTTCCTCTCCCTTGCGGCTTGGTGTATGCGCTCCATAAACTTGCTAGCTCAAGCTCCCAGCCAATGGAATCAGGAGAAGGTTGATGATGCGCGAGATTCGTGAGTAGGCTTCTTACATCTGCTCAGTTTGGGTATTGTTAACGTCTTCTTTTTTGCAAGGCTTCTTCTAACGGTATGTTTTGCTATACGGATGGATGCTCAGGCAGCGTAATGATGCTCACGTCTAAAGTACGTCAAGTTCCTTGGGCTCGCTCTGCTACTGTGGGACCACGCGATCACGTTTGGTGATGAGGTTAAGAGCGTTATGCACCTAGTTTTGCGCCGAGAGCTGACGAAACGGAAAGGTTGAGCTAAAATGGAGGGAGCCTAAGAAGACGAGTGAGTACTCCTTCTGTGACAGTCCATGTCCAGATAATCCATGCTACAGAAAGTGTCATACCTCTTCCTCACGGTACGGACGTCCAGAAACACTTGACTTAAGCTCGCCCGTCGATCCTGCCGCAGAATCGCTATGTCACGCCAATCAGCCAAATTGTCTACATCTTCTGTGCGTTTCATTCGTACATGCTAAAACAATTGACCAAAAGTTTACTTGCTGCAGCATACCTGTCGCCTCTGGTCGCCGATAACCCAGCAGTATGTTGCGTCATGTCATAGCTTCGGCATCGTCGGCTGATCCCATCTTTTCATAGGTGTCAGTTCATATTCGTATCAGCACTGATCAGCACTGATCAGCGAACCTGAACAGCTGCGAGCGGTTCGTATTTTACCAAGGCTCGATGATCGTGTTCGGCACTGCAATTGCATCGGTGATGATGCTCAAAAGGTGGTATACTCTAGGCTAGCCATACCCCCGCTGACATAGCTCATTGAAATTGTAGGATTACAGCGCTATGTGCGTCTCATAGAGTTGTCGGTTACGTCATGAGTTCTGTCCTTGCCACTTGGTTTGGGCTTGCGGTATGGTCCGTAGTTCAGTCAGCGTGTGAGTACCTCTTGTCTGAGCTTGGGAAAAACGTTCTGACGTCTGATTGTTAGCGGTTCCTCATTCCCACGTCGTGCACGGTGCGATTCTGGACATCTTCATATTGTACGCATATCTAATCGAGGCGCAGTTTGTCAAGGGATGATTCATCCAACCAAGTAAGGGGTAATCACAACTAAAGAGAACGTCTTCATCATCACGACTTAGCGTCAAGAACGGCCCATTGCTGCGTTCGTCGAGTTTTTGGATGATAATAGTCTACGACACGCTCGTGTTTATACTCATGCTCACACGTGCACTCCCTCTTGGCGCTTCGGGGAGTCGACATTCTATTGCGCGAAGGCTAGTAACTAACGGGACATTGTACTATGCGTACGTTGATATATAATCTTCATGCCGATGACACCAATGAAGACTATATGTAGGACGATCTGTTTTAGTAACAATATGGAAGTCATTACAGTACTTCGCGCCGACGCTGGACTCAAGGGCCTCATCTCCGAGTAAGCACTTTACCGATATGTCGTCTTTATGTATGCCTACTCTGACTCGGTTCAAAGGTTCATCTACTTGTGAGTTGTCCCTGAAGCTTGCGATTACGGTACTACGGTTTGGCGCTGACGACTTCTAATCTATAGGTTGCAGATCATAATGATGTCCCGCATCACACTGAGCTTACTGAAGAACCACAGAAAGCTCAAGGGCAGAGCCGCTTATCGTGAATCGCGATGGGAGGATGCACCAACAATACTAACTCCGATTGTGATGTCTGCATACCCTACGGAACTTCGGCGCACACAGGATGACCTTGAGAGGCATCCACCCCGCCAACACGTCCGTTCATGACGTCGATGAGTTCGAACTAAGCACAATTTCAGATCCTTGACATACTATCTTCTTCGGGTTTACGACACTCAATCTAGACCGGGATTCATACATGTAACAGATCAGTGCGTACACGAATGTATGATCGCTAGTGGATTGTTTGTGAGATAAGCTTTCCTTTGTTACTCGCAGTATTTCACAGCGGAAGCAAACATATGACGATCAAATGCGCTCATTTGTAGCACCCTATCATGATTCACAAGGAACTGTTCGACTTCGTTGCCCTCCAAAGTGCCCAACGCCTGGAGATGCTCCCATTCAGAGACTCCAATTTCAACTAGGGGCTCATAGAAGCGGGACATGTCCATGGTACATATCGTTTTCAGAAACCTGAGAACGTCGCTCGACCGATTACGATCAGATTGGATGGCAGTACCTCTGCCTGCGCTTGACAAGGTGCTTGGGGCGGTTGATGCCAGAGACCCGGGCAAAGTCTTCTCAGATGATGCCTTACGTCGCTCTCTCACTTGGTGGACGTGTGAAGTGCATCCCTAGATATAGAGGTATTAGCATTGATGCACTCTTAGCTAGTTACTGTGGGAATGGAATGAAGCCTTCATCAGAATTCGGACCTTTTGTTTGCAAACTGTGTATTCATGGTTGGGGTTACCACTGTGTATGGTCGACACTGACACACTTCTCGGAGAAGCCATTGGCGTCCGACCCCCGGGTTTCCGGGAAATAGGTTTCCATGTTTTGCGCTCCCTGCGTACCCGGAGGTAGAAGACACGATTCATGAAGACGCTCACAGGCCACCCATCTTCGTAGGCTTCAAGGAACGGAAGGGTCTTCATAGTCTGCCGGTGTAGTGAGGACTGGATTTAACAATGCGGTGTTCCTTCACTTACTTTGCTGATGACAGCTGCGACTTTCTCCCGGTCTTGCTCCTCGTATGAAGCAGCAGGATCCAGCATTTTCTCCATAAGCGGTCGTGCGGTGCTCTAGAACGATCAAAAACCAAAAATACAAGAGCTAGAGATAAGCATACTCTCATGGAGTTCACATCTACAGTGCAACTAACCTTGAGATCGGACCATTGACCCAGTTCCATCTGCATTTTACCCAACAGAACCGAGCGACGATGACTCATATAGCTCATCGGAGCCAGATAATTATTCCTCGGACGGGGGATGAAGTCTTTCTTGCTGTCGTGATACACCATATGGCCAGCGAAGGGGGGGGGGGGGGGTAATTAAGGTAACGAAAGCGAGGAAAGACGAAAGTTGGTGCATTTATGTGCTCCATGCCCCAGCTAAGCGCCACACAAAATTGATCAAACAGCAGTCAATTCATAGCAATATATCCTTCGCAACTTCGGTCACTTCTCTATCTAACCCAATATGATCGTTCTCGCTCGCTTGATTCCTCGATCTCACGCCGCCCACTTCCTGCGAATTCTGCTCCCACACCTTTTAGCTTCTTCATTTTGGAAGTAAAGAACGTTGAAACTCACACTTCTTGATGGCATCCATAGTATCACTTGATGCCCTTATCCTGCGTGCATGCCGACTGTGAGGCATGCTCCGACGTGCCTGCCTTCCATCATGGGTGCGAGATGCGCAGATTGAGGTTGATACAGATGGAGCGAGGAAGAGACTACTTGGAATGTGAGTTGATCTCGGCCGTCAAGATAGGGTATGGCTGTGAGGGTGCGTGATTTGGTAGGGGAGGTACAGATGAAATCGACCCATAAGTCGAGGCTCATGCAGATGTTTGGATTTCAGACTACTCGTGCGTATCGAAGATTATGTAGCGAATGTAGTGCCAACTTTACACCTATACTCTACTTTGAGCTGAGGGTCTAGACTACTTCCGTTCGTGCTTGTACTCCTTCACAGCGGTAGTAAATACATGTCGATCGAACGCGCTCATATGTAAGACATATTCGTGTTTGATGAGAAACTCTTCAATTTCGCTCTGCTCTAAAGACCTTAGCACCTGGAGGTGTTTCTGTTCTAAAACACCGATTGTGACGAGCGGGTCATGGAAGGGGGATAGGTCATGAACGCATTTCATCCTCAGAAAGTCAAGAACCTCGTTCAATTTGGCGGGCTCCGGTACGGTGCAGCTAGTTGATGATACGTGCAAGGTAGGGCTTGTTTTATGAGCTGTGGTCGCCGAGGCGCCGATATAAGCCTGAACAGATTGAGTCTTGCTTCTCTCTTTCAACATGAGTTGGTTGTGTGCGGCATCTCCCTTGGTTTGCAGTTTATGAGCATTCAGGGTTGGTAGCTTGGATATTAGGGGGTGGACTCAACCATACCTTTCCGTTGGGTGTTCTGCATTTAGATGTCGGGGAACTACTCTGTGCGGTATGCTGATAGGTATGAGCCATAATACCACTTGATAAAGGTGTTGGGTTCCGATACTCAAGTGTGCTGGCTTTAGACGCCCACGTCTTACGCCCCCTGCGCACACGGTCTTCAAAGAAGCGTTGCACGTAGGCTCTGATCGGCCAGCCGTCCTCGTATTTTTCAAGAAAAGGGAGTGCTTTGACGGTCTATGGAATCGTGGTAGTAGTATGAGCGCATTGAAATTTTATGGATGTAAGTTATGAATGTGAGTTTCCTTCACGTACTTCACTAATGACCATTGCGACTTTATCACGATCTTGGTTTTCATACGACTCGCTAGCACTCAGAAACAACTGCATTAGAGGTCTTGCTGTTCTCTATTAAGCAGTTTCAATTTGAAATGTATCATGGGTTTACAGTACAGCTAACCTTGAGATCGATCCATTCACTCCGACTCATCTGCGCTTTATTCAGAAGGCAGGACAGGTTCTTAGGTAAACGGGCCATTGTATCCGGTCCGCCGAATTTTGGGAGAGTGTTGGGGTGTGCTCCGGGTTTACAAGGCCACTTTTCTGTCGAAGAGACAAGTATAGACTCAGAGACCAAGGACATTGATGTACAAGGCGAGAGAGAGGTGGACGATTTTATGTACTTTGCGCTCCAGCTGATCGCCACAAAGAAGAGCCAAACGGCGTCCGATAAGTTCATCGTTGTGGCTTCATGACCGTGCTGTCTTCAACAACCCTGAAACACTTCTTCACCTAAGCCAGTGTGAGTTTTCTCGCTGGCTTGTTTTCTCCAGCGCACACCTCCGCCAATCTGCTCCACCTTCGACTTCCACCGGTTTTATCGATTCGAAGTTAGAAATATAGATGAAACATAGAGGCACAATTAACTTCGAATTCTCTCAATAGGTACTATATGTCTATTTGATGTCATCATCCCACAGAACACGGATGTGGGAGCGCGATCGGCCGGGCGTATGATAACTTCACTTCTTCCAACGAAAGCGAGATGCTGAGATTTGAGCGCACAAGAGCGAAGAAGAGATTACTTGGGATTCGCGTTATTTCCGTAAAGGTTGACCTGAAAAAGGCATGAAGATAGGTGGATTAGGCTTCACAAGAGTCGCAAGAATTATCTCTATACGAGACCGTGTTCCATTTCTTCGAAGCGTACAGTATGCGGTATACCCTGTGTTTATATCGTAATGAGCTTTGTCTCCTACTTTGAACCGAGAAAATTATCTCGGCTACTTGTACTGCTTTAAAGCGGTAACAAACACATGACGGTCAAAGACACTCATATGTAACACTTCCTCATGCTTGACAAGAAACCCCTCAACTTCGCGATGCCTTAAAGTACTTAGTGATCGTAGATGCTCCGGTTGGGAGATCCCAACTGTAAACAGAGGCTCGCGAAAGCGGGAAATGTCAAGGGAGCATCTTGATTTCAAAAATCCGAAGACTTCATTCGACCGTGGAAAATCAGCCCGAGCTCCGGTGCTCGTTGACGCACTAGATGAAGAGCGTGTGGTGCGATTAGTCGTTACTGGAGAAGAATAGAGAGAAGTTCGGCCCGATGGGGTCTTGCTTCTTTCGTTCATGCTGCGAGCGTATGCAGAATGCCCCTAAAACGACTACGTGTTAGAGTATGACTTATGAATCCGTGACTTATGAAGCGGTTAAACGGATTATTATGTTCCTCTTACCTTATCACCAGATTTTCTACCTTCGCGAATCCGCTGACCAATCTGCTTAGTCGACGGAGAAACTTGAGAAACGGCGTTGTTTTGGGGTGGTGCTGACTCCCGATGTTCGACAGAGACAGATGGCCAAGTCTTGCGGCCTCTGTACATACGGACGTAGAAGTACCGGGCCAGGTAAACTCTGATCGGCCATCCGTCCTTGTATATCTTGAGGAACGGAAGAGCTTTGGTTGTCTACTCATATGGGATTAGAACGGACACAGTAGCTCGGATGACATACATGGAAAAGAGCAACAATACTGGTTCTAGTTGCACCCACTTACTTCGCTGATGACGATGGCAACTTTCTCAAGGTCTTGCTCCCCATATGGTGCACTAGGATTTAGGAGCGTCTGTACGAGTGGCAGTGCCGTTTTCTGATACACGCATGCGCCGATTAAGTAAAGGACTTGGAAAGGGTAGTCGGGCGCTACTTCGCAACCAACCTTGAGGTCGATCCACTGCACACGACTCATCTTCATCCTCCCCAAGATGTCGCCAAGTTCCTTGTGTAGACCACCCATTGGGTTCAGATCGTTGTCTCTAGGGGGCGGGACGATGCACGTTCTATTTTTATGGGGCATTTCGTGGGGGAAACTTGATATGTGTGAGGGGGACGTGAAGCTCACGGCAGGGAATAAGGGGTAATATAGCTGCTTTTATGTGCTTCATATTCTGACTATGCACCACAACTCCACAAAGAAGAACAAAGCGGCTTCCGGTATATTTGATGTATGGTTTTCATAGCGCCACTACCCTACATAACGAGGAGACCCTCAGAGCTTATTCTCTATTTATCCCTCTTTGATTTGCCTGTGATAGAACCTTCACCGCTTCCGTCTCGCCTTATCCTCGTGGATCTTGATATAATCACGCAAGCTTCTTGCACTTAGAAACAAAGACGAAGCGCTGGAGTTCGCTCATTCCAAGCTTCTCGTGGTGCTTCTCAAAGAACGCTGTAACATCCTCATTTGGCATAGACGCCAACGCGCGAGCTTCCTCAGCCGTGTGTATGCCGAGCTCCTCCATTACGGGTCCAAGATGTTCGGAGTCAAGCTTGCATGACGCGAGGATGGACCCAATGGAGATGACTTCGGGTGCCGGTACAGTTGTACTATCTGAGGAGAGGTGTGTGGCGGGCCCCGGTGACGGGGACTGAGACTGTATTGGGACAATTGTGGCTGACGAAGGCGCGGTGGCGAGTGACTGGATCTCATACGAGTCGCTAACCACGCTCGACGGATGACTTTCAGCCGGGTTCGTAGACATGTTAGACGATGCATGAGAGAACATGTCTGTATCATGAGGGGTTGTTGCAGAGGAATTGGGAGCCGTCCTTCCAGGTGCGGCTTTGTTTCGGTTTTTCATGTACTGGACAAACGCAGCGTATCCCTGAGCATATGCGTCATTAGCGTGTAGATTCGTCAAGTGGATTACATGAACAGCTGAGAGTATACATTGGTCTTCATACCTTTTCGTTTTGTAAATCGCGCTCGCGTTCTGTTGTCTGGTGAGAACACTGTGTCACAGGCTGCGGAATTTGAGCTGTAGGGATAATTGAAAGACGAAATTGATCTTGGGGTTCGTGTGGTTTCTGACGGACTTCACCCCGAGCCCACTTCTTGCGTTCTTTGCGAACATGTTCGTGAAGAAGGCGGGCTATGTAAACCTCGACTGGCCATCCGTCCTCGTACACTTTAAGGAAAGGCAGGGCATTGGAAATCTGGCGACATTGACGCCCGTTTTATAAGCATACGCCAGGTTGTTCGTCTTCGTCAAGCTCTTGGATAACGAGATGGTAGTACGTACTGTGCGGACGGCATGTACAATCCTTTCCGGATTTTGCTCGTTGTACGGCAATGCGGGATCTAACGTGTTTTGAACAATTGGTCTGGCTATTCTCTGAAACAGATGTTATCACGCGTCAAAGACTAGCATGATGGATGATATCACTATGAACCGACCTTGAGCTCGGTCCATTGTGCCAAACTCATCCTCATCTTGGCCAGTAAGCAGGAGAGCTCATTTCTCACTAGTAGTCTGGAGACCTCAGATACATGACTACCGTTTGGCCGTGGGATGAAATCTGTTTCGAGTTGAAGAGACATCTGATACAATGGTTGGCGAGGACGGGTTTCAATGTACCAGGGAAAGAGAGAGAGACTTGGATGGTTTTATGTACCCCATCGTCCGGCTGAGCACCGCAAAGAAGCTCAAATTCGGCGTCCGGCTTTCGTATTTTCAGATCAGCGTTTCGTATTGACTTTCCTTACACGAGATGATGTACTCTGTCCGAAACGACGTTCATTTTATATCCGGTTCTAGTCCCTCCCACCCCCTGCGGCCTCCTCTTACTCCAATTCTTTGCACTTGGAAATGAACACGAATCTCTCGAGTTCGCTCATTCCGAGCTTCTCATGATACTTGTCGAAGAAGCCTTTGATATTTTCGTATGACATTGTGGCGAATTCCCGTGCATGCTCCGGCGTGCGTATTCCAAGATTGATTATAACAGGAGCCAAGTGCTCCAGGTCGAGATTGCATGAGCGAAGGATGGAGTCGATGGAGTTACCTTCCGACACTGATGTAAGGCGGCGGTCGTAGCTGTTGCGAGCTGCTGGAGACCGTGAATGAATTAGTGTAGCCGATGTAGACGTGGATGCGGTTGTTTGACTCCTAGTAAGCTTAGAAGGAAGATGAGATGTGTGGAGATGGAGGATGATTACATCAAGAAAGACAATCTTACCCTCGTCATGGGACCGGCGCGAGACGCCTCGTCTAAATTCGCTCTGCGTTCTGAACGACGGGGTCCACCTGTAGCGTTGGAAGAGCTTGCTGTCCTTCCCGACCTGTCTCTACTAGATTCTTCATCGCTGATAGATGTGAAGCTTCGAGATGAGCGACGGGTTGTTGAAAAATGCTTAGGGATCCAATAAGGCGTTAGCCAATGAGAAAAACTTATACAGAAGACGCATAGCTACCAATCTCACCTTCTTCGGTCCTTTGATACGGTACACATCACAAATACGACAATGTTTCAACCAACGACGTATGTAAATTTCAATAGGCCAGCCTTCTTCGTACGTTTTCAGGTAGGGAAAGTGGTTGACTGTCTACGGCGGTCTTCAATCGGGAGACCTCGTGGCAACTGAAGGAGAAAAAGATGCAAGGCGTTGCCATACCTTTTTGACGATTTTGTCCACGATCTTAGCGTCCTGATCCTCAAATGTTTTGCCTCGGTCCAGCCATTGGCGAACGAGAGGTTTGACGTAGCTCTGCGATGTTGTTTATCCTATGACTATCTTCTTACGCTGGAAGTCGAGATAGCTGACATACCTTCAGGTCATCCCACTTTTGTCTCGAGACATCCATACTTCTTAGAACTACAAAGACGCTAGACGTTATTTCTAGGCTGTTCCACAGGGCATAATGTGGTTTCTGGAACATCTTCAAGTTTAGTTGAAAGTGATCAGCGATTCGGGCACAGACGTTGTCGTAGAGATACTTACTTATACACTCCAGTCAGCACTGGGAGTAAAAGCGCTTCCGCGGACCCATTCGCGATGAAATGGTACGCCTATGTCGGCGGAGCTGAGTGGACAAGTGAGTGGAAGCCGCCTAAGGCACGAGGCAAGCACTCGGTAACGCCCGCGAGATATGGATCTTCGGGCTAAGTTAGGGGCTTTCCCAAAATAGCTAGGATACCACGCGGTCATCTGTCTTCCCCACACAATTAGCCGAGCGGCGCGTGCAGTTGAGCTCCAGCTCGCCCCATCCTCGTCCAGATCACCAACTCCCCTTCACCCTCTTGCGCATCACCACCATGGCGGCGCACTCTCACTCTCATCCTCACTCGCACTCTCAAGGAGCTGATTATCCAACGCACAACTTCGGCACAGGCTCGAAATGGATTAAAGGCCTCACCCAGAGCCGCCTCGGCAACTTCGTCGGCGGCCACTTCTCTGATGTCAATCTCTCCGCCGTCATGTTCACCCACAGGCTCGATAGCTCCGACTTCGTCAGCCTGCAGGTATGGAGCGCTCCGGGGAGGTCGAAGCCTAGCTTCGAAGAAGCGATGAAGCAGGACTTCAAGCCCGCCAAGAAGGGGGATTCGTTTGGGCCTTCCTGTGAGTTCATGCGCTATGGGCGTGCATTGAGATTGTTGAGGCGGTATGCTTATCTTCTGATTAGGGGTGAGATAAGACACTGGCTTCTAGATCTAGTGCTTGGTGCTCATGCATCTATATCACAGACGAACCACTGGTTCAAGGTGTCCCTCAACGTCCCCACTTACTGGCAGCAGTACGAACGGGTCCAATGTATGCGTCAGAACCTCCTATCTTTTACCTTCTATTAACGATTTTGCCCTGCACCAGTCGAATTCGATCCAGGATGCGAAGCAATGATCTTCTCTACGGATGGAGTGCCTCTTCAGGGTGCGTTGACCAGTTTCACTGCTTCTTCTCCATTTAACAGCCCGACAAGGTATCACTGGAGGATATGGCGGCGATCGGCGCGTCGAATACATCATCCCCATGAGTTCTGTCGAAGCTGGCAAACACGAAATCGTCATCGAGTCGAGCTGCAACGGCATGTTCGGTGTGCCGTGGAACGGTGATACCATCGCCCCTCCCGATGTATGTTTCCCCCCTCTTTCATTATTTCACGCGCTCACGAGAAGTTCAGATGAACAGATACTTCTCGCTCGCTTCGGCGGATATTGTGGTGCCGAATCAAGATGCGTGTGCGTATAGTTGGCTTCGGCGCTCGAAGAATGTGACTCAACGTTTGCGCAGGGCATCTGATGTGGGACTTCCAAACCCTCAAAGAAATCATCGAAACGCTTCCCGGGAATTCGGCCTTGCAGAATGAGGCGCTGGTAGTCGCAAATGACATCATGAATGCCCTCGGCACAGGTATGTTATCCTCTCGTCCTGTCCTTCTCTTCCATTACCCCTTTCCACCCTGCGCGTTGCCTTTCAAGAAGCTAACTTCGCAACTTCGTACCCTCGCAAACAGCCGATCCCGAAGCCATCGCGCGCATGCGCGGCATCGCCGAACGGGTCTTTGGCGAAGGCTGGCAAGCTAAGGGCGCGAAGGTCTACGAAGAGGGTACAAAGCGCGCACAGGTCGTGGGCATCTCGTATTGTCATATCGTACGTACTTCCCCTTTGCCGTGAGACAACGTTGCTGGAGGCTGACTGTTTGGGAAACTTGAAGGACACAGCCTGGCTCTGGCCGTACTCGGTCACGCAGCAGAAAGTAGCGCGCTCCTGGTCGACGCAGGTCGATTTGATGGAGCGATATCCTGAGCACCGCTTCGCGTGCTCGCAGGCACAACAGTTCAAGTGGCTTGAACAAGTACGTTTCCCCTCAACTTGCTTGAACACGATGCAGGGACTAAATATGTTTCGCGTTCCGTGTTAGCTGTACCCGCCTCTGTTCGAGAAAGTGAAGGCCAAGGTCCAGTCGGGCCAGTTCCAACTCATCGGCGGCGCATGGGTTGAGAACGATGGGAACATGCCCTCTGGGGAGGCGCTTGTGCGGCAGTTTTTGTATGGCCAGCGGTGAGTCAATAATTCCTGTGTCCATCGGTCCAGTGCTAAAGGTGGAATAACGCTACAGATACTTCCAGTCGCGGTTTGGCAAACGCTGCGAGACGGCGTGGCTGCCCGACTCGTTTGGTCTTACGGCTGCGTACCCACAACTCATACGAGATGCGGGGATGAAGTACTTCTTTACACAAAAGTTGTCTTGGTGCGTCCTCCTGCTCTCGTACCTGAAGGAATATACTGACGTTGGTGTTTATGCTGTAGGAACAACATGTAAGATACCGAGACAAACAGGTGAAGAGAGTGACATTAACGATTATTGATTTCTCCAGTAACGTCTTCCTGCACACGACGTTCAACTGGGTCGGGATCGACGGCACACAAGTGTTGTGCCATATGACGCCTGTCGACACGTATACCGCGCAGGCGACCGTCGGTGATGTGAACAAGGCCGTCACTAACCACAAGGTAGGACTTCCCAGCCTCTTTATCGAAGTTGGCTGATGAGATTGGGTGACGCAGAACCTGGAGTCAGACGACACCGCGCTACTCGTGTTCGGAAACGGAGATGGTGGCGGAGGGGCGCTGCCCAAGATGCTCGAGAACGTGAGTGTCGTATTCTCATTGCACTACATACGTTTCAATCTGACACGATGTATGGTAGCTCCGCCGCATTCGCGCGACGACGAACAACCACCGCGATTTGCCGGCTGTGAGTATGGGCGCGTCCGTCGAGGATTTCTTCGGGGATATCGATAGGAACACTGGTGGTGGCGAGAGGTTGCCAGTTTGGTACGTTATTTGCTATCTGGCTTTGGGCGTGCCAGCTGAGATGATTTGAAAGGCGCGGCGAGTTGTACCTCGAGTTCCACAGGGGGACGTATACGTCACATGGTACGTTGTTGAACCTCAGTGATCCGAGGATGTGTGTTGATGCTGAATATTCGGGCTCTGCCAGGCTCGATCAAGAAAGGGAACCGGAAGTCGGAGATTATGCTTCGTGACGTTGAGGTGCGCTATCATCCTGCTAGTTAACGGGGGGACTTCACGCCAAACTGACGTAATGTATTGAAGTTGCTCGCGACGATGGCGACACTGTTCAAAGCGTCCGATAGCAAGTATGTCTACCCGAAGAAAACAATCGATGATTGCTGGGAGAAGGTTCTGCTTAACCAATGTGTGTACTTTTGTTCGCATGTGCTTGAGTATAAGGCTGATGCGAAATATTCTAGTCCACGATGGTTTGTACCTTTCATATCTGCACAAAAGCGATGCATACTGATGGCCTCAATCCGATCAGTCCTCCCTGGATCCGCTATGTAAGCTCGTAATTCCCTGTCAATTATGCAGGGAATCTAACAGATCACAGTGGTATGGTCTATGACGATGCCGAAAAGCTCTACTCCGAAGTCCGTGAAGCGTGCGGTGAGATGCTCGACGACGCTCTACGCACAATTCACCACCAGCGGCATACCCCCAAGGCCCCGCTTTCTCTGCTCCCGTCCAGCAAGTCGACGGACATCCTCGCGACGAACACAACCCCATTCGCACGGTGCGATGTCGTGCGCGTCCCGCTCGCGAACAGCGCACTGCGCTCGCAGGTCGTCCAGGCGAGCAAGGACGGCAAGCATGGGTACGCGCTACTCAGCGACGCGGACGCGGAGGGCACGGCGGTCGCGCGGGGCATGCTGGCGGACTGCATGCCCGTGTCGGTGTTCACGAACGGGTCGGACCATTTCGTGTTGAGGAACAGGACTGTCCAGCTTACGATTTCGAGTGGGCGAATTACGAGTTTGGTGGATGTGCAGCTCGGGTAGGACATTTCTTCCTTGCTTGTGATGTGTATTACGTTGAGCTGATTGACGATGAATGATGATGTAGGCGCGAGTTGATTCAGAAGGGGAAGACTGGTGGTTTGGTGATCTTCGAGGATAGGCCGAACTACTGGGATGCTTGGGGTAGGCAACTCTCGTTGAGTTTTATGATGACATTTGACGATGATCGCCCCAAGATGTTGAGATCCATCACCTTGAAGTCTCCACCCCGCTTCACTTCACCAACGTCCAAGTAGTCGCTGAGGGCCCGCTCCGCGCTTCTGTGTACAGTCAAGTCAAGTATGGTCAGAGTACCATCGGAGTCACTGTGCGTCCTCCATGTTTCGACTCATCTCACATCGATTCTGATGCAATGATAATGTCGTGCAGATCTCGCTTGACGCTATCACTGCGTCACTCAAAGGGAGCTCGCGCTCGTTCTTCCGATTCGACGCTGAGGTCGACTGGCGCGAGCGGCACCAGTTCCTCAAGTTCGAGCTGCCGCTGGACATCAACAACACGAGTGCAACTTACGAGACGCAGTTCGGTCATCTAGCGCGCCCGACACATCGGAACACGACTTGGGACGCCGCCAAATTCGAGGTTTGCGGACACAAGGTTAGTGTGTGGCGCCCTATTTTTTCAACATCGGGTGCCATGGCGTCCCTTTCTTGCACCTGGGGCTGATGGTCGGTTTCCAGTTTGCGGACTACAGCGAATACGGATATGGCGTTGCCTACCTCTCTGAGTCAAAGTACGGATTCGCCTGTCAGGGCAACGTTTTCCGCATCTCGCTTCTCCGTGCAGCAACTGCGCCCGATGCAGAGCAAGATCAAGGTGGGTTTTTTTGTTGCGAGGATCTGTTTGCACATTTCTGATGCACATATGTTTCTCCCTCTATTCAGGAAAGCACGAGTTCTCATGGGCGGTGATGCCGCACGAGGGCTCCTTCCTCGAATCAGATGTCCCCATCGCGGCGTATATATTTAACTCGCCCCTCCATGGTTAGTCTATTCATTTATGTTCTCACGCACGGTGGCACTGATGGCGAGCTATCCCCAGTGAGGTTCGCTTCTTCTGATAAGATTTCCAAGGATGCCGTGGACGCTGTCATGCCCCCGTCGCGTCCTGTGTGGGTCAAGGGTGCCCCGAATGTCATTTTGGAGACAATCAAGCGTGGAGAGGATGATTTTACCACCGATGGTGACGGCACCGGCGAGACTAGCATTGTCCTGCGTCTCTATGAGGCGTATGGCGGACATGCAAGTGCTACTCTCCATGTTGCTAGGTATCTCGGGGTCGAGAAAGCGTACACCACGAACCTGCTTGAGGACGTTGACGCTAAGGCAGCGATCGCGCTCGACCATATGGAAGACATCAGCTCCATGAAGCTGGAGTTCAGGGCATTTGAGGTCAAGACCATCAAGCTTGTTCTGGCTCCGGACGCGAGTGCTTCGCGACGGTGGGTGGCTGAGCCTCTAAATAAGAAGTTTTACTGATGCTGATCTGTATGGCAGCCCTCCAAAGCGCGAGAGCTGGGTAACCGTTAGTGACGAATACGAAGATACGCACTGCTGAGCGTTGGCGACGGGGACCTATTTTGACCAAGGAGGGCAAGTTCATACCGTTCAGGACAACGTTTCACGCGCGAAGTTGCGTCAAAATGATGGACGTGGTGTTCTAACTTTGTCGCAAATTTAATAGTTCGATTGCAGCCATTTCCGATTTTGGTGCCTTGCAACCAGCCTGCAATTTAATTGAAGCGGGAGGTCTCGCAGACTCCTAACCGGTCGGTCCGATGTCACATGACCCGGCTGCCGAGGAGCTGCCTTTTTTGTACGAAGTACAAGGTCTGACATCTGACCGACTGGCAACAAATCCGATTTGGCTTTGTTTGTCCCGCCGTGTCCCGCCGACCAAACATTGTCGACGTCGTCTTAGACGTAATCGGCACAGGGCCGAGTCGGGGACGTCGGTCATTTACGCTCGCTTAGAATAAAATAGCCCTGTTGATTGTATTATAGTAGTAATTATTGGTCAAATAAATAAGTGTATAGGCTTGATGCGTCAGGCTACCGCGATGCGACACATGCTCCGCGCGTTTGCGAACAGGTTTGCACGAGCTTCTTGGAGCTCCGCTTCTTCGGTACGAGCAAGTTTTTCAACGAGCTGGCTGGCAGTCAGGTTGATAGCTTTGAGGGTTTTAACCGCTGTGCTGAGGTGGTCAGGAACATCCACAGCTCTCACAGGTAAGTACCCGTCCTTTCAGTCCATATATCCACTGCAGCATGCTAACTAATACGTAGCCTGTAATGTGTCTACTGCATGTTAAGACCAGGTATGAGGGCATCAAGCGACGCGTGGTAGACACGCGCACTGCGTTTGCGCGCCCATTTCCCCAGCATTAGACTTGTAGCTCACTCCTTATTAATACAAGCCCCTTTACCCCTAAGCAAGTGTAAGCGAGAGCCGCTCCCGACGTCCCCGACTCGGCCCTGTGCCGATTACGTCTAAGACGACGTCGACAATGTTTGGTCGGCGGGACACGGCGGGACAAACAAAGCCAAATCGGATTTGTTGCCAGTCGGTCAGATGTCAGACCTTGTACTTCGTACAAAAAAGGCAACTCCTCGGCAGCCGGGTCATGTGACATCGGACCGACCGGTTAGGAGTCTGGAGGTCTCGCGGGTTTTAGAGTATTTTTAGCGACTATGGTTGAGATTTTATTACGTCTAAGCTGCAAGCGGTTGCAACGCTCCTCAAAGTGGATTGCAATCGCCCGTGTCAGTTGCAATGTGCTCCCAATCATATAAAATAACTCGTATCTTCAAAATTATGGTAGG